GGTGTGGTCGTTGGTGGTGCGGTCCCGAAAATTGCAACAGAAGGCAAGTATGGATTGACGTGTTTCTTGTGGTTGGATGCTAAATGTGGCGCGTCTAACTATAGGAGCTGAGTTTTCGTGAGCGGGTTTGTCATCGCATAGTTGCGGAAGCGTTTATGGAGTGGCGGGGTGTTTATATGGTAACTGATTATCTTGACGTGTACGTTTTGATGGTGTGCTAAAACGACCATGTGCAGAATATGGTTTCTCAACGTTGGTGTCGACGAAAAGTCCTTTCGAAATGCTGGACAGTGTGGCAGTACACCTGTTGGAACCGGGCTCGTGATCGGCTTGCAATGCGGTTGTACCATCAGAGGGTGTATCGTCTTGCTTTTCGTCGTTGGCTGTGGAAGTCGTGGGGGGAACTTGTTCCGGATGTGTTACAGTGAGTGTGGATGGTGTTTGTCGTGTGCTATATCGTTTTTGTTGAAAGTTTTGCCATTTTTGGTAGGTGGGTTGTGCAAGTTGGAAATGTGGGGAGTGGGATCCGGATTTCGGTGCATGCAATGTTTATGTCCCATTTTGTTCGAGTTCAGGTTGGATGATTTGTGTGTGCGTGTTTTGAGTATTATCCACATGATATTGATATGTGTTGTTTTTTTTTTTTTTTTGCAAGATTCCTCGAAACTTGGTTGCCTACCAAAAGCTCGACACGTACAGTCGGATCCTCGCGACAACCACGGTACATGCCCCGCTTGACGGTCCGATTAGCATGCCGTCGACCCAAAGCAACCCGAACCTATCATCAGAAACACCCGCTCTCCACACACTGGTCCAAACCCGACGAAAACAATACGAAACAGCTCAATCCACGCATACCACTACAGTTCTCACCCGATATTTCACACGCTGGCATGCCCAATTGTGTCGTCAGACCCTCCACACCCACATGCTCGACACGTTCACATTCGTCCACCGTACACGGATAGCAAGACGGTATACAATGTACTGGCGACGAGCGGTGTGTACTGTTCACGAGCAATTGAACCACGCGGATATGATTTACGCGTGGAATTTATTGAATCGCGTGTGTGGGGCGTGGAAGATGCGTGTGCTGGCACGATTGGAACAGGGTGTTGATGCCGGTGGGGTGTACCGAATGGGATTGGTAAAGAGGGCATGGACACGTTGGAAGGTTGCACTTGAGAAACGACGTCAAGTGAGGCGGGAAAAGGAGGTGGAGGTTTTGGCGGGGCGGGTTTATCGTCGCAAGGTGCTTGAGCGGGCGTTTAGGGGTTTGCTATCTACAAGTAGAGACAAGAGGGGATTATTGAACGCAGCTGAGATGAAATGGGATGAATATTGTCTTGAACGGAGGTTCCGGGTTTGGCGTGCCAAGACCCTGATGCGATCCATCCAGCGTCGAAATTTAGAGTACGCCATGACACGGTGGAGAATACTTGGATTACGGACCTTGTTTAAAACTTGGTATCGATCCAGTAACCATTATGGCCTTGCACGCCAATTTGGGATTTACCGACATCAAAAGGTTTTGGTACGTGGATTCCAGCAATGGCGAAAACGGGTCAAGAGGAAACGGGGGTACAAGTGTAAGATTGTTGCTGTAAAGAGGTTGATGCGGCTTATGCTTTTGGCGCGGTGTAAGAGGATTTTACAAGGTTTCTTTATTTGAATTGCATTGTTTATTTCGTTCATGAACATGTATTGATTATTTTTTTTGTGTGTTTTTTTTAGCTTGGCATCTATACGCACACGAAAAACGCAGTCTCCAAACCCTTCAAACCACCTTCTCTAGTACAACACACCAAAAGTATCTCGTCCACGCCTTTCAAACATGGCATCAAAACACGCTTGTCCGTGTACACCAACGTGTTGTACAACAGCGAGTATTGGGACGATTGTGGAGACAATGGCGATGGGGTGTTGTTTCTCGTTGTGTATGGTACCGTTTTGTTTCTTGATTTTGTAAATTGGTTATTGATGGTGGGATATTCATTTAGAATACGCGACAAGAGTTGTTTGAATTATTCATGACAAATCGGCGTGAACGGGGTACGAGGTTTTTATTTGGGGTTTGGAAAGGGCGGATCAAGAGTATCGAATTGGAGAGGGCGTTGAGTGTGGTATTGTCTTTATGTTTTTTGCGTACATGAACATTTTTTTGTGGGGCCATTGATTGATTTTGGGGGGTTTTTTTTGGTTTAGGTGATTTCAGACACGAGACGCAGGACTTGTAACCGATTATTTAGCGTTTGGAAAATAAAGTGGATACGCGTCGAAGGTAAAACACATCTCATTATCCTACCAAAACTTTTAATCTCACTCAAAGTTCTCGTAGAGGGGTATCAAGTTGCAGACCACCTAAACGCCATCACCAAGCTCCGTCGTGCATTCATCATATGGAAACGGCAATGGAGGATGAAGGAGTTGGAAGGGGTGTACCGGGTTGTACGGAAAGTAAGTGAGGAGGGGTTGGTGAGGAGGGTTTGGGTGGGGTGGATAGGCAAGATGCGATTACGACGACAAGTACGACAAGAACAAGAACGACAACGACGAAAAGAACAACGAAAAGATTCAATGGAACACATTCAAAAAACCAACAAAAAAACCCTTCAAAAATACTTGCATAAATGGATGAAAGCGACACAAGGCGCTCGATTCGATACGGCTCGAAAACTCGTATTTGCTAAAACGTGGGCAGACAAAAAGTTGGTGGGAAATGTTCTAAGTGCATGGCGTCACATCATTCATCAATAAAGGTCGTTAAAAAGAGAAATTCATACGATTTCATTTATATATATATACATTTATATTTCCAAATTTATTCATCAAAATCATAATTGGGAGAAACAACCAAAACCGGATCATGATCCCCGACTTGTTCATCATCATCACCATCCAACCGAGTCTGATCCCGCAACTCTAACAACAACCCCTCACGCTGAACCATCCGACGTAAAACACTTTTAACAATTTTCCGCTGCAAAAACAATTCCTGTTCAGTTTCGATTAAATCTTCTTGGGATTCTAGGTACCATTCCACCAATTCCGAGCGTTTGAGTCCAGGTGTTCCAGAGGTTTGGGCTTGATGGATGTGTAAGAGGATGGATTGGACGATACGGGCGTATTCTTCTGCAGAGAGTTGGAGCGTGGTTGGATTTGTTGTCGATTCTGTTGGGATTGGGGTTGGGGTTTGGGGGTCTACTGTAGAGTCGGTGGGTTCGGGTTCAATGTCAATGGCGTCTTGTTCAACGTGAACGATTGAGGTTTGGAGAATATGGGAGGCTTCCTTGACATGCTCGACCGTAATCTATAAAATGTTCATTAAAACCTACAATCCAAAAGTTCATGGTACCACTTGGTTGTTTACCTCACGACACGCATTCAATTTCGCCAACGCCTCCGATAACCGAATCATACTCTCCAACTGCCGAACCGTAATCCGATAACTACTCTTGGAAATCCCCGTCGCATCCGCCTGTCTCAAATTTCTATACTGGTTCACCAAAAATGTGCGTGCCTCCGAGGTCATGACGGGTCGAAGCGCCCGAGCAAATTTCAGGTACCGCAAAAGTTGATCAACAGAGTACTCGGAAACAATATCAAGTTGTTGGTGTCGATGGAAATTGATAATGTGTCGCGCAATGTTCCAGTCAACCAGTTCGTTGCATTCGTCCAGAATCACGAAAAAAATATCAAAGCGGGACATGATCGGAGGTGACATGTTGATGTTTTGTTTTAGGGTTAGTTTCTTGTCGTAACGACCGTAGATGGGGTTCGCGGCTGCTAAAATCGATGTACGGGCATTCAATGTCGCCTAATACATCCATACAATCATCATACAATAAGCCCCTCACCAAGTAAGTAAAAAAACAATAACAAAACGAACGCATACCTGAATCCCAGCTTTGGCAATACTAATCGTCTGTTGCTCCATAGCTTCATGAATAGCAACCTGATCATGGACATCCATCTTATCAAATTCGTCAATGCAGCAAATGCCGTTATCGGCCAACATGAGCGCTCCAGCCTCGATGGTAAATTCCCCCGTTTCCTCATCCTTGACCACACTGGCCGTCAACCCAGCCGCACTCGAGGCTTTGCCGGATGTGTAAATGGCACGAGGCATCATATTAGCAACGTACCTATTAAAAAAAAAACACACATACAGGTGAGCTCACACGACATCTCGTTATTCAACAAGAACAAAAAACATACTTTAGAAACTGAGATTTAGCCGTACTCGGATCCCCAACAATACACACGTTAATATCCCCCCTCAAATGAATCCCCTCTGGCGTAACTTTATGAACACCCCCCAAAAGCTGGAGGAGAATCCCCTTTTTGATATCCTCATGTCCAAAAATATGGGGTGCAACACTGTTGACCAATTTCTGGTACACGAGACGATCAGATTGCATCCGTTGGAGCTCTTCCAATTCTTCAGGTGTAAATTGGGCCAGGACGGCGGATTCAGCGTCCTCGGATTCAAACAGGTCGTGAAGGGCCGATAGAGAGCTTTTGGCTTCAGCCGGACGGACAAAACAACCTAAAAAGGTCATTTTGTACGTCAGGTCTCGAACACCTAGGGCTTTGAGACCCGTGACACCATCCTGCGCAAACCCGTCCTTGGATCGTCCACCCGAATCACTTCGTTGGGCTTCCATCCGATTTCCAATGAGCTGTGTCACATCTGGGACGACAATGGGGGTTCCCGTGACGATAACCTTGTCTCCCGCTTTGGCGCGCTCGACAGCTTCATTACGGAGAATCACATCAATGCTTCGCGGCATAGCTCCACTAGGCACTTCATTCGCATTCTCTTGTAACCGAATCTTTTGCCAATCGGCAAATTTGGATTGATCCACCAAGAGATGGAAATTGGACGTATTTCCACAAGTAGGATTATAACACGTGGTCGGTTCCGTGTACTTGAACTCTTGTTCCACATCCTTGATAATCGAAAAACAATCCTCACAGCGAAACGTCCCATACAATAATTCAGGACGGACTTCAGACGTTCGCGTGACAGTCCCAGATAACGAGGTCAACTGCCCCAATAAATTCATTTTCAATTCCCGTAGTTTACGCACATTAGCCAATCCATACCACCCAATCCAAAACTCGCGGACAAGGTTATTGTCTACAACGTGGTTGCCGACTTTGATGTTGAGGTACTCTGGGTCGTGTTCTCGTACCATGTTTTGGACGGCTTTGCGGAGGTATGGTTCCATACGGTAGAATTGACTGAGGATCGTTCGCGCAAGCATCTCATCCGTTTGGGATACGTGCGCGAAATCAACATAGACGGTTGTAATATCGTTTTTGCGGAGGTATTTGATTTGGTTAATGTAGGGGTATTCACCGGATTCTGTGTAGCTGCATGCAAAAATACAGGTACACGGTAAGTCCTCACTCACGAACCCCTTAAACGAAAATAAAGACTCTCCAAAAAAAAAGACAATACCTAGCCAAAAACCGCTCAAAGTCCACTCGAACTTGTTCAGCAGTCTCATCAATCACTCGCGGTATATCATCATTGAGAACATTCATGGCCACTGCATTCGGTCGTCGTGGACGAGCGGGTGGGTGGCCAGAACTGCTGCCGAGATCTTCGGTGGGTAGGTGAGTCCCCACCATGCCTCCGACTCGGTTGGCTTGGGAGCTTAGATGCAAATCAGAGAAGCGGCCGCTTAGAACGTCGTCGGCCATTTGTGTGTTTTGTTGGCTTTTTCTGTGTGTGTGTCGTTGGGTTGAGTGGGATGGTCGTCTGAAATATTTATATGTGGAGAAACTGGGGTAAAGAGTCGGAGAAAGAGGGGGTCAAAATGTGCGTGTCCAGGATCTTCGGACAGGTCACGTGGCTTACTTGCCCCCGCTCCAACTTGTACTGGTCGTGACAGAAGGTTCGACCTGAACGCCAAGTGATGAAAGGAAGGGCATATAAAGTGCAAAACAAAATACATTTAAATTACTGGCTGAAACTTGCTGGTGGATCGCAGTATCTCACATTCAAACAAAGTGTGGTTACTGACTTTTGCCAAGTGATTGAATAAGAAAACACTTGGCAAAACTCATGTGCTGCTAAAAGGCCCTACAAGAACAAAAATGAATAAAGGCTCATGAATCAACTCTCAAAATACACAGCCAAACCGAGTCAACGAAAAAACAAAACACAACTAAACCAAAAGCAAGAACCAGTTTCTGTTTTACTTTTATATTTTCAAAAACTTTTCCCCTCACACACACAGAATATATGTACAGTTTTACAGGATGTAACAACAAAAAAAAGGCACTATCCAAAAGGTATCAATACAAAAAAAAAAAAAGAAATGTCACCTTGATTGCCAATGTCCCCCGATCAACAACAACAAAAAAAACTCTGACCACCCATCTCTCTATTCACAGAAAATGTATTCAACAAGCGCGGAACCGCATGTTTAACGCGCCGGAACCATGGGAGCATGTCCCCGTTTCCAATCCGATTCCGACAGCGAGTCTTCCATGCCATTCCAGGGGAACCCGGTCGATCGAAGGGGCCGGGTGCCCATACTCCGACTGCGAGGTCGGCTGCTTTCGACGGGCGGTGAAAAGAGGGAAGGTGGAAAGTAGGCCATGAGGTTATAGGCGCTCAACATGGAGAGGGACAAGGATTCCTCGTCATCGAGTGTATGCGTCAGGCCCTTTTCTCGGCTGGCTTCCTGCTGGATGCGCCGTTTAAACCAGAGTCGCCATGAACTGTTTTCAATGCGTCGCTGAATGACATCGGCCGAACGCATCTTTGTGTATCGTTTCCATGTTTTGACAACGTCATTCTTTTTGTGCGAGATTTCATCAATCATTTCCGTTGACCGGTGGTCCTCGAGGGCGACGAGTATCTCATTCTTGACCGTGGTCGACTCTTTGGTGGGGTCCATCCAGTCGGGTTTCGCGTACGCCACGTCTCGCGATGCCTTGAGGGAGGCTTCTGCGCCAATGGAGATGCTGGCAGAGCGGCGTAGGTGGCCCATTCGATCCGGAGTGGGTCGATTACGCATGCGGTTCATGAGGACGACGCCGTAGCGCGTTTGAGGGTGCTCTTGCAACCGTACTTGCTTTTCCTTTGCCGGTGCAAAGTTCTGGGAAAAAATGAGAAAGCGGTTATTAGCAAGTGTGACAAGGACCGCGGGGAGGGAGAGCCTTCCAACAACCAATTAGCGCAGATATTTGGCAAAAGTGCACTCTACTGCTGGCACACGAGTAGATTTGCACGGCTCATAGCGCGCCCCCTCACCACCGCTCATAGCGAGTACCTCCCAACGCACCTTGAAATACCCATCCCAGCTCAAATTCTTCAAGTGCGCAACAGCCGAAATCTCCGCCTTGACCTCATTCGCAAACTCCACCGCCGACTGACCAGGCTTTCTCGTTCTCGGCGGCAAATACCACACATCCGCCACCAACCCCCACCGCGTCATAAGATACAAGAGGTGCTTGGTAAAGGTTTGAGTTTTACTGTGCCAATAAGCGTCTGCCCAGCGTTTGTTGTATTTGATGGCGACGGGGGCGACGGCGGCGTCGAGGTCAAAGGCGCCCTTGTGGAAGAGAACCGTGTATTCGTTGTTGACGCAGGTGCCTTCGGGGAAGATGAGGAGGGGGACGTTTTTGGGGTTTTGGACGTGTTGGCGCATTCTACAAAATTGTATCAGTTAACGAGTGTCGAGATCAGGGGGACACTCTGCAGACGAGCTGTTTCGGCGTCTGGTAAGGTGTGGGTCGAACAACTGCCTTCAACCCCCAGCTTTCAAGCTCCAGCCCATGCCAGAGGGTGTGCGACGCGAACGACGACGAGCAGCTCCTTTTTTCATGGCAAAAGCCCATTTCGCAATTTTGCCACACAAGCATCACTCGTAGCGTTGCCTCTTTCATCTGCTCGTCGGACCCACCCCTGTACTGTCGTTTGTATGTAACACTGAAGAGATACTTACTTTTCGGCCAAAACACTCCGATCATTCTTTTCATTCCGATTAAACATGAGCGATCCATTCAACGTGAGCACCTTGTCCTCAAAGTACCCAATCACCCCACCATGCTTTTGAGCCACGGTCGCATGAGGAAAGTCATGGGCACTGAGCACGAGGTAGTCAATCACGGATGTGTGATTAGCGACAAAAATGTGGGGTTCAGACACTTGAGGCTTTTTGCCGTGGTAGCGGATGCGACTTCCCCAGGAGAGAAGAAAGGCCTTGCAGTAGAATTTAAACAGCCAGCGCTAGTGGGAATGAAATGGAAAGTGAGTATGAGTGGAACGTGCGAGTGCGAGTAAAACGAGCCTGAGCGCGAGAACCGCGCCATCAAAGCCCTCACCAACAGGGTAGACACAGTGGCGACAGCCATGCTAAAAGCAAGTGCGAGGTGCGAGTGCGAGTGCACCAGCATAAGCGCCTCCTCTTGTCTGAATTCTGCCAGCTCTCTCTAATAATTTGAGCGCAAAGCGCTCGTGCGCTCGCCACCGCTCGTTCGCTAACGCTAAAACCTTGTCTCTCCCTCCCTCCCTCTAAGATTCTGAGCGCAAAGCGCTCATTGAGCTGGCTCCGCCAGCTCGTTAGTTGCCATTGCTTGCGTTCGCTTGCGCTCACAAGTGCTCAATCCTCCCTCCCTCGCAATGGCTCGCTTGCGCTCGCGCTTGTTTGCTAACGCTAAAACCTGTACAGTCTCCCTCGCAATGGCTCGCTTGCGCTCGCCATTGCTATCGCTCGCCATTTGCTCGGTCCAACTCACCTGCCAGTGTTCATTCTCAAAATGCAAGACAATGGGCAACCCAACAAAAAACACAATGGTGGCAGCGAGGAGCAAGACCAAACGATAGGGAAACAAGAGACAGTAGCGCACGACCCAGCCCATCCAGTACAGAGGGCCTAGTAGAATTGTTTTGGGAGAGAATCTCCGTCGAGGTCTCTGAGTAAAGCATTTTGAGAATTCGTCCTGAGCGATAGCTTGGGCAGCGTAACCAATGAAAGCGAGACCGTCCTGAAGGGCAAATGAGCCCTTTCCCGTAGTGCTTGTGGGAGTGTGGAGTTTAGACTCGAATCCAGGCAGTACGTCTGAAACCAGTCTCTTGCGAAGAGGAGTGGGAGATGTGGTGTGCCTGCGACTCATGCTGTCTGAGGAAAGAGATGAGAGTGACGAGTAAGAGTGTGCATATGGAGGCATGTCACGCAAGTGTGTGAGTAGAATGAGAATGAGACAAGAGAGTGTGAAAATAAAAAGAAGCGGTGAATATACTAAGCCAACAAACAACAAAAGATAAAAACGCGTGTGTGTGCGTAGTTTGTTTGAATCGATAGAGAGAGAGAGAGAGAGAGAGAGAGAGATAAATGATCGATTTGAAATAAAACAAGAGAGAGTGACTATGAGGGAATGAAATCTACATGTAATATTCTTATTCTTTCTTTGTAATCATTTCTCTCTCTCTCTCTCTCTCTCTGTGTGTGTGTGTGTGTGTGTGTGTGCAGTATGAGAATGTGTGCAAAGTGTAAATATGTAATCTCTTCTCTCTCTCTCTCTAACATTATATATGAGAGTGATATTCCCTCTTCTTCTTCTTCTTCTCTCTCTCTCTCTCTCTCTCTCTCTCTCCCTTACAATCTCACTCTCTCCTTCCCAAAAGGTGACTGCGCACACGTGTACTCACATTTATCACGTGATTATCCATATTGAGTTTAATGGATTTTTATTCTTTTTTATTCTCACTCACACACACACATTGGCGTTTTTTATTCTCCTAGTAGATTGTCATTTGGGAACTCGCTACAATGACTGTACAAGTAGACACATTTCCCCCTACAGTCAAGGCTGGAGGCATTGATAATGCTGCTATAGTCCGTGTTCCAGAGTCTGACGAGTATTCGTATCTCACAAACAGTGACGTGCATCCAGAACCAGCAATGCAGGGTTTGATTAGTTTGGTTCTAGAACAAGGAGGAAAAGTAACGCTCAGAGGGCCTATCGGTGAGAAGAGTATTGTGGAATTGGATAGTGGAAAAGAGTTTGTCTATGGAATAGTTGCAAAACAGTACAAGGTGTTTGACGACGAACAAGATTTTGATGGATGTTGGAAGGGATCGCTTCAGTTTTCCAAATTTAGGTGAGTGTTAGCGTTAGGGTTAGGGTTAGGTTAGGATTAGGTTTCGGGTTAGGTTTAGAGTTAGCGTTCGGGCTTTAGGGTTAGGTTAGGGTCATGGTTGGATTCGGGTTTGGGATGGGACATGACTCGCTGGCGCTCGTCATATGTCGCTGCGCGTCAACGGTCTTGGATTTGGGGTTAGGGACATGACTCGCTGACGCTTGTCATGTAGCTACGCGAGGAACCGGGCAATGCAACTGTCGTTGCGCGTGAAATGCTTTGGATGTGGGGCAAGGCCATGACTCGCGGTCGCTCGTCATGACGCTCGTCATATCGCTCGCGTCACGTAGCTATGGCGTGTGCCTGCCGGGGGCTGCCGAGGGCATTCGTTGTGATGAGAGGGTGCCTCTGTGCAACTCACTGCCGTTCGTTGCACTTTTGTTGCACACACGCACTCACAACCACTCTCTCGCAGATGGGCGCTAAAGTCACTCGAACCCGCAACAGAGGAGGAATTTGAAAAGGCACAAGAGCAAGTGGCCCCGGTCCCCGACAAGGCGGACGGCGAGCAGCTCTACAACAAGGGTCTCGCCGCCATCAAGGCGGGCAATCACGAGGAAGCCATCTCCATCTTGACTCTGGCCTTGACAACGTGCGAAATTGATGAGGAGGCAGAGGACGACGACAATGACGATCCCCATGCTTCCCTCCGCTTGCAAATTCTGACTGCCCGTGCTCAAGCCTCCAACGCCCTCGGTGCGTGGCGTGCCGCCGTTCGTGACGGTGAGCTCGTCGAGCGCATCTACGGTCGCCCTGTTGACGCCCTCAACAGCCTCAAACCCGCCGATGCCGGTGTCTACTTTCATTCCATCCTCGCCTCGGCAAAGGCAAACGAGGCGCTCGGCAACCTCGTCGCCGCCGGATCAGGGTACATGGCCATCATGATCCTCAACATGATCAAGGAGCAGGCTGCTGAATTGTCAACAGAGGGCCAAGAGGTCCCTGAACCCGTGCCTGCCGACGTGGCAGACAGTCTCATCCAACAAGCCTCGGCTGCCCTCGAGAAACTCGAGCAAGGCCCAAACACCACCACAATCTTCACACTCAAAATATCCCTATTGGGCATCGAACCCCCTGTTTGGCGAACCATTAAAGTCACCGCCAACACGACCCTCGGTGAGCTGCGCGAGTACATTATCATGGCCTTTGGCTGGTGTGGCACGCCCAATGTGCACGAGTTTGAAATCTATGATCACGGTGTCGTCCGCTTCACCACTATCCCTGACGACTTTGTCATTCCCGACGATCAAGACGACGAATACGATGAGCGCCACGAAATTTGTGAAGACGAAGAGGCCACCACGGTCGGTTTGGCCGTGTCGCAGGTTGGCGACACCTTTACCTTTATTTACGAAAAGGGCGACTGGGTCCACCAAATTGTCGTGGAGGAGGTGTCGGAACAAGTGTTGCCAGATGCTTGTTGCGGCCATGATGAGGAGGGAGACCACGAGCACAACCACCAACCCGAATTCCCCAAAATCATTGCCGGCGCCCGTGCCTGTCCCCCCGACTCTGTCGGCGGCCCGGCCGGTTACAAGGAGTTTTTGCTGGCCGTTAATGGCACCCCTTCTGAAAAGTTTGCAACGCGCCTCGATGCTCTCAACTTTGCCGCCGAAAACGTGGGACTTTCCAACAGTGCCCTCGACTCTTGGGGCGGCGCTACCAAGCGCCCCATTGAAGATATGCTCGCTGGCTTAACCTTGGAGGACGACGAAGAAGAGAACGCTACCGACGACACACCCAAGGATGTCAACAAGGGTGGATGGGACCCTGAAGCGTTCCAGTTGGAGGAAGTAGGCAAAGCCCTGGGCGCCATTGCAGCCATGATGGAGCAAGGGGATGATGACGACGAGTGGGAGGATGAAGAGGACGATGAAGAGGAGGATATCTAGATTTATTTTTTCTTGTCTTTTCGTTTTTGTTTTTGTGTGTGTGTGATATACATGTGGATACAAGGACCTCGTATATGATTTTTTAGATCTGTCAATATATATTTTCGATGACTTTTTGTAATCTTTGCGTCTTTGGACCACGAACTCTGACCCCTTTGAACCTCGAGCAAATCATGTATAGGCAAGGGGTAACGCACCTTGCAAAGGCACTATTGGATAGGATAAAAAAACAATGAATCACAATAGGTTCCCGTCATTTTGGACATGATAAAGGATGGGCATTGGGCATTGCACAGCTGGTCATAACGTACAGGTATTTGCCAAAGTCAAAGGGTGAGTAGCAAGGTTGGTTTGCCCGATGTCTACACGTGATCAAGATGACAATGCTCTCCCTTCTCGCACTCGTCCACTTTTTGTCCTCCACAATTACATTACAGAACCTTCAGTGCCATGTCCCCCCGCAACAATAATGTCCAGTATTCAACTCCCCTCTCAACAAGTCACCACTCTCATCCAATCCTTTATCCAGTCCCCCAAAAGCACTCCAATCGCTCCCCTCCTAACACACCCAACCGTCCCCGACGCACTCATCACGATTCTAACCCCTCTCTTGCAATCCCATTTAGCAGCCGACCAGATCCGTGCTGTGGAAGCCATAACAGAGGTATTACGACATGCACAAGATGACATGTTCAGTGTGCTCTGTCGGTTGGCGTTTCAAAAGCTGGCGTTCATGGATATCCAAGATGGAGGGTCGGTGTCGTTGGCGGGGTACACCCACTGGCTCCGTATAGTAGAAGACATGATCATATCCCAAACACCTATGCAAGGAATGGTATGCGGGTTCCTCATGTTGAATTACCTTGCACGGTATGCAGCCATGCCAGACAAGAATCCGCGGGCATCCAAAACGCTTGCACCAGTGGAATTACGATTGGTGCAGCGCATTGCGGAGGGGAACAAGACGGTTTTGTTGTGTCCTATGGGAATGATTGGGGCCCATGTTTTTGCCATGTTTTGTCAGGATGCGCGGCCGGTGGGGAATTGGGGACCTGTGGATAATGTTCAGCAGGTGTGTTGTGTTTTTACATTGTGTTGGTTGTCCAAGAATGGGCACATGTGTGGTAGAGTATTCACTCTAGTGATTTTTCAAAATAGTTTTTTAATCTCTTTTTCAATGTGGGGACGCTACCTCTTCCTCCGCCAAGCAGCGATCCCATTGTGGTCTTGGATGAGGAATCCGTTCGCGAGTGGAGGGAAACACTGTTATCGTACAGCATATCGGACATTGAGGGAAAAGTATACTTTACGCCGTCGTGTTTGGCGCGGGATGTGCTGTTTACCGATTTGGTGTTTACAAACCGGACGAGAATCCAACTACGGTATGAGAACGGTCAAGCGTTTTTTGAAAAGACGTGTACATCAAGTACCGAACATCCTATCCATGACCATTATGACTGGCTCTGTACCTTGTCGAGACGACTTGTATTGAGTGATGATGCGCGGGATGCGTTTGCGGGGCGGTTGGCCATGTACTGTGCGATCCTCCAAGATGCCTTTATCCCATACCTCTACCCTACTTGCTGTAAACCAAATGTCATAACGCGGACGGGTGTACACCGATACGCATGTGATCCCGGGAACCCCAATATCAAATCTCGTGTACACGATCTGGCCATGCAAGAGTTTTCGAGTGTGATGGATACTTTTTCCCAAGGGTGTGGACCTCTTGTTCAAACGCTTCGTGCATACGTCCGTGCGACTCGACCGCATCAGGTATGGAGCTCGTGTACGCAGACAACGTGGAAATGCCTTGGAAAACAGTTTAGAGAATGGAAGGGGGCGCCAAGCGAGTGTCCGCTTGTTGTTGCCTATAACGAGACTACCGCGATGGGTACCACGGATGGGCCGTATGCGATTCCGTGGCATGTGTATTTCCTGAACGCCGGTATTGGGTCACTTGATGCCCAAATGTTTGTCACGTTGTGCAAGGACGAGATCCGGGCGTTGCGTCTCCTCGAAGCATTGCAAGTTCTCTGTGAGCGCGACAAGATACATGTGGACGCTGCAGAACAAATGATGCAACTGATTCCCAAACAACACTCATCACCTTTTGACACTGACAAACAGGACATTATACATGTGGCCACGACCATGATGACGAAACTATTGGACACGCATGCAGACCGATTCCGCCATCTCGCACCCTACTGGAAACCCACCAACACCCTTCCCACACGTAAACGCAAACGAGGTATTCCAGATGACGGTTCAAAGGCACCCATTAAAGGCAACCCTTTCAGCACGAGTGGAATCCTATCCACGCCTCCCAAGGACCCATCCATCCGAACCAAACTCTTGACCACAGCGGTGCAAGTCTGGACCCAAGCCGTACATACCATGACACCAGAATCCATTACCTACTACCTCACACCGCTCTGTAGTGGGCGGTACCCAGGCAAAGAAAAGTACATGCTCGACCTTGTACTAGTGAAATTCATTGAAACGCATCCAATCCACGCGCCCACCATCCTTCGTTTACTATTATCCCAGCTGAAACCGGATACATACCATCGTCACGAGTCACCGTTTTATGCCTTGGTGGAAGGACTCCAAACCATGGATGATCAAATCCGTATCGTTATATTAAAAGGATTTGCAACTGTTATTGACCATTGGACACGGTTTTGGATAGATTGTTTGAACGTGGTTTCAAAGCGGGTCAAAAACAGTGTATGGGAATGGGTCATGGTCCAAGTGGACTATCAACTTGGGATTCAAAAAGGAGAGACGAGGATGGATGCTGTGGGATTGGTCAAGAGAACGTGTGCTGCTGGCTATAGTGGGTTATTACCGTTTTTGCTTGGGAATCAACAAGGGCTTTCCAAAAGGGTTTTGGTTGATGGAATGGATGAGGTCGTTCTTGGAGTCTTTGGAGGAAAGTGCTTAAAGGATTCTCTCGAGTTTTTGGTAAAGGTGCTTTCGGCGGATGGGACTGTGAATGGAGAGGAGAGCATGAAGGTTCTTGAGAGGGTATGTATACCATCTCGGATCTTTGGAAACGAATGTCTAAAAAACGAACCCAAATACTGATGATGCTGTTTGTACTAGTTGTTTCAAATATTGGAAACAAAAAAATCTGGGGAATGGTTTGAAGAGTACTGGGTTGAACCCATCCTAGAGGCAAGTATTTTCATATCACTTTTTTTACATCAGTCCTAGCACATGCTAAATCTCAACGATACAGAGCATCCTATCAAGTCCGTACACTCAATCCACAGGCCACCTCCTCGCATTCCAGCTTTTGCGACACCATCCTCGCCTCTTCATACCCCACACACCCCAAACCGGCCTCGCGAAATGGGTGACAACACTCGACACATACAATGATCCAGAACCCGTACTACATATATGGCATGAAGCCTGGGAGACCTGTCCAATCGAATGGATGGAATCCGTTATAAGTGTCTTGCACCTCACATCAGGACCTCTCAAAAACGGCCTAGAAATCATGGTACTCGATTACATCAACACGGACTCACGACTCTTGACTCGCATCATACCCAAAATGGTTCAAGATCCACCCGTATTCCAAACTCTCTTTTGTCACCTCGTGCAACATCATCCCCGACAAACCATTTCCTGTATCGAGGCGATCATGACCCATTCTGAGCATATCATGACGTTATTGGGATACGCATTCGAGGATGTACGGTCCTATATCGTTCATTCTGAAATCATCATGCAAGGACTCGTGGATTTAGTACATACCCCAACCGTCCCAAAAACCTTGCTCAGTTTCTTGACCCGCTTGTATGAGGACAGTATCCCCGATTTTCATTGGCGGTTATGGAGGGGTACGGTATGGTCCATCCGACTCCCCGAATGGCAAGACTTTATCAAACGTCTCGTACGAAGCGACCATGAACCCCTTGTAAAAGAAATCGTGTTTGACCTACTAGGTGAATTAGAATCCAACAACCCAACACCAACAACTCAAGAAAGCATGTTACGAATTCTTTTTAGTGTGTCAAACACAACACCCCTCTACGACCCTCTTTTCTGTTCATTTGCAAAACGATGGATAAAACGCGGTGAACCCTTTTTAAACTTTATATCCCAATTTCATGTACGCCTTGAACCTGAGATGTTATCCCATCTTTTTTCGGATATTTCGAGTGGACGTGCCAAGGTCCTGTTTAGGCTCTTGACATCCCATCAACACGTTCAAGAGATTTGTCGGCGTGTTGAGAGGATTGTACTTGGTTGTGTGGATCCGGGGTGTGCGAGTGAGTATCGGGAGGTTCTCAAATTGGTGGTTGGGGAGGTTGGGATTGGGTTTGTGCGTAGAGTTGTTGAGGGGTGTGATGCGAGGGTTTACATGGTTTTGAATGACTTGCAATTTTGGGATGTAACCTAATGGGATGTGATGAACGAGTTTTTGCTCCGTTGTGTGTGTCTCTGGATGCAAAAAGTCAATGATACAGAGAGCAATGACTGGACATTGTGGTTGATTCTAGTAGCATCCATGTGGAAAACATTTACCCATCAAAAACCTTTTTGAAAAAACTAGCATTTTTTGTTCACTACATTTGGTATCAGAGCTTTACACAGCATGTCATCACAACCGAGAAACGGACCCCTTCCAATATTCTAATAAACATACAAAACCTTGACAACCCTCTCCAAAGGCTCAACACAAACAAAACAAACATTCTGCACATGCGTGGACTCAAATAACGCACCCCCCGTATTCTCAATCCCCAAAACAGCATAAACACTCGATCGAACCACTAGACCTTCACCCGATTTCCGAACCGCAATACAAGATTTATATAGTTCTTTAACGACATTCAAATACGGCTCTAGGGTCTCCTCAAATTGATTCAATGGACCCCCAATCACCAGTAATTTGAACACCCGTAACAAAAATTCCGATCGCTCAGATGGTGTCCACAAATCATTTGTGTCGTCTGATAGGATTGTATGGAGGGTTGTTGTGAGGTGCGTGTCGTCGAGGGTTTGGACGAGTGTACCAGAGGCATGTGTGAGGGATCCTAAAAAAAGGAAATGACAATGAGAAAATAATGATATAGAAACATAAATAATACACCACGTACGATTCATCCTAATCCGAGAAAAAATATCCAGAGTCGTTAACGTACACGGCACAACTTGACTCGTCACAGAATGTACACTCCCAATTCCCTACGCCCCCAAAAAAGAAAACCAATCACTAACCAGCCCCAATTACAATCAAAAAAAAAAAAATCATAAAAACTCACAGGAATAATCCCACTATTCAACAAATCAACCAAAAACACCCCAATATCATGTGGTGGCAAGTATCTATCATAACTTGTTTTCAAAACCTGGAGATTTAGACCCCATTTTTGTAAAAGGGGTGAGAGAGATGTTTTTGTTGGGGGGGTGAATGTGTAGGTCGGGGTTAATGTTGGGGTGAGCATGTTTTTTCCTTGTAAAGGTTTTTTTTGAGGAATTTTTGAGATTTGAGCAAGTCTTGCAGGTTGGTTGGTGAAACGCGGTCGTGTTGGAAGGATGACGTGAGCGGATGTTAGCTACGCGTACTTGACAATAAACCTGGTGGTGGGATATCTCAAATCGCTAAAACAGAAATCATTTCCCGGATATACAAATCAACAATAAATTCCACCCAAAAAAGAACTCATTCCTTAAAGCCCAGTCATAACTAATAAATTCCGCAAGTTTTATGATTTCTTGATACGTCCCCTCCCTTTTTCTTCAGCATCGTTTCTAGGAACGTTTGTATACTGACCATCACACTCCTCATCCCCATTGAATAAAACCATACAAACTATGAGTGCCAATAGGAAAAAGACAGTAGTATGGCGTATAGCACCCTGATAATACCAAAGTAGCATCCAAGCGAAGCTTAAAATAACACACTAAAGAGACGTCCAATCCAGTTGCGAACCAGAAAGTTATATCGAGTTCTCAATAAAAAACCTCTCCAACGCAAGTCCAAATCAAAGGGTTTAAAAAAGCAAATAAAACCCTCACGAATCCCGTAGACGAGAAAATCTCCCAATCCGTTTAGCAAGTGCTCAGAGATCCAATAACCACTTCAAACCCAACCCACACCATCACCATGCACATCTCTCAAACATTATATTACCACAAAAAAAAAACAGTTTCTAAAAAAACATCCAAAAAAATACCCATTCCATGCTGTATCAAAAGACACATAGGTACAAAGTCCCCACTCTCAAATTCCTCTCATCGCATACCTCTAGCCCCACGAGGACCAGTGGGCACTCTAGCACCACCAGTGGAACTCCCACTCCCATGCGCACCCGCAAACCCAGCCAACTGAAGAAATTGTGGAAAGTGCGCCAGTTTGGTTTTGGCGTAATCGGGGAGGTGCTTATCGATTTGGAACCTGACAATCAAAAGTTTTAACAAGGATTCAAAAAGCATTGCATCACATTCAATAATAAAAAAATACCTTTTCGTTCCATCTTGCTCGGTTCTATCCGCTTCGGCCCACTCTAGCGTTTGGTCACGCGGGTCAACGACCATTCGTACACCGTCTCCAAACAACATGACAAATTTCCCTTCGGTGGTTTTCATGCACCAGCCCACATTCGCCAGAAACTGGAAATTCAACTCTCCACTTGCTCCAGAGGTGGATGCTCCGGATGATATCTTTGCCTCACCAGCGGCATGAGTCGCGTTCGTAGGTGCCTTTCTGATCGCAAACGTGTCACTGGCGGTCGTGCGTACAGGTGCCTGTGTTGACCGACCCACTGTGGATGTTGCGGCAGACATGATCCCTCCGCGATTCTGATGACTGCGTTGCCCGCTGGGTTTGTAGGTATCCTGCCGCGCCGTTTGTCCAACCTTTTCCCACATTCGGCTTTGTACAGCACCGCTTTGTACAGGCCTGGCATCATACTCCCCTTGAAGAGGCCAGTTATCGCTAGCACCAGCATTGATGCCCTGTCGAGGGGTATTGCCATTTCTGGTGCTGGCCACCGCCCCGCTACTGCCACTCCTCGTATATGTCGACATGGCACTAGGATGAAACGAGTCTGCCTCCCGCGCATCACCGTCCCTCCCTCTCGACACTCCCGACACAATCCTGCAGTGAGAACTCTTTAGAATGACTGGATACCGTGTTGTAGAATCCAGCTTGCCGCTTCTCTCAACGTCCATGCATTGTTTCAGGCACTCTTGGACGTGGCGAACCACGGGTGCAACATGGGAAGGTATATCCAACGTCTCACATGTGCTGGTTGCCACAGAAGGACTTGGTAACCGGATCTGGTGGACTTCAGCGCTGTCCCTGTCCTCACTATCCCCTCTGGAAAGCCGAACTTCCATCATTCCGCGCGACACTGAATAATGCGCACGGGTGCCGTTGTAAAAAACCATTTCAAAGTCTGCAAGCGGAGCATTTTCCATTAATATGCATTTCGCTTGCGGTGAATAAAATATAATCTAGGATGCAACCTGTGTGAATACGATGCGGTGTAAGAAACGGAGGAAGTGTCCCTACCTTTGGGGTCTTGGATCGTACAAGCTCTACGAAACGGCTGCCGTAGCGGTACTTTTTAACGTACCCTGGCGGCAGAGTCGCGCGCTCAAATGTCTGCACCGGTCGAGCAGAGGAATTCAATGGATCGACTGATCGGTCAAACAAAGCAATCTTGTAGTCAAGGAATGGTGTGAGCAAACTTTATGGAATCCAATTGATAATGACGTAAAGGCTCTAACCTCGTTACTGTCGCTACTAATAAGCATTAGGTACTCTTCCCCGATAAAGTCAAGAAGCAATTCGCCTGTCTCAAGGATGCTAACATTCCCATGCTTGGTCTTTTGTCGGAGTGGTTTCAATCTCACCGTTGAAAAGGCAGGTAGTTCGGGCACGTCACTTTTGTAATATCGCATATTGTGTGGTTCTGAACTGACAGTGCGAGATCCATCTGAGGATCTGTGCCTCGGAGAATTGCCAGATTCTCCTGCTTCACCAATAAATGGGCTGGATGTAGATGATCCACGATAGCCATCCCTCCCATTCACCGCATTCCCCGCATTCTCTTTCAGTCGCCGGTGATCTACCAGGTCTTCCTGCTCAGCGCGTGTCGGGGCGCGTACCCGACCACTTTTGGATCTACTATCTCCTTCAGATGGTGTATGTCGCTGGTTCTCGGTAAAACCGACGCGTTCTGTCAGGACGTCAGATGATCCCGGTGCCGCTCCAGAACTGTTTGTAGCAGTCGGCTGTCGATTAACCTCTCGTAATGGAGATCTTCTTCTTTGGGTACTGTCAAAGACTGGAGAAAGCGGTCGTAGAGACGATACTGGCAGAGTTGGGTTAAAGAATGGATGGCTCAAAACTTTTGTGAGTGCCAGGCGCCTTTTTGGATCCTACAACAATGTGGGTAAGAAAGCTGCCGTCTGGCCCAAAAGGGGAGGACACAATACGTAGTCAACACACCTTTTGCAGCAATCGATGCACTAAGTCCTTTGCATGTGCTGAGAGACTGTCAGGGAGACTGTAGTCGACACGACTCACTCTGTCGAGCGTATTCTTCACAGCTTTGCTCTAGACGGCCATCTGAGTTACACGATACGTGCATAATTGGGACCTAAACCTCCTACATACCTCGAATGGGGGCGTTCCGGTCAATATGGTGACTATCATGCATCCCAGAGACCACACATCGGACGCGAGCCCATATGGTTGTCGAGATACGATCTCACTAAAAGAAAACATAAGTCGGTCATAGGCGGAAATATTTTGCCAGTTACGAAAAAACGTACGGTGATATGTAATTTGGTGTTCCACACATGGTTTTCTGTTCCCCTTCTGGATCATTCAGTTTAACTGCCAATCCAAAATCTGCAATTTTCTGAGAATCCGGGGACAACATGGTGTTAGATGCAGTGAATTCAGTGCTAGTGTACGAGACACACTTACCACATCGAAATTGTCTGTCAGTAACAGATTTGACAGCTTGAGGTCACGGTGAATAATGCCGTTTGCGTGTAGGTATAACAGGCCACGGACAATCTGGGCCATCACGCCGCGCGCCTCTGGCTCCGTCAAAGGGCACTTTCTCTGATGAATGTACCGGTACAGCTCTCCGTTTTGACACAGTTCCATCACAAGATATACGTAAGATTGATCTTCAAAGTAATTGTACAGCTCCAGAATGGATGGGTGATGCAACTGCCAGTGAATTTCCACTTCATTCGCGACTCGACGGGTCATGTTGGCTGCCTTCATCAACCGCTTATCAATCTATCACGCACTTGTCAGAATATTTGGGTGTCAAGAAGCTGATTCAACGGTATCCTTATCTTTCTTACCATCTTGATGGCCACCTCCCGACCATACGTCCCTTTGCTCTTGCTGACAGCCTTGTGAACAAAGCCAAATCCTCCCCTTCCCAACATTTCTTTAAGTTCATAATCCTGTAGAGAAAGGGTAAGTCCCTACTTCACTCTATCCCCGACCCCTTCAGCAAAACATGCATCCTTGTACCTCAATTCTATTCGAAAACTTTTTTGCAGGCTTTTGAGGGGACACAAACGTAAAATCATGTCCTTGATCCTGCAGACCGCCTATTGATTCGGGCGGACTAGAGGTACGCGTGGGGACAGGTCCTCTCACATTGCGGCTACTCGGATGCACGCCATAGTTTCGTTGGGAGGTCATGGGTGGACTTGGCTGAAGGGTTAGCATCACGCGGCCTTCGCCTGGCCTTCTGAGATGTTGTTATGATCCAAGGCACGATAGTTGAAGGAAGGCGAGGAGAATCATGTAAGGGAAAACGTGATATTGCAGAATGGCACGCTTTGGATCAATGATGGGTAGCGGCACACTGGAACACTAGCGCGCGTCAACTATTGCCAAATGTCCAGACGCGCCGGACATTTTTGTGCTGTGCTGTGGTCTGCTTATCTTGCTTATCCTACAGGGACATCTCGCGGGCTGGCACTTTTTCATCACCGACACCGACTATTGAGCCGCCAAAGTTCCCGTGCAGATATTTCAACTTCTCGTAACCTTCTCATACCCGTGTTCCGACAGTTGCCAATCATTCAATAGCTAACTTTGCAGAATGAATGGCCAATCGGACACCAGCTCTCACTGTTACTGCGACGTGGTGGAAGAAGATGGCGACTCTTTGATATATCGCGGGGCTTCTGCAGGCAGTGCCGCAGCTGAGTTAAAAATATTCCAGTCGCTGCAAGCATTGTAACTGAAGTCACCCATCACAAGTGAGTTAAAGAAAAAAGAAAAAAAAACCATCATAGACGATCCAACGTGAAGCGCACGCACCTGTAGATCATGTCGATTCTACTTTATTCAATTTCTTTCAGGTAAACAATGCACGAAAGACATCTTTCGCGAATTTTCTCTATACAGAAACCGATATTTGAATTGCTAATATGAATTGTTGGTGCCAACGGACCCGTAACGTCCAGCTGAAGTCCTGCTGCAGTAGGTGCTGTTCTGGTATCCAAAGTTCTATATACCAAGAAAGTCTATACGAAGAGCTTAATCCAGCACCCCATTCATTCCAATCAACGCTCAAGCACTCGTTACTGTAGACTTTATGCTTTGGAACTGTTGACAACTCTCATGATACTCCCTCGCGAAAGATTTGCACACACAGTCGCCAGCAACAAGTTCTGGGCATGAGCGGCCCTATATACTCAAAACAAGGATTCATACTGCTTGAATTTATCTTGGCTCTTGGACATCATGCTCAAACGTTGACACAATCTGTAATTTGGTTTGCTCCCTCTTCCACAGTGAACTTCCTTCCGTCAGCACGTTCCCCATCGCAAGAGCTGACGTCAGGTGGCTTAGTAACGCGTAACTTGGATGACGTCCCAGATTTTTAAAGTTGAGACTCCGAAAGGTAAAAAGGACGAGGCGGGTTGACTTTTTCTTCAAACCAAGATTTGGGCAAAAGCGTTTGGTCCACAGGTCTTGGCCTTTAGGATATTTGTTCTAGTTTCTTCAGTAAAAGCACCCCTTTGTAACTTCCAACCATGGCAAGAGTCCTGGCATGGGCGATACTACCCTTCCTCGCAGCGTTGGTGTGGGCTGGAATCATCACTGCGTTATTGATTCTGTGGTTGGCCACTGGTACACCGCATTATAAACAAGATGCGGCTCCCATTGTGTATATATCAGATGTTGGTGAGTAAATCATGGAAATCAAGTTTGACGGCATTCGTTAATATGTGGTCCCACAGGTGCGAAATACAAGACGCTTTTTATTGTTGGGACGGCAACGACGTCTGCATTGTATGTTGGGACCCTTTTAGCAGACTTTATACTCCGATCGTTGGGATATCTCCCTGAACGTCGTCAAAGACGTGAAACCATCGACGCGGTGCTCTCGATTCTGTTTGGGTTCCTTGCAGCAGCGTGTCTGACCCTCCTCGCAATATTCGACGCATTCAACTATAGTTCAATACATTGGGGACTTACGCTGGGGTTCATCTTTTCGTTGGCTTGCAGTGCGGGATTCAAGGTGGCAGAATTGAGGAGGCTTAGGAAGGACCATTGGGGGATTAGAGCGCTCTGGAGAAGTTTTAGGATAAAGTTGGTCTTGGTCACTTTTGCGATTGGTAAGTTTACTATATCGTTTGAGTTTCCGGATCGAGAAATTAATTTCTTTTCATTTCTACGTAAAGCTCTCACCATCGCTATGATCGTCCTCATGCTCATCTGCACAAACGATGAGTCTCACCCAGACCAGTGCGACCCGCAACATTCTGCAGCAGCTGTATGCGAATGGGTTGCTGCCTACGTCACTGCTGCGTACTTTTTGTCCCTCGTAGCGGATTTCAGGGTGGGCGGGTACCCGCGGGCAGCGGCGTTGGAGGAAGTGCGGGTGGGCCCTTGGGGACAGAGAGATTCAAATATTACATTGGAGACGCGGGAAAGGCAGTATTATTGAGTATTTTGAATTGATTAAGAATATTTTGGATTTTGCTCGGCGATATGTTGCTGCAGACTACGTATACTAATTGCTGGAGGTTGCAAAGTACCGCTTTCTCAGCGCTCTAATCCAATTTGAATGGTTCACTTTTCTCAAAAGTCATCAGGTGGCTCGCGGTAAGGCGAATGAAGAAATACAATATAGTCCGAGACATGCTCACGCAGCATACAAATCCGGTCAAACTTGCATTTCGTACCAAAATCTATTCTATTCTCTCCACTACTCTCGACCTCCTAGACAGTCCCCACGCCGCAGCCAAAAGTCCAAGAGCTCCGACAAAAGCCCCAGCCCAAAACACCACCCCCCGACCTGCCCCTCCAACACCTACACCCCATTGCCACAAACTTCCGGCAACAGCAGGTGCAACAGTCCTTGTTGCTGCTGCACAGGTTGAGGCCACACCATGCACAAGACCCAATGACTGTTTCGATGCTGCGTCCGTGATGAGGACAATAACAGCTAGGTACGCACACACCTCAGAAAGACCTAGTAGGACAAGCACAAGTTCCAGGCCTCCCTCCACAAACCCCAAAACTCGTAAACCGATTACGAGTAAACCTACAAGAAACCCTGCCATACCCAAAAGAACGCATCCCCATTTTCCCACCCAACGTGATACAAATCGGAAGCATAGTGTCTGTCCAAGCAGTTTCGTGACTGCGATCAACATAACTTGGTAGGATGTTTGTTGGGGGCTTTGATTTGGGCCTGGGAAGGGTGAGGAGAGGTAGAGAGGGAGGGCGGTCATATAGAGTGAGGTTGTGAAGGCTGTTATGCAGTAGAGTGTTATGGGGAGTATGGGGGAAGGCGGGTCGACAGTGTCGAGAGTGTCATCAACAGAATCTTTTACTTCGTCGCCATCGTCCTCGTCCGGGAGGCTTTTGGATGAATCTTGATTATCCAAGACGCTGTATCCACCTTCCCCATCTTTCACACCCCACCAAAGCACCCCAACAGCACCACCCATCAACACCGCACCAACCCAACACGCCCTCTGGAACTCCCCATCTCCCACCAACAACCCCGCCAACACCGGCCCCAGAATCCCACTAACGCCATATACGCCTCCATACATTGAATAAGCCCATGCACGTCCATCATCGTCTCCCCAGAGAAGACCCAACGTTCCTTTGGTGACGGTTGAGTTGGCACCAAATGTGCCAGCCAGTAGGCGCGCCACAAATAGCAATTCTAGTCTCTGTCCTATCGACAACAATACTGCAGCCAAAAACCCAAACGAAGCACCTAAAAGTAATACTCTCCGTCTCCCGTATCGGTCGCTTATACCACCCCAAACAACATTGGTTACAAACAACGGACCGTAAAATGCCGAACTCAGTAGTCCGGCATAGTATCCTACCGAGCCTTCATCCACCCCGGTTGCGCGAACGAGGTAGGGGTACAGCGGTATGAGCATGGCTTCGAGAATACCTTCTGGGACAAGGGCTAGGAGGAGGAGCAGGGTTGTGCTTGTGGGTGATCTTGCGTGCCGGCGGGGGAGAAGGGAGGTTGTTGAGGTGCGGGGGGAAACGGGGGGTGTGAGAGGGAATGTATTTGGTGAGAGGTTTTCGGGGAGAAAGGATTGGGTTTCTCCTTCCTCTTCCGATGACTTTCCATCCTGTACTTGCATCTTTGGGAAATGCACACTATGGAATTTGCACACTTGGTCGCAACCAAGAACTCAGCCAGGAACCCGACCCGAGGTTTGGATATCACATGGCATTGGGGGCTTTGATTACGTTTGTGGCTTAGAGTTAGGGTTTGTGGCTTCATCCTGGATGCTTTGTCATTCTGTCTCTGTTTACCTCGCAATGCATTGCAAACATGTGTTATTGGCAGCCTGCATAGACATTTTGTGCAAGTCACCAACATTGAATAGTATCTATTCTGCAGATAACGTGCATCTTCACAATTCCTCAACGAGAACTACCATGCACGACACATTCACAGTAACGCGCTGTCTTCCTCACGGAACGCCCAATTTTACAAATGCAATAATGCAGCAGGAACATCATAGGTTTCAAGATGTTTTGTCCTGCCAGAGCAGTATTCCAAAGGGCGTCCCGTAACGGCATGACTGGGGTTCTTTCACGCATTCGTTCCACGAAAATTCGCTTCACAATCCAAGACTTGAATGTTTATCTTTTAGATGTCCTCCGCCAGCATCCGCGGACAGAGGACTCATCATGAGGACTCACCCTGAGGGGTAAACCGCACGACCCCCGGGTGATGACGGGTTGCGACACAATGCGCCAGCAGATCGCAAAAACTGCGCTTTGCGGTTGACCGTCCATCCCGTCACCTCCGGAGAGGCCCCCGAGGAGTGGTAATACAACCTCCCGTGGCGCGACCTCTGAAGAGGCTACGAAGGAGGGATACCATGACGAGGGGACAGTTTGCCGATCCAGCGTCTGCGTCACACTATGGATTACAGTCTATAGTTTTTTACGTACCTCAAGCTCCATGATATTCGTCCCGATCATCAGAGACGCACTGTAAGACTTACCTTATAAACAAGCACGACAAACAGGATAACCAACTTTTCGGGCCGCGGTGCGTATACAGCCGTCGGTCGTTTCCATCCTCCTCCTTCTCTGATTTTTAGAGGATCGTGAGGGGCCCATCTATGGGTGGGTTGCCGTGCGATCCCATCCGCGTCGCAGTGGGCTAACCGCTTCAGTTGTAGGCCGCTGTCTTCTTAAATTTCTTGCCGGTGATGCGACTCTTTGGATTCGCATGTCTAGAACCCTGCAAAGTCCGCGTAGAGAGTCATAGCTCATTCTTACCTGCGCGTTCTATTCTACAACTGCGTCTTCTGGTCATCGCTCCGAGGATTTGCGTTTCGCAGCACAAGACTATATTTAAGGGTTTATTGGGTTCCGATTGCATGTGTTCAATCGGTTCACCCTCTTGCATCCAAATGTAATGCACTAGCCATTTTCAAGCCCGCGCAGACGATTACCTGCGAGAAGTGCCGTGCGCTAACCTTTTCAGGCCCGCGCAGATGATTACCTGCAAGCAATCCTGGCACTACGCGTTTCCCTTTCGGCAATGGTACATACTGTTTCTTGCGCGGCCTTCCACATCATCGCGGCCGTCATTGACTGGTTCGCACTGCCTTCACTCGGGATCCGAACTTGAGCCTTTAGGTTTTTCTGATAAGCTAGCACGTACAGTAAGTGCACATTGGTGCAGAATATCACGTGACATCTCCTCCCTCATCCAGCCGACCGCATGCAGTCACGTGATATTCTGCACTAATGTGCACTTACCGACTCGAACCCCACTAAGATGGGGGCGACCGGGAAGGCCTACTCGCGATACCCTCCCAGTCGTCGCTGCTTGCTGCGTGTCACTGCGTTTTGCCGTCCAAGCACGTACCTAACCCTAACCAGCAAGGACCGTATCTTTCAAGCCCGTACTTTGTCAAACTCGAACTTCACCAGTACGGGAGCGAGCGGGAAGACCTACTCCGAGTAGACTCCAAGTCGTCGTTGCTTGCTACATGTCATTGCAATTGCCTCAAACACGTACCTAACCTGTCCGCAGAGACGATTCTTGAAGCGTGGTTCCGCCGAGTTCTCCCCATCCACAGAGGCGCTTCTCAATGCGTGGGCCGGCCGAGTTCCCTGTCCGCAGAGACGCTTCTCAATGCGCGGGCCGGCCGACCAGCGGTCTCGCAGAGACGATTCTTGCAGCATGGGTCCGTAGAGTTCCCCGTCCGCAGAGACGATCCTGTATGCACAATGATCCAGCGTCCCGCCGCAAGTGTCGGGGGGTTCTCACTTGCAGAGACGATTCGCAATGCGCTGAACTTACCAAGCGTGCCGAAATCATGCATGATTCGAACCACCTTGTCGAAACTCAAAATTCAATTGTACGACGGTGACCAGAAGGCATGGTCCCAAGTCTGGTGCACGCTCGCGGTAAGACAAGCATAGCTCCGCTCGAACAAGAGCTGTCACACCCCAGAATCCGGAATGAATATACCTCCGACGAGATACTTTGGGATATTCCTCCAATGCCTTCACTTGATTCGTCGCCAATTCCCAGACTTCCGCATCCAGCGAGAACTCGTCGACGGTCCACTACTTCCGAAGGGAGACATACGGAGAGCCCGCAATGCTATTCGCATGCCGATGAAAGAGAGGCTCCATCAGACATGGTTCTTCTTCCCAATGAACGTCCTCATAAAGGTCGAATACTACGAACCATTGACGCGGGTTAGAGGCTGAAGCGGTGAGAGATTCAAGAGTTTCCTCATATTGCTCTTACCAGATGTCGCACTTTGGGTATCCTATTAGAAATCATACCGCCACCGACACAGATTATATGTCGTGGTCGACATGCCCTCCGAATATCGATGTGGTGTGTCCATGACGTGCGTCCGAGAGGTTGATCAAGGGGCAAATCTTGCGTCCACGGTCACATGCAACCTGTTGAGTAGCCTCATCTCGATAATGGGCGATGCATGGCGGTGGATTAGAGTAACTCTAGCGAACGAGAGTCGCGGGATACGAAATAAGCGGACAATCTGCTTATGAAACCTTGACATATACACGAGAGGGAGAGGCCCAGCGTCGTCCGGGGACGGAGTCATAGTACGGATCAAGGAACACCTCAAGATGGATGGGTGTACGAGTGGCCGCCGACAGAAGGACGTCAGGTGAAGTGGGGAGGGCCTTCCTTCCGAATCAGTTAATGTTACCCGCCGACGTTCAAAGAGCGGACCAGTTAAATGCGGGTGAATATTCTGGCCCGATCGGTACATTTGTTCGCGATTGTCCGCTGCGCAAGTGACAAATATGACTAGCCGAGGTTCAATGGGCGGTCAATGAATGCCGGTTGCTGCTTGCTCGTTTCAACGACTGCTGGTCGGGCGTCTATTGAAGTGATGGATTGAGACGCTGACATGCCACGTTCGACAGAGTAGTGTGTCGAAAACTGCTTGGTATGCTCATGGAGTACGGCAACAAGAGCTGCCACGGTTACGAAGGATGGCATTCCCAGCACGGAGGGCAAGCTCAACGAAGGGAATCGTTTCTTGACGATTAGAATTTGTAGGGAATATTTGTTGATAGAATAACTGTGTTGGAGTGGGTTGTGAGGTTGGAGAGCGCCAGTAAGTGAAGAGGAATGGAGGGGGAACGTCAAGATGGGGCCTTTTTATAACCCTGAGCTGCTGCGCAATCTCGCGTTCTGCTGCGCGCGCGCCTATGAGCACGTAATAACGAGAGACGCGCTGATTGGCTGCAGAAGGATTGATTACGGAATTCGCCGCACAAATTGGGACCTCCTTTCGCCCTTATGACAGGCTGCTTCTTTTTTTTTATTGATGCATTTGACCATGGGGGACGAATCGATGTATTTCATAGTGTAGAGGTGACAGAAACTGGCACTAGCTACTACATCAGGGAATAAACCAGCGATAACTGGTTCGGAAAAGCCAATTCCCTCCTTACAACCAACCAACTACCACTAGGCCCAATTACACATACAATACATAATGGTTGTTCTAACCGGGTAACTAAGCCCACCACACGAGAGAAATCCTACTAAGCCCTTTGATTCCGAAATTCTTAGTCAGAGGATGTTCAGATACTAAGGTAAACCAGAATATTTAGACTGGATAATCCGGGTGGGAAAATACAAAGATAATGCATCCCTGCGATCATAGCAATATAGTAGTAGCAAGGGGTTATGTTGTTTTTGTCGGGAGGGCGAGGTCCTCGGCACCACCACATCTGCATCCTCCACACTATGATATCGCATTGGAACTGGCTAATGGGGGGGGGGGGGGGGGATATCGCTAACACTTTCACTATCTCACACACAGCACACACAAACATACACTACACACACGTAAAAGGTAGTAGACTCGATCGGGCAAGAATTGAATCCTAATCTGTGCCCACTAGTCCATGTTGCTTTGCCAACACTTGTTTACTGTACGATACGTAATGGATGTACTTGTACCAGTTACATGGAAGAACAGTGACAAGGCCTATTCATTTTCAATTGACCGCTTGTGGCTGCTCAAATGACCACGACGACTTTCAGTTATACTTTGTTGTAAGAATTGGCCATGGTTATGCTCTTGGTCGTCATCAATTTCTCCCGTGGGCCTTTTTCCTTTGTCTTTTGCTGTCTGTTTCCATTCTCATTGTTTGTTCATGGGACAGCATGGAGTTGCACTGCCAGCACACAAATGAGTTTGTCCAAATCACAACAAGCCGTCTGCGCACGCTTTCAACGCTTCATACTGAACAACACGTGCGACCATGTCGAGTCGCGCACGTTCAAGAAGGACTTTCAAAATTTATTTTTTAGTGATAGCAAATTGTGGTATAATTTCGCTAGGAAGGAAATCTGTCAGCTTTTTGATCTGCAGGAAATGCGTGTGTCGCTTTGATCTCGTTTACCGTAATACTTGTGCAAGATGTAGAGCACGTTTTGTTCGTTGAAAAATCTGGTCAGGATGGGGGGGTTTATAAATTCAGCCATTCTTCATCACGCTCCCCCCCGTCTGGGGCTTGCAGAAAAGACATTACACCTCATATATCACACACCGGGCATCACAGCAATTCTCATTCAATATGAAGTTGTCAAGCATCTTTGTGGCAGCTGCCTGCTTCCTTGCTTCTGCCTCTGCGGTTCCCATTCAAAGTAGAGGACAGGGTACCAGAGCTGGAAAATGGTTCGACAGAGTCATCACCATTGTAAGTTGGATCTGATGCTGTCAGAGACGTGGCATGGAACCCGGCACTCACCAAATGAAAACCCAGGTCATGGAAAACAAAAACTACAAGGATGTCATTGCCGATCCCTTCTTCTCCACCATCACATCCAAATACAATGCCCGCCTCCTGACCAACTACAATGCCCCATTCCACCCTTCCCAGCCCAACTACTTGGGCATGATCACTGGTGGACGTGACGCATGGACCGACCTCAATGTCGACGTCAACCGTAAAAACTTGGTTGACCTGTTGGAGGCTGGCGGCGTTTCGTGGAAGACGTACCAGGAGAACTACCCTGGCAACTGTTTTGCTGGTGATTCCCAGGATAAGCTTTACAGAGTGAGTAGAATGCACGATTTATGTGAGTCCAAGGAGATTGTATCTTGGAATCTAATCCATCTTCCAATTCGACAGAGGAAGCACAATCCATTCATCTCAATGAATAATATCCGCAACGACCCCAGCCGTTGTGCCAATATCGTCGACAGCTCCCAGCTTGAGGTGGACATAGCAGCGGGTACTGCTCCTCAATATATTTTCTACACTCCCAACATGGACAACGACGGTCACGACACACCTCTAAGCTTCTCATCCGACTGGGCCAAAGGTTTCTTCCAAAAGCTCTTCCAGAACACCAGCTTCTTGAGGAACACCTTGATTGTCTTCACATGGGATGAACAAGAGAGCTACCTTTCTCTGCAGAACAAGGTTGCTACCTACCTGATCGGTGATGTGGTCAACACTGCCAGTGCCGGAAAGACAGATGAAACCAACTATTCCCATTACTCGCTACTGAGAACTGTAAGCATGTTTTGTCGCCAAGCACTATCTGACATGCTGGATATTAACGCCTCACCCTCTTACAGATCGAAGACAACTGGAACCTTGGTAACCTTGGCCGTGAGGACACCAAGGCTGTAGTGTTCAAGGGGCTCAACAAACCCCAGATTTGATTGTAGAGATAGAGAGATAGAATCGAAAAAGTACCGCTTGTGCCATCTATGAAAACCTAGTTCTAATGCTCATTGTTGAATACATAATGCTATCAGAGTTACTGCAAATGGTTTGCATATTTCTGTATGTTGATATCGACACACTTGGACTCAATGCTCGATAATTGCCTGATCGTGCAAAGTATGGAGCAACGTTCTTAAACCCCAACTACCCAACATCACACTAGGAAATTTACCCTTCCATTTGTCAATCACGTGGATGAGAAATCTGACTCCAACCGGCTCTTCCAACCGATTTTTTATTGTTTTTTTGGAATTGGTGCAGAGTTGGATGCCCTCCTCCTTTCATATCTACCGGAGCTGGCTCAAATGGACGACTTTTTTCTCGCTGATCCCGATGCCAAACGGCCGTCACAGAACAAGCGCAAACGCGCACCACAAGCCTCCAAAGGTTCCGTTCGACGCTCAAAAAGAGAAGAGGACGAGGACTCTGAGGATGAGGTTGGAGCAGGAACCATCGACGACATGGATTTGGAGGGCGACCGGGGAACTGAGGAGGAGGATTCTGGTGAAGAAGACAGACGTGAGACGGCTGCACAGAAAAGGCTACGGCTGGCCAAGCGATATCTCGCAAAAGTGAGAGAAGAGGCCGCTGACGTTGGAGAAGTGGATGCTGCCCAGTTGGACCGTGACATTATTGCCAATCGACTACGAGATGAAGCACTCGAATCAATCGGGAAGCTTTTTCATGCTATAGCAGACAAGTATGCCAACATCGATCTGGCCGATCCAAGTCGTGTGCGCACTTTCAAATCTGGAAAAAACCACCAACTCTCCATTACCTCAGTTGCCATTGCAATACCCTCCATCCACCGCCCAAATACACCACACCAATCAGCATCACACCGTAAACCAATATACATCTATTCGGCATCAAAGGACGCATCAATAGTTAAATGGGACTTCTGGACTGGCAAAAGGCTACATTTCATACCTGGCGGACTCAAGCCAACAAAAAAGCTGATTGCAGCGTACGGTACGAAAATGCCGGCACTACATGTTGGACATAAAGATCATATTTTGTCGATAGCCGCCAGTAGCGATGGGCAGTTTCTGGTATGTATGGTTATACACAGCTAGAACAGTCGACGAAGAGTGGAGTGAACGCTCAGTGTTTTTCTGTGCACGGGCTGTTCCTCCACGCCACTAAACCATTGGTGGACGGAAACCTCTTCAAAAGAGACTCCGCGCTTTGAGTCTGGATGTTCATCTCTCATTGAACATTCAGAATTGTGCTGCGAAACATGACAGGCGATCTGTCGGATATGGGAAGACTTTTGTCTAACCGAACCCTTTTCAATTTTGATAGGCAACTGCTGGACGAGACAAAGCCATTCACATTTGGTCAGTCGGCGAAGATAAGCACCTGGGATCATTTACACAACACCGTGATGCTGTATCAAGCGTCACGTTCAGGAAAGGTCATAATCAGCTGTACTCTGCGTCCTTCGATCGGACGATCAAGCTCTGGAACGTGGACGAAATGGCATACGTCGAAACGCTGTACGGTCACCAGGACCAAATCACATGTATAGACACACTTGCAAGAGAGCGATGTATAACATGCGGAGCGCGAGACCGGACAGTGCGGTTATGGAAGATTATTGAAGAATCTCAATTGATATTCCGAGGAGGTGGCAGCGGCACGGTACATGCAGCGGGGGAGGACTTGGTTGTAATGGATGGGGTTCGCAAAGTGCCCAAAGTAGAGAAACAAGCCAATGCGGCTGGCGGATCGCTCGATGCGGTCGCTCTGATAGATGAAGAGCTTTTCATTAGTGGAAGCGATACAGGCGCAATCTCACTTTGGACCCTTAATCGAAAAAAGCCACTCTTCACCAAGCTGCGCGCACATGGCCCCGGTAGCAGAGTGAAAAGCGCAAATCCCGAAGGCGACAATGGCGAGGAAGATAAAGTGGAAGATGTGGACAGCTCCGATGGAAAATGTTGGATTACTGCTTTGGCTACGGTGCGCTATTCAGATCTTTTCGCTTCGGGTGCAGGTGATGGATATATTCGGTTATGGAAGCTGTCAAAGGACAAGCGGCGTTTTGCGCTTTTAGGAAGCATACCAATGGTGAGTCCCATACTTTTAAGCCAAACATGAACGTGTTCAGTTTTGCCAATATCTTTCTCTACCAGCCCGGATTTGTAAACTCGCTAGTCTTTTTTGAAGCGCCGCCAATGCCTACATCACTGGACAAGGACGCTGACACAATTGCCACAACAAACTCGAATCCATCGACTGCTGCATCCCGGCTTGCAAGGGCTCGCGCGGCAATAGCCAAGGGCGAACTTACAAACAAGCCATTGCAGAAAGACGTACTATATCTGGCTGTGGGACTGGGCCAAGAACATCGGCTGGGCCGTTGGTGGCGGGATAAACGGGCAAAAAACTCTGTAAAGATCATATCACTTGCACCAGAACATAATTAAAGGTCTCAATCTAACGGTATATAAACCTGGGAATACGTTCTATGTACATTCTTTGATAAAGAGCGTAGGGCTCATCTTTCATTGGCCATTGTTGCCATGTAATTACAGCCCTTGTAACTACATCCGTGTTACTCTAGACTAGTCGCAATCCGCGGTTTGTCTAAACGCTCTGCAAGAGCGTATTGATAGCATCCACCCAACGCTGAGCATCACCTTTCAAAGCCTGCATTACCATGAAAGCGTTGAGTAAATGCACCTGTTGTATAGTCTACGCTTAAGCTTACCTCCAGGTAGTACGTTCGTTTCGGTGTATGGACGAAGAAATGTCGCGTCCCTTTCAGCTCCACTTTGAGCTTCTCTGACCATGGAATCTCACTCTTTGCAATGAGCTTGCCTTCATCAAAAAATTGAAGTCGCGGTAAGTCTGTCAACACCAAGCCGCGCTTTTTGGAGAACAATCCTTTTCTCTATTTTTCCAAAAAATGACTCTAGTGTTAACGGCAAAGTTGTGTCGCAGCGACAGATACTAGTATAACTTTACCTTGTAAACGGTACCATTCATAATGATGAGTTCGGTGTGGGATATTATCCGTCTGATGGGCGACGAAGCTTGCTCCTCTAGTTTCTTTGACCGGTCCGGATTACCGGCAATCTCTGCTTCGGGAACAACCGGCATTTCTTCGAATGGGTCTCGAATTGCAGCGTCAATATCTCCATGGAACTGCCCTGTTCCAGTTGCCAGCCCCTCCATATCGCTTGTTAAATCCTCCATATTGTGATGGGATGTAGCTGGTAAGAACGGTCTGAGATTTGGGGCGGGTTTTTCGTGAAGATTCTCCCAGTCAAAGCCATCGAAAAATGGATGCTTTTGGATCTCCTCCAATGTCGGTCGTTTACATGGATCGAGAACAAGGATCCGACTGACCAGATCCCGTGCAGAATCTGGAAACCCGTCAGGAAAGGAGTACTCGAGCTTTATTATCTTTTGGAATGTCTGATACTCGTTGGCTCCTTTGAATGGTGGTTTCCCGGCCAAGAGGTGGTATAAAATGCATCCTATCGCCCATATGTCAGAGGCCTTGGAAGCGGCGCGGTCATTCAGTAGCTCTGGAGAACAGTACTCTGCCGTCCCCACGAAAGAGTTTCGGGCAGAGGTCTCATCTCGTGCCTGCTCGGCATCGTCGGTTTTCGTATCATTCAAGGGCTTCGCGGTCCCAAAATCTGTAATCTACAAGGTTACGATATGAGTCCGAGAGAGTTCATTAGGTCAGAGAAAATTGGCTGTAGAAAGTTACCTTGACGTGCATCTTTTCGTCCAGTAATATATTCTTTCAGAAATCATATTAGGTCGATTGCGAGTCCTTGCGAACAGATGATTCCATACACGACTTACCTCCGGCTTCAAGTCCCGATGAATGACGTCCATGTTGTGCAGATACATTACACCCGTTATGATCTCCGCAATGTAAAACCTTGCCCCTTCCACCTCAAAAGAGCCCAGTTTTCTTATGTATCCCAGCAGATCGCCATCTTTGGCCAGCTCTAGCACAAAGTAGAGGGAATGCATGTCTTGAAATGTGTAGAACAGCTTGATAATGAAGGGATGGGACAGGCGGTTGAGAACATCTTTTTCAATGTTGACATACTTCACTTTCTTTTCTTTTATGATATGCCGCTTATCCAAGACCTTCACAGCGAATTCGCGGCGGGTACCGCTTTCTTTAGCGTACAGAACGGTGGAATACGATCCTTCTCCTAGCACACGGCCAAAAACAAAGTCCTCAGGTGTCCGTTTCCTGGCAGGGTTGGATGTTGACCGCGCATGTGGTAGAGGGGAGGAGCTGCCTGCGTTGTCGCGCCTTGATGCAGGGGAACCTTCATTTCCTGATGTTGAGGAACGGTGGGTAATGTCCGTATCACTTTGACCAAGGTGCAACTGTGGAGCCTCGCGGTCTGAAACAGCTGCCATGCGTCGATCTCTGAAAATGGAGAAGCTCCAGGTGCAACTATCTGCTAACGCGTTACAGGTCGTGCTTTTGACCATTATACGCGCCCCATTGATGGCAGTGAAATGCAATTATACTCGTACGATACTCTTTATACTTGTGCTCATGATACTTTTTGAGAGGTAATTTTCATGCATTATTCAATATGTTTTAGATATCCTGCTGTAATAAATGGCTCTACATCTGTTCTTCGTAAATAATGCTGGCTATTCTTCACCAAGCGAACGGCTCCGTTTTCCGTCATGACTTCACCACAATCTTTCAAAACCCTCACTTCTACAAACAAATCTCGTGGTGGAACTAACGCCGCTCCAAGGTCCACTTCCAAAAACTGCCCTCGGTATTCGCTCACCAATCCCGTATACCCTGTTATAAAGTCAGCCTCACTTGAACTGAGATTACGTCGCAGATCTGCCGGCAGAGCTGCATTACTACTCCCGCTCCCTCCACCCAGCTCCCACAGCGTGTCCAAAATGCGGTCTACTCGATGCCGAGTATACGCAAGAAGGCAGCGTTTTGAACGTCGCAGGGCCAGGTGATGCATGGTGGCTGCCGCAGTGAGGCCTGTCACTTGTTCTGGCAACGCCTTTTCGCGTTGAGCAAGGATATCTCTTAAGGAGGCTTCAAGATGTCGCATTTCGAGGAGGACATTGCGGACGAGGTCGTCTCGGTATGGGGAAAGGGAAGGTGTTTCGGCTGTGCGTTTGGCGTCCTTAACAAGTTTTAGAGCGTCGTCGCTGTATATAGACATTTAAGAGAGGGGTGGCAAGTAAGGTTATAGCACGTTGTTGTTGGACGACGACAAGAATTCAGAATGCAGCTGTAGATCGTTTACTGTTCCCAGCTGTGAATGACCAAGTCAGCTGACTGATGACTGTGCCAGCAAACCTGTCTTGCTTGCCTTGCTGGACTGAGTTGTTTCGGCAGATCGCTGGACGTGATTCAAGAAATTACAATCTTTTTCTTCCATCAGCGTATTCCCCTTTTATTGCTTTCATTTCCTGTTTATTCGTCTTTTCTCGATGCTACCGCTCTTCATTGAGTCCGAGTAGCCTCGAACGGAATCCTATATTCTTTCGGTTTTTTTGTTAAGACTTGTCGACATTTGGACAACACCAACATATTTATCTCCCAGAATTTCAGTCCGAAAAAACTTCGGTTATTCGGCTACATCCGACGCCAGATGGAGACTTCAGACCCGCGAGCACTGACTGAAAAAACGCCCACATTGCTGCACTGGCAAGCGAAGTTTCAACAACGGCCCTGCGTGAGAACCAGTGTTGCGTATATTCATCCTTTGAAAAAGGATCAGGAACGTTTATCAAAGTGTAGCTTTGAATCGGTACGTTCTCGATAGTCTCAACCGAGCGCATAGATCTCACTTTGACCGTAACCCCACAGCTGTCCTGAGGCTCGATAGTTTCGAGCGGGGTAGAGCATAATCGGACAACATCCGTTTCGTTGTAAACGCGCAATTTGGAAAGAGTCTACGCATAGGGTGTCGCATATAGCACCGAGTCATCTATCATGAATTACACGCGATCGGGCGGCCGTGGCCGTGGGCGACATCCGAATATCCCGGCCTCAGGTATGCTCATTTCATCTGGCGTATGGGAATGATATGAATTCTTGGATATGATACAGGAATAAGTGCTTCAAGCCGCTCCAGGATGCTACTGTCCAATATTCTGCGAAATGATGGAGACCATTCCTATGCAAATCGTATTACAACAGCTGAGCAGCTGTCGTCTCTTTTGGCGTCAACACAGATGCATTCAAGTGCCATCGATCAAAGGACGCTGTTAGATTTGATATATCTAGCGCAACAGGAATTTGAACAGGTTTTACAGGAGCAACGGTATGCTTTCTCGATTTATGCCGAGATATCCGTTGATATTAAACGGGTTTGCACGTAGAGCCCCGGCGGTGTTCAGGCAAGCGTTTTGCCGTGCTGTTGCCACCCTTGGTCGCACCCTCCGTGGAGACATGCCTGTGTTCTTGCATTGGATTTTTGGGCGATTATTATCGCCAAGCACGACGGAAACTACCAAAGACATGGACATGGACACAAAAAGCTGGCTGTTGTTTACCTTGCGCGAGGTACGAGGAAGGGACACAGCGCTTTACGAACAGGGTCAATGAAGCTAATTTGTCATTCGCAGTTTCTTGATCTACCAGCGAACGGTCCTTTACAGTCAACTGCGTGGGTTGATGAACACATGGGATATATTTCGACAGAGTTACAAACGTTCCTGGATGCTATGGAGTCTCCGATTTATCTGCCAAAGACGCTTGACGTGATTCAAATAATAGCTGAAAAGCACCCGGAAAGGTTTACCAATTCATTCAAGGTAAGGAGACCTTTTTCTGTTGACAGTACAAAGACTAAATAGTTGTCGCAACCAGGATGTTGTCGATCTCCTTGTAGGATGGAGCATAGACCCCAACATCCCAAAGAACAATGTTTCGCTGATAGCAGGTGCAGCGCGCGTTTATAAAATGCCAACACACAAGCAGCGGTTTACTTATTACGAATATTCGTTCAGATACTTTCAAAAAGCTATGGCCGTTCTGGCTGCAGCATATTGATTTCAGCCTGGAGCTCGCACGACATTTGATATCCGACATAGAAGGATTGGTGCAAGTGCAATGTAACCCCAGAGCCACCCAAGTTCCACATCCTGATGTCGACACAGTAAAAGATCGATCCCATCGTCTACCTCAGAGCGCGATTACACTTATGAGGTACATAAATATGATAATCAACCGTAAATATGCCTACTCTTACGCTTTGGACGGGCATCGTGCAGATGTTTTCACGCAGTGCTGTATGTGATCACCTTTGCAGGATTTCCTAGCTTAAACGCAGAATGCCAGGCCCCGTTACCATTCCAGTCGAATCCATATGAAAGCTACTTGTTACTAGTGCAATGGTGCCTAGATCTCATAGTTGCTGTCGGGCGGAAATATGAAGATCGCGGATGGTTATCACAAGGTTTCTACACTTTAGTCTGAGGATCTCGGCCGCTAGTATTTATGCATTGTTTGGCCGACTTTAGGTTACGGTTTCATTAAATTCCTGAGTCGAGCGCTTGGCAAACACTTTATGCCCTATCAGCAGACTGCTGTAGAGTGCTTAATACTCGATTGCAGACTATTGGTTGATGAGAACAATGCGTGGGATAGTCCTCTTGTCAAACGAGCTGTCGACGACTGGATAGAGTCGGTAGATGAGGTACTTTGTATGAGACCTTCCGAATTTTTGCATATACATTTATTTACCCTGCGGTCGCGTTTCAGATTCTGGCTCTGTGGGAACCGCACATTTCAAGCAAGATAGTGCCAGCTTTCATGGTGCCGTCCATTTCGCCCTTGCTGAAAGATCTGCGCAAAGCATGTCACCGGGATCCATCATTTTTGCGGAAACTCCGCAATTGGAGCACCAGGATATTGCAGGCCCTTGAAGCCGAATCGCAGGATGCCTCCCAGACCAATGATGACAAAGCCGGGAGTTTGGACGAAGTTGTTCTTGAAATGCACGACATTTTTCGGAGGTTGATATCTCTGAATGCGAAAGATCATGATGATGCTCAAGCGGAGAAAATGGATGTATCTAATGGGACGTTCATTCATGAATCTCTCAGTCATGTTCTTTTGGGATTAGAAAAGCACCGGGCGACCAGCACATCTTACTGTGAATATGTGGGACCCTTGCTCAAGGAAGACGTGGATATGCTTATCGATCTACTACTTTGGGATTGTCGATTCCTTGCTGATGCAGTGCAATACACAGCTGGGGGGCTTGATGGCGCCGGTCTTTTAGTATTACTGTCTTCGATGATAGAAAATGTGGGTAGGGTTGCTGTCATCAATAACAGAATCGGATTGGGTACCAAGATTAGAGGGACTCTGCTACTTTCTGGTTATGTGGTTGCCCGCAGGTATGTAGATGTGCAGTTCAGGTGTTTCGGAGGAATACAACTGAATCTTGTCGCCTGTCAGTCAATCTTTCTTCTCCATTGAAAGCAAAGACCACAATGTTGATGAAAAGAAGAATTCCCAGGAGCGTTCTCTGAGTTACTTCCAAATGCAGCTAAAGTGCATTTTGACGGTCGCTCAATTCCCTGATATTGACCATGATGAGAAGCTGATTACCATTTGCTGGTTCTACGAACTTATGGACAGCATATTGCACGGTACCAAATGTCTGGCTGCAAGTCACTTGCTGATCGAGGAGTGCGCGGGACTTGTGCAAGCTTGCGTGGAGGCGTTCCGATATCTGCTTGGTAGCGTACGATCCTATGACGATGGTTAATTCCTGATACACCAACACCAACTCATTTTGATGTTCTGTTTCCTCTGCCAGATGTGGAAGCCGACGGTGAAATCCGCGGAGAGTTTGCTCTGGTGTGGAAGTCTTGTATCCGATGGACTGATGTATTACGACATTTTGGCTTGCGTAGCGCAATTGACAGGATTGTGGGGATTATATTCAATGCTGCGATAGCAAGGTACGGCATGGTCGTGCTCTGCAATACACCGTGGAATTGAAGTTACTAAGAGGTGCAATACAGGGTGCATGATATTGATAAAGCGGTAGCAGAAAGACATTTTGTCGTCCTTGCCTCCATGCGTCCTATAAGTACATTGATGGCAAGCAGCAAGCGGCGTGATTCACATCATGATCCATTTTTACTCACGAAGGTATAATTACAATGTTCCTTGTTTCTTGCAATTGCTAAATGTGATCTCTTTTAAGATGGAACTAATGTCGAAGCCTCCATCGGGTACTTTCCGATCAAAACATTTCCAATTGGTTGTCGCGCAATTAGGCATGGAAGCATATTTCCTGCAATCAGATGAGCCAGGTGCCCCACCAGCTCAGGAACTTGATCATACAGACTGGCTGGAACGATTATTTCATGTCTGCCAATGTGCGACAGGCATGGAGCGATCTGCTGCTCCGACATCTGGTATACATGAGTGTTCAATGGTTTCATCGCTTGAACCGCTTTTGAGGGACGGTTTCTTCCTATTAAGGTTCTCCTGATGTCGTCCGAATTGATACATGGGAAGATCCTCTCCTTTTTTGGGCGCTGTGGGAAAGTGCCCGTTACTGTGTGTTGTCGAGGTTGCGAACACCGCTTGGGTCTCCGGTGCAGGTTAGTGCCGCATCAGTTCCCTCCTTCCTTATTTTGTGCAGCTTTATTGAAATCCCTTGAAGACGTTCGCGAGTATCGAAAGAGTATTGAAAGATTCAGTTGCAAATTTCGGTCGCCAGGCAGTACGCCCTGGAGATACCAATGAGCACTTACCAGCAACGTACGTGTGCAAACGTTTAGCGTCTTCGTGTCTCGTGAACTCAGCGGTTTCCAGCTTGATTAAGGACGCTCAACGGCTCCGACATCTACTCATGCTTATTGATTTACTGGAGATTCAAATTCGCAATGCTGCAGAAGGGGCTTACCACGCCTCTCCTGCTTCAACGTTATTTTTTCATACAAACAAGCGCACATGCGACGAGTGGTTCATGAGGATTCGGAAACATTTAGTTGCTGGCGGAAAGCTTACAGGGTCGGCCGCGTTCACCATAAAACATGGCATGGAGGTGCGCAGAGCAAAGATATCCAGATGTCGTACGCTGAGGGGCTTATTCGTATGCGATTTTTTCTGGGGCAGTATCTTGCGGAGCGGTCGGCAAGCATTTTGCGACATGACAAAAACGATAAAGCTACCTTCGCCGCGGATATTGAGAGCGTCACTGTTGATATTTGTAAGATTGCAACGCTTCGTTATGTGCGCTGCAATTAAACTCAAGTGAAGAGTTTCTGGTGCTCAGGCGATGCGTTGGTCACTTACAAAGATGCCGATACTGTGTATGGGATTGCTGCATGGTTAGAGAAGGTGATACCCCAACGTTCGGATGAGTTATCACCAAGTGACGGGCAGCCATGTAAGTTTAAGACAGTATCGGTCAAGGAAGTGTATCGTCACCGACAGTCTTCGTATACACCATTGCAGCTGTAAGGTTACTCAAAAAGTCCGACGTTCACAACAATGCGGGCGGTAGTTCCCCATTCTCTTTTACGTGGGCTCGAAGTGCTGCAGATATTGCTGAAGTGAGTGATAGCATGAGGCTTTTGGAAATTCATACGTAGCTGGAGCAAGGAAATTACCCTTCAGGGTCGTTACGAAACTGCTCTTCCGGAACTCCGTAACAAGTTCCAGGCTTCTATCAAGGGGGGCAAGATATCTTTCACAAAGTCTTTCAGCAGCCTGGTTCAAAATGTAGGTCCTGAAACCTGCGAAATGGCCTTTCTGACACCTATTTACGCTCCGTTTTTATAGATTACGCGCTGCTACCTACAATTACGTGACTGGGACGGTTTAGCTGAATGGAATGGCATGCTGAAAACAGTGAAACAAGATGCACTCCATAACAATGATACATCGCCGTTCGATCTTGACCATCATCGAACAATCTTGTCCGCGTGGTCCGAACTCACAGACCCCTATCAAGATCTCAATTCTGATCGAGGATTGACTCTGGAGAATTCATTTGATATTGCCGGAATCCAACATGTAGGCCTTCCTGGTGCATATATGGCCAGAGCGGAAGGGCAGCTATGGAAGGCTCTCACCCTGATGAGAGCAGAGGATCTGCCTAGTGCCCAGGAGTATTTGGCTTCTGCCCTTGAGTTATTGAAACAGATTATAAAGTACCATCCGGAGACCTCGCCACACGATTTGACGTATTCACTTGTGCAAGTCCAACTCGCCAAATGGATTGAAAATATAAATCTGCCTGCCAAATCTGACTTAGCGGGGTTATTATCGGAATGCGACAATGACCGAGCGCTAGCTTCTCTGAGATGCGCGGATTTGTCGACTTTGAATCTTTTGCACAACATTGTTACTGCTGTGCTGCAGACCAAATTGTCCGTCCTAGAAGGGGCACAGTTCGAGACAGCAAACGAAAACTTGCGCTTTTCTGTTGGCAGGTTAGCGCGAAAGAGTAAGAATTATGCTCTTGCTCGCAGAACGTCGAAGTCAGCGGACCACCTGGGCTTTTTTTCCCTTCAGGATCTTAAGAGTCGCTACGATTTTGCCAAATTGTTATATGCTGATGGAAAGGCGGTCGATGCGTTGCATGCGGTGTTGTCCACTTTGGACAAGCTCGGCAGGCCCCGTGTGGATCAATTGCGGAATAACGGCCGTGCCGAGTCTGAGGAAGGCAGCTGTGCAGTGATGTACTCAAAGCACTTGCTGCTATTATCAAAGTGGATCCAAGCATTCCAACTGAATACTTCAGAATGGCGCGCTGTCGAAGACGCCATCCGAAGCGCTGAAATTGCCAATGACGTTCGGGCTGCTGCTTCGGAAGAGAAATCACAGACGGCTTTCGTTGGCAGTATAGCCGAGCGCTGCCTTGTTACAGCGACGGCGCACACCCCGATGTATCCTAAAGCATGGTTGAACTACGGACATTTCTGCTATCATCAAGGCAGGAAAGCTCTTGAGGACATGACAGGAAAGCCATTCAAAGTACTGGAGTCATTCCCGCTCGAAATGAAATATATGTTTGAAGAACTAGCAAGGGCTTCTACGCCTCGCGAAGAGAATGTCAAGGTAACACTGATACTTCCTGTCTCCTCTTTGTCGATGTGGATTTAACCAAGTTCTCCATTGTGTAGGTTATTTTAGAAATTATTTCGCAGGAGCTCGTTAACAGCACAAAACAGAAACCTCGCGACGACCATCCGCCTTTGGAGGGAGTTCTACGTGCAACCTTCCCAGAGCTCGAGGTTGAGGCAATTGAAAAGATCGGATCCGCTATACGGGCTTTAAAGCATAGAGTGCTGGACCGCTTCTACTCGGCAGCATCGGCTTATTTCAAATTCTTGGACGTTGCGAATGCGGCTCACGTTGCCTCGGTAAGTCTTGGGATATGAACTAGTCACAGGTCTATCTAATTCTTGTGCTAACTATTCGCGTGCTCAGGACGCTGACAATACCACTGCCACTCTTCGCATTCTGCGATTATTTTTGAATATTGGGGCGTACTTCAAGGAGGACTTCACGCGCATGTTCGAAGCCACCCCTTTGGTACCCTGGGAAAGTGTTCTCCCGCAGCTTTATGCGCGCACCGACCATCCAGAGGCTTTTGTGCGAGATACCATTGCGGACTTGCTTTGTAAGATAGGAAAAACGTCCCCTCACCTGGTCGTTTATCATGCCGTCGTGGAGTCGTCAACGGAACAAGCCACATCGGCGGAGATTCATATGCCATGGTCCAAGCGTGTACTCCAAGTATTGAAACAAGGCGGCTCGGAAGGATTAGTAACAGAGGTCCAGCGCATGGTGAACGAACTCAAGAGGATGACTGTGCTATGGGAAGAAATGTGGCTCCACAAGTTGCGGCACCTGCATGTTGACGCAATAAAGCGACTGCAGCAGATCGAAAGAGAGGCAAATAGGGTTGGCGCAAGTGTGTCGCTGCCTGAAACGGAGAAGAACACCATCATTTTCGAGTACTATCAGACTATAACGAGACCATTAGTCACCGCTCTGGAAACCCTTCTGCGTACAACAACTTGCTCACCCTCCAGCACACCGCACGAATTCTGGTTTCAAGATACGTACGGGAAACGAATCAAAGATGCCCTATTGGCTCTACAAAGCCCGAAAGATCCGACAATGCCTAGAGCTGCTTGGACGGCTTTCGAAGAGGTACAGTTATCGTCCGGCTGCATTGGTAGCCATTTGACTGACCGTAATTTTACAGATTCACGCTGATCTTTCTCGAGAATTGCAACGCAACCGGCAGCTCAAGCTATCGAACGTCAGCCCAGTCTTGGCAAGGTCCCGTGATTCGATTATCCCTATGCCAGGCATGCCTGTGCACGACCGTTTAGTCACTATACGGAGGTTTAATCATGATCTTCACGTTCTACCAACAAAGACAAAACCAAAAAAGCTGGAATTGATGGGTTCCGACGGTGTGCGATACACTTACCTCTTCAAAGGCTTGGAAGACCTCCATTTAGACGAGCGAATCCAGCAACTTTTGCGAACAGTCAACCAATTTCTCACGCGAGACAAATCTTCCGCACATCGTGGGTTGCATGCTCGGACATATCCCGTCATTCCCTTCGGACAACGGTTTGGCATGATTAAATGGGTCGATGATGTCATCCCACTGTTTAGTTTGTATAAGCGTTGGCAGCACCGCGAGTACACGGCGAAAATGCTGCAAAGAAAAGAGGGGGATCCACCACCCCCAAAACCTCACGAACAATATTATGCGAAGATAAGAGCCGGCCTGCAGCGTCACGGGTTGTCAAAAAAGGCGGCACGCCGAAACTGGCCATTAGATGTTATGCGCGAAGCATTTCAAGAATTGAAGAAGGAGACGCCCACCAATTTACTAGCCAGGGAACTCTCCGGATCATCTGCCACCCCTGCGGATTGGTGGCGAAAAACCAAGTCTTTTGTGCGATCAGTTGCCGTTATGTCTGTTATCGGCTACGTTATTGGCCTCGGAGATCGTCATCTTGATAACATACTACTAGATCCCGTCACTGGGGAAGTCATTCACATTGATTACAATGTTTGCTTTGAAAATGGACGCAAATTACGGGTGCCTGAGACGGTACCGTTCAGGTTAACTCAGAATATCTTAGGAGCATTTGGTGTCACGGGGGTGGATGGAGTATTCAAGATTGCTTGCGAAAACACAATGCGCGTCATGCGTGAGAACCATAAAACGCTATTAACGTTACTTGAAGCCTTTGTGTATGATCCGTTGGTGGACTGGACGAAGGATCAAGCTGGCGTCTTAAGTAAGCAAACACTTGAGGTGAACGTAAACATCGGTCTTCTCTGTTCTCGGATTGGTAAGTGCAGCCATTGGTGGGAGGGCGCTATGTTTATGTTGCTCATACGTCAGGTCCCGTGTAGCGGAGAAAAGAGAACCAGTCGGCAAATATGTGCATGCGCTTCTCTCCACTTGTGGTAGTAATGTTGACGACCAGGCGTCTAAAGGGATCCAAGAATCCATTGCCATGCTGGCCATCACAGACGGTCGCAGCGGGCAAGCGAAAAAAATGACACATGTCAGCGATCAAGACAAAGAGGCTTCCTTACGCGATGCGTTGCAAAAGCGCTATGTCGACTGCGAGACCTGGATCGCCCGACACTCCGCGGCCTTGCTCACATTGAAGGTGAGGCTTCGTAAATCAACATAGGAAGAGGTTCTGTGCAATTCTCAATCAAATCCAATTATTTCAGGGACCTTACCTGCAGAGATGTGCTGCGGATGTTCTGAATGTCGACCCTGTCAATGTTTTTCCTCCATTTGCCCCTACAACCTACGCATTGGGCGCGAATGAAGGCCATATAATGCGCTGCGTGGAAGTTGACCAGGAGATATTCCGCGTAACTACTGAACGGGCTGCCTGTTATCAAGTCATTGTGAAGCATTTGCAGATGTATCAAGTCCTTGCCGCTCCTGTAGCGGACCTACTCTTGAACCAGGATTACTTCCTGAAGTGGAAGGGCATTCTTCAGACACTGATCTCCTCGGAGCTTGATCAAACCGCGATTCAGAGAGTTCTTTCTTCGAATTCGGATGTGACTCGTACTGAACAGACTAGAAAAGCCGCGCTTGAAGCCATCATGAAAACAACATGTCTAGCAAAGGAGGAAGAATATATGAAATGCAGCGCTGCAGTTACTGCAGTATCTCCTGAACCAGAAGCGGCAGGTCAAGAACTCGGCATCTTCTCAAATATACACGCGTCAAAAAAGCCCGTCGTTTTAATTCAGTGCGCAATGCTGGATACTCTGGCGCATTTCGGCCATCTACTCTACGTGCTTATTAAGGATCCATTGAAACGCGAATCAATATTTGCAAACGATAACTTTGGAATCCAGCGAATATCGCAAAGATCGGTCCACGTGTTTGGCGGGTACCCGTTTGAGCCAGATAATCTTCATGAGGTGCATTCCATAGCGTCTTCGGCAGTTGTCGCCATCGAGGGATTGAATGGTAAGTTGCCACTATTGAGCGCTTCGATTAATGGCATAAATTTAATCAATCACCACTAGAATCTGCCCACAAATCTGGCGACACTACGGATTCTGATTCTCTTCAAGTTCTTCAGAATTACGTCGATCTGTTAGAATGCGTCAGAGCCATTCAATGGCACGTCGCCGACGTTCTTGTTCCTGAAGTCATCCTTATCTTAGCCCAAAAGGAAGACTCTTCCCTGCAAAGCCTCCTGACTGATCTGGAAAGACTATGTTCAGGTGTCGACAATACACTCGACCAGAGCTCGGAAGCATTCCAAACCGTCGCGGCGAAATTGGTAAGTATTCGAGCTTCGGCAGAACCCATTCGCTATCTAACGCAAGTGTAAGGGTGCGGAGTTTCCGGCTCTGTGCGCGGAATATGGTTCGCAACCTTCCACCGGTGCCCAGGCGATCCTGTCATCTTTCAATCATTTTTTCACCCCGATAGTAAACGGAATGCGCCATCTTCCTGGTCAGAAGGGTACCAATGAAGCGCAGATTATTCACAACGCCCTCATGGTGCAACAGATACTGGTACGGGTCGTCTCTCGTTATCTGACAGCTGCGACTTTCGCAACTCACTGCCGAATAGTCCATTTTGCACATATTGCAGGCCTCCCAGCGTTACTACCAACAGGCTGAAATGGATACTGACGATCCGTCCAATGAATGGATTGCCAATTATGATTTTTGCGACATTATGCGGGAGAGCGAGCATTTTGCAACAGCGACTGCGACATTGAAGCGGTATCTCGACATCTGCATCAGAGAAATATGCATGAAGCCTATGGCAAAGCTGTTTAATAAAAGCATAAAGCGCGTTGGTGGGACTCTGGGAAGTGAGCGTGCAAACGACCAAGAGAAATCCGGCCGTGCACTGATCGGAATACCGTTTGTTGACCAAGCACATGCTCTGATCAATGCTCATGTTCCCTTCGATGGAGAGCTTCGTCAGCAATTGATGGCTCTCCAAGATCTCCTTTCCCGTGATGTTGAGCGACGTGTCCAAATGGACATCAGCCAAAAAGTAACTGACAGCGGCAATCACTCCATTGTGTTGCATTATATAACCTTGTAATCCTAACTTCATAGGGGATCGGCCATCTTCGACGATTTGAGGCCCGACTACAGCAGCGTAAGCTGGCGTTAACTCGGTACCAGCTAGTGCACGAATCAGCCTTGACGTACCCTATACGACATGGTGCGACTGAGGCACCCTTACCGATGGAGACTCCTCGCCTACAGGTACTATGCTATGATCACAGTCACTCCTTACTATTGGTATTAACGGCTAGATATCGTAGTTCATTGAAAGTTTAAAACGCGATATGCCCCTTCTATTACAGCTCTGTAGTGATTTGCGCTCACTTGCGGGAGCCTGCCAGATTTTGGAGTCTGAGCTCGCGCCACTTCTCGCTTGGTCCTCGGCAGATTCTTCCAAAGAGCATGCAATTAGCGCGTTCGGAGACGCCTGCCGTACGCGCCATGCTCAAATCATGATGGAGACTCAGCGGGTGAGTGGGGTGACCCAAAGGATTCTGTGATAGTCGTCTTAATATTTGCTATAACTAGATTCAAGACATTATCGAACTCTGCGATACCCTTGTTCACTTTGAAACATTTCGCGGTCCTGGTGGAAGGATGCAGTCGATGGAAAAAGATACGTTAGAACTGGTGGAAGCACTCAAACAAGTGGTGAACAAGCCTAATTACACTGGGGTCTTGAAACCGAATTCGGGTGTGAGTGAAGATGAGCAAGTTTCTATACAGGTACTTGATTCGACGGTAAATCTCACGCCAGGAAATTGTAATAACGTTACATTTGTTTAGGAGAAACTACTAGCAGTACATCATGCCTATCAGAATTGTGACAGAGTACTTGAGGACATTCACAAGATCATGAAGAATCTATACAAAACATCCGCAGTTCTTCCCTCTGCGAAGAACATGACAGCCGAGATACAGGTAGGTGTTGAGAGACCGCGCATAAATTGCACTCGTCCTCACACATCTGGTAGGAGTATCTGAGTCAATGGAGCCATTGCGGCCAGAAAATAAAGGGGCTTGAAGTGGCTTCACGGAACCCGCCCGACAGGACGTCCCTGGTAATAACTTGTTGACGCCTGGCCAGAATGGAAATGAAACTCATTCTTTTCTCTGATGTGCAGGAGAAAACGATGAACAAAATTCACTTGGAAGTCGAAAGGTGCATCAAGATGCTCTTCTCCTTCAGCTCACTGAAGCCGCTAGAGATCGCACTGGAGGCGGAACGAGAGGAACTGGCTCAGAGTCCATTGCAATCTCCCACCGAAGAGAAACTGCCTGAATCCCTACCTACGCACGAATCAGACTGGCTGGCTTTGCAGCCACACCAGCCAATGGTCGTTCATGAGAGTGGAGATCCGCTAATGCTGGAGGATATGGTCGCCCACGATCTTCCTTCCCCAGATCAACCACAAGTGATTGCGACCGTGGAAGAGAGTCGCCGCACCGAGGCAACTTCACTGCACCATTTCCAGCAAGATGGCGTCGTTGCGGTAGACATGGAGATTACGGAGGCACTTGCACAGACTGGTTGTGAGAGAGAATATGTCCCGCAGGGTGGGAACTTAATTTTTCACTTGGGAGGCGTATGTTTTCCGCTGACATGTTTGTGCTCAGGGGAAGAACGAAATGCGTATGCGATTCACGTGCTGCGCCGCGTCAAAGCAAAGTTGAGCGGACGCGATGCTATCGATCAGGGCAAGATGACAGTACCGGAACAGGTGAGCAGCGGTGAATATGTTTGCATGGCTGAGCTGTCTGACCTCCTTTCAGGTGGACATGATAGTAGGAGAAGCGACCAATATGGATAACCTGGCCGTTATGTACGAAGGTTGGATGTCGTGGTTCTAATCTTGCCACAACATCGTCACAACTGATCGCATGCGCCGTGCAAGTAATCTAAGATACTGGTCCAGCAAGTGGGGCTCATGCCTATTGCTGGTTGCCGAAAACCAGTATTTGGATTTCCGAGTCTCGACGAAGCTCATCCTGCACTGCAGCGCTCCCCGGGACACCGGGTTGGGATCTGGCAAACTTTCCGACCAATTCATGTGTAACTTGAAGCCGTTTTGCGTAATTGCTTCGTGCGTCAGACAGATCAATGTCGTAAATATACCTTTGGTGTCACTTCACCTGTCGATACTTTTGATATTTTTGAATGGCTCGGGGATAAATCTGGTAGTCCAGCAGCGCGCCAACGGACCCAGACCTGGCTATGACCTTGGTAAATGACAGATGAATACACGTGAAAATCGCGAGACTAAGCCATGGAGGGCGAAACGTGGGAATGGACTGATCAACATTGTTGGTATTTAGAAAACCGTTACACCAACTTCATTCTGGACTCATACTTTTATTGCTCAACTGCGAACATGATGAATTGGCGCATTAGCAGTGTTGGGTGAAGACCACATTGACCTGTTCCGCTCTACGTAGCCCGCAGAAATTAGCGCCAGGTATGTAGGGGCTGTACCGAAGATTCGTGTGTTCGTTTCAAGGTGTGCTTTTTGTTGTATCTACCGGGGGTGCCAGGTCCGTGTTCCAGGTGTTCTCAATCTAGTGCTATGGAACCGGGGGAATTGCCCCACTTTTATTAATGATCCAGGAATGATCAAGATTCTGCTATGGGTAGAATGCATATCTGTCTATAGACTTGAACCCTTCACTAAATGCATCTGGGGATTAACTATGAAAGAATGAACATGAGCACACGCACGATCATGCAACCAGAATATCACTTTTATGGAGACTCACGCTGCTCCTTAAAGTCTTATCCGCACGGGTTGTAGCCAACAAAAAAACACGCGCGCCTTAAAAGCAACCGCGACCCGCCACCGGCCTTTCACTCGACATTACCTGAATCCCAAACAGAACTTCTACTTACTTACAAAACCGTGCGCATTCAACGTGATGGTTCGCTTAACACTCATAGCCGCTGCCGTGACTGCTGCACTGGCAGTTCTTAGCCCTGTCGCGGGAAGCGCGGATGGAAAAGACGCTGCGGAAGTTCCTCACAAGTGCCCCATCAGCGAAAAGGTACCAGCACCATTATTTGCAAAGTCAACCTTAAGGGCTGTCATTCTAATCATCTTGTAAATTCATTCATAGTGCCCTTATTATGAGGTAACTGGTTGGAATACACCGTGTACTATTCAGCAAACCGCTGATCTCGTCCTGACATCTGCGCAATGTAGCACGCAAAAGATACTGGAATGATAAAGTCAAGCGACGACAAGACAGCAACGAAAGGCTGTCCCTTGAAAGAAAAGGGCTGTCCGTACTATGAAAAGCACAAGGGTGACCACAATCTCGTCGACGCCCTTGTAACCGAGAATGACGATTGTCCTCTGGCTTCAAAGTGCAAATTCTACCAGGTGTGTATTTTGACTGTCCAAGGTCTCATGATGAACTACTGATAAGGTCTGTAGGATGTGAAAGACGGAACTGCCTCTGCCGTGAACTTCAACAAATCCGACTGTCCCCTTGCGCACAAGTGCCCCTACTATGATGAACTGAAGAAGAATGGCTCGACCACAGCAACCGATTGCCCAGTCCTTCACGCTTGTCCTCACTTTAGCAAAAAGGATTTGGAAACACAGCCGCACGTAGGGGGTCATCCCCATGGTCACGCGCATAAAGGTCATGAATGTCCGTTCATCGCAAAGAAGAAGGCGGAAGAGGCCCTGGAAGCAGAGAAGGTGCATGTCAAGGACGAATTGTGAGCTTACGCAAGGGATCGTACTTTTCAGCTGAAGTAACCTGTATAACATGTATTACGTCCAAACGTTGTGACCTGAGAAAATAAATGTCTATTTCTGCCTTGGCTGCACTTTTAGTGAAAAGTCAATATGTGGAACACTTTGTGATAGAGATCCAAAACTAAGAACGTCGACACCTGTGCATTAATTAACCGATTAGTGGTCAACGAATGCGGTTTTTGCAGTTTTCGTAGCTCCACATACCTTCACCGAAGTATGACGAAACGTTTTCCTCAGTCAGTCCGCCACTGCCTTCGATCAGGAACATCCTCTTTCCTGCGTACCTATCCTTTAATTTCTTCGCCGTTGAGATGAGACCATTGCCATCGAAATTATCCAACATGATGATGTCAGCACCCGCTTCTATAGCCTCATCTGCCTCCGCCTCCGTGCGACATTCCACTTCTATTTTCAGCGCAAATCCACCTGTTGAACGCGCCGCCCGTACCGCATTCGTGATCGAGCCTTCAAAGCAGTATGGGAAAATGAGGATGGGTGTTATTCGTCACCGATTTACATCACCATACCAGTAGCCCAGACATGGTTGTCCTTTAGCATAATCATTGAGGACAAATCCACGCGGTGTGTATCCACACCCCCGACAAGCATAGCATACTTTTCAACAATTCGAAAGCCAGGAGTGGTCTTTCGAGTGCCAGCGATGACTCCCTTCCAATTGTGCTTATCTTTTAGCTCCCGAAGTCGTCGTGCTCTGGGCAAATCGTTAGCTCTAGACCTCATCCAATGCTTAAGCGCCACACTGGCTTACCGTGTAGCGATGCCACTTGCACGCGCAAGCATGTTTAAAGCGGGCCTTTCACCTAACAATAGATTACGAGCATGACCATGCACTTTTGCCACCTCTTTTCGGCCATTTTCCCCCGGACTGAAGAACTCCCCCTCCTTTAGAAACCATTCAACTCTGCGACATTTGGTAAGCTAGTCTGCAAAGCTGTCCACAGTATTTTGGGAGCCTTCTAACCTGCAATCTACTTGACGGAACACTTCGTCGAAAAATGGTACTCCTGCGAGCACTCCCTAAAGCAAAATGATTTGACGTCAAAAATTGTCCAATGTCATTTACTACCTAACACCATTAAACAAACCGGGGCTTTCCCGTACAAGATGGCAACTTGATCCGTTTCACCGACCACAAAGCCCCCGTAGTCGAAAGAAGGTGTGTCTTCGTCCAACCAAGAGGAAACCGTCTTTTTCCAGTTTGTCGGAAGGAGATGGCTCAAGTCTCCGTATGTGCTTGGTTGTGACATGGTAAGTGAAACTGAGATGCGACGAAAGATTTTAGGTTTGCAAACGCTGAAGGATCTGCTGGTGTTCACCACCCGACCCCGAACGTGTTCACGTGAGCTCCAGGATGTGGCACAGTCGACATGACGCTGATGCCAGCTCACCAATGTTGGCTCAGCCAGGTTCACCCTTCACATCTGGCTGGATTGAATCAAGTTTGGACGCGAACCACAACTTGAAATCCAACAGAATGACGAGCGTCGAGCAGCAAATTGCCGCGAATGGGACATTGTATGCTCTCTTGGACTCGCTCACCTGTGGAGAGGTGATCAAAGATCAAGATCCAGCCGCGAATAAGCTTGGGGCGCGACCTCAACATCCTCTATGCCTTGATAGCGAACTGTCTGTGAGCGAAGGTGTATAGCACTTTCCTTAACTGGCACAATCATGGCAGGAAACCGTGGCTGATGCGCTGTATTATATCTAGGATGCGAAGCACTTGCTGCCAATAGAATAACTTCCGCACCAGTGTACGACGCTAACAAGGGCGGCTTTATTGGAATGCTGGACTACCGGGACCTTGTTGCCTTCGTTCTGTCTGTCCTACATAAGGTGCCAAAAGACCCAAGCCCCGTAGATGTCAGCATGGTAGGGTGATGGTACACTGCGACGAAAATACGTAGATAATTCCTACATTTTGGACTTCCCATGGTGCAGGACGTCACGGATATCGTAAAGCGCGCTCTAGTAAACAAAAGCGAAGTCCCAATCAAACTTGTCAGCAATTTGTCTCACTCGAATCCTCTTATTCCTGTGCAAGCCTCTGCATCCATCCGCGTGGCTGTAGAGGAATTTGTGCGAAATCATGTTCATCGCGTTGTTGTGCTGCAACCGGAAAACGACACTGCCCACTTTGCTGGGATTCTCTCTCAGTCTGCTGTGGCTGCTTTGGTTGCGTCGCGCGTGGGAAAATTGGCCGGTGCTGCTGATCCGACCGCCAAATCAATGTGGGCGACAGGAAATAAGACATTACAAGAACTGGGTCTAGTCGGGAAGGACATCATATCAGTGATTCCGGATGACACAGTGAGTATTTTATGGCGTAAATTCACCGGAATATGGACAATCGTTGATGTCATTCTCCCAGGTCTTAGAAGGGCTGTATATGATGCACGAACACAAGATATCGTCTGTAGCAATCGTCGAGCGCACAGAGCAGGGAGATAACGTATGGGAGACGCGAATAATCCTTGCGCTACTAAATGGCATTTGTACTAACCATTCGACTATCAAAAAGCAGCTGGTGGGATCCATAAGCATGACAGATATCAAGGCTATACTTGCTGATCGGAAAGGTTGGAGGCGTCTTTACGAACGAGCGTTTGACTTCTTCACAAGCATGCGCTTTGAGCAAGGGCTCGAGGCGGGCGGAGATGACCGCATACCCACATTTACAGTCCATCCTGAAACCACTCTCATTGCGACAATCGAAAAGATGGCAGCTACCCGCGGACATCGTGTCTGGGTAGTGGAGGGAAGTCGCGCAGTGGGTGTTGTTAGTCTATCGGATATTATGCCACTTCTGCTAAAATGATCGATGCAAAGAGAGAAAAGGAGTTTATGAACGGTCCCGATTTCTTGATTCTGTACAATATATACGCTCTATCCCTCCCCTTCGTTAATCAAGCTCATAAAGTATGCTTCTCTCTGTGAAAGGTTTCTTATCAGCATCGGACCGACGGAAAGATTTTTTTAGACAAGACAACTCACTGGACAATAACTTTCCTATCGTATCGCGACACTCGGACCTAAAACTTGATAAATGTCATAGCCGACGTGAATGCCAACCACCGTCAATTTTACCTCAGCAGGAGTTTTTAATCGAGGAATCACTTCTGCTGGGTATTTCGAATACAAGCTCTGACTTCCATTAGAATATCCATAGGGATTTGTTGGCAGTTGTGCCGGCTATATGAGAAAGATTAGTAGGCGCCTTGCTCCAGTACATAAAGTACCAACCTGGCTGACCCGGCGCTTATAGATAGCCTGGAGTTGAGGACCTATTGCTGTTGCGTCTGCCCTAGTACTGTCTACCCGAACCAAAGTTTGTTATAGGTATTTACAATTTGCAGCGTCAGCTACTCTGCATACTTGTCCGGCTGGGGGGAGTCGCGTAAGGGAAAGGTACGTTAACCACGAGGCTCGGCAACGGGTCATCGGGCCGGGGGGCAAAGACCTCAGCTGCTGTGGGTGCACGCTCTGTACAAGCTAGAATATCATACGGTCCGGCGTTGCTGGAAGTCATTGCTTGTTATCCCAAGGAAGTTTGACTGGGATTGGATCTGCCATGCTTTGCGCTGTGTGGCGTAGCCATGTTCCATATTGTCATCAGTGACACTTTCGAGTTCGATTAGCGGATATCGGCAATGTCCTTTCCTCGGCGTGTGGTGGTAACGGGTCTTGGGTTAGTGACGCCTTTAGGAACAGGGGTGAACCATGTGTGGTCTGGATTACTTGCAGGAAGGTCAGGAATCACTTCTCTTAAGGGAGTCAAGCATCAAGGTACCGGTCGGGGATACGAGGACATACCATCGCAAGTTGCTGCCCTTGTCCCGCGAGGCAATAAAGAGGGCGAGTTCGATGTGGACAAGTGGGTGAAGAAAGGGGTAGGTCTGCGAACCTTATTGGAGGCATTGTCAGAAAGACTCTGACAATCGAGACATCGGACTCACCGAACAACCTCGCGTGATATCTTATGTGAAAATTCCGTACTGACTACCCGTTTCATGTATCGATATGTGCATTCATAGGATGTGCGAAATATGGCGCCTTTTATGCATTACGCGTTGTCAGCGGCGCAACAAGCTATAACTGACTCTGGTTGGCTTCCTACAACTGAACTGGAGAAGCAGCGCACGGTATGTTTTTTGCTCGATTTTGCTTGCAGATGTAATACTGACTGTGGGAAGGTGATTCCAGGGCGTCTGTTTTGGGTCGGGTATTGGCTGTTTGGACGAGATGGAATCTACGGCAATATCTTTCGCTGAAAATGTAATTGTGGATCAAACTCCATTGAATCCACAAATATTGAACTGAGATACGAATAGGGAATGAGAAGAATTTCTCCTTATTTTGTGCCAAAGATCCTCATCAATTTGGCAGCGGGGCATATTAGTATGCGTTATGGCCTTCAGGTTGCAGCGTTCATTGGACTGTCGTTAGATTCATCGACTGAGCTTTGATTTGCTGTTGAAAAGGGTCCTAACCACGCCGCATCAACAGCTTGTACCACCGGGGCCCATTCAATCGGAGATGCCATGCGATTTATCCAATTCGGGGATGCGGATGTGATGGTAGCTGGTGGTTCGGAGGCCAGTGTGTCGCCTTTGGCGATGGCAGGGTTTGCAAAGTAAGGGGTGTTCTGACTCTCAGCCTGCATGCCGGTGGTCTCAGTGCATCTGACCTCTACTAGAGCGCGGGCGTTATGCACAAAATTCAACGATGATCCGGAGGCCTCATCGCGGCCGTTTGATCGAGATCGCGACGGATTCGTCATAGGGGAAGGTGCTGGATGCATGGTGCTAGAGGAATATGAACATGCTAAAGCCAGGGGCGCCCGAATATATGCTGAACTCCGCGGATATGGGTTGTCCAGTGACGCACATCATATAACTGCACCTCCCGATGACGGCCGAGGGGCTGCCAGATCAATGCAGCGCGCGCTTGAGATTGGCGGTCTGACAGTGGAGGAAATTGATTATATCAATGCACATGCCACAAGTACTGGATTAGGTACCATCCCTGTCAGATTGTGACTGCAGCATGATTGCATTCTGAGAACCCTACTGTAGGTGATTTATCGGAAACTCGAGCGATAAAAACGGTCTTTGGTGACTGCTCGCATAAAGTGGCTGTCTCCTCTACAAAAGGTGCGATTGGACATCTCCTTGGAGCTGCCGGCGCTGTGGAGGCGATTTTCACCGTTTTGGCAATCGTTAATGTAAGTTCGATTTATGTACGACTATGGGCTATGGCACATCACTGATCCTGTCTACCTAGGATGCACTACCACCGACGCTAAACCTTCACAACCCATATCCACGCGAAGATTTCTCTTTGGATTATGTTCCACTCGTAGCAAGAGACATGAAGGGGACCAACGGCGGGAAGGGAGTATTCGCAGCTCTTACAAATAGCTTTGGATTTGGAGGAACAAACGCAAGTCTACTGTTTGCGAAGGTGTGAGGCTATTTAATGAAGGCCGTCCTATGTGTAGGCAGGACCCTATTCTGGGCTTATAGCACTCGAATGATATTCAATGGATTATCTCACTTCGCCTTGATACCCATGAGAATGATTATTATGCTGTATGATGTGTTCCTTGTAACTTACCAGGCGGCGGAAAATATCATTAGAAAACATACACTCCCCCGTCAGCACCCCAACCGAGTCTAACCAGCTACTATATTAGTCAATGCCGCCCATACTTCTGTGCAATACCTTCTCACCATCCCATGTGCTACACTCTTTGAGCCTATCCGTAGCTCTTAAAAAGACGGCCTTTCATTCTTGAAAATTGATGGATACCCTCACTGGGGACATTATCTTTGCATACCGTAGCCGCATTAGCTCTGTCCTTCATCGCGTGACTAAGCCCAGATTTAGCCGAACGAACCCACTACCCTCATTTCGTCACACCAATGAGTTACTTCATTGACCATGTTACTTCCGTATCATCGTGTAAGCTTTGGCCGGACGGTCCAGCGGGGCCACAGTCACATTTCACTTCGAACAATATCTGGATTGCAGAGAGTAGGTACCGACACGAGTTGCTGCAAAAATCAGCAGCGTTGACATTCCTTGGTGTGCTCTTCTAGGCAGATCTCTTCCGCGATTCTGCATACATTGGAGGGAAATGGACAGTTGCTGAGAGTGGCGCCAAGCACAATGTTGTCGGTAATGTCGTCAGTGATATTTTTACGGTGTCCAGTATGGCCAACCACTGGTCTCTTTGTAGATCCTGCCAATCTAGAGATTGTCGCAGCGGTACCTAACATGTCCTCCAACGATGCTAACGTTGCTATCAAACATGCACAGAAGGCACAAGCCGAATGGAAGAGAACAACGGCTAGGGTGAGCGATGTCTAGTTTGTAAATATAAGGATCATGTTGATTGACCTGTGGAACTAGCAACGGGCAAACATTCTACGAAGATGGTTCGATCTCTTGCACGCAAATCGAGACGATCTGGGTAACCGATCAATACCATATCATAACTATGAGAGGCGGATGTTCATTAACAAATTATTTTGCAGCAACAATCATGACAACTGAGTGCGGAAAGCCTCTCGCAGAGGTACTTGTGAGGATATATACTCGTCCTTTATCAAACATTCTTATATGCACCACATCAACAGGCGCGAGGAGAAGTTGCATATGGCGCATCCTTTATTCAATGGTTTGCCGAAGAAGCACCAAGGTAGGGTCATTGAGCATTGCTTATATTGAATGCGAATTGATAAGGGAAACGGCATTTTAGGGCATACGGCGATATAATACCCCAGCACGCAGTTGGACGGCGGCTGTTGGCCATTAAACAGCCTATCGGAGTTGTCGGGGCCATTACACCCTGGAATTTTCCAATAGCAATGGTTACTCGGAAAGTTGCTCCGGCTCTAGCGGCCGGTTGCAGTATCGTCTTGAAGCCGGCCCCGGAGACACCTCTATCTGCACTTGCCCTTGCTCGTCTTGCTGAAGAAGCAGGTGTGCCACCTGGCGTTTTTAACGTCGTTACAGCGTCGAAAGAGAACACCCCCGAGATTGGAAAGGAGTTAACTACCAATTCGATAGTGAGAAAGATCACTTTTACTGGTTCGGTACGGTTGCGCCCGTGATTCATTTTCACGGAGTAAATGTACGAATATGTCGCTTGTTTATAGACCCAGGTCGGAAAAATTCTCGCCGCCCAAGCGGCAAGTACTGTGAAACGAGTGTCCTTGGAACTCGGTGGGAATGCCGCCTTTATTGTTTTTGGTAAGTGCTTCCTCTACTCATAGGAATGCGGCGACCAATTAGTTTTTGACTGCCAACTATAGATGACGCCGACCTAGATGCTGCGGTAGAAGGGTGCATTGCATCAAAGTATCGTAATACAGGGCAAACATGCGTCTCAGCCAACAGGATATACGTTCAAGCTGGTATATACGATGAATTTGCTGAAAGGCTAGCGAAGCGTATCAGACGTATGAATGTCGGTCATGGCCTTCAGGCCGGGGTTGACGTTGGGCCGCTGATCAGCAAAGAAGGCTGGGAGAAAGTGTCACGTCATGTGAGCGATGCGTTAAGTAAAGGAGCTGTCGCAATAGCCGGCGGGAAGCCACACGCTCTAGGAAATCACTTCTATGAGCCCACAGTATTGACCGGGTTGCAGAAGAACATGGCTCTGATACACGAAGAGACGTTTGGTCCTGTTGCAGGTCTGTACAAGTTTGAAACGGAGGCAGAAGGTACGTGTCCAAAGAAAGCAAAGTCCACCATTACCGCGAGCAGACTTAAATAACCAATGACCAACGCAGTCGTCGAGTTGGCGAATGACACACCATTCGGACTTGCCGGGTACTTTTTCTCCCGTGATGTTGGTCGTATCTTCCGTGTGGCTGAATCTTTGGAAGTGGGAATGGTTGGCGTGAATGAAGGTCTGTCTGTAACGATTTGAGCATGGGGTGTCTGCGTCAATTAACTGTGTCGGGGCTTTCCTGTAGGTATGATATCAACGGAATGTGCACCGTTTGGAGGGGTGAAAGAATCTGGAATGGGTCGTGAAGGCTCTAAATACGGGCTGGAGGACTATCTTGAAATCAAGTATATTTGTATGGGTGGTATACAAGAGTAATATTCAGTGTACTGGAGCTAGCCGACTACATTGTTGAATATTAGTCGGCTTTTGTTTGTAATGATTGGAATGAATGAATGGATGGATGGATGGATGGATGGATGGATGGATGGATGGATGGATGGATGGATGGATGGATGGATGGATGGATGGATGGATGGATGGATGGATGGATGGATGGATGGATGGATGGATGGATGGATGGATGGATGGATGGATGGATGGATGGATGGATGGATGGATGGATGGATGGATGGATGGATGGATGGAGTGTGTATTCAACCACTGCGTCATGGTCTTCGCAATGACATTGCAGCACACAGTACCATCCACGTAAGACTTCATGGAGAGCCTATTCTCGCCACGGGTGGATTTTGAGGATATTGTAGAGTATGCGATCTACAATGATTTCGGTGACCATAGTGGTATAGGTTCTGAGGAGTTGCGGAAAGCTGCACAGGATTTCGCAGCCGTCACCCAATCCTTCATTTCCCAATGGACCAATGGCTATATATGGCACAAAGATCCATTTGAGTTGAGCGTTGTGACAACAAAAGGTGCGTTGCCTATGCAAAGGCTGTCATCGATCGGTCTAGAATGCACAGATCCTTAAAATGGAGACTGAAAACCAAACCGGAAGCTAAGCCTGTGTGAAGACTTGGTCGCACCTTTTCTGCAGGGGAGGACCCGCCACGGTGATGGAGTTGAGGATGAGTGGTTCATTGTGTCGCTCTTACGTGAGCTGACGATACAGTTTCCGGAGGCAGTAGTGAGGTAAGTCGCTTATGCTGTTCAAAATCTGTTACCTGACCCGCTAGAGTTTATCTCATCCGTACTCCCAAGCGTACGGGACAATGATGGTGAGATCTTGCTGATTGAAGCTGCCGAGCATATTCCGCCGTGGTTGGATCCCAGTACCAGCCAGAACAGAGTACGTCTTGCGAACCCTCAACTTAACTTTTGCAGAGCCCCATCCCATTTAATGTCATTCTATCATACAGGTATTTCTTCACAAGGGTCTCGTTCACATCATTCCTATACCGCAAAATCCAGCCGAGATTGTTTTGTATCCATCTGGACCCATCACACTAAATCGGGCACTTGATTTGGTGAGAGGGTCCGCACCGACTGAAGCACCGAAAAACGTTCAGGCAGCTATAATGGCAAGGCTGGCGCGGTAAGAAAGGTTCTAGAGGTGTCCTTTCTATCAAATACCCCTAATCGGCCATGTCTCCGTCAGCTATCCTCAAGGTGCCAAAGAGAATATTCATCGCGCGAGATGTTATATTCCTCGGCCCGTAGCACATCTTCTGCACCATGACCCTCAGCTAGTAGCTTCCGCGGTCGAAGCATTCTACCTACGTGATCCAATAGCAATGAAGGTTGGTCTTGGTCATGGGTTTTCTCGGGCATCTTCTCACAAGGACTCGATTGTAGGCATGCTATAAAATGGAGAAATTTCCGCCAACAAACAATGTGATGGTAACGGTTCGTATGAACCGCACCCATTACGCTCAGCTTGTCAGTCAAAAGTTCCACCCGCCGAAACCTTTTCGCTTACCCCCAATATCATCTCCGAACTTTAAAGCGTGCGAACTTGGCATGAAGCTTGTAGGTTATCTTTGAAATTTTAGGTCGCAACCCTTACTGAACGATATAGCTAGGCGTGCGGATTCGAAATGCTTTGTGCCGATCGACACCTTCGGAGTTCTTCGAAACACAATGGACATCGTTCAGTTGATGTGCGTATAGCTTAGGCACAAGTTTCGTGTCTGAGGGCCTGACACTTCACCTTGCAGACATACGCGTTCGAGGTGGACCCTGAATGGCAGGCCTTCCTAAGGAGGTTAGACAAGCTGAGCTATTTTGGGGTAGGTTCGAGTGCTGTCCAATTCTGCGAAGTCTTGAGGTTGATAAAGCGACTTCAACTATCAGAAAGAACTCCCCGGATCAGAGCTGTACAAACAGCTGGAGAATACTGCGAAGAAACAATACCTACAGGCCAAATTCAGCGAGAGGTGGGATTTATGGGGCGTCAAATTTCCCTCTCCTGCTGTATTATAACGACACTCGGTTTTAATTAGCGAAGTTTTCGGGGAAAATCCGATTGACAAGATAGAATATATTCTCAACCAACCTTTGGAGGATGAAAGTAACTTATCTCAAGAACCAGAGGACAACGACAAGTGGATGGAAGTAGATCCGGCCAACTTAGATCGAATGTTTGATGAAGAAAAGCTCAAGATGTCAGCTGATGATTGGGAAGAGTTAAATCAGGAAGATCTGGTTGGTGCCCGAGAATCTCGTAAAAAAGTTATGTATCTAATGACCTAGTTGTGTTGTAGTCGGATCTTGATGATGAAGAGAAGCATGATATGGAGGAGCTGTCGAAAATGTTCGGAGGCTTCACATCTTTTGTCGAGAAGGAGAGCGGACTCGGAGGAGTTGTGTTTCCACAGTACGTTTGGGTAAAAAAGAAAATGGCGCAGCCAGTTGATGGACTCATCCGACTTTGGTTGATCCTCCAGTGAGAGAGATTTCGAAGAACAGGAAGACACAGATGAGGAGGATACTCCTCTCAGATTTGAGGAGGGACAGTTTCTTCAGTCTATGATGGACGTACTAGGTGAGTAGAAGGACTGGCAACAGTATGTAGACTCAATTGTGATGGTGATGCTGTCATAGGTATCAATCGAGACGACTTTGATCGGATAACAAAAAGCAAAGGTAGTGGTTAGATGCTTACAAAAGTCTGCTGCTCTGTCTAAATCCACTTTATTTCCCAGCATCTGGAAATACCACTTTTTCAACAGCGGAGGACGTCCTTCGACCAATTGAGCGCGTCATGCCTAGTGTATCATTTGATCTAGATGACAGCGAAGAACGCAAAACTGACGAAGCCAGTGAATTCGCGGACACTCCTGCTCCCGATGCGCAGCTTGAGTCTTACATGGACTCGATGGATCGCGAACTCTCGCGGACCAAACTCGGCGATGATTTTGAGAAAATCACGTCGGAGGGGCCCAGCATCTCGGTTGTCAATGAGGAAGGGGAGGAGGAACTGCAAAAGGTCGATTTAGATTTTAATTTGGTCAAAAATATTCTCGAGTCGTTCTCCGCTCAGGAGGGCCTTCCAGGTCCCGCTTCGAGCATATTAAACTCCATGGGCATCGGGCTTCCACCCAAGCGAAGGAAGTGAGGGGCTAATATTTTGCATGTATATATCCTGCATTCTGGAATTTCCGTATACACTTTGTACAAAATAATCGTTGCAATATTTAGAAGACGGCCATGTAGAAATACTAGCGAGTTCTGCAGGTTGTCACGTGGCGACACTGATGTGGCGCGGGCGCAGCACTTGAAATCACCGAGGATTTCGCTTGCAACCCGTGCATTTCTCAACAGATTACTCTGGTCACTGAAGTACAATCGAGCACTCGCAGTAACTTACACCAATGGCCTTTAAGGCAACAGTGTGCTTGCGATGCTCTGGTTGTGGACTTCTGTGGAGGGGTGCGGGCCCGAAGGCCAGTGAACGAATAGCATATAACCTACAGCGAACTGCTTCTCGTGGTGGTCAAGGCGTTAGATTCATTGGCACTTGCAAAGAACAGCAGTGGGCCCCATTTTCCTCCTCCATTATGTTCTCAAACCCGCCGACCAAGCCCTTTCGGAAATTGCGAGCCTCAACGGTAGAGATCTTCTAGTCCGTGCTTGCCCGATTTCTCGAGCATAACTTGGGCAGACGTCCTGATGCTATAGTGCCCCTATTGATGTGGATGTGGTTTATAGTCACTTGCTAGCGTTGCGGCCAACAGCATCGTATTTCGCAAGGCCTCAATAGCCATTGGTGCGTATTCCCATAGCAACGCGGTTGCCTCGATTTTTGATTTGGTGATGAGTCACTTCAACTTTCGACTCACGTCCGTTCCAACCCATCTTCCCCCCTCCACGACCTCACCATTATGACCGACACAGACAGGCCCACCGGTAGTGCCGATCCAGCTCCAGACATCACAGCTCTGAAGGATGCAATTGCCAAGCAGGGTGACGTGGTAAAAGCTCTCAAGGCAGAGAAGGCACCGAAAGAACGATTGCAACCTGAGTTAGATCGGCTACTTGCCCTGAAGGAGGAACTTAAGCAGTTGTTGCTGAAGGAGGCTCAAGAGAACGAAAAGAACAAATTTGATAGATCTGGGTTGGAATCACTTCTCATCAAACGTTTCTTTTACGCCCCTTCGTTCCAAATATATGGCGGTGTGTTCTTTCATGTCACTGCGGTGATGCATTTTAGATATTAAATTATTCATGTTATTTCCAGGTATTGCTGGTCTGTACGACTATGGTCCTCCTGGATGTGCACTGCAAAACAACATCCTCTCACTTTGGCGCCAGCATTTCGTCCTGGAGGAGGACATGCTGGAGGTGGAATGCACAAACTTGACTCCAGAAGCTGTTCTACAAACGTCCGGCCACGTCGAGCGCTTTGCTGATTACATGGTCAAGGACACAAAAACCGGGGACATCTTTCGAGCGGATCATTTAGTAAAGCAAGTCTTGAACCAACGCCTTGAGGATGACACAAAACTCCGCAGCGGAGCGGCGCCAAAGGCAGTCAAGGGTCAACCAAAAGTGGAGCCTCTGACTGCCGATCAGCGGGCGGAATATGAACTTGTTCTTGAAACGGTTTGTATCTCACATGTGTTGGCTGTCGATCCGTGTTGCAGCGCATAACCAAGAATATCTCCTGCAGTTGGACAATTACCAGGGTGAGGATCTTCATCAACTCATTAGAAGACTGGACATCAGGGCCCCAGAAACTGGAAACGAAGTGACTGCACCAGTCCTCTTCAATCTTATGTTTGAGACTCAAATAGGACCCACTGGCCAGTTCAAAGGGTGCGCGTGACCTGATTGAATAGGTGTAATCTTGCAGATAGCTGACTTCTGAATACCCAGATACCTTCGACCAGAAACTGCCCAGGGCCATTTTCTCAACTTCAAAAGGCTCTACGAATTCAACACAGGCCAGATGCCATTTGCTTCCGCCTCCGTCGGTAAATCATTCCGTAACGAGATTTCTCCCCGCCAAGGCCTTTTACGTGTTCGGTAAGACTATGATGTACAGCAATGTTTTGGCTGTCGTCTAATATACGATGGTTTGGTTGTACAGTGAGTTTACAATGGCCGAAATTGAGCATTACGTGGATCCCACAAAGAAGGACCACCCTCGATTTGATGAAGTGCGCGATGTGGTACTACCCCTTTACTCTGCGACAGCACAAGAGGCCGCCGCTGGGCCGACAAAGTTATCTATCGGAGAGGCCGTTGAAAAGGTTAGAACTCTCGTGTCAAAACATGAAGGAATCTGAACTTATTAGAGTGAAATATGCAGGGCATCATCAACAACCAAACTCTTGGTTATTTCGTAGCCCGCATTTACCTTTTCCTCGTACGAATTGGCGTGGATCCGGCGCGCTTGCGAATGCGTCAACACATGTCCAATGAGATGGCGCACTATGCATGTGACTGCTGGGATGCTGAAATCCAGAGCAGCTATGTAAGAGATGGTTTTGGAAGGTCGACATATTTATCACACTAATCATTAATATCATGCAGGGTTGGATTGAGTGCGTTGGCTGTGCCGATAGGTCTGCGTATGACCTCACGGCGCATTCAAACAAAACCGGTGAGAAGCTCGTTGTGCGGGAACAACTACCTGAGCCGATTATCGCGGATAAATGGGTTTTGGACGTCAACAAGAAGAATTTTGGCCCCGCTTTTAAAAAGAACGCAAAAGCTGTCCAGGGCTACCTTGACAGCCTTAAAGAAGGGGATCAATGGAATGAAGCGAGATTGCTTGACCTACTTGATAAACTGAATACAGGGTACGCTTAAATTCCGAGGTCTTGTGAAAGTATCATGATGTGCTCCGTCTGATATATTGGATACAGGAAAGCTACAATTACCGGTACTGATGGTAACGAATACGAGTTGACAACGGACCTGATCAAGATTGAGAAGCGAACTTTCAAGGAGTACGGTTAGTAATCTTGGTGGACCAGACCGTTTTATGATCGAGCGTTGGTGCGCGATGGCTACGCACATTCCTTAGATCCCTCATCATAGAAAGGGTAGGCCAGACCATCGGTCTGTTGCCGTAGCTCTTTCTCCCAGTCTTCGCTGGGTATTGGTGAGGCATGAGTCATAAATGTGCAAAATCAGTATACCTCTTTTGCTGCCCTATGTGGTGGTCGTTGCTCGCTAATTTCTGGCAGCCTTAACTTCGACCACCGCGGCGTTCAAGGGACATTAGTGTTTTTCACTTATCATTCCGTCTTTGCATTACTAAGATAGAGTTTGCTTCTCTTAGTGCGCGAGTATATCCCAAGCGTCATTGAACCATCATTTGGTATCGGGCGAATTCTATACCAGTTACTTGAGCATTCATATTATGTGCGCGAAGGAGATGAACAACGGGGTGTTCTCAAGTTCCCAGCATGCATTGCACCGATCAAAGCTCTTGTTTTGCCCATCAGTCACAGCGATGAGTTCCTCCCATTCATTAAGGATGTTGTGACTGGACTACGTCGGTTCAACATTTCAAACAAGGTCGACGATTCCGGATCATCTATTGGGAAACGATATGCCCGAAACGACGAACTTGGTACTCCATTTGCTGTCACTGTGGATTTCCAAACTGTGCAAGATCAAACTGTGACACTCCGTGAGCGAGATTCAACAAAACAGATTCGAGAAAAGGTGCGAAGGGCAACTATTTTGTATTTAGAGTTTGAACTCATTGAGTTTTGCTTTTTCAATCAGATTTCAACTGTTTTGGAGATTATCAAGGATCTTGTTGAGGAGAAGACTACATGGAGTGAAGTTGAGGCAAAGTATCCAACATTTGTTCAACAAGAATTGTAAATAGAGATTCATACACTGTACGTCGGACGGATACGTAGATGACGCAATACAGTATCACTTGTAGAAACTACAAATACTCGCACCAGAAATGTGAGGGTGCACTGCCGTTGTACCTGGGGATCTTACAAGTAAACGTGGCCGCCGCAGCCGTCGATTCAATGTCCGCAACGGATTGTTGTCGATTGCACAAGAAATAAAAAAAAAATGTCGCCACAGCTTTTGCGCTGTTTATTCCCAATATCCTTTTATTGCGAACAAAATTAACAGTGGTGTGATAGAGATGAGCGCGTCGCTAAGCCGCTCTGCTCTCAAAAATTTCAAGATTGGTACAAATTCACTAGTGCAAAAAAACGACAAGAACGAAGCGAAAAAAAAACCTAGAGTGGGCCGATGAGCGCTCAACCAATAGATGCGTTAGACCACCCTGTCGTCCTGGACGTCGGTCGGAGCGCGGCGGAAGTAGCGACCAGACGGGGGCATTTTGTGATGCCAGAGGGCGCTGGATAGTTCACAGTGATTGAGAGTGCTACAGTAAATAATATGCCAAACATGGCCATCGACCGATGTTTGTTGACCAGGAAATAGTGTTTTGTGGGAGCAAACCGGAGGATTGTACCCATTCGTCCGTTCAGGTCCGATTTCGATCTTTGTATATACGTTGGACGTTGAAGCAGTTGTCCACTGCATCACAAGCAAGTCGGAGTTGGAACGATCCTACTACGACCGGCTATTCCAAAGAGCCTGGGCATAGCTTTGGGCATTTTATACCTCATCTATCCCACACGACGTCTTGTACCAGGACGGAGCAATGTTGCCGCGTCATGTCCCTGCTGGCTCAGGGCAGTCCGATCGTGGAGACGATCAGACAATTATAGAAGATGCACAGCACGATCTTACACCTACTCTAAGTCTCTCATCTATCTATGATCGATGCTACACGCAAGCAGTCTACAAACCCATCGCAACTGAAAATAATGTGGGCAAGCACCACGTTGGAGATTACGAAGCCGTTTACCCCGATTCCTCAGAATCCTCACTATCAACTCCATTCCTTTCCCCTCCACGACGAAAAGAAACATCAGATGCCTATGACCCCGACGATATGCTGTGTACGGTCGCCGATGAGGCGTGGTCAGATAGGACACCCAAGATCTCATGGTTCCAACGAGTGCGAAGCTGGTATAAGCCTGTTTACGACTACAAAACTCCAGGATTAAGTTACGATGAAAGACGTAGACCTCGGTATTGTGGGGGAAGACTGAAACGGTGAGCTTGTTGCTGTGGGTGCAGATTGAAAAGAACAACCATAACAATCGAACTTGAACTGTAGATGGCAGTTCATCCTGCTTCATGCACTGATCATTGGACTATTCATGGCGATCGTCGTTGCACCCCTCACGTACTTTGTGATCATCCCCGCCATTATTCAGGTCGGTTATTATGCACTCTTTTGAAGTGAGTAATCCGAACTCAAAAGTTTTCTACTAATCGCAGAGCAAAATCAACGGCATCGATATGAATTCTCTGGGCATTTCGCGAATTGATGTTGTGAGCTGGTCTGCAAATGGCCTCCGCTTTGGTTTCGCAGCCATCCTGCCGTCCCAGCTCTTCCTTCCAATACGCGTCACCCTCGCACCAATGTCCGCCGTTGTCGGTGAAAAGAAGAATTTCAAAGATGGTTGGGCAGAAGCTAAATTGCCTGAGTTCAGCATCAAGATCAACGAGGAGATCAAACTGGATTTTGAAGGGGATCTCCTAATTCGTGACAGTGTAGCGCTTGCAGGACTGATTGAGGCGTTTTCAAATGATAAACTGCAGGGAATGCCTATCAGGGCAAAGTTTGGAGCAACAATCAAATTCTGGGGAATTACTTGGTACAAGAATCTCCCTCTACACAAGGATCTGAATGTGCCCGACATAGGCCCAACTGTAGCTGGTCTCTATAAGGCTCTGCCGCAAGCTGTGAGGGCCAGAAATTTGAGTAAGTTGGAAGTTTCCATTACAGAGGAGAGAAATATGCGAAACTAACCCGTTGTGAAACAGATCAAGCAATAAGATCCCGTTTTGCAGCAAAGGATCTATGGACTTTTGAGGACCCAAGCCTCCCTGACATGGCCATCCAAAGTGTCAATATCTCCATGTCTGATACCGGCCTTGGTTTGAACGTCGGCGTGGTATTCGAAAATCCCACCATTATTCAAGTTGGCGTTCCAACACTTTCCGTCGGGCTCTCTGTTCTTGACCGTACCATTGCCGTTGTGACATTACAGGGTGTCAATATGTATCGAGGCGTGACTGAGATGAAGCTGGAAGCTGATGTTCGATTCGTTGAGGCAGAGGCTGAGACCACTGGAAAAGTCATTGGAGCGTTGGTTGGATGGCTGCTTGGAGCGGAGGATCCAGAGGGGATGCGTCCTTCCGTAAAGGGTCCTGTTGCAATGGAAGGAGTACAATTTGTTGGAGATGTTACGAAACCGCTATCACTATTGCTGCCTGTCAATGCGACCCTCGAGGCACTAAATTTCGGCAATCTTAAGGGATTATTATCAGTATCAGGTATTGAGAGACTTTTGTCCTCGTCCAAGTTTTCGGCCTCTGTGGGCTCGACCGACATCACTGCCCCCATTTCTCTCTCGTTACCGCGATTAATACCACTTCCACCCATCGATTTCACGTACATCACATCCTTGAATGTTCATCGAGCCCTGGATGTCACCGTCAACCCGATTCGCATTGTGACAGGACCAGAGGATATGAAAATCAGCACAACCGTGGTCGTCGTACCGGTTAACACGGACGCTGCTGCAGCCGGCCTTGCTGCCGCAATCAACCCCATCTTACAAGCCAAACCGCAGATCTCATCAATAAGCATTTTGGGGCTCACGTTTACCGCGCCGCTTGCTGCTACAAATAACACATCAAACAATACGACAACGAGGACAGGTTTCAAATGGTCTGACACCCTTCTTAAACCTACGACCATTCCAGTACCCCTTCCGGTACTATGCATCCCTTGCATTGTGACTCAACTCACCCGTAATGGAACACAACTTCCGCTTTCAATACACGCCCTCGACGTCAACCAATTACTTGATGCACCCGGATTTGGAGCCAAAGGGCAAGTAGGGATAGCGTACCCCACGGCGCTCGCCAAGTTGGAAATGAACGTCGGATACGTCGGAGTCGGTGTACAAATGGGGTCCGCCGCGGTTCCCGTCGTTGGAGTGGACCTACCCACAGGGTTACGCTTTTCTCCAATTAATGGGAATGGCGAGACAGCGGTCGATCTTGATGCTCGATTGGTTATTGGAAGGAATGACAAGATTGTAGGAGTTGTGCAAGGTTTTGTTGATGCCTTCATGGCAGATACCCCAGCGAGCGACGGAGCAACTATTGTTACGATTACAGACATCCTCTTTGGGGCGGCACCGACAAACCGATTTGTGACATTCTCGAAGATAGCACTCTCTATCGATACACAGCAGTTCAAAGAGATTGCTTCGACGTTTGTGAACTCAGCCCTCGGCCAAGTGCTGAAGAAGGATTTGATAGTCTTGAACGACTTGGGCCTCAACGTAATTTCAGCTGGGCAGGTGGATATTGGGATTAAAGCGTTGGTAAGGAATCCGGTGATGATTGGGCTAAATATTGGTAGTATTGTCGTGGATGCGGCGTTGGATGATGGCCACTTGTCGGGTGTGTGGGTCTCACCCATCGTGCTTGGCAAGGGTACATCACCTATAGATTTGGCTGCAAGCGCGACACCGGCGACAGGTGGGAACGGCATGGCGAACAAAGTGGCTGTACTGGTCGGTGACTTAATCGCAGAACAGATATCGTCGGTCGTACTGGGCATCAGTGGGTTCAAGATGATTCCACCTGGCATGGTGGCAGGAAATGGAACTGGCGGCGCGATTATTGACCAATTCAGCGGTCTGAAATTCCGTATCCCCCCCCCCCTGCTACATCGTCTGAATCCTTTGAGATCAGACGCTTCCATCAACCTATCGGAAATCTTAGGTGTTGACCCACAGCTGAATGGCTTTGGGTTGGCACTATCGAGTGCGTCTGTACGGACGCTCCCGCAAGCGTCTTTGGCAGTGGGCGCCGGGGCCCAACTGACTAATCCTATGCCAGTTTCCGCTAAAGTCCCTTATGCAGAGATTACAATGGAATTCGGAGGTTTGGACTTTGTGGTGGTGTCCGTGTCCAATATTTCGGTTGTGGCGAAGGGGACCGGCAGCATGACTCCATCGCTCTCAATGCGGTTTGTCCACAGCGAAGGCATTCAGGATAAAGTGGCTGAGTTCGTCAGCACCTTTATCAACGGGAGGATAATGGATGGCGTAGGTATCAAGACGATATACTTTGGCACAGGCCCAAATGAACGGAACGACCTTCTTTCCGCCGTAAAGCTAGACGTCAGTTCATTCACGAAGAACATCCGAACCGAAAATATTGTGAACGGTATCGTTGGCATGGTTTTAGGCAAAGATTTCCACTTTCCTCTTAGCGTGAACGACCTTTTCGGCGCCGTAAAACAAATCGTGGAAGGTACGGTGCGTGTGGAGACCCAGGCCAACAAAATCATTGCGGCAAATCTGGATGGGATGAGAATGGCTTTTCCGTTTACGATAGATGCTGACATTGGCCTGGTCGGGGTTGGCATCGGGATCGATGGAAATGGGCTTATGGATGTAAACATACCTACAGGTGTCAAAATTGTGACGAGCAGAATCAATGGGTTGGGAGCTCTTGTCAGATTTGCAGATGGGGAAGGCACGCAGAACAGTGTCGCCGACCTCGGTAGATGGATGTTCGAAGGGAACGAAAAAGGTGTTAGCATCGTCGCCGCTGGGTTGCGTTTGGGGGTCTCGGACTCGGACAGGATAAGCAGTTTCGATAAAGTCACGATCAGCATTCCGATTCAGTCTATAATTCGATCGGAAAGCGACTTGTCACCACTCCTGAACCTGTTCGCGCCCTCAATAACGCGAGTCAATTTGGCCACAATGCCTGGGAACGCCATGTCGCTCGCAGCTGGTGTTGCCATACAATCACCGATTCAACTTGCTGCCAAGTTGGGATGGGTTGGAGCCGATGTGAACTTGGACTCTCATCCTGTTGTGGATGTTGGCCTTCCCAACCTTGCAATTGATGCTTCCAACGGCTCAAGTACGCTGGCTGTAGCAACATCTTTGTTATTCAAAGACACGGACGGCACTCGCCGAGCAGTGGCAAAACTGGTCAACGGAATCGCAAATGGCGGTGTGGAAAATGTCATAGGCATTAAAGGTCTCGTGCTGGGCGCGTCGGAAGCGGACTCCATCAAGTCTTTCCAGAAGCTGTCCATTCCTTTCCGCGTTGCGAGTCTTTTGAGCCAGTTTGGCATGACGGTTCCCGTCGATTACGCGCAAGTCCAACGCTTCCTTACATTGGGTCTTCTAAGCATGGCCATAGATATCACCAGTGGTAAGAAAATGGACGTGGGCGTCGGCGCCAATATTTCGATTGTGCCCTTCCCCACGACGATCAACATTGGTAGTGTTGGTGTAGAGGTTGACGTAAATGGCGCGGGACTGATGGGAGTCGGACTATCGGAAGGTATCCATATTGGGCGCGCGAATACCGAAATCAAGGCTACAGTGACCTTTAGAGAGTCTGACAGGACGGAGAGAGAGGTTGCACGGCTTGTGGATGGATTCCTAAACGGCCCTAAAGTTGGGTCTACCATCGGGATAGGCCAACTGGTAATCGGGAACAGTTTTGCGAAAGAAGACCGTATCACCATATTGGATCAGGTCCATCTCCCATTGGATGTAGATAAAGTCTGCCAAGGGTTGGGGATCGCAGTTCCGATGGATATTACCCAGCTGCTAGGATCGACTTCTACCTCCCTCGGGACCCTCCATATTAAAACCGAACCCCGCCAAACGCTGTCTATCACGGCCTCCACCAATTTTACCCTCCCATTCTCGTTCCCAGTTGATCTGAAGGTTGGCTATGTCTCGGCAGGCGCAAATGTTGGCGATAAGAGAGATCAAATGCACCCGCTGGCCGACTTCAGCATTCCAAATGGCATGGTGATCAAAGGAAATGGGTTTGGGGCCGACCTGAGAGCCTCCTTGAAGTTCAAAGACCAAGAGGCGACGCGAGAGGTTATTGCGGGTATGGTTCAAGGATTGTTTGATAAAGGCATGGACGGTTGGGTTGGAGTGGAGGGGATCAAGGTCGGCGGAAGCGAAAACGATGTTATCCGGGCCTTTTCAAAAGTGCGCGTGAATCTCTCGCTGGCAAGACTTCTATCGCAGCTCAATATCGCCACTCCCCTGAATCTTCCATCGCTTGCGTCGCAACTGAATGCAACTCTCTCTGACCTGACGGTTGCAACTGCTCCAGCATCCTCTCTGGATGTAAGCACCAAACTTGGGTTTACCCTACCGTTACCCTTCAGCATCACGTTCCAAGCTGATTACTTTTATGCGCGGGCGACTGTTGGAAATGCTCCACTTGCGGTGCTTCAAATGCCGGGTCTAAGTTTGGGCACTGCTGATCACGGACGTAATACTCTCAATGTTGCGACCCGACTGAAGTTTTTAGAGACCGAGCAGGGGATGACTGAAGTTGCGAGGATAGTTGATAACGTACTGCAAAGAGATAAGGCAGATTCCAGCGTTGGAGTTGATGGAGTGATGTTTGGTAGTAGTGACGATCCGGACAATTGGGTATGCAACCTTGTCCTTAGCTGAAATCTACCCACAGGTGCTAATCGCCGAACACTCTCTAGATTCGCTTTCTCTCCAAAGCCAAAATCAATCTGCCCGCTGATTCTCTTCTTCAATCCTTCGGCGTGACCCTCCCTTTGTCGTTGACCTCTCTGCCATCAAGGCTCAATGTTACAATGGATAATCCTGTGCAGCTTAAAACACTGCCAAAACGTCAAATGGCCGTCAATACTGTGGCCAGTTTCGCCATGCCTTTTGCAATCGACTTGAGTATCGGTTTTGTCAGCGTTCGAGCCAATGTGAATGGGAAAGGGTTGGTTAATGTCGCCCTGCCTGGACTAACGGTGAAAAAAGATGAAGGAAGAAGCCGAATTACAGTAGATACAGTTGTGACGTTTGAGGATGGATCGGATATCCAAGTGGAATTGGCAAACGTTGTCGCTGAAATTGTAGAGGCAAAGTTGAAGAGTAGGGTTGGCGTGGACCACCTAGTGTTTGGGGTCAGTGAGCAGGATACGGTATGTGTCGAGGAAAGAAGACAAGTCTTTGAAAATTGAAACTAATTTTGTTGGATAAACAGATCAAGTCATTCTCCAAAGCAAATCTGGCTCTCCCCGTGTCCGCCTTTGTCAATGCCACGGAGCCTATAAATCTGGGCACTGTCACGGCCTCCTACCTGGAAAGCATGCTCTTGTCGAACAATTCTTCAGAGTCAACAGGTCTAACAATCAAGCACGCATCCCTATCTGCGCTTCCATCCGACAAACTCAATGCCAAGGCGCAAGCTCACGTCCCACTCCCACTGCCATTCAAGGTGGAGTTGGACATTGGGTACGCAGGCGTGAGGTGGATTGGAGTGGACAAAACCAAAGTTTTGGGAGTTGATGTTCGAGGAATACAACTCAAAGATGAGAACGTGGAAATTGACGCCCTTATGGGGTTTGAAGACTCGGGCGATTCTAGAAGCGTTCTGAAGCACGTAACTGATGGGAATGGTGATGGCTCGTTTCCTGGCACGCTTGGTATCGCCGGTTTGGTGTTTGGCGCTACCGATGGTGACATTATTCAGGTGAGCGTGGTCTGATTTATCAGGGAAACGATCGAACAAGTGATTCTAAATAACTTCGTGGTATTAGGCCTTTTCAAAGATCGAGCTACCAATTCCAATCAACCCCGTTGGCCAAGTACTCTCTAAATATGTCAATCAGCTTATTGATAACCTGCTGTCTGGAGTTCCATCAACTGGTGCAATCCAACATGCACCTTCCAAAGGCTTCCAAATCCATTTCTCAAAAAATGCTTCACTGACCATCTCTCACGCTAGTGTTGAGTTTCAACCTGCAAGTATAATAACCGCGGACGTAACCGGGAGCCTACAATTTCCGGTTGATATCGCGGCGGATTTGCCATTTCTTGCAGTTGCAATCGGATTGGATGATGTCAGCTTTCTCGATACTAGCGTAAACGGTGTCAAAATCAATGGCCAAGGTGAAAATGGCCTGCAGCTCGGTGCTAAGCTTAAAGTCTTCGACTCGGATCCCGTTCAAGATAAAGTTGCGGCGATTGCTACGGCTTTCTTCGACAATCAGAGCAACCTCCCAGGTCGCTTGAGAATTACCGGGATCAAACTCGGTGTAGCATCGATAGATTCTATCGAGACTTTTAGCGAAATGGTGTTTTCCTTGTCCCTTGATCGAGTCCTCGGCCCTTTCATCAAAGGTTCGAAAAACCAAACACTTGACATTGGAGAGTATGTCAACGGGATCAAACTCAATAAAGTAGGGGTTCGCGCAGTAGAAGGTCGAGCTCTGATAGTGGACGCCGGAGTCGGATTTAACAGTCTATTCCCCATCACTATCAAAGGGCTTGGCTATGTTGCTGTCGATCTTGGGGTGGACGAAGTGGACTTGATGACGGTAGGCTTACCTGGGATAATGTTGGTTGACGGTGCAAACTCCATGGACCTCCGCGTGAACGTCGGTTTTCGTTCATCGGATAGCGTTCAGACAAAGGTGGCGTCGTTCTTCCAGAATATCTACACCGTTGGATGGGGTAACACCAAGGAACTGCTTGCTCTCGCTGGTCTAAAAGTCGGATACAGTGAAAACGACTACATACGCGCCTTCTCAAAAGCTAGGTTCGGACTTCCCAGTGCGACTGTGCTAAGTCCCGGAAATGTCGATTGGGTCCTGTCCCTAGTTGGCATGAATCGCTCAGATTTCACTGCAGCGAACTTACTGCCGCGTATCGATATACGAGGCGCTCATATATCGTTCGATGACCAAGACAGGTTACAAGTTGTTGGCAAAGCTCTTTTGAAAGGCTTCTCCATTGACGCTTCGATTGCTTTCCCACACGTGTCTACTCAACTCGGACTGAGCGGGCTAGTGTTTGCGGATTTGGAGATGAAAAATCTTGTTATCAGGCAACAAGGTGGAAATGGACTCTTGACCGAATTTACCATGACCATGGCATTCCCTAATGGTGGAACAGGCGGGATTCAGCAAGCTGTGGCCGATATCGCGAGTGATATGCAAAAACCAAATGGAACAATTAGGGGCGTTGGGCAAGCGACCAAGTTTGGATTCGGCGTTTCCAGGGATGACATGATTGACGCCCTTGGAAAATGTGTGGGTGAACTCTCCATGCAATCCATCGGCAGACCCGCTGCATCCCTTTTCCACGATCTGTTAGTATCAGTGGTTCTCGACCTTGTCGATTTGGCTCCTGTGAGCGAGAGTGCCTTAGAAGCGAACGTAATTGCCCATATGACCCCTATCATTCCAGACATTATGGCGTCGATTCCCTTCTTGTTTATTGACGTTCGAGTGGATAGCAATGTCTTCGTAATGGCAGAAGCGACAGATATTCGACTCGACCCGTCAGGCAAAGTGCTTGTCAAGGCAAATGCGGGATTTGCATTGCAAAATCGCGCCGCGGCGCAGACACTGGCTACTATCGGTGGAGACGCCATATTCCGGCGTCCAAAGCCAATCTCAACCAAGGTTGCTTTTAGCGGTATCAGATTTGGAAGGTCAAAGGAGACTGCCATACGAATCGCTGAGACCGCGATCATCGATTTCGATGTAGCGACCTTCCTAAAGGGCGTTGCGGACTATATCTCATCCCCTGCAACTGAGATGGTTCTCACAGATATTATTACCCAGATTACACCGGAAGGCGCCGATGTCAAAGCAACAGGCAAACCTCTCGGACCCCTCATGCCATTCCGAGCCCGACCCGGAGCTAGCGCTGTAGCGGTTGTGACATACGACAAAACAGATATCGTTCAAGTGTATTTCAACAAAATCGGCATTGAACCTGGCAAGCCTATTGAGCTGGACATCAAAGTCCACTTCCTTCTTCCAAATGTCGTAGAATCCCTGCAAGATATCATTCCGCGGTTGCTGACATGGCGAAATATTGCAGAACGAGCCACTTTGGGCAAATTGGCATTAACAATGGGTGACCCACGGTCTCCGAGTGTCAGCTTCAATATGTTTGACCAAGTCGCCATTCAGGCCCCCGAACTTTATATGTATCAGCCGCTGGTTGTTCGTCCCAAACTCGTCAATCCGTTAACCCAGGGTCTTGGCCTCGATGTCTTTGTCGGTATGCCAAATCCTGGTCCATTCCATTTGAATCTGGGTGTTGTCGGTGCGAAGATCACGAATGGTGGAGGAGAGTTTGGACGCGCCAGCACACCAGACGGGATCGTTCTTAAGAATGTAAACGAGGGCGGCAATGATCCGAACCGTAATCAGTTCCGGCTGGCGGTTCGGCTAGAATTACCTAAGAATCCTCTGTTGATCTGGGGAGCGCTTCTCGACATTCTAACGGGAAAATTCACTGATTTTAACCTCGAGTTCTTTGCGGAAACGATCGGGGGCCAGCGGGTTCCGTGGTTGACAGCGTGTTTGGATGGTGTTCCACTATATCTCAAAGGCAACCTTTTGCGAATTATTGTGGGTCTCCTTACACATATGAAAATCCAGCTTGGACCGCTTACGATTCCGCCGCCTCCGATATTTAACCAGGCAGCGCAGAACCTCCTTGGCAGCCTGCCGCAACAGGTGCTGATTACAGACTTTGATGCTCCACTGGGCTTCCTGCCAGCAAATTCGACGCTTCCCGCCGCTAATCAAACGATACCGGCGAACATTACCTCGTCGGTCTCCTCATCCTTGTCTGCTCCGACCGTTTCCACAACAGTTATACTGCAACCAACTTCCAGCGCGCCTAATAGGGCTGCTTCAGCGCCCGCACCCGCGCGGTCAGTCTCGGCATCGGCGTCGTTTGTTGCATCAGCCACAGCCGCAAGGCCACCGCCAGTACCATCACTGGTCGTTACTTAGAGTTTATACTTATTCATATATGTTACATAGCTAAGACCTCAGAAGCCTTTAAATTATTCGCAGCCTGCAACAGTACATAGATAGACTAGCCACATATTGTAAGCTTAAATACGATACCATATATTAAGACCCCCTGGCAGATAAGATTACTAAATCTCGTTCGTTCAACATTATCACTGACTATACTGAGTTACTACTCATAGAATAATCATCAGCCGCTTGAGAGCAGTATCATTCTTGAAAGATAGTCATCTTCAATACTGTTCAACCATCAACGTCCGCTATGCTGGCTGGATTTTCCTTGCGCTTTTGACGACGCATGTCAATAGGATTTGCTACTGATATTTACTATCACGAAGGAATTTCTTCAAGATTTGAGGGCATGGTACAGTAGCAGAACACCGCCGGTTTCAGCCTTGTAATGAACAATTTCAAGCAAGTGTTCAGAAGAAATGCGAAGAATGAATAAATGGGAAGGTGATGCAATCCACCTCCTGTCGTTCATAACTGAAATCTGCATGCGTACCTTATCCCTTGCTTCACCAACTGTGATATGTTTATCTAGCGGTTTCCCATGAATTGGTCGTGATAAAGTAACAACAAAGTCGTCGCTCGTCAGATCGCGAAATTGATCCGACTGCGCCGCGTAGTACTCTCGGAGAACCATGGAGAGATGACCCACTGGAGAAGCAAGGAACACCTTTAACATCGCTTAACCATATATATGAGAATCTTAGAATCGCAACCTGTGCATTCGTTTTCGGTACGTAGACGCAGGACTTCACCCAGTGGGAGGCGTTTGTCACAGGGGTGGGCTATAGCTGTGACTTCGATGGTCTCATCGGGGAGAAAGAGTCTCAGCATGCTTATCACATGCGTAACACCTTCCAGATCCAAAATACGCACCCACGGGGGTTGGTCTTGACCTGACAAAGTTTGAATACTCGCAGGCTCAGGCGATGGTGCGTCAGATACTGATGTTTCAGAACGAACTCCATCACTCTCCGTGTTGGATTCGCCGCATGTACCATTTTCAGACTCTATCTCGTAATCGTCATGACCATCCGGTGATATTCGTGGAGAACGTGCTGCCAGCGACAATTAGATGGACAAGACGTGAATTTAAAGGCGAAATCTTATAACATCCCTACCTAATCCATTTGCACAATCTGCAGCACCCACGGTAGTCGAGCGTTTCTGAGCGGGGACCACAGCGCTCTCTATAAGCATGAGTCCTGAAACGAGAAGATTCTCTCGGTATGATTCTACTCACCACACCCCGGCCCTTGCGGACCATTTCCTGCCTTTTAATACCCTCCTCGTACATTTTCCGGAGATTAAACGTTGATCTCGCAATTATGCTGTCGAGCTCAGTAGCGTCTTCCGTTTCAGATGATCCCAAGCTGGGATAGATCATTCGTATAATCTCGTCGAATCGGGTATCTGGGCGCAGATTGCGCATGGAATGGCACTCTCGTCGACACGCAGGACACTCTTTGTTTCTGTCGGATATGTTAGCATCGAGAGCCAGTCAGCTCCACTGGTAAAGAGTGCATAACATACCCTTTGAAGAGTGCTTCCCTAATGCATGCATAGCAAAAGCGATGCATGCACTTTACACAGTTTTAATATCCCTCAAGATGGAATCATGATCTGAATATTTCTTACCTCCACAGTTACCATTGTCTGTTGAAGGATATTCCGACACACTGGACAGGTGAATTCTTCACTCAGGACTTTGAGGGGACTGAAATGCAGAGGTACAAGTTATAAAATGGTCCGGAATTACCTTTATCTGACAAAGCCAACAAGGTGCTACGTAGTGCTTATGAAGCCTCTCGCTCCTCTGACTTTGGCGCAATTATGGAAAAGCTTCCTGCCAGAACTCACAGTGTCACCTGAGTATCATCGGTTATTATAGGTATTGGAGGTCGTTGTTTTTCGTACGCAGATAAGCCTGGAATAAACATAAAATTGCTCAAATACAATCCTTTCCACATGTCGGTCTTCGTACGGACTCTAACACATACGCAATCGGTAATCGTCCTCTGACTGAGATTCGCTCTCATCAGCATTTCTCGCTCGTTTGTTTTTTGACTTTCCCTGCTGTACGACAGTCTTTCTTCAGAACACCGCGTGGGCTTTTCCTACGGTACATCCGGCGCCAGTATAACTTACTACAGTTTTTGTTCTAGCCTCCATTGCTGAAGCGTTGATTGATACAGAGTCTGCAGATAATTTCAGCTTTCACAACTCTTGCAAGCGGTCCGAACATTAAAACAAAAAATGTCAAGTGGTTGTTCAGTCGCCGTGGGAAGCACTGCACGCGTTGCGACTTCGATCGTGTTCGTAATGATTAATCACGTGATCACAGTCACATGACTATATTGGAACCGTGCGCGGGCACAACAAGAAAAGCAATTGGCGAGCAGATTAAGAGGTCCTTCCCTTTTCGCACGCGCTTAACGGCTCTGAGACCAAAGCCAAGCGAACTCCCATCATGAAGGTAGATGTCGACTTTGCGAATTTAATGAGGAGGGGATGTTGGGTGGAATGGGAACGGGTCGATGGATGGATGGATGGACGGATGGATGGATGGATGAGCATGGGTGCTGGGACGTTCGGAGCATGAGTTAGATAGTTGGAAATGACGGACATTTGGACTAACTAGTGCCCTTCCTTGACCTCCCGATATTAGTTGAACATTGCGTACCCCGCTCTCGGGACCCAAAAGTGCATTGAGGTCGACGATGAGCGCAAGTAGTGAGTATTTTGGACAGTTGCAAGTGACAAACTCGGCTCAGAAACATCGAATCGGACGTGATCCTCACCTACCCAAACTCTTGTTCTATTTTCGATTAGCCGTATCTTCTACGACAAGCGCATGTCGACTGAAGTGAAGGGTGATGCCCTCGGTGACGAGTTCAAGGGCTACGTCTTCAAGATCACTGGTGGAAACGACAAACAAGGTTTCCCCATGAAGCAGGGTGTTTTGGAGGCCCGCCGTGTCCGTCTCCTCCTCTCTGCTGGTCACTCCTGCTACCGTCCTCGCCGGACGGGAGAGCGCAAGCGCAAGTCCGTCCGTGGGTGTATCGTCGGCAGTGACATTTCAGCTCTCTCCCTTGTTGTTGTGAAGCAGGGTGAGGCCGACATTCCCGGTTTGACCGACACCCAGATCCCTAAGCGCCTCGGACCCAAGAGGGCTAGCAAAATCCGCAAGATGTTCAACCTCAGCAAGGAGGACGATGTTCGCAAATACGTCATCCGCCGCGAGATCCCCGGTAAGGGTGACAAAAAGGGCTACACCAAGGCCCCCAAGATCCAGCGGTTGGTCACTCCCCGTACTCTTCAGCGCAAGCGTCACTTGCTTGCTCTCAAGCGTCGTCAATCTGAGAAGGTTCAGGAGGTACGTAGTCGCATCTTGGCGGAATTTCACCGATGGTTGTGTTAACTTCATATGTCTCTAAAGGATGCTGCTGAGTACGCCAAGATTCTTGCTCAGCGTATCAAGGAGCGCAACCAGAAGCGTCAGGAACTCCACCTGAAGCGCCGTCTGTCTTCGACCCGCAAATCTACCGCCCAGGCATAGATTATATGTCGGGAATAGTAGAGAAGTGTGGATATGGATGGTGTGCGTAGATGGGGTTGATGGAGCGGATACTGGTCTTGTGGATGGGATCGGGTCCGGTTTAATTCATCTTTTGTGGAATATATGCCATGAAACCTGGAAGTGTGTGTGTGGATGTTTCTGGGCCAGCCGGCTGCGATTTCATTGTTCCTTCGGTTGTGCTGGGTCTTTCAAAGTCGGTGTGGACCGGATGTTATATAGTACTCTTGGCAATAAGGAGAATTCTTGCATTATCTACTTGCACAACGTCATATTCACTCATACTTCTACAATTGACTGGCCTGCAGTCCAAACGCGATAATGATAATGGCCAAATTTCGACCCCATAATGTCATTCTCCCCGACTCACAGAACTGAATGTCCTGCAACCCTGACTTTCCGTTTAACTTCATTCCAGAGCGCCCAAACCCATTCCATTGGAGTATCACAGGGCACACAACAAACAAACACAACATAGAGTAAGCGATCGTCCCAATTCGGGGCACTACTAGCGTCAGCGAGTCCCACGGTAACTGCAAATTGAGCGATTCCTTCAACGGTAAGGAGATCCATCGTCTCGGAAGGGGATGTACATGTGAAAGAGGTACCAAAGTGTGGGCCGCGAGTATAGGACGTGTAGTCGTAGCATTTGAGTTTAACAGATAGCCACATCCCAGTGCGTGTCTTCACGAGAAAAAGTAGGTGAGATGCTTTCATCTGGCAACATCAATACCACTTGAGGAGCGCTCACCTCTCCACGGATTTCTCCACAAACATCATCCTCCCTTCCCGCATAGGCCCTATACCAATCGTCAAAAATAGGTGTCCGCTTCCAGCTGCCACCCTTCCATTCAATCCTTTGAAATGCGTCAAAATATCTTTGCTCTATCCCCTTTAACGGGTAATGCAGAGTCTGGCATCTTTTGAGCAGTGCGTGCTTGTCGTGGAGGATGTTCGTACATTGAACGTCCAAGTCGGTCAGCACGGCGAGTATTGAGTGCCGGGATAGATGGGCCAGAAGCGCACGGAGAATGGGGAGCGCCGGATGTAAGGTGGCAATGTATGACTCGTGCTAGACTTCGAAACCGACTTATTAGAGAAGTCCTCGAGTCTACTACATCGAGAAGCAAGGACAAACCTCGTCCAAAAACCTCTCGTTCAGACAACCACTTGTATCACCTTTCGTCCACTTCTCCACCATGTCGCCTTGCAAACACGGATGGGTATCCACTAATTCCCGCCCATCGGTCCCGTCAAGCAGGCCTTCCCAAAATGTTCGCACAGTTCCCTTCCATCCCAACCGGTTAAAGTACTCTGTCAGGGCCACCACTACGCCCTTGGCAATCTTTGCTTGATACTTAGTGACTTCCATTATTTGAACTTGAGCGGTATTGGGAGGGAGGTCAAGCATGGCGCAGAGAGATGCTGGAACGTCCATGTAGAGATGGGTACTGTAGATGGTTTGCCAGCTAGAGCCCATTGGGTATCGAACCGTCCACGACAAAAATATGATGGGAAGTACTGATGAAGTAGTGGTAGGCGGGATGAGACTGAGAATCGCCTTCTCCTTTTCACTAAGATAGCCTTTCCAAAGCGTTTCTAAATAGGGGCGAAGACATGACCTCTATACAGTAAAACATAAGATACATATGTATTTCCATCATCATAAACTACTTGCATCGTCCATAAACAAACCCGTTCTGTGTCGTCGACCCAATCGAGATCCGCCCGAACACCTTTGATCGCCCCTCTCAACCACTCCACGCCCTTCTGCTCGTTCCTCTGTATCATTGCCGCATCCAATCTTCTCTTAACAATCGTCTTCACCCGAGAACCAATGTAAGCACAGAGTTCTCTATTCGCCTTACCAAGTGTGAAGAGGTCGTGAACCGGAAGATGGGTTAATATTTCATCGATAATTTCGATGGGAAGCGTGCATGGGTGAACAAATGGGGAAGACATCTCTGCGGCGGGCTTGGGCTGGCTGAGAAGGTCAATCAGCTACAGTGTAAGTCGCGAGACACAGCCGATTACTTAATCTCGACGCGCCACTTTAGAATTTCTACACTATAGAACCTATATCCAATCTACCAGTATCGATTCATGATGGCTAGGGCTCCTATTCGACCCAAAAAGCCTGCTGCATTCGCCTGAGTAGTAAAAAATATTAATTTATGCTGCCAAGAAAACACAGTGAACACCAAAACTTACCGGAATTAATCGCAGCAGCGCTGGCGTGGTTCCTCTGAACAAAGCACCTACACCCTCCTGGCGTAGAATGCGAATTGCCGCGTCGGAAAAGCCGTTATAGGTACCAGGTGGGGATGACTGGATGCGAGATTTTATCACGTCTGGAGGCTGCAGAACGAGGTGAATAGAGCAATTCTGCGAGTAAAAAAAGATATGACGGATAAACTTACAATCGCCAATGCCCATAGCGATCCACCTCCAAGAACTGACAAAGAGGGAGTTTAGGTTCACGCACGCGTTACGGAGGCAGGCATTGATTATACCTGCAGTAAGCACAGCTATATAAAGATCTCGAGGATTCTTTTCTTCACCTGCCACCGCCCGATGGACAACCTCATATGCCACAAAATACGCCGCAAATCCAGGCACATCCCTAGCCAACGTTGCCCACGTCCCTCTATAAAGAGCTCTCAGTCCACCTTCACGAAGGAGTTCTCTGGTCGCGTTCCATATCCCGTATGTACGCTGATATTTCTGTGTAGGTGCGTGATGGTCTTGTGTTTGCATTGTAACCTTGATCTGTTCGGTTGGGACCGTGACGATACTCGAAGGGATAGCGGCCAAAGCACCTGCAAAGGCCGATTGGGAGACGCTCAATTCTGGTAAAGATGTTGACGACGGCGCATACATCAAGTGACAACCAATATCATACGCCTAATGAAGTCGAGCATGATGAGGGCTCTTCCATGCTAGTGCAGCACTTGTGCTTCATCACCACATTATTACCCAGAATCTCAACGCATACCGCGGTGTGACACCAAGTAGTGGAGATCCCATGCCTCTGTAAAGCCCCCTAAACCCATGTCTTTGGATGGTTGTCTTGAAGCAGGCGGTCATTGACAAGTCCGTACGACATTTTTGCGTTTGCAACCGGACCTTGATCGTGTCGAACGGATGCTAGAAAGCGTATTTCAATTCTTCATCAGATAAAGGGTCGTATTCGAGAACTTCATACAACTCGATAGACCAAAACATACACCTGCAACGACGGTTGCGGCGCCCGCTACAGCGCCAGATATAACACTCTTTGCTTGATCATATAATGCACCATCATGCTGCGTGTGATGTTCTTCATCGTTTTGTGAGCGGAATGAGGGCACAGATATCAAGTCCTGAAAGTTGTTGTACATGCTCGCAGGAAGATGGGCGACTGCGAGATAGACCAGCGGCCTTTTGGCTTACTTGAGTCAGTTACGTCACAACTTTTGTTGCCATGTCAACATGCACATGCCTCTTGCTGGTAGTTATCATAAAATGTACAAAATAACCAAATGTAAACCATACTTCAACCTAATTGGAAGATGATTTAAATTAAGTATAATATACAGACATGGTAAGTGATATCAAGTGTGTGGTTACTTTTCACATAAAGAGGAACGTCAGCTGGGTTCGAAAGGACCTTGTAGATTGCAAGGTTTATGAAAATAATTGGGTGAAATGCAAGAATTGTGCGTAAGGATCCCACCTTCGCAGCGTAGCTTATTCATTTAGGGTTATGAGCTTACGCCGATAATCTATAGTTATTCATCACAGAGCGTGATAAATTTGGTGATACTATCCGCCCGTATATCACTTGCACAATTATTATTTTAGGCAAGACTGTAATTCTTGTAGAACTTTAAGCCTGTGTTTTTGCAGTAGATCCTTAGAGTATTTCTTGGTACGGTAGTTGTGCATTGTTAGCTTCTGGATTTCTACTATCTTTAGGTTACCACCCTTTTATTTTACAATAGTTGGAACATCAATGCCACGTTTGAAAAAGAATCGTATCAAAGAAAAATTGGAACTAACATTTTGTATGCTCAGGAAAATGTACAGTATGTTAAACAAAGCAATGTCATGGAAGAGCCACTCTAGTTCTTTACAACGGAATGTTGCCGTGTTTCTTCTTGGGGTTCTCCCTCTGCTTTGTTTTCAACATCTTTAGGTCCTCAACAATGCGGCGACGAGTCGTAGAAGGAAGAATAACGTCGTCGAGAAAACCGCGCTGGGCGGCGGGGAGCGGGTTTGCAAACTTGGCCACGTCTAGGGGGATGAACTTTAGAAACCGGCAATATCAACATCAAACAGTCAAGCCTACGTACATTCAGCCTCCGCTTGTGCTGGGTAACAAGAGAAAAGTCTATTAGCAGTGAATTCATCAATGAATCATATCCCGACAATATACGCACTCTTATCTTTGACATTTCTGAAAATAATCTCAACGGCGCCCTTCGCGCCCATGACAGCAATCTCTCCACTGGGCCAGGAGTAGTTCAAATCCCCTCTTAAATGCTTGGAACTGAAACACAATCACATCAGCATACACAATAGGTTACTGGAAAAAGAAAACTGTCACCTCATGACATCGTAGGCGCCACCGTATGCTTTTCGTGTAATAATTGTAATCTTGGGAACAGTCGCCTCAGCATAGGCATAGAGAAGTTTCGCCCCGTTACGGATAATGCCACCGTGCTCCTGGGCAGTTCCTGGCAGAAAGCCGGGCACATCGACGAAAGTCAACAGAGGTATATTGAAAGCGTCGCAGAATCGAACCCAACGGGCGGCCTTCACGGAGGCATTGATGTCTAATACACCAGACGATACCAAAGGCTGGTTCGCAATGATAGACACCGTCTGCCCTCCCATACGGGCAAATCCGATCACAATATTCTTCGCAAAATCAGGCATTATCTCGTAGAAGGTTCCGTCATCCACTATTCGACCAATAACATCCTTCATATCATAAGCCTTGCTCGAGTCAACAGGAATGATAGTGTCGAGAGCTGCATCCGCGCGGTTGATGTTGTCCTCAGTCGGTCGGACTGGGACGTCATGACGATTAGACAAAGGTAGAAAATCTACGAATTCTCTCAGTCGCGACAGAGCTTCAATATCATTGTCAAAGGCAAGATGGGCGACACCAGATTTTGTGGTGTGCGGCTTGGCACCACCAAGCTCTTCTTGGGTCACGTTTTCGTTTGTTACGGCCTTGACGACTTCAGGGCCCGTAACGAACAAGTAAGACGTGTCGCGTACCATAAAAGTGAAGTCCGTAAGGGCAGGGGAGTAGACGGCTCCTCCAGCGCACGGACCCATGATAAGCGAAATCTGCGGGACAACACCCGACGCCAGCACATTGCGCTGGAAAATGTCCGCATAACCACCGAGCGAGTCGACACCTTCTTGAATACGAGCACCGCCAGAGTCGTTCAAGCCAATTACAGGGGCGCCGACCATCAAAGCCTGATCCATGATCTTGCAAATTTTTTGGGCATGCATTTTTGACAAACTTCCTCCAAACGCTGTGAAATCTTGGCTGAAGACGTAGACCAGACGTCCATTGATTGTGCCGTGACCCGTCACTACACCATCTCCCGTTATCTATTTCAGAATTGAGGATTCAATAGGGAGCGCACAAGAGATGGCGTACTGGTCGCAGCACTACCTTCTGTTTCTCCATCCCAAAGTCCACACACTGATGCTCAACAAAAGTGTCGTATTCGCGGAAGGAACCATTATCCAAAAGGAGGTCAATTCGCTCCCGGGCCGTTAGTTTCCCCTGTAGAGAGACGAGGTCCAAAACCAGAGTTAGTGACAAGTTCACGGGTCCAGTCAAGTGTGACTGCTTATTACCTTTGCATGCTGGGTATCTATCCTCTTTTGCCCCCCGCCAAGTCTTGCTTCAGCGCGTTTCTCCTCCATCTTGCGAATCATGGCCTATTTTCCTGTTAGCATTCGCAGCGGGTGTGCTAATGCGTTGTCCGATGGAACATACCGTTTCGCCTGACGTGACAGTTGCGGCCGCAGCTGTAGCCAGAGTGCGTGCCTGCATAACCGTGGCCCTTCCAACGCCAAAGAGATTTCGGGCTCCATACTGTGTGGCTCGCAGGCTTGCCCGCGAAATAGTGGCCATGTTGAGATGCATCTTGTAGATCGCAATAATACGCAGTAATGGGGAATTCGGGATAATGCAGAGGAAGGTCACTTATCGGAAACCTACGGGAGCCTTCTTGAACACAGTCCGATACAAAGTAGCTCTGTAGTAGGCGTCCACCTCTTGGCGTACACCAACTGTGTCCTCCACCACTTTGCTTGGTTTGTCGTTGCCGTCCGCTCGGCTTACAGCACCAATGCGACTGTGCCACAAAACTACACACAGTCACAGTGAACAGTTCCGTTGTCAATGGCAACTGTCTGATTCAACAGTTCACGATTTAATTTGAAGTTGGTCCCAGCCTCGCGATCAACCAAATACTGCCACCATGGCCATGAAGCTAACTCCGACAACCAAGAAGGTCTTGGTCGATGGTATGCTTGCAAAGACTTGAGGAGCATTCTTCTGTCGCTTAGGGTGGAGTGGAATAGTTTTGGATAGAAGTCGCTGATCTCTCGGTTGTTCCGCACTAGTGTCCATATTTGCGTTATCGCAAGTGGTGCTATACTTTGGGTAATTAACTGGTTAGCTACTCTTAATTTTGGTCTCTCTTATAACTTTATATATATACCATAGCGTCAAATGGGTCCTTTCTTCACTGGATCCTTTCAAGAAGAAGAAGGAGGAGGCAAAGGCAAAGAGCAACCGAGTGCTTGGGAAGCTGGGTGTATGTTGACTGCGGCGCACTATGCATGACGGAGACGTGCAATTCTTGAGCTGACTCCGATTACTAGATCCGCGACCTTAAGTTGACAGAACATGAGGAAATTATTGCCGCAGAAGTTGTATACCCTGAAGACATACCTGTCCGCTTCACAGGTTGGTATTCAACCTCGTGGCAATTTCATTACTGGCTTATTGAGTGTCTATCATTCAGATATTGGCGGATTGGATAATATTGTCAAGTCATTGAAGGAGTCCGTAATCTACCCATTATGTTATCCACAGCTGTTCAGTTCGGCATCAGGGTTACTGGGAGCCCCGAAAGGAGTGTTGCTCCACGGACCACCAGGTAACCTCTTCCTTTCCGAGCTAATAGCGATATGATGGATCTTAACTTGCGCCTTACGTAGGGTGTGGCAAGACAATGCTAGCCAAGGCGCTTGCAAAGGAGTCAGGGGCAACATTTATCAACCTTCACGTATCTACCTTGATGGAGAAATGGGTATGACGTCCATACTCTCGATGGAATACTGCAAATTTTCTAGATTCACTGATCTTTCCTTATTAGTTTGGCGAATCGCAAAAGCTGGTGTCAGCAGTTTTCACACTTGCTCATAAACTGCAACCGTGCATCATTTTCATTGATGAGATTGACTCATTCCTGCGGGAACGGAAGAGCCAAGATCACGAAGTGACAGCGATGATGAAGGCAGAGTTTATGACGTATGTGATCATATACTACTTTTGAGCGAGAAAGAAGCCTAGAATGAAACCAGTCTTGTCTAGGTTATGGGACGGTCTTGCCACGGGAGACATGCGTGTGTTGGTAAGCATCATAAGGATGACATTAATACGTGGGGACTGTGTGGCCGAACCTTATACCGCCATTTCAGGTCCTAGGGGCAACAAATAGACCGGGTGACATTGATCAAGCGATTCTTAGAAGGATGCCAAAACGCTTTGAAATCAAACTACCTGACGCAGAGCAGCGTAAACGAGTTCTCAGTCTGGTACGTAACGTTGATGTGGTCATTGTCATGTGCCATATTGAACCTAAGTTTCGTTCAGCTTTTGCGTGGAGCCAATCTGGAACCTGGCTTTGACTTGAGAGAGTTGGTTATTAGAACAGCGGGATATTCTGGAAGTGATCTAAAAGAGCTATGTCGAAATGCAGCAATGATGCCTGTTCGGGAAGCAATTCGAGAGTATGATGGAATGTTACATGAGGTGGACATTAGTGTACGTCGAAATGCTACGGTGGATCCTCTTCACAATTCTCATCTGCCTTCACTCTGTAGGAGGTACATATTCGACCACTGAAGATTGATGATTTCTTTACTTTGAATGGCATGCATGTTGGGGATGGAACATTAGCAGAAGTTGTTGACCTGGATTGATAGCTTATTGTACTGGTTTTGGTGTCCTCTAGTTGTTGGCTCATACTTCTCCTTTACTTATATAGAATGATTTGTATAGTAATGTTTATTTTCATGCTTTGAAAAACATGCTCAATTTGATGTTTTCGCCTGATTTGCCCAACCTTGAGCCAAGTCACCGGGCCGGTTCTTGTTGTATGCGCACAACACGGGCAAGTGGACACCAAGCTGCCAAGCTTTTGGGACTTACTTTCCTTGTTTTTCCGATACAAGGCTTTTGACTTGCATCTGGCGTGGGGTGTTGGAAAGGGCACCGCTAACAAGAAACGATCGCGCGTCTTTGGCTGCATCAAGTTGCATTGGGACTTTGCACCCACCAACCCGAATCTACCTGTAACATTTGCATTTTGCGCCACTAGTTATTGTATATATCCGGTAAGGGCTGCGAGCTTGCACAAAGGAGATAAGGAGAAGCCACCACAGGAGACTTGGTAGGCAATTGAAGGCGGCTTATTGAACCTATTTGTCTCAATTCCAGCTATGCTTGGCCAACTGCGTTCCCACTTGCAACACACCCTGTCGCCTTCGACACCTAGGGCTCTTTGGGCACAATGCACGCTCCACAGCAGACGAACATCTATGAGGGCTCTTGCTACGTCTACGGATTATGGAAAGGTAATCTGCATTTTGCGTGGCGGCCATTAAGCAAGCTGGGCCTGACGAGTTACTCGTGCTGGGAACAGACTTTTGACAAGATCCTGATTGCCAACCGTGGTGAAATTGCCTGTCGTGTCATCAAAACAGGTCTGAGGGGCGCTTAGTGAGGATGTTGTGGGGACGTTTACTGATGCGGCTGGATTGGTTTATTTTAGCCAGAAAAATGGGCATCAAGACTGTTGCGATTTACTCGGACGCTGATGCAAACTCGCTCCACGTGCGAATGGCCGATGAGGCTGTACATGTCGTAAGTCGTCTCTGTTTATGCTCGTAACGGTTACATGCCAGCTGAGCAAAAGTAAATCAGGGACCACCGGCCACAAGCAAGAGTTACCTGAACATTCCAAATATCATTGGGGCCATCAAACAAACTGGGGCACAAGCTGTTCATCCAGGTATGTTCGCGCACCGCGGTACATTGTAGCATCCTGAATGAGAAGCATGACAGTGTGCCCACACCAGGATACGGTTTTCTGTCCGAAAACAGTCACTTTGTGCATGCTCTCGATGAAATCGGCTGCACGTTCATTGGACCCAACGAAAAGGCCATGGCTGCCATGGGGGACAAGATTCAGAGTAAGATTTTTGCCCACGAAGCCAGGGTGAGCACCATTCCTGGATTCAATGGTGTTGTGCAGAATGCGGACCATGCGGTTGAAATTGGTAAGATAGATGATTTAGGTGGCATTTGTCCGATTCGGTGTGATGACTTCTGAACCTTCTAGCGAAATCTATCGGATACCCTGTGATGATTAAGGTATGTTATGGAATTGACTAATACATTCGGAGCTCATTTAGGACTGACCTTGACTATCTGTCACCTTGTCCAGGCTTCAGCAGGCGGTGGTGGGAAAGGAATGCGAATCGCTTGGTAGGGCTTTACATGGGTCAATGTTCTCCTTCCGCAATTTTATTGATTCGAATTTTGTTGTCCAAAGGAACGACCAAGAAGCTCGCGATGCGTTCAAAATTTCTTCCTCGGAAGCATTGTCTAGCTTTGGAGATGACCGATTGCTGGTGGAAAAGTTTGTTGAGCATCCGCGTCATATTGAGATTCAGTTGATTGGAGACAAGCACGGCAACGTGGTAAGTCAAGGCATCAAGCCCATTTCACATGTAACTCTCTATTTATTTATATATGTGCTGGTCAGATATATTTGCCGGAGCGTGAATGTTCCATTCAGCGACGTAATCAGAAGGTCATTGAAGAGGCACCTAGTGTTCATATTGACCAAGCCACCCGGAAAGCCATGGGAGAACAGGCTGTTGCTCTCGCGAAAGCTGTAGGATACTATTCTGCCGGTGGGTTGCTATAAAGAAAGGAGGGTCTGTAGTTGCATTTGGTCATTAACCGTCTCACTGATTGGGGGAAATGCAGGGACTTGCGAATTTCTGGTGGATCCAAAACGGAACTTTTACTTCCTTGAGATGAATACTCGATTGCAGGTGTACGTTCTAGTCTTTGCTGAGAACTTGGAGTTAACCTGCGGTCTCAACTGATTGGATTTCCTCAGGGAGCACCCGATTACCGAATACATTACCGGTTTGGATCTTGTCGAGCAGATGATTCGGGTGGCTGCGGGTCAGCAACTCGGCTTCAAGCAATCTGATGTTAAAATCAACGGATGGGCCTTTGAGTCTCGAGTGTATGCTGAGGATCCCGAGAAATACCTTCCCTCTATCGGAACCCTCAACAAGTACATTGAACCAAAGGGGAAAGGAGATGAAGTTCGTTGTGATTCAGGAATCATTGAAGGGTCTGAAATCTCGATTTACTATGATCCGCTGATCTGCAAACTGTGCACACATGGAGCGACTCGAGATGAGGCCATGAAAAATATGGAGAAGGCACTGGACGAGTATGTGATCAAAGGTGGGGCCGAGTTGTCAGTGTAGGAAATACAACAGCTATGTTCATACGTGAGACTCTCCGTAGGTGTCACACACAACATTCCCTTGCTTCGCGACGTGATTAGCCATCCCCGTTTTGTACAAGGCAAGCTTTCTACAGCTTTCCTGGCCGAAGAGTATCCTAAAGGGTTCAAGGGTCACCGATTGACGGAGCAGACCCGGGAGGAACTCGTTGCCGCTGCAGCGTTGGCGCATGCGAAGCGAGACTTGCGCAACCGGACGTGGGTTAGTGGAGGAGGACCGTTGACTGAGGGTGCCCCACAGCGGGATCAGTGGGACTTGTTTGTCGGTGTTGGTGCGGACGCGCCTGTACCGGTTACGTTGAAAAGAAACGGGGATGGCTCTTTCTTGGTAGGTCATCCGAAATCGCCGCCAGCTGCGGGATTCGAGTTTATACTTGTTTTCTGTTTTAGGTGGACATTGACGGCAAACCTGTAACGATTTCTGCGGACTGGCCTTTGGAGAGTCCTATATTGAGAGCAGCTCTCAAAACCCCAGAAGGAACAAGCCGAACCGCCACACTCCAATATCTTGAGTCGCACCCTCTTGGCTATAAACTAGCCCACCATGGGACCAAATTCGACGTTGTCGTGCACACCGCACTCCAAAATGCGCTCTCAAAACATATGAAGGAGAAACCTAAGTTGGATTTGACCCGCATGATTCTCGCTCCTATGCCTGGTTCCGTCGTATCCGTTGCTGTCAAAGAAGGAGATACCGTAGCAGAAGGTGCCGAATTGGCTGTGGTTGAGGCAATGAAGATGCAGAACGTGCTGCGGGCACCTAGAGTGGGTAAAATCAGTAAAGTGTTTGTACAGGCCGGCCAGAGTGTTGCTGGGGACGAGGTTATGATCGAATTCTTTGGCGAGGAGGAGGTGAAGAAGGCAGCGTAGATTATTGCACCCATGTAGGACATGAGTCAGAATTATTACAATAAAGCACATATGAATTTACATTGCCAGGGCACCGCCATGGCGATGAGTTTCTTTGCATCTATTCCCAGTAATTACACTCTGTTCATAAATAAAGAAACCTTTTGCGACACCATTCCGCCCTGATTCAACCCTCCAAGAACAACAAATTCGAATGCGTTTACTCCATTCTCCAACCCCACCAGACAGTCAAACACCGTTGCGCCCCCCATTTTGAACGCCAACGTCTTGGTTCTCATTCCGCGGTCACCTGGAAGCATCGTTTGCGTTCCTGTAATGGTATATGATACTTGGTTAGACGATAATAGGAGAAGCCGAAGGTTTAGAGAGCGGACTTGTTGTGGGACCGTCATGGCGTGGGAGGTTTGGGTTGGAGTGGGGATCGGGAGGATCATTCGGATATGATCGTCATTTGAGACGATGCCAAGAGATGTGACGAGGGAACGGGCAGGTGTGGCGTTGGATGCTGCTTCTGGACGGTTTGAGGACGTGGGGGTCGTGGCTGTTGTCGAAGGAGCTTTACTATTTGCATTGTTCCCTTCTCCTTCGTCTCCAGATGAAATGGCTTCAACATCGATAAATGATTCTGGGTCGCCTATCCTCTCCTGTCCATTGACGAGTCTTTTCTGTTTTACTTCTTCAACTTTGGAAATCACTTCTTGCTCGGCATTCACGTTGGAACGAGCAGGTGGAATCTTGATCTTCACTTTGGTCGCGTCCGGTATCTCAGACTGCTGTTCAGAGGGATGATCGGACTGCAGCACCAATCGGACGGCAGGGAGCGCCCCCTTACGACTCTTCTTTTGCACATCACTGACAGAAGAATCCTCCGCATCCTCCTCGATGACTTTGTTATGCGCTGTACCATTTGTTTTACTGGTCTGTTGTTGAGATCGTAACTATGTTAATTTTCCATCGTGTGGTATCCGGCGCAATCATTATTGCAAATTTACCTTTGACAAAAGCTTTGTCCATCCCGGCACATCTGGATCAGCCACCATATCGAATGCTGTTTGTCCCCCAATATTCTCAAACTCTGTGTCGGCGTTGTAACTTTCCACCAGTAGCTGGCACATTTCTAGATTTCCCCCATATGCTGCCCACCCAAGCGGTTTCTGGCAGAATTTATTTGGCATCAGTATCAGGCTAACGAGAAAATGCACATATTCACACATACTGATTGATACCACGTATCTGAGAGCTCGACATCAGCACCATGGTCGATCAATTGCGTGGCAATGTCACACCGTCCAAAATAGGCGGCAGCGTGTAATGGCGCCCAGGTGAATTTTGCACCAAATAGGTTTGCTTCAGTGAGCGTGTTTACATCGAGACCTTTGGCTAGAAGTCCTTTAACGGTTTTCAAGTCATCCATTTCAATGGCCGAGATTAGTGCATCAAGATCTGCTATGAGAACATGAGTTTGCCAAATCCTCACGTAACATTTGGCCCGAGAACATATGCGCACCTTTTCCCGAATGGGCCTTCTTTGCGGTACTTTTCATGTTCTTTCTGCCAGCGTTTTCCTTTCCTTCAGCTACCTGTTGTAGCTCATCAATTAACCCCTCTTCTTTGACGTTCTCCAGCTCAGTTCTGAATCGCTGCAGCAGAAAAACAGCGTCCTTGTATATCCTTGACTGAGGTTGGTTATACTTTTTGGCATTTTCAAACACGAGTTCAACGTCTGTTCGAAATGACTGGATGGACTTGTACTTGTTATGGTCCAACCTAGCCTATGATTCCGGAAGGTTGAATGAAGAACAACGCAAAGAGAGAAATATGAAATATGTGGGCGTACCTGTATGCTATTCATGGCGATTGGCTTTGCGATAACCTCGTCATAATCCGGAAATTGAGTTCGTGGAGGAAGCTGAAGGTATGGTTCGGCTAACAGTCTTCCGCTGATAGCACCAACAAAAGGTACCCGTACTGTCAATAAAGAGGCACCAGAGTCTTCGGCAACAACAACAAAAGCCCTACCTGTCGTCTTTATAATATCGAACGACATCAAATAAGCGTCTACAGATACCCTGAATGTCTGATCCATTTGCAACTAAAGCGCCATCCACACTCGCTTCATGATCGATCTTTTGAAAAACGCCATCCTTTGTTTAACAAGCACGGAAGGAGACACTTGTAAAATTACCTCCCGCACCGACCTTGTTTCCCATTCTTGCCTTCTTCGATCTCTGCCCTGGTTCCGGTGTTGCGCCAGGTGTAACACTTCGTATTGAACGACTTTCGATTGGAGCAGGTGAAGGATCACTCAATGCGGCACGCTTTCGCTTCGTAGACATTGTGTGGGAAAAGGTGGACACGCGGGGGATAGCGTTAGGCGCGTAGAGGTTTACTCCAGTGTTGATGTTGCTAATGAGAGTGACGAGACCGTGTGTATTTATTTCAAGGGTGTGTCGGTGGAAGGATAAAACGATAGCAAGCGTCGCATGAGTCGTAATGGTCGCAAAGCCTCTGTCCCGTCTGAATTGAACAGCGCTACAATAGAGGTTCCAAGGGGGGTATACCAAACGTTGACCTTCCGACCTAACCTCTTCCCGTTCGCCAAGATGCAAGATTGTCGGTAATAACAACGATTGCGAGCCTCGGACACATATTTGGGGAGCGGGTTTGAGGATCTTGCTTTGGGGGGCATTTGTTGTGGCACAGTGATTGTGCGTATAGTGGTTTCCAAGACAACTGTAGTGGTGAAATTGAGAGGCAAATTCTCACGAGTGGGAATTTTACGCACAAATTCCCACGCAGAAGCTTTCGAGCACAAGAATGATGAAAAGTAAGGGGGGCTGGTTTGCCTCGCCTTGTGGGCGGTTTTCCCACCCAGCCATTTCTTGACAATTTAGAATTCATTTGTTTTTGGAATCTGACCTGCTGGAAAAGCAGATTGGAAAGCACGTAGAGGGTAATTTGTCACAATGGGGTTTGGTTTCTTCAAAGCGTCAAAGAGCAAAGCCCAGCCAAAACCACCAGAGACATCCTCCACGGACTTGCGAAGAAAAAATTCGAGAACGAGCGCTCCTACAAACCCTTCACCAAGGTTTCTTACGAACGCTACGCCACGAGCTCAAAGCTTTGAAGCAGGGTAATGGCCGCTGGCTAGCATATCAAATGTACTATTTGAAGCTGACTGTCTATGATATAGGCAGTACCGAACGCTTGATCCAAAAGCGGATGCATTGGATTACACGAGGACAGAGGGCATTTCAAAAGGCTTTCTGGATGATGTCATGTTTGATTTCGATTCGAGGTTGGATTTGAGTGGGAACCCGGAGACAAAGAAACCAGAGCTTGGAAGCAAGAAAGAAGGTGGGTAAAGAAACCTGGGCTTCGAGCCAAGCAGTTTATCTTCATTATCGAGCGCTTGTTAATTTCCCTACCCATAGTAGAACCGCGTTTTAAATATGAGTTGGTGCAGAAGACGATCCCAACATACACATACACACCGAAGGTCTATCGTCTGGGCACAGATAGTGCCGAAGATAAGACTGCGAGTCACGTTGACGCGTCCTCATCAACGCCTAAAAAGTCCAGCAAAGATGCAGCTAGAGATGCGGATCTCGTTTCCGGCCTTGCCGAAGCGTCATTCTTATTTCGCAAAGTCAAATCAAGCAATGAGATAAGGGAGACCCCAAGTCCTAAGGCAGCGTCTAGAGGTGAAACGGAGGCAGTAAGATTTAACAGACGAGCACGACAGAACCCGGGTAGTCGTCCAGCGGTGGCGGGGTCATTGAACCGGTCGTCGAGCAGAGGACGAGGGCGCAACAGAGCGCCTACAAAGGGAGTGTCCGGAGAGTCAAGCGGAACCGAATCTGAGGACGACAGTGATCATGTGGCTCTTGCTCCATCTCGCCATCGCTCCACCTCCCGCGCGAGACCTGTTGTCCAACAGCATTCTGACTCTAATGCAAAGAGCTTGTCTTCGACAAATCTAACCCACTTGGCACAGCCAAAGCTTTCCCCAAGTCGAATAAGAGGGAGGTCCGTTGGGCCTTTACCATCACCACCACCATCTCCCTCCGCCGGAAGTGGCCATGAACGTCCCCAGAGCCGTTCGCGATCTCGCTCGAGGATGGGACGACAGATAGTTCCATCTACTTCCGATGAGGAGGAGGACTCGGAATCAGACGACGACGTTCCACTAGCTGGTGTTCGAATGCAAGCTATTGAAAATCGACAGCATAGGGGACGCCGACGTACAGCTGCGACTCGAGCGCCATCATCGGATTCTCGGAGTCAAGCTGTCGAGTCTGCGGGACGTAGGTCGATAGATGTAACACCTGGACGCAGCAGTCGCCGTAATGCGAGCGAGCAAGCCCCGCCGCCTCCCACTGACAACCTCCTGCCATCTTCCTATACCTACTCGCAACAGCAGGCAATGGCGGCGCTAGCCCAACAGCAACAAATGTGGGTAGCGTACTACCAACAAGCGGCCGTTTATCAACAGGCAGCATACCAGCAGATGCAACAGCAACAAGTAGGTAATATACCTTCTGCTGCGCCGTACGCTTTCCCAGGTGTCATGGGACAAGGGATGATGCCGTACGGAGTATTACCGTCAGCTGTCCCTTCTGTTGCGAAGAAACGAAGCAAGAATTTATCCAAGAAGAAGTCTGGAGTGTCGCTGCGTGGTAATGAGGAGAGTGTAGTGGTAGAGGGAGCCGTAAGTGGTGATTGTGCTGCATAATCTAAGCAAGGCTTGTATAGAGATGATAGATGTGATTTAGAATTTTTGTGCGAGTGAAGTATACCTTAGAATGTAAATGTTTAAATTTTGTCACAATATGCTCTAGTAAATTGAAAGGATGGAGAATAGCATTTAGCGACTTCTGCCGTCAATGTGATCCAGTAACTGCAATTGCCCAGTGGCACAGTCTGAGCGATCACGATTACGAGATCATGGATCTGCCTGCGACAGCGTGGAAATGCGTCTGCCTTTTATTGTTGGACACTTTCTTCGCAGCCGCAGTGTTGCGTTTGCTTGCATCATGCTTCCACTCTTCTCCATATGCAGTTTCCGCTCCACGCGTGCGACGTCTGTCAACCAGCCGTCTCGGTCGCAAAGGAGAAACACCACGACCGAAACCAACCATTCCACCGTCAAGTCTGAAGGGTTACCGGAAGTGGACATGGCTATGGTATTCGTATTCATCCTACGAAAGTGTCGGACCCATTGATTGTATTCGGTGCTCACAGTACCTTTGTAATAGGCACGGCCTTCGCGATTCGCACTTGTTCTTCACGGCGGCGCTGGTGTGATACCTCCCGACAGCCTTCCGCCACCCACGCGTGAAAAGTACGTCGTTGCTTTGAAGGAAGCCCTCCTTGCCGGCTACACTGTCCTAAATGAGGGTGGAACGAGCCTAGATGCGACTGAGGCAGCTGTGAGAGTTATGGAAGGTATGTACGATGCCCTATACCTATCTAGGTGAAGGTGGCTTATGATGTATATTTTAGATTGTCCATTGTTCAATGCAGGGTAAGTAGGGGTGGGAAGTTCAGCGTCTCGTAGGAGATGACTACCTGTCAATACTCAGAGCTGATCAGCAAGGGCGCGGTATTCTCTCGAGATGGGAAGAACATGTGTGAGGCTTCTATCATGGATGGCCGAACGATGAAAGCAGGTGCTACGACGTTGGTAGGTACAACTGCCATCCTTGAGGGTCAAAGATTTATAATTTGACTATGTCAACTTCAAGCTGACGACAGTCAAAAACCCAATCTCTCTTGCCCGCGTGATTAAAGACACGACGCCTCACGTTTTCATCGCAGCCCCCGAGGCAGAAAAACTGGCCGCAGAAAGTGGACTGGAAATTGTGGACCCGTCCTACTTTTTTACTGGTGAGCTCGCCTGTACTTGGTGGCGCATAACACCAAGAAGCATGTAACACAATCACCCCTTAGAACATCGCTGGAAACAGCACCTAGAACAACCCGCTGATAGTCCCGCCATTAGTGAATCCGCTCCAGCACATTACAAAGATCAACTGCCGTCATACTCGGAAAAAGATGCGGACCCATATCCACAGGGAACTGTGGGTGCGTGTGCGTTGGATACGCATGGTGATTTGGCGGCCGCCACCTCCACCGGAGGCAAAACAAACAAATGGACTTACCGTATCGGGTATTGACAACTTGGTGGTTGACAGCTACGTTGGAGGTCCTTATCTAATGCTCTCTTGTTAGTGACACCCCGCTCATCAGTTGCGGCACCTATGCCGAAAATCGTTACGCTGCAGTCTCGGGAACCGGAAATGGGGAGTTCTTTATTCGTTACGCTGTGGCGTATGATATCGTTGCACAAATGAAGTACGGCACAAACGTATCCTTGGCAAAAGCTGCCGACAAAACCATTCATGAAACGATGAAGAATGCCGGTGGTGAAGGTGGGGTTGTCGCGGTTGACGCACATGGACGTGTCGCGCTCCCGTTCAACACTACGGGAATGTATCGCGGCTTTATCAAGGAGGATGGTGTTCCCCATGTAGCAATCTTCCACGGAGAGTGGTATTGAGGCCTTACGGGATTGAACCCGTCTCTCTATTCTGTATTATTAGTTACATATGTAGAATTAGTGCTACGTTAAGATGGCATCAAATTTAGCAACCGAGAATGCCATATGTCTTAGACCCAGATGCATGGTCTGCGTATCAGAGCTCCAATCTCTGAATCCACCACTTTGCAAAATCTGCAACACTACCGTATTGCAGCACAACCTCCCTAGCCATTTCCAACTCCTTTCGGATCCGGACGTCCTTTGTCTTTCGCGATCGCGGAAACTTGCGAGTAAGAACTTTATCTATCAGATAGTGCACCCACTATCAAAAATGAAAGTAATTAAAAAACATGTTCAACAAGAGGATCAAAGTTATGCAAGTTCACCTACAAAGACGTTTGTCTTCGGACAGAATTTCTGCCACTCGCCTTGCACCTCATCTCGCATCCATCGGTATATATCGAATTGTAAGTCACCTATTGCCAATGATAGCCAAAAATGTCAGAGATTCGGTAGGCCCAAGCAGTTATCTTTCGCAGATTCAGCCATACCACCACGCTGTCCCTTGCCCTTTCCGTCGAATAGTTCTGGGTCATCCAATGGCAGGTAGACTAGTTCAGGGTCTACATTGAAATGAATTTACATTAGATGATCCTTTACCTTTACGAACAGAAGGACGTTGATGGGCACTTACATGCGCCTATCCTTCCCCATGTATAGTCGATAATGCAGATTCTCACCCCTTCATTGGAAAATTGAATTCGATCTCCATCCAAGTCAACTAGATATTTCTCGGGTGGAGCAGTAGTGAGAAGCACGTTTCCCCAATGCAGATCTCGATGCTCAAACATTTCTTGAATTTCCGCATTAGCTACGGACAGGCAAAGCTGGAGCAGGAGACTCTGACATTGAGGTGCTGTGAGGGGAGGATGGTGTTCGAGATCTGTTCCGCCGTTTTGGAGAATAAGCAGGGCGTGGAGTTGGGTCGCTGGGTAATAGTCTGGATATCATATTGTGAGAATCTGAACGAAAGCCAAAACGGAAGAATGGGACTACACCAACCAGGTCGATCATTCTCCATCTCGCCATCCCATTCGTCGCGAATGCGCAGCAGCCATTCAGGCCATGGACCAACGCACACTCCAACACTTACGCGCAAGATAACATTACATGGGCGTGCTCTCAGAGAGATATAAAGAGGAACGCTGATCCTTACCCCAAACATTGGACAAAACTTTTTCCGACTCGTGCCACCTTATTCATGATCATCACCTCCTTGACCACCTCGTCAACACCCATCTGGTCGCCCTCGCCGCCAAACGGTATGATTTTTACCGCCGCTGGGATCCCGGGACAACGGGAGTACTCGACGGCGAATACTTCAGAGTAGCTCGCTTCACCCAGTTTACCGGTTATGGAGCTAAAATCATACGTCAGCCACTGTTATAGATCTGGATAGCTCGCGCACGGTCATGCACCTTCCAGCAAAAAACTCATCAAATGCAAATGGGCATGGCTGTTGAGCGAGCTCAAGCAAGTCTTTGAGGCTTTTCTGGGAGGGTTTAATAAGCGCACTGGTTACGTAGGGGGAGCCCATGAAAGTCATACCTCTAATCCAAGGTCTGCTGTTCTGAGAGTTGTCGTTCGATTCACTTCAACTTCATTGAGTGTTACTCTTTCTATGCTCTGCCCCAACACTTCAACTTCCTCATCCACATGCAGAGCTTCTTCAATATCAATACCCATTTTGAGGTTATTCTGAATATTTGCTTCGTCTATCCGCAAATGAGTTATGCCATTTGTCAGTCCTTCTAAGTCGCACGTCCCCTCCAGCATGTTAGCATCTCGCTGTGTTCTTGTACCGACGTTTCCGTCCGTTTCCGCGTCATCCTGAACAATCCTCTCGTGCTCGGACCCTGCCTGCGCCTTTTCGTATATTGAGTCAGTGGCAGGTAACGTTTCCGTAACACCATCATTTTCATCCGAATCATCAATGACGGCCCAGGCGCGACGTTGAGGTCGTGGTAATGGCGTGTTCGGTTTATTAGGATCCCTGTCATTTACATCTCTGCTGTCCAATCCATATCGGTCGGGGACTGTCAGGGTGTGGTCTGCTTCAAAATCTACCTTGTTGCAATCGACTTCACACAGGGAGAGCCCTTTTGGGAAGCCTTCTATAGACCCCTCCTGGTTTGCGTGGTCTTCAACGACATTTTGTCCCCCATCAGAGACCTCTTTACTCTCAACATGAGATTGCTTTCTACCAACAGAGTTGTGCCGCGAGCTCACATCAGTGGCTATTGAAGGGCGGTTCTCAGAGGACGCAAATGTATCGTTCTGCGAAGATCCACTTAAATGAACATCTCCTGATCTAAGATCAGGACTGTGCGATTGCGATGATTCCCACTGCTGGCTTCTTGTGTCAGCATACTCGCTTTCATTGCGGGAGATAAAGCCCCGGTGACGCCGTCTTCGTCGACGCCCGACTGTTATTTGGCCTCGTGACTGCTTAACACTGGAAATAGGCGTGCATTGACCGATATCCACTGACGGTAAAACTGTGGACTCTCGTATGAATGGATTTCTATCTGCCTCTTCGTCGTCGCCGCGATTGTCGGCCCCTGATAATTCCTGATTAGTTATCAGACTTCCCCCCACGCCCTCTGGCATTCTGTCTAGACGGCCATGAAGACTCTTCTCAAAGGAGCGGGATACACCTTCCAAGAAGTCTATCTCGACGCCCTCCCCTGCCAATCTGTGGGTTTCGTCGCTGCTCTGTATGGGACTCACACAAATCTCGGATGGTGGTAGCCATTCAGGTGTTGATGGAATCAAGAGTGTCAAGTTGGCGGGTGAGGATGGTGACGGGTATAACTGCGATTTTAGGGACGGCTCCGCCTTCGGATTTAGTTCTTTCTCCTCAGCTGTGTGCGTGTTGGCTTTGTCGACCGTAGATGGCTCCGTGTTTTTGTCTCGCGCAAATCCACCATTTTCGCATGAGCGAGTTCTATTTTGCTCGGATGTAGGAGATTTGAATTTCATGTCATACACTATCCTGTTTTCCTGGTCTTCATCAACCGCGCTTGTCTTTGGATCCCTCCTACTGTATTCGGTTCTTCGGGCATGGCATGTCCCACCTGGCTTGATTTTGAATTCCCCGTCTTCTTCACCATCAGATACCCACGTAGACCTGTTAACAACTCGATGAGAGCGTTTTCCGTAAGTCCGGATGGTTTTGGTCTTGGTCGTCAGGAAGGCATTCATTGCGAGACATGAGGTGGTGGGTAGGAGCGTGGGCGAATTGGTACTCGCGACTAAGCCCTGTCCAAGTGGCTCGGACAAGGTCCTTGTACGATGTATGGCTTGCAAATCCACTTTTGTTTATCACAGATACCCAAAGATGGCATTCGACACCATCAGCGTTTCAGCCCTGAGTAATCCGCTGAATATTGTCCTATTTCTCGTCCTGCTGCTCCTGATTCGAGAATTCCAGGCGTCAGAGGCAAATTTACCACCACCAGAGCATCCTCCAGGTATGTCTGAAAGGCGTAATCCTGTTCACGACAACCATTGACGTCCCAAATAGAGCCAATTGTGCTTAAACGATATACACCACAAACTCTTCTACCGTACACTGGGGAAAAGTCTAACGGCATCCTTATCTCCGTTCTAAATCGTGTGTACGATGTCTCTCGTGGGGCCCAGTTTTATGGACCAGGTACTCTTCTCGTGAAATATTTCCAATATAACACGACTTACTTTCCGTCCTTTCAGGTGGTCCTTATTCATCATTTGCAGGCCGTGATGCTTCACGCTGTCTAGCCAAAGTCTCCTTTGCAGATGACTTGCTAGCGGATCCTGCCGGGCCCATTGACAAGCTAGAGGATTTGGATGTGGACGAATGGCAAACCCTGAGAGATTGGGCAGCCCAGTTTGAGTTTAAGTGAGCTATGATAATTCAAAGGCCGTTTTGTGCTGTAGCAGATGTATTGAGATAATTTTCCTGATTGTCCTTAGGTACGACCATGTTGGGTTCCTGGTGGAGAATGGAGAAAATATCGACGCGTGACCGGATGATAGTGACATCCGAATAACCTATAGGTTGTGTTGGCGTAGGCGAGTCACATTGGCATTCGCGACATCATATACCGAATCGTATTGATCAGCATTATGCAAACCCATCTGCCTTTGTGGAGTGCCCTAATTGGGACTTCCGCCAAATGCACATAGAAATATTAAGGTGCTGACAACCGAAGGGATTGAAAGCATTTTCTGGAACGCCGATCATGCGCATGCCAATTGAAGTGTGATTCCAACTGTTCGCATTGCGGCACTGTATTTCGCAAAATGTTCCTTCACCTTCGATAAATCATCGGATCGTGATATGAAACATGTCATAACCGGAGTTTTCTGCGATGGCCCAGCCGCAAGCTTTCCGTCATCCTCAAGATATGCAATCTGAATGTATTGATCGTGTTCCTGAGGATCGACTTCTGGCAGAGCTGAAGGGTAGTCTAGCACTCGAGCCATATCCGCTTCAGAAACCACACGTGGTCGTCCAGAAAGATCCTCCACAAAGAATGTTCGCTGTACATACTGAGCATCCGCATGCTTCATATTGATGCAAACCCACGCCCCGTCCAACACTGCATGCGGGCTGGACACCTTCGACAACTTCCTCAGTTCAAACATGTCTGCAAGTGACCGTATGCTAGGTATCCAGACTGCTTGTATGTACTGCAACAGCAGGTCATGAACGCGCGATTCGGTGGATGCAATCTCCAAAGAGGGTACGTATATTAGAATGCAAGGCCGCAGATTCGAAAGGAGAAAGGCGAATTCCCCGTAATGGTAGAGATCTGTTGGCGAATAGCAGGAGTTGAGGGTTAATACATGAAGGTCCTGTGGTGACAGAGAGGAAAAGAAGTTTGCTTCAAGATTGCGGAAAGTGGTTATTGTTTCGGAAAGATCTGATGCATTGGAAGACATTTTCAATGGAAAGTTTGTAGTGGAAGACCAGATCCTTTAGGTCGGGTGCAAGTGCCTTCTCAAAGTGGCTCAGTCACAGTACCACTGCGTAGTCATTGATGTGCCGTCATGGCAACATTAGTTGAAGCTGTCGAACTGGACCGTCTTCAACGATTTTATCCAATCCAAATCATCTCCGACTGCACATTTATATTAAGAAGGCACAAAACGGTCAAACCCAGAGTGAAGATTTTGCTTATATTATAAATACTGCTCGAGGATAAGCGCTCGTTAGCCGCGCGGGTCATCAGTACCCACAACATCTACCCGCGATCACCAGTGGTTCGGGGACCACCATGTCTTCGGAGTACATAACTGACCAGATTGTTAAGAGCTGGGAGACGGGGGGTAGCTCGCAGCTGTAAGTATCTTTCAAGAGTTGACGGCGATTCATGGAGCTGCAAAAGAGAAGGAAACTTTGGATTAGGTGTTTGGATCCGTCGTTGGTCCAAGTTTTGCTTTCGGCTGTTGAAGCTTGACCATTCGTCAATACATCATACGATAGCAGCAGAAGCACTGGTTGATTCCCATCTTTCTTTTATCCAGTCTTCAAACTGCCCGTTCTCTCATCATATCGAATAAAAATACGCCAGGCGACATATCCTCCGTCCGGGCATTTGTTCTTGAGCTGTTCTACGCCGGTCTCAATGGCGTCCTCGCTCTGGGCTCCATTGCGACGTTTTTCTTGAACTTGTATGTGGATACAACGAAGAAAACCAAGTCCGTGGAAGCAGAAATCGCATCCGGATATGTCGGGCCGGAGTCATTGGATGACCCCTTATTAATTCCTTCGATTTTGGTCGACGTCATGTGGCTTCTGGATCAGGAGAGTGACCCGAAAGTAGTGGAAGGTGCGCAGACGGAAAGAGCTCGGCTGGTAGCTGTGGCGAAGGACTTGCTGGTGCGTGTTTTGCTTCATTTATGGAGTGTGGGGGTGGAATGCAGAAATTTGATCTGACTTTTTATTTGATATCTCTATTTACACGTAGGCCAAGAACTTCATACCCGAGGTTATAATGAGGGAAAGACTGGAATTGGATTTTCAGCAAGCGATTGGCTTGATTCATGATGCGCGGGGAATAGGGAAGAAGGAAGTGCGGGTGCGAACATTCATGTTATATGCGCAAACAAAGTACAATCTTCTTCGCGAGGAGTCAGAAGGGTATTCTAAGCTTGTTACCGAGCTGTTTGGAAGCCTACCGCCTCTGTTCGATGCCCACGCTTCACATCATGGTGCATCTCGACTGACGAAGGAAGAAGCTGTCAAACGTCGTGCGGACGTGGTGGATGAACGAGCGCGAAGGACCATGGGAAACATTGCCAGCTTAATCGGATACTTTGATATTGATCCAAACAGGGTTTTGGATCTTATTCTTGATCTTTTTACGGCGAATATTGCGGACCAATGGGATTTCTTTGTGCGCTTGTTGGAACTGAGTCCATGGCGATCAAGGGGCGATCAAATACGAGAAGCTAGAGCAGTTTGCGGCCAGATTCTTGGGTTCAAGTTTGATTGGTACAATGGACGCAGCAACACACGGACCGTTCCAGAAAATCTTATCTTTGTCGCAGCTATCATGGTCAAGCATGGATTGGTGGCTTTGGGAGATCTCTACCCACATTTAAGTCCGTCGGATGAGGAAGTGCACAAGTTGTACAAGGATTACGTTGACGACCTAAAGAATAAGGAGAAGACCGCAGGAAGATTCCAGGCCCAGGGAGTATGCATCTGAATAGTCTGTGTTCATTACTGTTCGAGCAATTGCTTTATTTACCTCACTTGTGTTGTGTTTAGCTGGTCGGGACTCTCGGCGACGAAGGAAAGGCTTCGACCGCCACTATCACGCAAGTAAAGGAGAACAAGCCAGAGGTATGTATAAGAAAAGTCCTGCTTTGAACTCGCGCATATGTGACATTCACACAGAATCTCACAGGTCAAGAAATCGAACAAGGTTAACCAGAAAGCGGAGCTCGCTGCTGCTCTGCTCGCGATTGGAAACGTGAAGAACGCATTTACCATACTTGAGCGGTTACCACGGCTGTCTGACCTGCATCCGGAGATTGTTGAGAATCTCTGTAGATGGATGCGGGAATTGATTAGTCCATGGGATGTTAAGCCATTGGTTGGCGCCGCGCGTGGACCGCAACCTAAACCAGAAGATTTCCGAGTGCCCCTCAACACGATATCGGTGAGACTGGCACCATACGGTGAGAAAGTATTTGTTGGAAGGAATAAGCATCCCGCGCGGTATAGATTCTTCTACGAAAATTGGCGATCGGAGATACCAACCATCCGAAATGTGTTCGAGTTCATCCAAAGGATCCGAATGTATTTGGTGCACATCGGCCCGCATCTGTACAGAGATCCGATCCTTGTAGGCCAGCTGATTCGCATTGGTGCACTGCACGTTTCAGAGGTTGGTCCATGGACGTTGGACTACATGAGTTTTAGAATGGTGCGAGCTCAATACGCTTTCATTGCATAGGCTCACAAGCGAATGGAAGGGAAGCCAGATCTTGTTATGGTCCCGCATCCAACAGAAAATGATCCTTTTGAGGGAGTTCCATATGACAAGATCATAAACGGATGGCTAAACGTAGTCGCAAATTACCTGCTACCTGCTGTATCTCGCGCCGATCCAAATCCCGCGAATAGTCAAGGGTTGTGGAAGATTGTGAAAGAATTCCCGTATCAGAAACGGTATGCACTCTATGGAGAATGGAAGAATCGTTTGTACAGTGAAATCCCGGAAATGAAGCTCGCCAGGGCAGGGTGCGAGCGCGATTGTAGATATATTATGACGTAAGTCCTTTTTAAATTCCACACCCAGATTGAGGACCTACTTAGTTGTCCCCTGGACCTAGACGATTGTCGAAGGACTCTGGAAAACAGTCTGGTCGTCAAATTGGCAAAGTTGTGCATTCAAATCCCGTCGTTGCATTTTCTTATATCATTAAACAATTGGAGAGCTATGACAATATGATTCCGCATGTTGTCGATGCCTCACGGTACCTCACCGAGTTTGAATTCGATATTCTCCCGTACTGTCTTATTGAAGCGCTGTGCGAGCCGAAGACGCGGGTTGAGGCCAATGGGCTCTCAATTGCCCCATGGCTGAAGTCTCTCGCCGCATTTACCGGGCAGGTTTTCAAGAAGCATGGAATGGAGCTCGCACCACTCCTTCGATACTTGATTAATCAGCTCTGTGTTGGCAGTGTGCATGATCTGATCGTTCTGCAAGAGTTGATTGGTTATATGAGTGGAATCAAACTGATGGAGGAAGCTACCGAAAATCAGTTGGATGCCTTAGCGGGTGGAGAGACGTTGAAGCGGGAGGCTTTCTTCTGGGAAAACATTCGTACGACTCGGAGATCCGGACTGAGGCTAATGAAAGCGCTGCTGGAAACTGGCTTCGCCCGCCAAATGAGTATATTAATTAGCCAGCGTAAGCAGGAGATTGTCTATGCTGGCATGGGAACCGAGGATGACAACATGGATCTAAAGATTCTGGCATGGTTAAACGACTATGTGAGTCCCCTCTCCTGTGATATATAATGGAAATACGCTTCCAGCTTATCATCTGTTATCTGCACACTACAGTGCCAACGGACACTGCTTCAATACCTTGAATTCTTGTCTGTAACGGCACCGCCAGAAATCTTCGCTGATGTTACACCCTCGGTCGAGGATCTCGTGGAGATCTACGGATTAGACCCCGAGCAGGCTTTCTTGATAGCTAGGCCGAAGTTGGTGAACTCTGTCAAGGTATGTTCTCGCTTTCCCCATCCTACCCAATATCACCCTTGTGTTGCTCGCAGCCCGGGATGTCTTATCAGGACGTATGCTAATACTGAAACAGCAGAAACAGCTCACCAATGGTAGTAGCAAAAGCGAGCAAAGTAATATCATGGATATTGATGACAAGGCTAAAGAAAGTATCCCTGACACTATGGAGGTTGACGGACCCAACCATGATGCTCCAGCTCATGGTGATGCCGCCAGCGTGGAACATCCTGGCCTCGCCGATCCAGCAACGAATGCAGTATGGCAACCTGGCCTTTATGAGACCATTCGAGCTTCAGTCAATATCCTTCCACCGCACGCATGGCGTGGGATTAGTCCTGCGTTTTATGCGACTTTCTGGCAGCTGAGCCTGTACGACATTGTGTTGCCAAAGCAAAGATATCATGGAGAGATTGCGAATCAGAAGAAGAATATCCGACAAATGGAAACAGAAATTGTGCAACTCGAGCGAGAACGAGATAACGTTGATGACGGGCTGCGGAAAGCGAACGACGAGATCAGGAAGAAGAGGAAAGAAATAGATAGAGCAAGTCTAGTGATCAAGGCTCTCGACGGCGAATGGAGGATGCATGAAGAGCATTACAAGCGCATCATGGAAAGAGTCAAAGCGGAGAGTCCATTCTGGTTCCATTCAAGTATGGTAGCTGTCTGGTTTAGTATGCGGCCTTGAAGGTACTGACAAGATTCGAATGTCTTCAGGCGTAGGTCGTAACGAGATAATCAACACGATGATACAGTACTGCTTGCAGCCGCGTTGCGTGCAGTCACCAGCAGATGCAATGTATTGCGCAAAGTTTATAATGATGATGCATTTGTTGGGGACACCGAATATTCCAACTGCGTCGCTTTACGACAGGGTGAGTGTTGAGGAGAAGTCAATCTACAGGAGATCCTTGGCCTAGTGCTAACACTGAGCATGCAGATGTGCAGCAGGGATATCATTCACGCGTGCATCTTTGCCGGTACTGAGGATGAGGCAAAAAACTACGGACTGTTCTTGGCGGTTATTTTCCGCACACTATCCACCTGGCACAAAAATCCTGATCTCTTCAAGAAGGAAGCAATCGGAGAAGGCCTTCCAGGTTTTCTGAAGAAGTGGCCTACTGGGGTGATCACTGGGAATATGGATCTCAGCAATGCAGATTTCATCGAGTACGAAGAATTCCGTCAAGCGCTACGAAAATGGCATTTGAAATTATGTAAGGCGATCTTGGCTTGTCTGCAGAGTGGAGAGTATATGCAGATTCGAAACGCCATTCTCGTTCTGGATCGCGTCAATGAATATTTTCCAGCGACCAAGCAAATGGGGAACACCATCAAGATCGCTGTACAGGAGCTGGAGAGAACGGAGCAAAGGGGCGATCTAAAACAGCTTGCCCGCAGTTACGGAACAAAATTGCAGTTGCGAGAGGGACATTGGCTGGACAATCGCGAGTTCTGTCGAGTCGTTGAACGCAAAGGAAGTGGTATGGTTGACGGTATGGGGACCCCCGGTTCAGAGAGTGTCCCTGCCTCTCGGCGAGAGAGCGAGATTTTGAAACCGGAAGAAGGACAATTGAAAGAAGAACCCGGTGCAACCGATGGGGAAAGGAACAAAGATGAGGCTAAAAAGCAGATGGATGACCGAAGGCCACGGGAGTCGATGAAAGAACCCTCTGGGACTAGCACGTCAGCTCCTCATACCCCGACCCAAAGGAAAGAGGAGAGAGAAGGTGGCGCGAAGGATCGGGATCGAAGAAAGAACGATGAAAGCGTATCTGGTACAGTCACCGCCAATTCAGCAGAGAGAGGGGAAAGGGAGCGTGGGGAAATATCGCATAGGGAGCATGGCCAGAGTTACAGCCATGAAAAGCCTCGATTTAATGAGAGAGATAAAGAGAATCAACGACGAAAGGAAGGAGCCGGGTCGGTTGGCATTAGTGGGACGTCCGCTACCAAGGAAAAGGAGAAAGATAGAAAACCCGCGCGGGAGCGTGAGAAGGGACAAAAAGATACAGAAAAGGACAAGGAGAAGGAAAAAGAAAAGGACAAAGAGAAACGGGGGGATAGGGCCAAGGATCGAGACCGAGATAGGAAGAGAAAAGAAAGGGTAGGTCCCGAAAAGCGGCTGTCTTCTCGACTTGAGCGAATCGTCTTTGAAACATATTAATCTCGTTTGCCTTTCCTGTAGGAAACGGAAAGCATGACTGAGGATCGAAAGGATCGGAAACGCGATCGTGAAAAGGACGAACGAGAGAGCAAGCGGAGCAGGAGAGATGATGGTATGGTAGCTGTTGGTTTGCGCTCACTTTCAAGGTATTCCAAGTGGTTCTATTAACACGATGTACGCTTATGAAGTGGGATCCTCCGCCGCCTCGGAGAAGCCTGCCAGCGAGAACGGACCTGCGGGAAATGGCGCAGTTGGACGAAAAAGACGTGCTGAAGAGGGTACGTTCGACTTGATTGGACTCTGCGTTCATTATACTAAATTACATATCGAGTAGATCCATCCCCAGCCCCAGGCGGGATTGATTCATATCGTCCGGCATCAGCATCCGCTAATGGCAGCACAAAGCGGTTACGGGGAACTTCACGGGACAGGGAACGGGAAGATAGGGATCGAAGGAGGAGGGGCCGCTAGATTGGGTTTAATATATTGGCTTTTTATTGTATTGTATTGTATTTGTAAATTTTGAATTGAACAGCAAAGATGAGCGATACGTCATGTAGTATTGAACAATTGAGCTACGGTTGTCTCCCATACCGTACTCCCAATCCTGCTCCAACTCCGGTTAATCCATGCAATTATGACACGATCCGTACATGCTGTTGGGGGTGCAGGTTCAGGATCATTGCATTGGTCCAAGCTCTGCGAAGCTTACTAATGCAGCCGAAGATTTATACTTCATTGCCCATAATAGTAACAAATATAAACTTGAGACGATTGAAAGTTATCTCCCGATCCATACATGCTTTTGGGGGTACAGGTTCAGGATCATAGCATTGGTCCAAGCTCTGCGAAGCTTACTATTCAGATTTAAATTTCATTGCCCATAATAGCAACAAATATAAACTTTAGACGATTTAAAGTTGTCTCTATTTTCCGCGGCCCCAGTCTTCATATCCACTTAACTACTTGACCGGATCCCCTTCGGCACGGATTTCTTGAGTGGAGGAAATGTCATATAATGGGGGGTATCTATTCTGGTGGGTCAACTCTTGATTGCTTGGTTCCGCCACTAGACAACTCAACAAGAACCGCATACATTTTAGGGACCAAGTGCCAAATGCCAAAGTCCAAGAGTGGACAGTATGGACAGAACCATATAATACTCTGCAGCACTCCATGTCAGGCTACGTTGCCCTTGTTCATACCATGGGACTGGTCACGAATGGGTTGATGATACTATGCTTTTGGACGATGGAGAGAGAGATGCGCAGTGCGGCGAACTACCTTGTGTTGAGTCTGACAACTGCGGATTTGCTCAATAACATGGGAAACGTTGGAACGTTCTGGTATAATACCGTTCGTGGGAGATGGGCTGCAGGAAGAGTTGCATGCCAGGTGAGAACCGGAATCGCAATCGAATTTTAAAATTGTGAGCTTTCCGGTTGATATGTCAACAATCAAAAGATTGTGGGCTTTTCTGATTTGTACTTTGGAGGCTTATCCATAACAATGCTGGCGGCAATTGCCTACGAGGTGAGTCAGTCGAATGTGACGACAACGAAGATGAGCAATTGCTATGCTAAAAGTTCTTATCCGTTCGGACCCCAGCGGTATACCACCATTGTCCAGATACGGCCACTTTCAGGAAAGCACTTGACATATATTATCGGCGGAGCGTGGTTCAGCTTATTAGTATTAGGGGTTTCGCCGTGGTGGTTTCACCCTGAGTACGGCTTTCCAATGAGAAGTTCTGGGTGAGTTGAGCAAATGCGCGCATGTATGAAGCAGTCGATAGCTGATTCAGGGCTAGATTCATGTGTCTAGTCCATTGGGCAGATCCGTCGCCCGCAGGGAGGGCTCTCACTGGAGCGTAAGTACATGCTATAACGGACTCTTGATCGTGTTGCATTTAACAGTCCAAATTAGTTGTTGCCTTCTCATCGCAGCGTGTATCGCTGTCATCTTCATTTCGTATTATAAGATATTCGGCGAATTACGCAGCGCCAACGAAGCGTTGCCAACCCTGCGGACCCGCATTCCGACAGAGTTGGGCGGAGATGGTGGGGGGAGTTATAGATCCAAGTCTTCTAGTAATAGCCATGCTGCCTCTGCTAGTACGGGAGTCTCGCAGAAGTCTAGGAAGGGGAGTACCTCAACGAAGATCAAGAACCAACAAAGGCAATTAGAGCGGGCGGTTTTGACGCGATCTATAATCATGGTGTCAGGTGCGAGAAAATTTAAGAGAGCTTCCGTCTTTCAAAACATTTAGTAAACGGACATCTTCAGTCTTCCTTGCAGAATGGTTTCCTTACTGCCTTATGATGGTGATCGAGTTATTTACAAGCCGACAAGTGTAGGCCATATATCATTATTGGGTTGTAGTTCGGATATACTAACAGGATATCTCGTGTATAGGGCACCGCTGTTTGATCTTCTGGCCGCCTGTATGACATACCTCAACTGGCCCTGCAATTCCATTTTGATCATGACGCTCGATAAGCGATTCAATCGACGAGCACGAGAGATTCTGTGGTTGGATGTCTTGTTTCCGCGCAAAGTAGGAAGTGATGATATTCCGCTAGATGAAGTAGAGCATGTAGATAAAAGCATAAGCGACCTAGCCGCATTGCCAGAGATCGAGGAAATCAAGGAATCTTATTGAAATAAAAACTTACTTGTTACTTAGGACTTAAAATTCTTGCACTGCCACAGTTGTGATCCAGAGCCACGGTAAGCACCCTTTGGTAAAGCGCAGCCACGTCTCAATGTCGTCACCACTGATGTCACGCGTCTGAGTCGCTTACGTACCATATGAACGCACAGGGTATAAAAAGCAGCGGCTACTTTCTGCCAACTCTCACATTGGTTCCCCAACAAGCACTATCAAAGAACAACATGTTTTCACGAATTGTTCAAGCGGTTGCCCCGAAACCAAGGCTTATGGTTATCGCCGCTGCGAGCCGCTTTCCGGCATTCCCAGCAGCATTATATCACCACAGCCGCGAAATCAAGGTGCCAGGATCAGACAAAGACTCACAAACCGCATCTTCAGCATCGGCCAGTGTCCCTCCTCCACCTGGTGACGCTACTGAAAATTTCTTTCCACACTTTGAATCCGATGCCTCTGCGCCGCTGACAAGCAAACCTACTCCATCACGAATCACCAAGGTCGCCAACGAGTCGTCGACAACAGTAGAGGATCTCATTAGTCTGCCCGCTGATAAAATACGCGAAATGGCTGGATGTGATAGCAAATCCACATCTGCGACCCTGTCTTTCGATGATTCCATGCGCATTGTGAGTGAGTTTGAGCGTGAGGCATATGCACCAAAGAGCACAAGCGCGCAAGGTCCTGAATTACTTGGCTTGCATGAGAGAGAATTTCAAGAAGGGAGGGTGGCGGATGTGAGCGATAGCGCTGAAGTGGACCCTAGGACCGTCCTGGTGATGAAGAAGGAGATGGAGGACATGGCTGGTGGTGCAAGGGGGCGAAGCGACAGCGCTATTCCGGAGGGAGGAGTGCGCCCAGTGCATCCGTTTGTGAGCGCAAACGAAAAGAGAAGTGCAAAGCTGGTCGGTCGACAAGAAGCGGAACATGCACAACATGATGACGACTCACCGCGGCATTTTGTAAAAAAGGCACAAAGAGCCAAAACGGTCATGCCTGTAGATCCCTCGACGCAATTTGTGGAGCTTGGCAAGGGCAATTAAGGGTAGCCGAGATATAAATTATTTTCGTGAACCTATGTTGATAATGTAATATATGCTCCCTAACTGTATACATCCTATCCAATCCTTCCAACAAGATGGTCGCTAATGCTCGTAAACCGCTGCTGATCACTTAATCCATGACTGCCAAGTCTAGCAACGTCATCAAATGTCTAGACCTTCCCCCGGTGAAACCGCTTAGGTTTCTGTTCACTTTCTTCATATGCGTCCTTTTGATCAATATGCTTTCTCTTTAACCTTCTTGACGGGTTTCTCTCGTCGTCGGATTGAGATGCATCATAGTCCGATGACCCTTCCACAGCTGTGAACGTTGGCACCGCTTCGATCAGGGTTTTCACACTATGCCTTCCTTTGTCATGTGCCTCTTTCTCCTGCTCCACCATTTCTGTACTCCCGCCGATGAGCTCCGTCAACGTTTCATCACTGCCAAAGAACTTATCAATCGTAGGCTGTAGCCGTTTCTCTTTTTCATCCCTGGCAGATGAAGATTCGATCGTATCCATGGTTGCGCTGTGTCCGTCAATACTTTGGCCAACAACATCCAACTTTCTGCGGATAAGGGGCCATTGGATATCATCTGCAGCAGTACCATCAGCCAATGTGTAATCACAGATATTCAACAAACTTACGAGCGTACCCAATGTCCCCCGTGCGAGAATATACTTGATGTCCACGTTTTCTTCCCGCCCGATTCGGTGCGCCCGATCCTCTCCTTGTAACAACTGAGCTGGATTCTGTGGAGATGGTAAGCCTTGGGTGACTGAACTCATCCTTTCGATCATTTAACGTACCCAAAACAGCTCGGCAAAGACAACTGAAAGTGCACACAGTGAATGTGTCAATATGACAGTGAGACAAGTCACGTACTCCAACTAGGTATGAACGTACCCAAGTCCGCGGCGTGCAAGGTCAGCCTAAAAATGCGCTATCAGATCTCGCCGACCGATTCTATGACAGAAGCTGGACTGCCATACCCTACGCCAGCCGCTGTGATACTCAAAACCGCTACCCGCGTCTCCGGGTCATTTTGAAATTCCTCACATAGGTCCTGTCGTACTTGCGACGATGTACTTCCGTCAATTCTAACGTATCGTGTCTAATCGACTATCAGCCTAAGAATCAGTTGACGGGAAGGAAGAAGCAGATACCTACTTTTAGCTGATTCAATTGCTCAGAGACAGTGTCGAGGACATGTGTATGGTGCGCAAATACTATGAATTTTTTTGACGTGTGATCATGGAGCTCTCGTAAGTACTCTTGAACCGCCGGCAGTTTCGCAATCCCAGTTTCACGATACTAGCAAAAATAGAATCTGTTGGCAGGATTGACGAACATTGTAACCTGTTAAGGTACCTTTACCATTTGAATCAGAAGGGTCCTCTTCTCGAGGGTAACTTCCTGTCGGTGCTTGGTATTACTGGCTGTTTTCGCGTCTTCCAGCCTTTCGTTGATTTCCTCATTTTGCGCCATGAGAGCTGCAAAGGTCTGCTTGCTTTTTGCAGCAATATCAACGTAAACGCACTGCCGGGTCTTGCTAGGCAGTTCCTTTAGGACGTCCTTTTTCAGCCTTCGAATGAGGACAGTTTGCTCAAGAAACCAGTGCAGTTCGGCAATGTTCGAATTTCCTGAGGTTTACGGTTTCGTGAGCTCTCAACCACCTTCTTGTATAACAACCTAGTACCCGTACCTGTGAAATCCCATCCGTACCGATTCTGTAGCGTTGACGTAAGTTACAATAGACACGAACATCCAGGGAAAGATTCGTAGACGTACCTGCTTGCCGTCACAGTATCTGACACCAAATTGCACAGCAGTAGTAAAGGAAGGTAATAACGCACTAATCTGCGTGAAAAGTTCGATCGGTCGAGATAGCGCAGGGGTCCCTAAGAAAGCCACCGTCCCATTGGTTCCAGCGCGCCTTCTAATCCTACAATTCGGTCTTACCCGACAAGAGGAGGGCACGTTTCGCCCCCTTTAGTAATGGAATAATTGTCTTGGTCCGCTTAGCCTGCCGGTACATTCCCTCGATCAGTTCAGCAATGAGTCGCAATTTCCGCAGAACAGCCTACCTCCCGACTTTTTAGAAAGTGGGACTCATCTGCAACTACTATCCGGTATTTGGCCTTTTCTAGCTGCTTCTTGATGTCCTCTCTACTCGCCAAGTCATAACTCGTGATGACAAAATGACTTTCAGAAGAAACACGGTCCTTGGAGGCAAAAATGACCTGTATCCTTTCCTCGGGGAGGTCGAGCCATTTGCAGATCTCTGCTTGCCAGGTGAGACGTAGAGATGAAGGGCAAATCACCATTACGGGCCACTCGCTGCGATAAAAGGCGCAGATAGCGATGGCTTGAATTGTCTTCCCTAATTTTCATTGGCAGTTTGGTGAGCTCTCTCAACAAATCATGAGGAGCGAGAAAGGGCAGGTACGTACCAAGCCCCATTTCATCGCCTAATAATACCTTTCCCTGTTTCTTTATTGCTTCTAAGACTCCCACTTTCTGGAAGTCCATCAATCTTTCATATACATACGGAGGTATTTTGGTTTGCATTGACTGCAGAATATTGGAATCAGTCTCAGTCGATTTTTGAGGCGTCTTCAACAGTTTGTGCACAAACGTCGGCAGTTCATTGATTCGCGGCAAAAAGCCATCGTTTTTCAGATCCTCCAATTTTTTGATAACTTCATCGTAACGACCCGAATCAAATATCCAGACTTTGGCTTCTGAGTCCCATTCTGCATCTTTTACGGCGTGGAAAATCTTTGGAATTGCTTCATGAAAGGATGTTTTGGCACAGATGTGTGAAACATCGCGAACGGTCAATGTGATCTCTATAATTGAGGAACCGGAGTCTGCACTATTGGGTTTCTTCCCCTTATTACCCTGCCAAGGTAACGCACGTTTGGTAGCAGTAGAACCAGTAATGGCAGAGTCAACTACATTGGCAGCTCCGCTATGGTCTGATTGTGCTGCTTTCACAGGAGGTGTATCCCATTCAAAATACTTGCATTTCCTATCCGGGCACTGGGTAGGATTGGCTTCTCAGGCAGTCAAAAGAGCGTTTAGCTAGCATACACCTACCGTCCAAAACCAGCGACCTTCATTTACAGTCTTTTTCTTAGTTTGAAAATGAGCTGCTGGCTTTCCACAGCCGCATTGACGTGCATCTACCATTGGCAATTGGATAGAAAGACAGGTTGGCAACTAGAGCCCAACACGCTGGTCTTGAGTGACTCATGCTTACGCTAAAGGATGGCACGTGACACTTCATGGGACAAGCGCGACGTCCCGCTCTCAAGGTTGTTCTTCGTTCAGGACATCTCCGCCGGATTGCTCACATTCAGTTGAAACCTGCTTCGTCGGGTTCTGAAAGTAACACGCGAACAATGTCTGGCATTTCATCCACTAATATGCTGCCGGTCGAGTTCAAGAGGTAGATTACTATACAACGAAGCTTTTTCTCTAATAGCGACTTTAGCTTACCCGTGGGACCTTTGCAGAACCGAGAGGCTTTCACTCGCACCCCCGATCAAAAATTACATTGCAACATCGTATGCTGAAGACCCGGACGTCTATATTGATGATTTCCGAAATTTAGACGCCCTTCGGGGTGATATTGTTGTACCTGATGTTCACCTGGTGTCCTTGAACAAGCTCCTAAGGTAAAAGAGACTCGCTGAAAACAGCGATATACCCTTCGAGTGCTGTGGGTATAGATATTCATAGTACCAATTAGATATTATGGGCAATTATTGTACCTTGGATCAAAATTCCCAATTGACGAGCAACATGTAAGACATACGCTTGATGCATACTGCCATCAAACATATGCTATGATAAAGTTACTAATGCATCGAGATTATAGATCAAAATCTGTTTTTCGTGGTACAATTCTATCGGGAAAGAAAGCAAGAAGTCCGGTATGACGAGTGCTCACTAGATGCTATGATGAGTGCTGATCAATGTTTTCAGTCTCGAGCTTCAGCTTGAATTTTGAGAAAGCTTGTGTTCTCTTCAATATTGGCGCAATGTATAGTCAACTCGGAGCGTCGGAAAACCGCTCAACTGCGGAAGGGTTAAAACGAGCAGCCATGTTCTTTCAGGTTGCATCATACAGTTCTTTTAAACTTCCTCTGTCTGCTAATTCGCCCTATCGCCATGCTAGCAATCGGCAGGTGCATTCCAAACTCTGCAACAACATTTGACCGACTGGACGCTTCCGTCATCCGCTGATCTCAATGCGGCGACGTTAACAACATTGACAAATTTCATGCTGGCACAAGCGCAGGAGTGTTTCTGGTATAAAGCTGTAGTTGGTGAGGGCACCAGAACAGTCACATATTGTCCTAGCTATTACTAACTAACTACATTCTGGGCAGATAAAATGAAAGACGGCATCATCGCGAGATTGGCGGCACAGGCAGCAGAGTTTTACGATCTCGCACACCAGAGTGCCGTTGGAGCGGGAGTATTTACTGAGGTAGTAATCTTACCAAGGCGCTTTCTCCTCCTTACTGCAGATAATAAATGCATCATCTGTTCCTCAGTCGTGGCTGGTGCATATGCAAATTAAGTCAAATCACTTTCGGGCTGCGGCACAATATAGAAAATCACAAGAGTGCCTAGCTTCAGGGAAATACGGGGAGGAGATCGCCCGACTACAGTCTGCGCAAGTTTACGTAAAAAAAGCCATGGATAATGCGCTCTACAAGAAGGCTTCGTCGTACGTGCAATCGGATTTGAAGGTGTGATGGTGTCTACCTTCCTTTGTGTATCATGCCTGAAGATAATGACCTCTGATTGGCGACAGAACCTGCAAGCAACGCTGGAACACTCGTTGCAACGGGCTGAGAAGGACAATGATATTGTTTGTACGTGACTGTCATGGGGAATCTGTTCAAGTGGGATACTTATCGATCGGTCGTTGCTGACACAAACCATGGCAGACATGGAGACTATACCTCGCATCGAATCCTTGCCACCAATAGGAGGTGCCAAAATGGTTGAGCCTACTCTCATACCAGATCTCAGTTCTATGTCGGACATAGTAGGCCCGCCTATGTTCTCTAAACTGGTGCCGTTTTCTGTACATCAATCTGCGTCCTTGTACAGCCACAAAAAGGATGCACTTGTGTCTAGCATAATCAATCGAATTAACGAAGCCACGACCCTCGCCCAGAGGTATGTGATTGCATTCGGGCGATCTAGCAGCTACAATGAATAATAAGTGGGCCACAGCACGTTGTCATCCCTCAATCTGCCAGCGGCAATCGAAGCCCTTGAACAGCCGATTGGTCTACCATCGTCTCTGTTACAACATTCAGAGGAAGTTCGCCGCCAAGGCGGTGCGAAAAGCTTGCAAGATACCTGGGCAACGATCGCTGCTCTTGCTGACCGCGACAATGGGATTCTAGATGAGGTGCGTGGCAATAGTAGCAAACCCCGAAATCCCGTCTATAAGGAATTCTCCGTAGGCTGTCCGAACGCTGGATGAAGAAGAAAAAGAGGACGAAGAGATACGCGCAAAATTGGGAACAAAGTGGTCTCGCACACCTTCCAGGGACCTTACCAGCAATCTCCGAGAAAGTGCTAAAGTTTACAGGAACAAACTGAATGCCGCAAAGAAATCAGATCTCCTAATCGGATCCAAGTTGGAAAAGAACCTGCACTACATTGAGTCCCTCAGTTTGACGAAGGTACATAAGCTAGATTCGCATACCTGTCTTGTCCCTCTTACACCCACTTCTATTCAGGAAGAGTTGGAGGCGTCCATACCATCAAGTACAGCATCGTCTACATTGGTGTCACGGGATCCAAATGTCAAACAGCTCAAGGGGCTACTGAATCAACTGACTGCAAACATTAAGGACCGTGCTCCTCTCGTGGACAATTTGAAGAAACTGTCTGCTTCGGATGACATTGGTACTATCCACTGATGGGGATGAAGTTTATGGACACATTCCATTCCAACGCTAATACCATTTCTAGGCCCGAGGCTTGTCGAGGCGGCTAACCGACATGAGGAAATTGACGATGAACAGCTTTTCAATCAGCAGTTGAGAAAATATGATCAGTTTCAAGACGGCGTGCAGAATATGATCGATCAGCAGGAGCAAACCTTGGCTGCTATTCAGGTACGATTCCGATTTTCTGCCATGATGAAGCTGACTAACGCTCGTAGGCAAAATATAGGAGGCAAACAGGAAATTCGTAGAGTCGAAACAGACCAGCGGACTGATTCGTGAGAGAGAAGAGGCGCTCCAAAACTTGGACAATGCTTACAAAGCATTTAAAGATATCACTTCAAACATGCAGGAAGGAGTCAAATTCTACTCAGATTTTCAAAACGTCTTGAACAAATTTTCCCAAAACTGCAAGGACTACGCAATGACCCGGAGTGTTGACAAGAAGGACCAAATCGCCGAGCTGCAACGCAGCGTGACGAATCTCCATGTATCGGAACCACAAGGGCCACCGCTTCCACCACGACATGGCGGTGCTCCTGGCGGATATCCGACCTCTCTACCGCCGAGTACGCAGCCGGGCCTCTATACATACGGCCAAAGTACAGGTACGATGCCACAGCCTTACCCCCAAGGGATGCCTCCACCTGGTAAGTGCCTGCTGGATGCACCCTTATTATTGCAACCGAGACCCTTTATGCTCGTATGTGATAGGAACCTGGGATCCGAATACGCCTCTGCAATACGGTCCAAACCCCTACGCTCAGCCCGGAACACAACACGGACCTTACTCTACAAACGTGTTCTACAGTACTAATATTCCTGGTGCAATGCCTCCACCGATGCCGACACAGCCCGGAGGGCCCCAGCAGTATAGGCCATATGGAGTGTAATGTTATATAACTATTTGTTTATACTTCTGGAGTGGTCCACAGAGAGCACTCAATATATACATTGTCTTGCCTTTGTCTTCACGGTCTATCTACAGGCCGCGATATAGTTCTCAAAGCCTTGCAAAACATTCGTCACGTTATCCCCAATCTCTTCCACCGCGTATCCTCCTTCCATAACAAAAAGTGTTGGGCAGCGCAGCGAGGATAGAGCTCGTCCGATTTGAATATAGGCGGGTGTTGTGAGAAAGAAACCGCCAATTGGATCATTCTAGGAACAGGAGATGTCAATATAATACACCTGTTGGTCCTAACAGAATTCGGAGGGCATACGGCGTATGTGTCCACACCCAGTGACACAACGACTATCTGAGGATTGTATTCTTTGACGCGGGTGTCAATGATGGTTTGCAAGGCTTCTATGTACTCCTTCAAAGAAAAAATAAAAAAACTCATGAAGGCCATCCATCGCCCTGTCGAAACCTTGATGTTTAAATCTACCTTATCTTGTGTTCCCATTTTGAGAGGAACGTTGACATTGAACCCCGCTCCTTCGTTCTCTCCGACCTCATCTTCCGCCCCCCAGTAAAATGGGTAGTCCAATGCTCCGTGGAGGGAGACATATAAGGGATTACTGTTCTTCAATCTCCCGCAATGAGTTCTTACTTTCCTAAATTAGTCAGTGCCCTCAAATTGGCATACTACCTCATAAAAGATCTCTTGTGTCCCATTACCGTGATGGTAGTCTGAGCTTCAAATATCAGCAATGCAAATGCTGCCTTACATAGCGCGAAACAGTCTCGTACCTATATCGATGATGGCAACCCTCCCCACCTTTAATACATGGATGAGGTGTCGTACGGCAATAGCCGCATTGTTAAAAAAACAATAGCCACCTGAAGATTGCCATTCAGATTGCGAGATTACTCCATTGTTTTTGCTTTAGCAGCTAAGGTTGATGAGGGTAATAACATTACCACATAGATCCCGCTGGGCGTGATGGCCTGCAGTCGAGAGGTAAGTACTAGTGACATGAAGAATTTGATGTAGTATGTCATTCCATACGACCTGGTGGTCTGCACAATGCGAAAATCCCGTGCGCCTTTTCCTCTATAAGTAATTCTGCTCCTGTCAATGCTACCTGTGCAGCCTCATATGCAGCTTGGAAGGTGCCTTGTGCCCGCCAAATGTCAGTGGAAGGTGCGGCAATCCCAAAAGCTCTTACGAACGAACCTTCGGCGATTACCCCAGTCATGTCAAAACAGCTAGACAAGTCGGGCATAATCTAATCAACCTGCCGTACAGTGAAGATCTGTGTATGAGAAAAACGCACTAGTAACCAGGTCTTCCCAAGGGACCGCCATCTCGTGAGTAGGGGAAGTTACGTTGAGGCGGGTTTTGCTTCCATTTCCTTAAGGTTTTAACCATGGAAAATTACTTTGCATCCCAATTAATCCTTTAATAAGGTACTGGACGAACCTCAGGTTGGCAAAATCCCTCACCGCACTCACATCTGGGAATACACCCTCAGGGTTGCCACCCACTTTGACCCACTAGTTTTGAATATATGTTAAGGAAGGAACAGGCAACAGCATCCGGCATTTACGGCCTCTGGACGAAAGTGACCTCCTCGTAAGCGTTCTGAAGATACGCTATGAATTCCTTAGAGTGAACCGCTGCAATAGGGCCCAAACCATAGTCGTTTGGAGCCACTATTTCACCCAGATTTCGAGCACGTAAACTTGAGAGGATGCTATCGACACGCCCAGTGCACTCTTTGTACGGTACAAAACGGCCGAGCTCAAATTCCTTTGGGGGACTTCATGGGTTGAGAATTGGAATGCCAAATAGTGATGTGTTTGTGCCTACTTATGAAGACAGTGCTTTTCAGAATATATGACCTTCATCTCGTTGATTTGCCTGTTTATAAAGGCTTGGTAATTCATCTTGAACATGCACAAAGCTACCAGCCACTGATGAGTCAGCCCCATCGGCCAATGTACCAAATCGCTGCGGACTGAGGAGGAAACGCTTCCCAATCCCTGGAAGGTATTGGATCTGACTTGGTTCGCAAAGTGTGCTAGACTGGCATTGTGTGGACGAACTCCACGAGAATGAACTTACTGGAAAATGGTGGCAGGCTACCTCGCAGGAGAATCTGCAACGCAAACTCAAGATGCTTCAGATGTTACAACTTGGACCGTCCAAATCCTTGGTGATGGTTTAATTCGCAGTCAGGATGGTAAAAAATCTTGTAAGTCTGTCAGTGTTAACTTCCAAGCAAATCGCTTTGCGAGATCGAGTTGGTGACACGACAAGCCGAGATGAGTCATCGTAGCTTTGAGCAGGAAATACTGCTCATTCAAGGTTGAAACGTCCGGAACACTCAATTTTTAATAGCTAGGCTCTGCTACAAAGCGATGGCTGCCGTGATGCGGTATCGAACCGCGGGTTATAATGGCTATTCGGTAATGCTTGTCTCAGCTCACTGTCGAAGTATGGTGTTTCCTAAATTGCTGCCCTCAGATTGAGTACAGTCCCTTCTTCGAAAACCGGATAGCATGTGCATCTGCAGCCAACTTTGGGATTGTAGGGAATGGGCGATTATGGGTCTTGGGCCTTGGAGCGGGACCTGAAGGCATCGATGTGGAGAAAGTGTATGTAAATTAGAGTGGTTGGAGCAGAGATGCGGCTGATTTACCATGTCACCTCCTATCAAGTTACGATACACAAGATGGGCTATTTGACTGTGCATGGAGTGAAGTGCATGAGAACCAAATAGTTACAAGTAGCGGAGACGGGAGCATCAAACTCTGGGATGTAACATTACCCGTACGTTGTTCGAAGAACGCAAAAGTTGTGATACTAGTAAAGCAACCTGACATATGATCCTTATAAGGACTTTCCTGTGCGGAATTGGAGCGAACATACACGAGAGGTCTTTGCGGTGAAGTGGAACCTCGTTAAGAAGGACACATTCATATCGGGCTCTTGGGATCAGACGATCAAGCTGGTAAGCAAGGTTTTGACCGCAGTTGCTCATTTGTCAAGCACGGCTGATGCGATCTGAAGTGGAATCCTGAAGTTCCACAATCTCTAACGACATGGCAAGAACACACGCACTGCATCTATCAAACCGCTTGGTCCCCAACCAGTGGCGATATCTTCGCGTCGGCGTCCGGCGATCATACCTTGAAAGTCTGGGATGTACGCCAACCACGATCAGTACAAACTGTACGAGCACACAACGCAGAGATACTTGCACTGGATTGGAACAAATACCATCCAAACACGCTGGTTACTGGCAGTGTAGACCACAGTGTGAAAGTATGGGATCTTCGATTCCCAGACCGAGAGGCGATGGTACTACTGGGCCACGATTATGCAGTCCGACGAGTAAAATGCTCCCCACATAGCGGCAATATCATCGCGTCCGCGTCATATGATATGACAATGCGAATTTGGGACACAGCGATGGGAGGGAACAGACTTGCGCATGTACATGATCAGCACACGGAATTTGTGTTGGGCGTGGATATGTCGATGTTCTTCGAGGGGCAGGTGGCAACATGTGCATGGGACGAGCAGATCAATGTCATACAAATTCCCGGACTTTCAATGAAACATTAGACATCAACCAATCTAGGAATTATTTTGCATATCCGCTGCGATAAAAGGATTACAGAAATGAACCGTACTGGAAACAAGTCCAATTTATTTCTGGACCTTGACTCGGGGGAACACAGAGTTTGCATGGTCAAATAGATATTCAGCGGCACATGCAAAGAGGTCTACGGTGCAAGCACCCAAGACGAGAGGCTAGTGAATTAATTTGAGTATATTACAAAAGCAGACCCAAGGAAAGGAACTCCCCACTCATGCTGAATAATTATCTATACAAAATATATGCCTTGAACTGAACCTTACACGAGAAGAACGGCGTTTATACACTATGTCAAGAGCAAACATCAGTGAAGGTAGTCGACAGGGAAAGACTGCTAAAATGCTTACCCCGTCATTCTCCGGGTTGTTCGTCACCTGTGCGTATTTACCCCATACGACTTTTCCGGACTGCGTCACCAACCCCAACTCACTTACGTTTACTTCAATCACAGTTCCCTTCGTTATCACCCCTAACTGAGTGTACATCGGACTGCTTGGGTTCTTTTTGACTCCCAAAATTGGCAAGCAGAAAGTTGCACCAAGTTCCGGGTGGGTAACATGTGCTTTCTTATACCGAAGAGCCATAGGACGAATAAATCGTTCGTACTTTGGTGGCTTCCGCGTAAATCCCTCTCCAACGAATGTCGCCTTGGTCACCACACGCTTCCACTGCTTTGTTTTCCTCTTTCCGGTTTTGAGTACTTTGAATACCTCCGCTTCGTCCATGCCCTTCACTTTCGGCAGAGGGACCTGCCACTTCCCAGCCTTCTCCTTTCGCTTTTGCTTAATCATATTTGATAGAACTTTGGCCCGCGTTTGATTCTCACGGTCCAAAAGATATGTGGGAACAGCACCCTCTTGCACCGGCTGATCCGCAGACTTATGCTTGTTGTTCCGTTCCTCGTGCATTTTGATTGTTTTCTTCATCTGGACCTTTTCGGCGTGCCTCTTCTTGTTGTATAATTTGGCCTTTAGACCGTGGAGACGCTTGGCGTGGGCAGCCCGAGCGTGAACCTCACGGGCCTCCTTCTTCCGCCTGTTGGGCAAGCATAACGAGTATAAGCCAGTTGTCTACTACACAGATAGTCAGTTCAGTTGCATGTAACGTACTTGCGCTCCTCATGGTCCAAACGACGGCCATGCTTTTTGATCGACTCTTCAATGTACTCGTTCTGAGGCATGCTTTGAACTCAACGATCAGGTATCAGAAGCGCGAAAGAGGACAAGACAACGGATTTTCAAGTTTTTGGTATCATCAATCCAAGCTTTTGTTTATTGTGACATTTTTCCCATTCGAATCAGAATATCAAAAAGAAAAAAATGAGCCATTATTCTGATTGGTCAGAGTTGGGTAAGCAAGCTGGAGGGTCGCAGCGCTTTCTGCAGTTTATTTGACAATTGCATCCTACATGTACTTTGCACCTGTTTTTGAACCGTGACACCCAAGGAACGCACGCACACCTTGTGGTTTTTAGCAGCTCCTGTCCGAATTTCCGATATAATACCATTCCGAACACCATGCCAAAGGTGGAAAAAGTCCGTACGGCGAGCTCCACCCGAGCAGCGAACCCTATTTTCGATAAAGGCTTGGGTCAGCATATCTTGAAAAATCCCCTTGTTGCGCAAGGGATTGTTGAAAAGGTGCGACATGCCGATTTTTGTAAAACGACATGCGTTAACGGAAAGTTAACGTGGATAGGCAGCTCTGAAACCGACCGACCATGTACTCGAAATTGGTCCCGGTACGGGTAACTTGACGGTCAAGATATTAGAAAAGGCGAAGAAGGTTGGTTCATGACTTGGAGTTTGTATGTGCTGAACAGCACAGGGCTTACTTTTGATATTATCCTTTTCAGACTACCGTAGTTGAAATGGATCCTCGGCTTGCTGCTGAATTGACCAAACGTGTGCAGGGAACGTAAGTTAGATATGGTCCCTTCGAAGCAACCCCGCTATATCCTGGTACGAAAGAACTCACGAGGAACTCATTAGCCCAGAACAACGAAAGCTCGACATTATCCTCGGTGACTTCCTCAAGGTCGATCTCCCATACTTTGATGTCTGCATCAGTAACACCCCTTATCAAATCTCCTCTCCCCTCGTATTCAAACTCCTGCAACACCGGCCTCTGTGGCGCTGTGCGGTTCTCATGTTTCAGCGCGAGTTCGCTTTACGGTTAACTGCAAAAGCAGGGGAGAGTCTGTACTGCCGATTATCCGCCAATGTCCAACTTCTTGCCAAAGTAGACCATGTGATGAAGGTCGGAAAGAACAACTTTCGGCCACCACCACAAGTAGAAAGCAGTGTTGTAAGGATGGAGCCTCGTCAACCACCACCTCCGGTGAATTTCGACGAATGGGATGGCTTGTTGAGGATCTTGTTCGTCAGAAAGAATAAAACGGTGGCAGCCAATTTCAAGACCCAGTCTGTGTTGGACATGCTATCACATAACTACAAGACGTACTGTTCGATAAGCGGCAAAGATGTACCAATGGATTTTGATGTGAAACAAGCGGTTATGGATGTTTTGGATTCGGTGGGCATGGCTGAGATGCGAGCAGCCAAGATGGATAATGATGACTTTCTCAAGTACGTATCATCCACCACCAACTTACACTCTCGCCTTTGACTTACTGGCTTTACATTTTTGATAGGCTTCTCAGTGCATTTATTGATGCAGGATTCCGATTCAGAGCAGCATAGAGTAGGGTAATCAGTGCAATTTTCATCACTACTGTATAGTACTAGTCTATTATGACCCAATGCATTACCAAAATACTAATATAGGTCCCGCTACATATAGACATATAGGCTGTACGTCCATTTCAATCCCTTGTGACTTATATTCTATATTCTCATTCTATGTCTTTAAGAATTGGTCAATTCGGTTCTTACGTCGCGCTTCGTACTATCATATGAATTAATTGTTAACAGCACGAATATATCATCCGATTTCAAAACATCTCACCTTCTCAGCTCCCTCTAAGGCACGTAATTCCGCTTCACCAAACGGATTACCCTCCAAATCGATCCATGTAACACTGGTCTCAGACAGGATTTCCGCCGGAAACTTTGAAATTTGGTTTCTGGCCAATTTCATTGTTTTCAGCGACGTGAGGCCACCAAACTCCGCCGGAATCATGGTCAAAGCATTGTTCTCCACATTAAGCTCCTCTAAAGAGGTCAATAATCTCATTTCACTCGGTAACGTTGTCAATTTGTTAAATGATATGTCCAGGGTCACAAGCTTCTTCAATTGACCTATGGACCCGGGAATATTTGTAATGACATTGTGAGATAATACGAGGCATTTTAGAGCTGATAAAGCTGAAATGGAAGGATCAAGTGTGTGAAGCGCGTTGTGGGAAAGATTCAGCGTTTCAAGCGCCGGATAATTGGTAACAGGAGGGAGTGTAATGAAGCGATTGCAGGAGAGCGAGAGGATTTTGAGTGAGGCAAAGGAGCTGAGAGGTGGCGGCCTACATGAAAGAGAATAAGACGGTTACATAAAAGGTCTTGGACAAACTCACTGATGACATACAAGCTTTTCAAGCGATTATTAGATCTATTATGTGTCAGAAACGTTAGCAAGGAGATGTCCACGCTGTTGACAAAAGCAGGTAATCCTTACAAATCCAAACTTTTAAGGTTGTGCAATTGCCACATCATTGCTACCATCTTTGGAGGGACGTCCTTCAGCTTCGCTTGGGTGAGTGTGAGAACGCCTAAAAACAACCTGTGAGTTTGATACAGACAAAGCACTGACGCTGGGCGACCATACCTGTTTTCCCTGCCCGTTCCACCCTGGTCTGAATAGAGTGCGAGTTGCCCATCTTGCGCTGTCTTCTCAAATAGTCGGAATTTATCTGCCAATGGGCCGCAAGACTGGACTTGGCGCTACCTTGACAGGTCTTAACCTGCTATTCAAAAATGACCGGCGCTTTTTAGCGAATAATAGGCACTTTGCGCTCCCAAGCCAGTGCACTGACTTCAACCTCATAAAAAGGCTAGCACCCAAAGACCAACCTACCTCTAGATAAGGTTTGGCAGTCTTTCACTTGTCGGGCGCGATCAAGGCTTACGGAGAATGTGGCGCCAAGCAGTCACGTGACACTCATCTTGTTTTGCTTTGGTTTCTTTTGTTTACGAAACTTACATATTTTTTTAACGTCGGTCCCGCACCCACCCGGGCCTATGGCCCAATGGATAAGGCGCCTGACTACGGATCAGGAGATTCGAGGTTCGAATCCTCGTAGGCTCGTCGAACTTTGTACCTAACTTTTATCTGTCACTGTGTTTACGGTTTATTGATAAAGTTTTGGTCATTGCAGGACTTTTGTGTGCGAGTCATGCGGTAAGATCGGTTCTTTCGAATGCCTTCTTTTTATTCTCGAATTCTTGTTTCTTCCACCTGTACGGCCCTCTCCGTATGCCAATTAAATTACGCGACACTGTAACTTGTAGTATGCCCCGTTCTGAATCATGCAAAGCATTTGTCCCCGAGAAATAGCCAGCTGTTCCTCTTGCTATAAGCCTGAAGACTGCCCTCGTTGAGCAAGCAATTAAGAAGTTCAAAGAAGTTCAAAGAAACCGATTGCTTCGCCCGGACAGACACGGTAAAGATGTAAATGGTTCCTATAAGATCAGGAACAGATCGTGTTGTGCTTGCAGATCATCTGAATATAAAATTCAACTTTGATAAAGAATGTCTATTTATGCTCGCAAACTAATGATTTGTTGATACTGCATCGACCAGAGGCTTGTTTGCGACAAACGCGCATATCACGTAAGCACGTGCCTGCAATAAGGCTGCACCTGCCCACAGCATGTTTTATCGTACACAAAGGTATTTCGACTACACACTCAACGGACGGAGTAAAAATGGGATCCATCGAGGTAATACCACATTTCCTGAAAAGTTAGCTGCCCATGACAGCTTAAGCGATTCTTATTCCTGCGACTAATTTTATATTTGTCTTTATGAACGATGTCTCGCCAGGCCTTATTCGAGGGTAAAGTCGCATGACCTTCCTCAAAATAGTCCATGTTTTATCCATCTAATACTTCCAATCAATAGCTATAAAGTCCAGCGACTCCGGCAAAGTTCGCTCACTTCTTCTCGAGGACAAGACTTTGACGGCCCAAAAGCATCGTGACCCAACTGTCAAGTTCGATCCAGACGTGGAACTAGATGCGTACAAGTTCCTTGGGGCATACATAGGCTCAATTACAGCGCTGCACTTGGCGATATTATGTGGGCAGGATGCGATCGCAAAGGATATTGTGGAGAGAACATTACAGGATGATTTGGATATTACCTTCGGGGTATGCTTACTTTTGGGCAACGATTATTGTCGCTTTCCGCCATACTGATCAACATCTTCATACCTAGGGAGGAAATACCGCACTGCATCTTGGTAATCAGAGCAAAGGCGTTATTTAGGATACTAGAATGATATCTCACATATGATACCTTTGGTTTCAGCAACCTTTCTCGGTGCTCGAGACATTGTTAAACTCCTTTTAGAACAAGGGGCCAACCGCAAGATCACAAATGCGAAAGGTTTTGCACCCGTGGATGTAGTGGATGATGGGGAAATGCGAGCTTTGTTTGCCGAAGAGAGTTGATTGTGAAGGACCAACATGTAGGGGATCTGAGAAGCGAGTATTGGATTTAATGGGGAGAACACCAAGATGAGAACAATTCTTGTAAATATGCGAAGAGTTTGAGTAGCTGGTATTAATAAACAGTGCAAAGTATTCACACATCCATCCGCACGGCCAAAATTGCACATTCTGCGGTTGTGATGGCTTGGATATCTGATCTCGTGTTGAACCTGGACGGACGAAAATGCAATTTGAAAGTCGCGAGCCACATTCCGGCCCTCTAAATCACAACAGTTGCTTCTCACACATTTCTAAAGGCTACTATTATGATGGTATTCTGCAGAGGTCCCTTTGGATTACTGAGGCACACCTTGCAAACGGAGCATTCGTCGCTTGACCAACTTGTCTCTCTCCCTCTCCAAAGCGTCTAATTCTGCCTTCTCAATCTTTGACACCCAGTATCCAATCCCGGCAAAGCCCGCAGCAAATAACAAGTGCAAGTGAGGTCCTACATGTCGAGTCATAGCGTCAGCATTAGTCGACGGCTGTTCGGCAAACATCCCTGCGGTGACTACACCAACTCACTTTCCAAAACCGGTCGGCGCTGCATTCCCAAAGCCCACGCACGAACAAAGGCACCAACCAATCCCCATCCAGCTAGTTCAAGGGTTTGGCCTTGGGAAATTTGGGAGGCTTCCACGGCTTGTTTGGATGGAACGAGGATGGTGGCCGGCATAGTGGTATCGGTTCAGAGGTCTATCAAAAGACGCGCCACGAGAAGGTTATTGAATGTCCCACAGAGCAAGTACTGCATACCCCAAGAAGAACGTCAATTGTTTCCATTTCCTTACCAGGTGTTGATGGCGGGTAAGTCGTCCGTTGAGAGTGATGGGCGTGCCAGACAGCCAAACTCCTCGCTTGGATCGGAATGAGGCACAGTCATTGGATACATGCAACATATCTGTGCCACCATGTCGTTTGTTGTTTCAAATGCGACAGCAGTCCCCTCCTTGCGACGTTCCTTCCTTCCCTTTGGAGTTGGACTCTCTTTACGGTCCATCCATTCCATCCCTCGCATCCATCCATCTGCTTTTTCCATCCTTAACACCCCCGAGGAGGCAACAGTCAAGATGGTATGTGGGAGAATCAGTCGCCTCCTGAAAATGGGGTGAATGAAGGGCATGGCGAATGCTCATCGTCGAGTGTGGATTGTTAACCCAATGTTTTGTTGTTTATTTGTAGGTGAACTTCTCAGTAGACGAGGTACGGTGTAAAATGACGCGCGGCTGTCGGAAAAGACCTTCAAAGGACACCCCGGCAAAAGTTGTTTGAAGCTGGATGGACCTAACAATGTATCCTTTTGTAGATCCGGGCCCTTATGGACAAGCGGACTAACATCCGTAACATGTCCGTCATTGCCCACGTCGATCACGGAAAGAGTACCTTGACCGACTCTCTCGTGTCGAAGGCCGGTATTATTGCGTCTGCCAAAGCTGGTGATGCTCGGTACACCGACACCCGGCAAGATGAACAGGACCGTGGTATTACCATCAAGTCAACTGCCATCTCTATGTTCTTTGAAATGGCCGAGGAAGACTTGGCTGATGTGAAACAGAAGACGGAGGGTAAGTTTCATGTTCAGACCAATTTATATGAACCTAGATGAACTCATACGGTCGGTCGTCTGCAGGTGCTGGGTTCTTGATCAACTTGATCGACTCTCCCGGTCACGTTGACTTCTCATCTGAAGTCACTGCTGCTCTTCGTGTTACCGACGGTGCTCTCGTCGTCGTGGATACCATCGAAGGTGTCTGTGTGCAAACCGAGACCGTACTTCGTCAAGCGCTTGGTGAACGAATCAAACCCGTTGTTGTCATCAACAAGGTTGACCGTGCCCTGCTCGAACTTCAGCTCACTAAGGAAGATTTGTACCAGGTGAGGATTTGAATTGATTCGCAGTTGTTCAGGACAATTACTCAGCTACGTCCACCAGACCTTTTCTCGTACCATCGAGAGCGTAAACGTGGTGATTGCCACCTATCTCGACAAGAGCCTTGGCGATGTGCAAGTGTACCCTGAAAAGGGTACCGTCGCCTTCGGTTCCGGTCTCCATGGATGGGCTTTCACCCTTCGCCAGTTTGCCAACCGTTACGCCAAGAAGTTCGGCGTTGACAAGGAGAAGATGATGGGTCGTCTTTGGGGTGAGAACTACTTCAACCCCAAGACCAAGAAATGGACCAACAAGGGTACGGACACCGACGGCAAGTCCCTTGAACGTGCCTTCAACACCTTCGTTCTCGACCCCATCTTCCGTCTGTTTGATGCGATTATGAACTTCAAAAAGGAGGAGACTGCTAAGATGTTGGAGAAGCTTGAAATCACCCTTAAGAGCGACGAGAAGGATCTCGAAGGCAAAGCTCTTCTCAAGACTGTCATGAAGAAATTCTTGCCTGCTGGTGATGCTCTCCTTGAGATGATTGTTATCCACCTTCCCTCCCCTGTCACCGCCCAGAAGTACCGTTTCGACACATTATACGAGGGTCCTCTCGATGACGAGTGTGCTATCGGTATCCGCGACTGTGACCCTACCGGTCCTCTCATGTTGTACGTGTCGAAGATGGTACCGACATCCGACAAAGGACGTTTCTACGCATTCGGGCGTGTGTTCTCTGGTACGGTTCGTGCTGGTCTTAAGGTCCGCATTCAGGGTCCCAACTACGTCCCTGGCAAGAAGGATGATATGTTCCTCAAGAGCATCCAGCGTGTGGTTCTTATGATGGGTCGTTACGTGGAGTCTATCGAGGACTGCCCTGCTGGTAACATTATCGGTCTCGTCGGTATCGACCAGTTCTTGCTCAAGTCGGGTACCATCACGACCTCTGAGACAGCCCACAACTTGAAAGTTATGAAGTTCTCCGTCTCTCCTGTCGTGCAGGTCGCTGTTGAGGTCAAGAACGCCAATGACCTGCCCAAGCTTGTGGAAGGTTTGAAGCGTCTCTCCAAATCTGACCCTTGCGTCCTCTGCTACACATCCGAGTCCGGTGAACACATTGTTGCTGGTGCTGGTGAACTTCACCTCGAAATTTGTTTGAAGGATCTTGAAGAGGACCATGCTGGTGTCCCTATTAAGACCGGTGACCCCGTTGTCCAACTTCGTGAAACTGTCCAGGCTGAATCCAGCATTGTTGCCCTCTCCAAGTCCCCCAACAAGCATAACCGTATTTTCATGAAGGCGGCCCCCATGCAGGAGGAGCTTGCCCGTGACATTGAGACTGGAAAGGTGTCACCCAAGGACGATTTCAAGGCCCGTGCTCGTATTCTTGCTGAGGAATACGGGTGGGATGTCACTGATGCCCGTAAGATCTGGTGTTTCGGTCCCGACGTGTCTGGTGCCAACTTGTTGGTCGACACCACTAAGGGTGTACAGTATTTGAACGAAATCAAAGATTCTTGCATTGCTGCCTTCCAGTGGGCCACTAAGGAAGGTTGTTTGGCTGAGGAGAACATGCGTGCCATTCGTTTCAACATTCTTGATGTTGTGCTGGTAAGTGTATGAAGATTTTTGAAAACTGTTGTGGTTATATTCAAAGATTTCATTTCTCTCAGCACGCTGATGCCATTCACCGTGGTGGCGGTCAAATTATCCCCACTTGCCGTCGTGTCTGCTACGCCGCGATGCTCACTGCGAACCCTGGTGTCATGGAGCCCGTATTCTTGGTCGAAATTCAATGTCCTGAGAGCGCTATGGGTGGTATCTATGGTGTCCTTAACAGGCGTCGTGGTCACGTATTTGCTGAGGAACAACGCCCTGGAACCCCCTTGTACAACGTCAAGGCCTACCTGCCCATCATGGAGTCCTTCGGTTTCACTGCCGACTTGCGTGCCGGAACCGGAGGCCAGGCCTTCCCCCAGTCCGTGTTCGATCACTGGCAGATTATGTCGGGATCGCCACTTGAGGCAGGCAAACTGCAGGACATGATTCAGGGTGTGCGTAAGAGGAAGGGTCTCACTCCTGAAATTCCCCCTCTCGACCGATACTACGGTAAGCGAAGACAGTGCTTGCTTTCATCTTACCTGTCGTTCTAACGATTTTTTTGTCCAGACAAATTGTAAGGACCCACTTACGGGATTGGGGGGTCTGGGTTCTTTCTTTTGTTGTATTGTATTTCTACTTGCGGGGGCTTAAGGGAGTCTCTAGATTAGGTTTTTGCACTCTCACGCGCGACATTAGTATACGTGTTTGTTGGCTTGTAAGGTCACCACGGTTTGTAAAAAGATCATCATAAAAATACGTTCCTTACATTAGCAACATTTAATCATAAACAAGCAACTACCGAGTGACTGTAACTACGAGGATAGGCGATCTATCATAAAACTGCAGGAGACGGTTGCAAAAGCCAAGTTGAATCGTCTCCCGGGTAACGTTGCTGGGGATGTGCGAGTAGTTTGGTCATGGCTATCGTAAATCTTGAAAGTAGAAGTCATGAGCGCCAGTCACCAATCATCATTTACGTTATTCCTATATACCTGCGTCTTTCTCTCGTAACTTCAAACAGTTGGTTTTTGCCTTCATCCTCAAGTTGAATCAACGCGTCGTATATTGCCTGTTAAGAAAGTGAAGAGCTCAGGTGATTGGTATGACAATACATCAAGTGGACCTGAATACCTGTACGTTGTTTTCCGCTGATTCCTGCATTAACAAAAGCCGTTAAAACGCAAGGTCGGCAAAAGAGGAAAAATTCCGACAGGTTGTTAATACCTTATCATGAAGATATACGCAATCAAAGAAAAGCCGTGGGTTGTCCAACAGGTATTTCTATCAGAGATAAGGTTAAGAGACACCATTTCGGCGCAGTGGTCATAACCGTCTTACATATTCGCGGGTTGGTGGAGGCGGCACATTGCTTCTGCAATATATTAAAATCACTCGTAAAACATAGTCGCTTTCATTGTTAGGGATGTGTTCGGCTCTGTCAGTAGACGAGTTGGTGATTAGCATATCGACTGCTGGCATCCAAAGAAGCTTTAAGTCGTCGTTCAACCTACAATGCTTCAAAAAGTGTTTGCATGTCTAAACAAATGCTATATGAGATCGCGATGGGAGTAATTCTTTGCGTAGTTCAAAGACGTACTCCATTCCGTTCGCTCATCTTCAGACTGAATCTGCTCTATTGCCTTATCAATTGCGTTTTCATCCGATGAAAACTGTGCATGCTGGCGAAAAGCGAACCGTCAGAATTTTCACACTCGACACTGCAAGACCCGGGTCACTCAGGTAAGACGTACCTACCCACAACGTTATGACACCTGCTGTGCAGATTCCAAACTAAGGCGGACGTCAGCCTTCAAATTACGAAGCTGTTGCTTCATCAATTACCTGGTGGGCAGGATTCAAGCGTGATTTTTGAAATACGAACCGTTTCATTAGCCGCTTTGCCCATTCGAGACGGGTTCTAGAATGACTGTCAGTTAGATCGCCTTCTCGACGAAGACACTTACAAAAAGGTTACTAACACTGGAGGGTGTGTAAGTAGCCCGCTGCCGGCTTCTTCACCTATATCAACACAGAACACCTAATAACGTTAACCACAGTGCGTCTAGCAAATCGACCAGTTCGCGTCGGCGCGCAACAAGCATTCAAACAATACAAGCTCTGTGCATCACCACGGACGTCGTGGGTGGCATAACAGGCGGTCCTATCCCTCTTCAAATGCAAATCCCGCTCAGCTAACTACCTACAATTTTCTCAGGCAGGAACATATCGCTAGAAGATGCTCAACCTGGACCTGATCGTTCAAACTACTGGGACTGGTAGTCCCCCGTGACTTCTGGTTATGGACTGGTTGCAGTCATGGTTCCAATGTACCCAACAATAGCTCAACAACCTTTCAGGATGTGATGACGGACACTACGCGACTCGACTTCACAGGTTCTCACGATCATCGAGCCATGGACAAAATCGTTGATTTTGGCAAGTCTCTCTTTACTCGATCACGTCGGTCGGAACGATTGGCTCAACAACGTCCGTATCATACACCTGAACCTGCACAGGTAAATTTTCCAGCCAGTTTAGTCGCTTACAGCTCCTTTCATTTAAACGTTTGTACTTTCAGCGGAGAAAACAAGCCAAACGTCGACGTCGTATTTCAGATGATATCACAGATACACTTACACAAGCTGTTCGTACCGTCACCACCCCTGCAAGAGCTGCTCTGAACTTTTTGGTGCCAACTCCTGAGGCCGAACCAAACCAGCTACCTGAAGTTCCCGAGGTTGGAGAAGTTCTGGTACCGGAAACTTTAGTCTGTGGCAATAGCGAGACACAAACAACGTCGACCAGCGAACCTACACCAACCGAAGAAATTGCAGCGGCCATCAGCCTGTACCCGAACGTAGAGGATGTTGACAAGGAAGAAGCACAGACGCCTGCCAAAATATACCCTGTGATAGAAGAGTTACGGGGAGCAAGTTCCCTGCACAGCACAGAAGACAATGGTCAGTGGATTCCTGAATGCGAGGTGCAGAGCATGGAAGTAGAGGGTGCTCCCGAAGAGGACGATCCGCACCTGCAAGATCGGCCGGAAGCACAAGATGATAGTAAATCCATCGACATCAACAGTCGATCGCCCTCTCCTGATGATTCCACTGATGCAAAAGAAGGGGGTACTCCATCAGAGGGTGAATCGACTGCAACTGAAATGAGCTACAATATGACATCTGTTGTCATCGAAACAAGCACAGATGAAGGAAGCGCGCAACATATACAAGAGTCTAGCATTGTCGATAGCAACAGTATGGTGATAGACATTGAAAAGGAGCACAGTGTGTTAACGGCCTCCGAATCGCCAAATGGTAGCGAGGATGACGGCAACCACCAGCCTCGCTTAATCGACAATAAATCGCAGAAGGCAAAGGGTCCTGCGCCGAGTGACCGGATATTCACATCTGACAGTAAGTGATCTGTAAGGATAACGCTAGCTACTTTTACTGATTCTCCAATCCTAGTCATTGACCTCACCTCCTCCCCGGACATTCCGCTTGATGAGCCAATGAACTTGTCCGAGCTGGGCCCTACCCGAACATCACCTGGTACGTAAGCAGAGATATTTCCTTGCGAAGTTCACGAGGCTCAGGAACGAACTCTTGTAGCACCTGTCGAGCGTGTACCAACGCGGACATCTGCAACTGTGTCCCCACGGCTGGAACCTCCCGCACTGAAGCTATCGCAGATCTATATGTCCAAAGACCCGTTTATATTTTCCGCGTTGCCCAGTCAGACATCGGTAAATATGCTGCTTTCACCTACGATGTTAAAGAGGACAAGGTATCAATGATAACCTCTTAGGATCGCCGAGCGAAGATCCCACGCTCCGAGATCAGGGTTCGGAAAATCAAGCGTCGTTATTACGGGACCGGTGCTGAAGTGCAAGCACCTCGTTCTCTGACTATGTCACCAAAAAGACGGACTGCCGGAATAAATTTGAGTCGTCTGCGACCGAAGATGGCACCACCGACCTCAGCTACCCAGCCGACTGTGGGAGCATCCACCAATCTTTCCACGAAAGCAACAATCGACCTGAAAGAGTCGTCTACAACTGTTACAACCCCTACTGCGGCTGCCCATCCAATTGCTGAAACAGAGGCCAAGCGAAGAAAAATCGACAAGCCCATCAGCAAACCAACCCAGCATGTGTTGGACATCATCAATAGCATCGTGGCACCCGTATGTACAATAAGCTGAGATGTGTCTGTAACTGTCCCATCAAATCTGGAATGCTGACTTATACTTCATTAGCCACCTCCAGCCATGCCAATGCCCCGACCAACAGCCCCTGCTGTCAACCCTTATGAGGTTAAGCTTTTGACACAGCCCGCTCCAGCAGCAGCGAAGGCAAACACGGAGGTACCCGCTCACTCTCCAGCTTCCATTATGTCTGTGCACGCGATTTACCAGGCTCGTTCGTACAATAGGCAGACGATTTACGTAGGAAAGTCCAAATGATTGAAGAACGCTTTGAGCCGCATGGGAAGAAACGAGGTATTGAAGAGGCTGATACGGAAGAAGCTGTGGTGGAGCCTGCTTCCGTTCAGGACAGAAGAATACTTCCCCTTCCAACACCCCGAAGGAAATTGGTAGCCACAACACCGAAGCGCGTGGCCGAAGAACGACTATCACAGAATAAGAACCGTCCTAGATACACATTTGAAGATACTATTCGAGCATCAAACGTCAAATCTCCTATGCCTACTGAATCAATGAAGACTACGGGTTTGTCCGGCGATAATTCTACAACAAAGGAATGGAAGGCCACTGGCTTAACACATGCGAAGTTGACGTTGGACGACATCCTGCGGGAAGCTGCCACAATTCAGCTTCCATCCGATATTCAGTTCTCATTCTACGCTGGTCAAGCAACAGTGTCGTCGGAGTGCCGACAGCTTGTGATGACGGGGATGGATGCATCAATGCATAATCAGCGGTACTTTAGCGACACGCCAAATTTTGAATCAAATCAGATGGACGCAGAGCGCCGCCTCACAAGGATTTTGCAGGAATTTAAGGAGTATAGTGCTGGAGCAAGTGTGGAGAGAGTATGGAGGTCGACGGACCCTATCGTGTGACTCAATAACAGCGCCTGTGCAGTGTCATAATGTGTAGATAAAACACCACAACATCAATATTTGCATTTGGGCGTTAGTATTCTCAGAGGTCCATTTCCATGTTATGCCCCTTGGGGTTTGCTGCCCCGTGCCGATGCCAATTCCTCTTTCCGTCTGGCTTCTACTCGCGCTGCAGCTTCCTTCCGCTTCTCAAAAATCACCTCATTCCGTTTGACAATATAGGACGAGTGTATCGTTACCTGTGAAACGACTAAGGTGGCCACTGCCGAGCCACGCCGTATCAGTAGTCGTATAATGTTGGACATGGAGTAAATTAATAGAACTAACGTGCTGTAACGACCCCAGCTGTGTAAAAGGGGATCTTCTTATGCCTGTAACTTTTCGCATACCAAAACCCGCCACCCGTAATGGCAAGAGCTGCAAGAAAGTAGGAGAGTTAAAAGAACGTGTTTAACGTGCTCATTAGAGCTTTAATAGCGAGAACAAAAGCAACTTACTCACGGCACCCGCTATCAATCCATGCCCCCAGGCAATCTTTTCCGCGTCCTCAAGTCTTGCGTCAAAATCCGCAAGTGGCCGGGATCCGAACGTAGGGATAGTTGGGTTACTCCGTGAAGTTGGAAGTTCTGGTGGAGAATTGGACATACGAGCGTTATGTCATTGATGATCTCGTTGGAGAACAACGAGGTAAAGCTGAGTCGGGCGATTGTCATAATGGATGGACTCGGTTGGAATCACTGATTTCTCCCCATTAGGGTTAATTAGCCAATACTTCTCCGCACAATTTCCTCTCTGAAAATCGCATTGATGGTCTCCAAAAGTCGGTGATGCCTCCCCTGTCCTCTCCTCCGATAGCCCTTCCAGAGCATACGTCTGATCAGCGTCCTACTAATGGAGGCAGACGTTGGAGCTCCCAGCCAACATCGTGTCTCCACTGAAATACCTACCCAACCGCATAGCCGAGTGGCCAGCAGCGATAAAGGAGAGGCCGATGGCGTGCCTGATACAGAGGGTCAAGCTGAACCCTCTGCTGAAGGGCCCGTGCTGCCGCCGAAGTCCGTAGAGAATGAGCTTTTGGAAAAAAATGAAGAGTAAATACTTTTCGGGCGGTTTGGTTGCCTTTTGACCGTTTTGCTCATGGTGTTGGTTCTTGTTGTCCAGCTATCAGCTCCTACTGAGTACATTGACTGTGCTACGAAACCAGCTAACGCAGGCGGAAGAAGATCTCACAAAACTTATCAATATGAAAGAAGAGGCGCTACAAGATCCTCTATCTTTTGTGGAAAAATTGATGTCCAAGGTGCAGAGAACAGATGCCCCGTTCCCCCGATGACGAGGTCATACCACGATAATCTAACTCCGCACAAATAGAACTTGGATACTATACCGAAACCTCAAAGAGTTGTCGCAGTTCCCCATATCGATCTCTATAAATATCAAGGCGATACAGGTTGGACATATGAAGGGAGCTATCGTTATAGCGGCAAGTCGATTTTTAACAGTTTGCCATACAAGGCTCCACATCAACCCGTTTTCCAAGAACACGATCGTACTTCAGAAGCGACATCTTTGACCGATCCTTCTCTCCGGGTTGGGGAACACCTCTACCTGATCTTGGACCAGTGGACGACTCTGAGATTTCCTCAAGCCACGAGATGGAGACGGAACAAGAAAACGTACTAATTATTTTTGTCGCGCTTTCTCTGCTGCCTGTGTTAATCGTATGTTACACATAGTCCAAAGGTACCCCGGAAGAACGGTCACACACTTTCAATCAGCCGTGGTCAGAAGAAGAGCACGTATGTAGCCACTTCCGTCTTTCAGAGTCACAAAGTATGTCGTTTTTAGCTTATTATAACATGTCTGTTTCTGTAACAGACTCGGTTGATGGAACTCCTTGAAGTATATCCTGAGGAGTCGATCGCCACCCGCCGTTTTGAGAAGATTTCTGCTGCGTTAGGAAGCAGGACCTCAAGACAGGTATTACTTTGCATAGTCTGCGGAGTAGTTTTCTTGTAGAGACCACTGATGTTCGACACACGGTAGGTAGCGAGTCGTGTCCAGAAGCTGTTTGAACCGCGGAGTCGCACTTCTTCTGTAAAGAAGGCATCTACCGCTAAGCCAACAACCACGCGCGTGTCGGGTACATATTACTCAAATAGGTACGTCATAACAGCATATCAAAGGGGAAGCTCAGGACATGATACCTTCTCTCTAAAGGTTCAGTGGATCACGATACTTGCATACACCCACGGTTACCATGTCCGACGACGAGGGTGATGATGAGGATATTGGCATTCCGGTTCATCCGGAACTCAAATCATCTGAGGAATACAAGGTCAATTGATTCATGCCGTGATTTATTTATGTAATTGCTGTTAACATCCTCCATATGCAGGAACTCCTAAGATTACAGAAGTTGGCGAAGCTCAAGGCCAATGTACCATCTGCACACACTGCGGATCCTGTGCATTACGGATACTCCTGTGATAGATGCCTGGCAGAGCCCATTGTCGGAGTAGGTCATATTGAATGCATTTGGAGGATGCCACCAAGATTTAAATATTCTGGTAGACTCGATGGAAGTGCCTCGACTGTCCTGAAGAAAGCCAAGTCGATCTATGTGATGAATGCATGGACAAAAATTTCCAGAATGGTGGGGTTTTATTCTGCAGGTCCAAGGGTTTATTCGACGTACTCATCTTTGAGCGATTCGCTAGATCATCACAGCGCTGACCATCGCTTTGAGAAGATAGCAACTCCAGAAGAAACTGATATGCAGGACGATTATGCATATCTTGGATTTCGTAAAGTCGAATAAGTTGTCATGGGTGCAAGTTTCCATGCATTGTGTTGGTCTGATTCAACAATTTGTATAATTGTATATGACTGTTCTGCTCGGTTGATGAGGTAGTTCTCCCGCTAGAGCGGTAAGCTACACTGTTACATAATTTAATAGAGTCTGTATTTCATCCTATAAAATCAAGCTCCTCCTTTCTAATATGACATACATCATCCAGTCGACTCAACAATCATGATGGGAAGGCGACTGTGAACAGCATCTCACTAGCGTTAGTACAGACCATACTACATGCACCCCAGCGACTTCCAAAGAGATTATAGCACTACACTCAGGGATTCAAGCCAAACTCGGCTTTGAACATGTCAACATGTCGGCAATTGGCGACTCCTAAGAACTTGAAGGCTCGTATCTAAAATGACACAAATCAATAACTGATCCTGCAGAAGGTGTAATTGTCAGGCCGAGCGAGAAAAGATCATCACTGTAGAAGTCTCAACATGAGCAGCGCCTAAGTGTCGCTATTCAGTGGATTGACAGATATTTTGGGGCAAATGCCACTAATCACTTCTCTTCTCGCTCGGCCTAACGGGCAGCTGCGACTTACCATGTCACTTTCACGAGAGCGGAACAAACAGCGTCTATGAAGGGACATGACAAGAGTTAGTCATTGTCAGCGCCCACTTCGTACACACCGGATGATTCTTGCATCAGAACTTCTTAGAGATTTAGCTTATCATTGATCACTGACAGTGATCTGCCATAGTGTAATTTCCTCCTTTGCAAGAATCACCCACTCTGATTGTATGACACTCACCTCTATGCAGTTCCACCAAATGGGCCACGATACGCCCTTGACAGTGGCATTGACACGGAGTCAGGAGCGCGAAACTTCACCCAAGTAGCGGATGACGCAAACGTCAGGCTGACGGCTCGGGGAGAGGTCGCATCGACAATATTATTTGTATGGAGACCACTACTTTGCTACTATCACAAAGATAGGATGTTAACAATGTAACACATAAATAGACCATTAAACAGCATGGACGCGCGATCAATCTCAGATTCGCCTTAACATCCAACATTCTTGTCCTTCCCCCAAAGCTGACGTCCGGTATGTGGGGAGAAAGCATTACATTTCCTACAACCTCACGCAGCCGATGACTGCTCAGCAGCGGAGTTCTCTCTTGGAGATGAAGGCCAAGTAGGGATACCAAAGATCTCATCCTTGACGGTGCCATGATACGCGTTGAACCATGTACATACCATCTTGGATATCGGGCCACTTCCACCGGCGGGGCTCAAGGAGTTTCATTGATGGTTTGTTCTTTTGCCGGTCCACAAAGACGATGACTAGGTCATCGAGAGATGGTTGAGGAATACGGAAGCGAGCTGAATTCTGGAGGAAGATAAAGAAAATAGACATAATCACGTGGTGGCACAGCGCTAGTCGCGGCTGTTGGTCTCTCCGCTCGCAAGTGCTGTATGGCCAAACGCATCTGACATGGACTTTTCGGTTTTTGTCGCGAACACATTGGTAGTCGATAAATCAATATGGCATGTATGGCTGATGGGATTGTCTGGTAAGAACGAGTTTATCTTCTTGGGTTATATATGTCTGATCTTACAAATGTTCTGCAAAACGCTAGTGGAACAAGCGACGGTGTATGTGCAAAAGAAGCACCCCAACTTGTCTTCAAACATTCCAGCCCTTCGATCTTTTATCACATCGCAGGTAGGTCAAAACAAAGGATCTCTCACAAGGGATATCCTTTTGACCTTCTCGCCAAAAGTACCGCAATTTTGAGCTTCTAGAACACTATCTACACCGGCCGAAGACACTCCACACCCAGCTCCTCTTCCCCATGCCCTCCGAAACCAAAAGCTACCTCATTGAAACCTATTACAGCTTTGATGAGCGCGTTGTGCGTGAGTTTCTCGGCAAAAAGTTTTCATCGCGTGTTAGAAAAGACTTGGAGGATGTATGCGAGAAGACGCGGGTGCCTTTGGGTGGATGTCGACGCATGTTTGATAATTTTAAGAGGATCGTAAAGACTGTCGAGGATGCAGACAGCAACATGGTGTTATTAATCCAAAAGGAGTTTCTATTGCCGAGAGTGTTGGCAAAGTAAGTTTGCCTAGATGACTTTAGTTCGCTCGTCCCTGAGTATTGACGTGCCCATTTCGTCTCATGCATCGTTTGCACAGTCAATACGCACATATAATATTCATAAATAACTACCGTCTGGACACATTCAAACGAAGATTAGCTCACATCCGGTTTTCGGATTTCGATTACGGTAGGACAGGAGAGCTTTGTACCTATAGTACCCGGACCTAACTATATCTTCCATCTCAGTCGCATCCATATTCATGCAATACTTCTCAAGTCCCAATATCTCCCCATTGGATGAACTCGACGGAGCGCTTGCCCAAGACGCTAGGGACCTGAGAACCATTATTTTCAATCAGAAAGGAGTTCTCGAGGAATATCGCGCACTTGTAACCACCCATCTCGCCAGCCTAGGACATTCCTCCATCATGGAGAAGGGCAGTCAAATAGCCTTTAAAGTTATTCTGCGCAATGTTTTCACAATAGGATCAAGTTTGGCCCATAGCAAGGAGCTGCGCGATATATTCATTGCCTTACAAGAGAAAGTCGTGGAGCCAGGCATCGGCATGGGCTGGGCATCGTCAGATCTGGAACTGTTCTTGTCCTCATGCAAGCTGCAGTTTACGGCTCTTCAGAGTCTAAATCCGCAGATCCGGGAACGATATGCAAATTCGTGTTCTCGATTGTTAGACGGCATCAAATTTGCTGGGTTACGCTTTTACGAAGCAATCAATTCCGGGACATCTCAAACATAGTCGGCTACTACTCTTCTAAACGAACAGCGGCATGCTGTCATTTGAAGGGACGATGTAGCATTTGTACATAGATTTCAATCATATTTTCCTGTATAAATCATACTACTTTGTAATCCTCAGTTAGAAGTACGGTGTCTTGCGAAAACGATATCGGAGCGCCATTGACGCTCGTGACATCTCGGATCTGATGTTTCAGGAGATTTGAGTTAGCTGTCGAAATAATACATCTGCAACAATTTTAGGACCTACCCCAATGCTGCAAAATGTCTTCCCGCTTGTAAACGAAGCAACGATTGGGAAGAAAGCCGCTGTATCGTCGGTGTTGACACTGAATTCTAGGAGGCCAGATTTATTCGACTGATCGATAATAGGCAACTGCCATTGAATAAATCGTCTCGCTCTATCGATTTCATAGTGGCCCTCAACATCCCCAACCGTCGGTGGAGTATTACCGCTGTAATGAATTTTCTTTAGCGTTGATCAGCAAAGGAGCGGGGACCGATCACAACATACGGGTATGGAATTGAGATGATTACATCCCGCAGCTCAAGTTCATTTGATTGAAGTTCGTATTCAATGTTAACATCGCATGAACCAGTTCCAGATGGTGACGGCCAGCAGTTGACTACAGCCGAGAAATGGCTGTCAATGAAAGCACGGCGTCGCAGTCAAAATTGCACACACGTACTCAACAAGGGGACCTGACTCTCATCGTTCGTCGCAAACCGCCATCGCAGAATATTCAGAGCTTGGTTTGTTGGGAAAGGTTTCGAAGGGTCTCTCACACCGAGGATGGAGCTATCGGCAAAAAGCTTCTTGTCGACTTGAGGGTGTGTCTAAATGTAAATGTATCCACCTTACTATTAGCGGTTGATTTGCAATTGATCTCTGAAATTACAAGACATACATTATATTGCACATTTGGGTCGTGCTTCATGTTCAATGCAACGCGTAGATGGCCCTTTGCGGGATCCGTAACTTTCAGTTGCATTTCGCCCTTCACTTTCATATCCTGTAGACCGCCGTCGCGATTCACAACCACTATGATCTTCTCTTCCAGGGCAACGTGCACGCTACATGCAAAGATAAGCAACCGCCAAGTAAATTACAGATTTGTGTAGTACCTTTCAGTTGGAACAGCAGGATGATGCACAGGAGCTGCGATTCCACCAGTTGGGCTCGTGACAGGTGGTGGCACGTCGGGAATGCCTTCGTCAGCTTTGATAGTGTTGACCAACATCGCATCATTCTGCTTCCTGCCCAATTGCATACCCTTTCCTCGGCCTCCTGCGGGAGGGGCGGTAACGGGCCTAAAAAAACAGTCGATCAGTAATTTTGCGGCTCAGCTTCACAGAGAATGCAACAGAGTACTAACGCCGAATAAGAAGAACGTTCAGGTTCCGGGGTAATGTTCCGGACGGGCTCGTAGGGGCTACCACTACGGAATCCACCAGGACCTGACCCTCCGTAACTACCGCCACCACTACCAAAGCCGCCACCAAAGCCTCCAGCACCGCCAGTGTAACCCATTTTCGCCATTTCACGCTTTTGCATCTCCATCATCCTGGCTTTCCTACGGGCATCCTCCTTGGCCTGCTTCTCCTGGTTTCTCGCAATCTCTGCCTGCACACGCTCCTCATGCGATTCCATCTCCGTAATCGTCCGGATCTGAGCGATGTTGACGTTTTCGCGATATCCCAGAGAAACTACTTCATCGAATACATGAGCAAGTTCGAACGCTTGAAGAGCTATTTCCCGTTCATTCAGGGAGCGGCAGTACTCAGACACAAGGCGAGCAAAGAGATGCAGCGTATCAATGTCTTGCAGAATGTTTGAATGCTTGTTTGTGACGAGGACCATATAGAGGTCTTCCAACGGCTGTATGTTGCATGCACAGTTAAAAGTTGTGGATTGCGGTGCTGCAAGAGATGCAGACCTCACCTGATACACATATCGAACTGTTTCAGTCTCCACAAACGTATGTTGGTCACTAGTACCTATGAGTTTTGGAAAGGATGCCAACAATCCTTCAATGCGAGACCGAGGCATCTCTACGAACTGACGCGACATAACCGCTGCAGAAAAGCATGTTGAGTAAAAAATGCGCAGATTCGCTGCTCAGTGTCCACATACCCTTGCCGGCCTTTGTGCATATCGAAGCAGCTAGGACAACCTGTGGATGCGGTTGCTTGTCAGCCCGCGCGCAATCGGAGCCGCTCAAGTTAAAGAGGGAGCACCCACCATCTTGACGATCTGCACTGAAAGACAATAATACTCTCACAAAGGGCGCGAGTATGAAAAGTTCCCCGGCCGTGTTCAGGTCTCCACACGTCAGCGTCCGTTGTTCCAACGTCTTGCTTGCCTACTCCCTAAGCAACAGCCCAAAGGTGAAGCGGCCGCGTGTGGGGTGGGCTTAGTCAAACCAGGTTGGAGTCGGGGTTTCCGGGGCTCATCTTTCAGTAGTGTATTGGCAATAACAAATGTCTCAACACAATACACCAGGGAAGAAACCGGCGACAACCCGGTTCGGAAAAGCCAAGTAATTCCCTCCTTACAACCAACCAACTACTACTAGGCCCAATGACACATGCAATACATAATGGTTGTTCTAACCGGGTAACTAAGCCCACCACACGAGAGAAATCCTACTAAGCCCTTGATTCCGAAATTCTTTAGTCGGAGGATGTTCAGATACTAAGGTAGATCAGAATTAGACTGGGAATACACATGGGAAAATACAAAGATAATGCATACCTGCAATCGTTGCAGCATAGTAGTAGCAGCATTTACAAGGGGTTATGTTGTATTTGTCAGGAGGGCGAGGTCCTCGGCACCAGAGTGGCATTCTCATGGTGGACTGAGATGTGTTGGGCAGATGCTTGTGTCGAGGGATAAAGAAACAAGAGGGAAGAGGGACAAGGGGGGGTTTATATAGAAAACTGAGTGGATATATTGAGTCATGGGAGCGTCATGCAGGTGGCAACTGCAGAATATTCCTCTCATAGATGGCTGCAAGGGATAGTAATTGCACCATTCATGGCTGCACATATTGGACCCGTCTTTTTGTTTATCTTCGTGAGGTTGATGTCACAATAAATGTGGTTAATTCAACTGGCTGCAATGCTCCGTGGCCTGACATTTCTATTTCCCACACACACTATGCAGTGCAAGGGCAGTGGGATTCTTTTAAGGAATTTGATAAAGAAAAAAAATCGCAATTACAGTACATTAAAAGTCAAGAAAACATGCATGAGGTTTTGCTAACGAGAATAACTGTGATCTATGGACTATCTGAGCTAAAGCAGCGATATCAAAGTCCCATCACATGAATAAATGTACTCCTAATGAATTCCTGTTATTCCACCAGCTACTTTCTACCTCTGTGTCCCCTATTGCTTCGACTCCTGATAAAGCTTCCTGTTCATCGCTACTAGCAATATTATTGATGTCGACAGGGACGACTCTCGGTGTTAGCTCGCCAAGGTCTTCCTGGGGTTTTGGCGAGTGAAGTGATACAACTATATCATCATCTTCCCGAGTGTTGCTGAGTTCCTCAGGCTCCCTGATGAGGTCTGCATTTGTCTTCATATCAACGCCAGAATCGCGGTCCCGCCGATATTCTTCTATCATCAACTCCAACTCTCGAATCCTGCTCTCCTGCTCAGCGATCACCAACTCCTTCGCTCTCATTGCTGGATCTACCAGTACCATGTCCTCTTCCATCTGCCGAAGTATACCTTTCTGTTCCTCCAGAAGAGCGCCATTTGCACGGAGAGACGCCTCCAGTTGTTGTATGCATCTCTTTTGATCGACTATAACCGCATCCTTGATTTCCAATGAAGCTTTCAGCTCCTCAATAGCATGCTCATTTTCCTCAAGGGCTAAATTATGAGCTGCTTGGTTGGCTTCTAAAGTCTGCTCCAATGCTTGGATGGCAGTTTGAAGCTGTTCAATCGACTGTTGGCCTGCGGAAAAGATAGATTCCTTCTGATATGCGGTCGCTTGAAGATCTGTAACTAGTCGTTCTAACTCGGAGACTTGTTGTTGGGATTCGGAAAGCTGCCCTTGCAGAGCTCCCACCTCCTCAAGGGCCGCGGATATTGCGTCAGCGTCAATGTGCTGTTGTCCCACAAAATTAAGAGATGAGTCGGTGGGGGTTCTATATCCACCATCTCCGTGCTGGCGGACCCATCGTACAAGCATTCGATTCTCTTCTGCCAGACGAGAGTAAGCACCACGGAGATCAGAGTGCTCCAATTTTAGCATCTCCAACTCATTGGCCTCCAGGATGCGGTCGCCTTGTTGAAATGTGTTGTTCAGAGTTCTTGCAAAGTCAGACACAGGACGAGTAGGTGGTGAATGGGAGCGGACGCCGGTGGATGTCTTTTTGTTATGAGGCGACCCTTTTGTTGGAGAAATGACGGATCGACGGGACGACGTTGAGCCTCGCCGCAAGCTTTTGTCTGTGTGTGCCGTGTCCTGATGATACGGCGGTGGTGGGGTCTGAGGTCCACCACGACTAGGCGGGCGCATGGCACGGAGTGTGCTAGTTGGAGACGGATTAGACGGACTCTGTAGCAATGGGGATTGAGCCTGGGCGGGATTGGCTGTTCGAACTGTTAGAGACTCATGACTTTTCTTCTTCTGTATGGTACGCTTTTTGGCGGTAACTTCTGCTGCTTCTGGTCGGGAGGTCACACTTTTTGGCTTAACCGTTGGCGCACTCTTAGCGCCATGGCGAGAGCACACGTTTGCTGTATAGGAGGTCTTTGTATCAGTTGTAAGAGGAGACACGGAAGTGTTGGCTTTCAGACGAGGGGCCTCGGCCTGCGATTTGCTTCCAACATAATTTCGCCACTTTCCGACTGTTGCCTGGGTGCTCCGAGGCGTGCAAGCAAGGGCCCCGTTCAACATGGCTCGCCATTCAGCGTCTGCCATCTCGCTTTGCGTCAAGGGAGTGTGTAGACAAAGAGTCGAGAGAGCGTACAGACTTGTGGTTTTCAACGTTCAAAGGCTGGATTCATGAGGTCAGTCGATTTGGATTGCCGGGTAAAAATGCCAAGTAGCCGTGAAAGCCTAGCAAGGAGAAGCTTCCCATCGGAGTTAATTCACCACCTGTCCACCTGGTTGATGTAAAAAATTGAATAGGCAGCAGATCGGCGCACGTGAGGGTCGAACCCGCCACGACGGGGTCTTTTTGGACGCCGCATTTCGCATAGAAGGAAGGCTGGTTGACGACGACGACGACGACGACGACGAGTCCATACTCGGTGATTTGACAACGTCGGCGTTCGATGGAGTTATCTTTTAGGAAATTCAAAGACCATGAAGTTGGGTAGTTGGCGTCCCTTGGAAAAGGTGATTTTATGTTGCTCCCGTGGTCTGGATCAGTCATTTCTGTATACCCAATGACAATGCTTGAAAAGCTCATCGTTCCTAGTGTTGCTTGGCTCTCTTTTCTAATGGCAACCATCATCGCAGCCACATGTCCATATCTTTTAACGCAATGCACAATCTGTTCGAGATAACACATGTGTTAAGCCTCACCACAAAAGGCAGTGGTTTTGTCCAGTATGAGGGACCTGGGAAGCTCATCGGAGGGTAAACAACCCTCTGACCAGCCATTCAGTCGGGATGAGTGCACATAGGTGCCTGCCGGCAAAGGGGTGACCCCAGAAGTCCGTTACCCGTTCGTTCACCCGTTCGTGGCGAGGACAGAATATCTTGTCAACCAGATGTTTGCCATGATAGAATTTGACCATGAAACACGCTTCGCAGCATCTTCTGAACTAAATAACCTACATGATCCAATATCTGCATCAGGACGTCGACAATCAGCATGTCGCAAGAGCCAGAAAATATTGTTGAAGATTGGTGCCTTAAAAAAACTCAATCGGGTCCAGCGATTTTCATCTCCAACATTTGGCCACTACGGCCCCTACGGGGCGGGGTGCCAGTACCCTACAATAAATGGCCCCTGGACCAAGCAAAAGTGCGGGCCCATCTCCACTAGACTTCACAGCAGACTTTGACCAAAGACTCTATCGTTCATCGGTTATCGCATGAATAAGGTTTTCCCCGCATCTTCATCCATGGTTGGGGTGCTTAGCTACGTGTTCAAACTTAACCATGGAACTGAACAAGACGAATGTGGACGAAGAAAGGAATCTAGCCGATGACTTTAAAGAAAAGAGCATAAAAGCCCGCAGAGATGTGGTAACCACCCGTCATCCCCACTACTATTACCTTGTAGATTTTCATACAATGACGCTCCAACGCTCCGTTCTTTTCATCGCTCTGCTGGTCCTGTCATGTGCTTTCCTAGTAGTCGCTCAGCGTACCACCGTTGACATTGCCTTTAAAGGCAAGTCCATCGAAGTGAAGGGAAGCATCACAGCCGATGATGCTTCGAAAGAAGGTGCCGAGATTTCGCTGGCGATGACTGGCCTCGACCCATCCGTGAAATATAATTATCATATCCACAACCTCGCCGTTGCCGGCAGCAATTGCAACTCAACCGGAGACCACTACGACCCGCAAAAAGTTAACACGCCCCCGTCTGCTTCTTACGCGTGCAAAGCCAACAAGGCCAAAGAAACCTGCGAAGGAGGTGACTTGTCCGGCAGATTTGGGGCTGTTCAAGGCAAGGCCACGGCTTCGCTCCGTTTTACGCATCCTCAGCTTAAGTTGGCGGATATCATTGGCCGCAGTATTGTTGTGCACGGAGCCAACAAAGCACGCCTCGCTTGCGGAAATATCTTGGCTCCTGGCCCCGCAAAAAAGTCTGACCCCGCAAAAAAGGCTGACCCCGCGAAAAAGGCTGACCCCGCAGCAAAGGCTGACCCCGCGAAAAAGGATGCCCCCGCAGCAAAGGCTGACCCGGCGAAAAAGGATGCCCCCGCAAAAAAGGATGCCCCCGCAGCAAAGGCTGACCCCGCGAAAAAGGCTGACACCGCAAAAAAAGATGCCCCCCAAAAAAAGGCGTTGGCGCCAGTACGGCGCCGTAGGAATACGTGGATAGACCGAGTACGTTAGGTAGATGGGTGGTAGCCGCAGCCATTCCTTCACTGTAACGCCTAGATGTGAATGATACATAAAAAAGATACAGGTAGTTCTGGACGTTATTGCAGTTGATCTGCAAAATTAGTCCTTAGATTGTTTTATATGTAGCTGTTCTGTTAATGAAGTTCTTTTTCTGTGCTCAATAAATACTTCTAAAGTACAAGTATGGTGTCATATAAAGATGTTTGGCAACAGTGCGGTGTTGAAGGCGGCCAACATCAGAAAAACAATACAAAGACCACCAAATATACAAACGAACCAAAGCCCAATGCCCATCTGATCATGTGACCTAACCCACAAATGCTATCGAACTCGGACAACGACGAGGTCATGATCTGTGCCACTATTCATCCGAGCACTTTCCAGGTCATCCCCCTCTATCATGCACAAGTCAGACTCCGTTCCTGGATCACGATAATAGAAAAAATCATGATCGGAATCATAGCCGATGAGAACAATATAATGTCCGATGAAATCATCTGATGCACCGAGCATGGCGTAAGACTTTTGTCCGCACCATGCAAAGCATGAGAACGTCGTAAGGAAAAGGGAACGGGATGTCGATGGAGGCGAACTTGGTGACGAGCGCGCTGCAACCCCGGACCTTCCTTCGCCTGGTCTAAATGGAATGCTTTCCTCCATTTTATTCCCTCCTACAACTACGCTTTCTCCAGAATCTCGGCACCAAGACCATTTTGACTTGCTCTTACATTTTCGACATCGTAGAAGCCGTAGATCCACCAGCATAATCACAGCATATACTGTTGACAAGAGGAATCGTCGTATATCGTCGAGTGCTAATGTCAGACCAACAACTCGGACTCGATTGTCATGTGCAGCAGCAAACAATGATTGAACCCGTCGTCGGTCCAGTGTCCAGGTATCACGGTAAAATTCCTTTGAGGAGTATTGCCAGTTGACTCCAATATATGAGGTATAATATGCTAAGAAAGTGATTTAAAGGGATATTAGCATGCGATTCTCTGACTCGTCCCTCGCTAGCTCGAATAAGGGGCATTTCCACTCTTAAATGCTTTTCTAAAGGCATCTGATAGGCCATTTCACCAATTTCGTAAGATACTCACTGAAATCCTCCACGCTAAACCTCCTCAGTATATATGCCAAATCAATCGTCCAAACAGATTCCAGAGGACACTCCTTTCTCAGATCCATCAACGAATGCTTCTGCCCAAGCGCAGAGAGGACCATGCTTACACAGGCCAAACCACAGTCCCAGCTTGATAGCTAGCACTGTGCCGTTAGTGTCATTGTTCTTTTCACATAAAGTTTGCATACATGGCGATGCTATTAATATTATGAAACCCACCTGTTGGCAGTGGGGAACGCTAGCCAGCGTCGCTGGTAGCACAGACGACAACCCCATTTACGACTGTTGATATGTGACGATGACCAGAGGTGAGCAAGACTTCTTGTGTGTTGGAAATGTGTGACCCGGCAAAAAAATCTCCGAATGCCTCTACGTTAGCAGGCAGATATTGTGATATCCGGAGGTGACTAAGGCTAGGCAGGTCTAAGAGGTAATTGCCAAGAACTTGGAGGAGCTGCCGGAAGGCGGAGGGCTGACGGTGTTCAAATCACACGTGTCACATTTATTTAAACCAACTGGAAGGACGACATGGACCGAGTTTGCCAACGACAATCATGTTCCGCCAACTAGCACGCACATGGAAAACGTTAGACCTTCCATGGAGATCTCAAAAGCTCGTAAGTCATCGAGATGCAAGCCTTGCAATCACCGCCAACCAGTTGACGCCAAAGTTGACAAGAAAGCACACAGAAAGGGTACGATCTGATTGGCAATATGTACTTTGAAGGACCGCCAATGAGAGCTGGTACGGACCGAACGAGAAGGACAATCGAGTACTTTGATGGAAGGACAGAGTTTTATGACTATGATCCTGAACTCATCCCAGTGCAATGGCAATCTTGGTTGAGGCACTGCCGGGACGACCCACCTACACTCGCCGTAAGTATTATGTTCGCGACACATCAAGACGGCGTGAGCACAGCTGCTGACCAATGGAATGCGATATAGGAACTTCGAGAAGCAGAAGCACAGCGGTTGTTGACAATACAGCGAGCGGCCGAACTAGATCGCAAGTGGGAGGAACGGAAATTGGAACTGGAGCGACAACGAGCAGCCGCACTTCCAGCTGGTACGCATTCTTGCCTGAAGGATATCGCAGCCATTAGTTACTGATAGCCATCACGGTGCTGTTTATTTTTAGCCACCCCAGAGTCATCCCCCACTGCTCCCCATGGACAAGGTGACACGTTCGAGCCTGGTGCTTGGACGCCGGCTTCTAAACGCCGATGACGTCCTACGTTGCCGTCCCATAGTTCTTATCATCATGTAGAATAACATATCCCCTAATGCATGCCCTTATTGTCACTCCGCGAATGCGAGGTGTGTCGTCGATTGTGAAGTATGATACAATACAATGCCCATAAAGCTTCAGATATCTCCAATTGTGTACACGACCAGACCTCCCGGGTCTCACATCGAACAGAATTCAATGGTCCAAGTTCGTCTAACCCATAATCTAATGTCGACTGGCTGTACCTTTATGAGAGTTGACGCTGGCCGCGACAGGTTGGTCGGTGATGGAGGGAGCGGTATCTCTGGCGGAACTCTTACACGAGCGCCAGTTTCAGTGCCGGATGATGATTGGGGTACATTAGATGATGTGATAGACACTCGTTCGACATTCTCGTTAGCCTCGTGGTTAGGGGGCGCGTGTGGCACCGCCTCTTTCTGTTCTATCGTCCCTGTTGAGGGAACCTTAGGGGAAGCAGGTGAGAACGTGTGGCCTGATGTGTCGGAAGCGTCCATCGTGGGGAGTACTGGTTTCGGTGCTGGGTCAGGTAGGGAGGATGACGTCTCTTCCACTCCCTCAGGACGGGAGGCTCCATTTGGAGCATCGTTTCCAGGGTCAGCGTCGGCTGTTGAGTTGTTCGCCAGTAGTGATGATGACTCAGGCGCTGACTGCTCGAGTTGAGCAGGTGGTGCATCCGAGGACGCCGGAACTGAAGTGTTTGATTCTGCTGGAATATCTACAATGTAAGGTTTTACCGGTGTAGTAGACGCATCTGTTGTCTCGTTAACAACATCTGCCTGTACTTCTTCGCGATTACTGCCACCATTGCCATCATTTGCAGCCGTAGTGGCAGGGGCCCGCCCTTCTTTGCCCTCCTCACTTTGCCGCTCGTTTGATACCGATGTTGTACTAGGTGCTAAATTCTCTTTCGATGCCTTTTGAGCTTCCTCCGCCGCCAAACTAGATCGTCGTCGTTCGAGCCAGTTGGTGTCCATTCGTATCGTCATCACTTCCCACCAGCACTTTCTGACCGGCCTCTTCATCAGCAGATGCTGATTGAGATGATGACTCGAAACTGACGGGGGCGCTCCCGCGTCAGAAACTTGGGTAACGAGAGAAGAGGCGTTTTGGGCATTGGATGCCGATGACTTATCCTTTCCTGCCTGCACGTCCGATGCCCTTCTACCAGCCCCGGATTCTCTTCCAGCGCTGGACTCTTCCAGAATGCCGGGCTCCGCTTGCGAGGTAGAACTCTCAGGTGACGGCTTAGAGCTTTCCATCGTCGCTGCTGCCGCATCAACTGCTCGTTGGATATCTTGTAACTCTCTCATTTTTAACATGGAGACGCTTGAGACTCTACATTTTCCTGCCTCAATTTCTCTAAAATCCCACTCTGTCTGATCATGCTTGAAGTCTGCGGAAAAAAGACCCAACGCAGAAATGAGCTGACCTTTTAATATCTGCTCATCCATCTCACATACTACCCGCTCTCTCTCTGTTAAACCTTGCGATTGTGAGGCATTTTTTTCTGTTTCATCGACAGATGGACGTGAGCCCGACCCTCGTGACCCTCGATATCTCTCCGTTCCACCTGGGCGTTCTTTCTCCCCCTTTTCGAAGATCTCGATGCTCTCTTCTGCATACTTGCGGGCGACAACACGTTCTTTAACTAGTCTCTCCGCACAGAAGATTTTGACTTCCTTCACCTCACGTCCGAAAGCATCGTTTGTGACTGCCCCACGCATTTCGTCCATTTCGACCCCCTCGCGAAATTTTTGCAGGCTGTCGTTCGAATTGTCATTCAGGGCAACCTTTGCGCTAGCTTTGCTGAAGCTCCGTCGTAACCGTGACTTGAAAGCTTCCCACACGCTCTCGACCTTACTTCCCGCTTCCATTCCTGCATCGACCCACTTCGGAATAGGAAAATACTCCAATTCCTCCCGCAGCACGATTATTGATCGTATGGGCCGGTTTAAATGGACGGGTGGTTCACCTACGGACGGCGTGGGTTGTGGCCCGAGGGCAGATGGAGATTGCTCATGACCAGAAAAGAAGGTTACTATGGAAAATTTCAATCCAGACATGCGACGAAAGATGTTGAAACTTGAAGGCCGGCGAATGCCATGCCATTTCCCATTAACTTTGCCATCCATATTTCCTTCAACCGACGTGGGACTTGAAGCTGCACTCTTGCTCTCCTCATCATCTTGGTTAACCTCAGGTTTCGTATCAGGGTTCTGCTCAGGAGCGGTGTCAATCTTGGCGGATTCATGAGGCGCACTATTCTCCTCTTCGACCTTGTCCAGGGACACGGGAGGTACCGCTGCTTCCGCAATCTTCTGCTGCTCTTCCTGTTGCCGATGCATCTCCTCATGCGCAGCCACCATTGCATCGTGGTTACTATTTAAAATTTGCCGGAAGTAGTCCAGCAGAAATTGAAATAGTTTGGGGTCGAAATTGATGTGGCAGATCTTATGCTGTTCAACTCCTGTCAAATCCATTTGCAGACTGTCCTCTGCTGGGCGAAATGGCGTGGTCTTCTCAGATTTCTCAGACTCACGGTTGTCAAACTCTTCTCCGTCATCATCAGATGAGGTTTCAGAGAGTGACTCCATGTCATCCTCCGGCTCAGCGTCTTCGCCAGATTCGGAGTTGTAGTACTTTTGCCAGCTCAATGCAGTAGACTTGCTCAATGTGTTCCCGCCAGCAAATGATGCGCGTCGCGCAGAGTCCTGAGCAGCGCTACTGGATTTCCGCCCTGTGGGTTGCGGGTTGGGATCACTCATACGCCGGGACTCCATCGCTTGCGTTATAGCCGCTGCTGCTGCTGCCGCTGCTCCCATTCGCACCCCAGGAACGGTAGCTGTTGCTTCTCTACCAGAGACTACGGAGAAGAAAGGGATAATACCTGTTGGAAACATGTTCATCAGGACCGAGTCCGGAAAAAGCCCGAGCACAGCCGATGAAACCCGAAAGTGAACTCCGCGTAAATTTAAGAATACCACATCGGTGGCCGTAACAGGTTGATATGGAAGCAACGGGTTGATGCCATATCGTGACAGTTTCATTTTGGATCAAGGAAGCCCTAAGTGAATTCGATATCAGGGAGTAGATAAGATGCGGAAACAGAGGGAAATGTTATGATATAGTGTCTCTATTGACATACATGTCAGTGGCCGGAGAGATTGCCGAAAGATTGGAAGTTAACTTACACACTGCAGCGGGGTCGGATTCAGTCGAAAATTAGATGAACCCACGGACTATGAAGTTTTGTTTGCCAGTGAGAGGAAGAACCAACGGTGTGTCGGCATGGAGTTGGCGAACCGCGCTGCTATTGACCCTTAAGGCCGCTTCCTTCTTTCGAAACGCTAAGAATTGCAAGTCCCAAATAACGTAGCGCAATGCATTCCCTAAAGGCGGAAACAGTTGGAAATCGTCCGTAATGACCAGCACTGCTTCCCTTTCCCTCCCTGTGAAACTTCACGATCGAGGCGACCTTTGTGCGGCGTGACGCTCAACGCGACCCCATCCCAATCCCCCAAGCCCAGCGAGTGACTCACATGGGCGAAAACCCGCAGACTTGCTACTCTGCAAATCTCCCGATTGCCCGCAATTTCTTTGCCCTCGCATTCTCTACTTAAGCAAGTGGGCCTATGGCTACGCAAAGGACGCCAGCCCTACTTGTGCGGAAGGTGCAGTGCACTTCACCGAATCGACCAGTTCGAAGGGGGAAGAATTCCTGTCGAAGTGGTTGCTTGTACCCAAGACCTACACTTCCTCCTCGCTTCAATAGTATGCCCATAGCCCGCCTTATTACAACTTCTACTAGCCGCTCTCCATCAATAGCTCCTGTAGCGTCTGAAAGCCCAGTTTGGCTATCGAGTAGTAAGGTCGAAAAGTATGCGCGAATAGATATAAATCCTGTCACGCTCGAAGAACTCTTGCAGCTGGGGTGAAACGCACGACCTCCTATCCAGCGCCAGGTTCGCACATAATGAGCTACCCAAGAGGATGGCTCGGCGTGTGAAAGGTAAACGTTAGTTGGTGTGCAGGATCGTTTGTAGAACAGACGTCCTAACCCTACCTGACTGGACGAAAGCACAGCTCTTCAGAATTTGCCATTCATCGTAGGCGTCAATCCCTGGATTAAAAGTGTCTACAAATGTATCACGATTCCCCTAGAGAAACTCCTCTCACTACCTGAGCCGGTCGATCAAGAAACGCAGCAGATTTTCACTGAGGAGCTTCGAAAATTGGTGCAAGCCCATCAAGAGGTTATTCCCAAGCTAGCAAAAGGTGTGTAAATTAACGCATAATAGCCAGTCAAATTGTTAGCTGATAGTTATCCATCTGCAGGATTCAAGGAATGCATCAAGTACATGACCAGAGATAGTGCAACAAATTTCCTTGACAACATGATTCACGCTCGAATCGGTATTCGAGGTACTTGCGTAGGAATCTCTTTCATTTGCAGTATCGTTCATAGTGTACTGATATGCGCGTTGCTCTCCAGTCATTGCTGAACACCATCTGTCATTATATACGCCCGCTGCCAATTACATCGGAGTGGTCAACACTCGTCTTTCACCAGCCTCACTCGTCACTTCCGTTGCCAAGTACGCTCAAGAACTTTGCGAATTCAACTATGGCTCGTCTCCAGAATTCAACATAATCGGGCATACCGACACTTTGATGGCTTACATAGGTGTGCACTTGGAGTATATTTTCATGGAGCTGATTAAGAATGCATTTCGAGCCACTGTGGAGTACTCGCAGAGGACTGGCAGAGCGGATCATCCTCCTGTGGAAATTGCGATCTGTAAAGGACCGGAAGATGTCATTATCAGGATTAGAGACCAAGGCGGCGGCATCTCCAGTAAAGGTGGGGTTTGCGAATGATAGAGACCTGCTTGACATTGCCCTCGCGCTAGCGCAGTACTGATTCATAGGATTATCTCATTCTATTTTCGCTAGACCTCCCTCATATATGGGAGTACAGTTACACTACTGTGCCCAAATATGACGAAGGTGATGGAATTTTCAGCACGCAGGCAAGGATGGAAATGCAATCTGGGGTGGGAGGGCCAATAGCTGGCAAGTAGATAATTGACCTACATCGTCATGAACACTATGGAAGAATAACCGCATTTCCCTCCATAGGTTTGGGGTTTGGGCTACCGATGTCTCGTATCTATGGTACTTGATGTGCTGCTGTATTCGCGCATTCGGCTAATACTGATCAGTACTCCTGTAGCCAAGTATTTTGGCGGTTCGTTAGAGATACGTTCCATAAACGGGCACGGATGCGATGTTTTTCTTCGTGTACCCAACATTCTCGGCCTGAGCACCCATGTTATCAAAGACTAGAACCACCTTATGTATGTTGTAAATATGTATAATGAATGATATGGTACAGATCAATGCTTTAAATGCGACTTGCTACGCGGTTCAAAGAGGAACATAAGTTTAGCCGTCAAGAGTCCTGGATAGCCTGTCTGGTTATGACGGAGTGACCCCTACCGAACGGTGACGGTAAGTGACTCAATCAATTGGGCAGGTCCAGAATTTTAACTTACTCGTCGTCCTTGGATATTCTCCAGTAATAGTCGGCATACTCCGACTTTCCCAACAGTTGCATAAACTCTTCATCGTGGGTGATAATCAGCAGTTGAAAATTGCTTTGCTGCCTTCGCAGCTTGATTATGCTGCGGCGAAATAAGAACAAATTTTTGCAACTGAATATCAAAGTGCACATACTTTGCTAGTGACTCCGCCAAACTCTCAATGTTATCACGGTCTAGATTCGTCGTTGGTTCATCCAGTGCCAGAATACCGCAATTTAAGCAAAACGTCTCGGCGAGTGCCAACCGAATAATAAGCGACGTTAGGACCTTCTGCCCCGCACTGCAACGCCCACGCATATCAAGAGCTGTGTCGCCCTTGACCATAACAACCCGATAATTGTACTGTCGATTTCCTTTCACGTTCTCATTGTCTGAACGAATCTCAATGGTATCGATATCGGATCCTTGATATGTATTCACCCATAACTCCCGAATGATCTTATTGATTTCTTCCATCTTCATTGAGTGGTACTTCATTATTGCATTGTCCAGCGCTTTGGCGTACTTTTCAAGGTCATGATTAGCCATTTCCTCTGTTTTCAGTTCCACTAATTGCTTCCGGTATTGTTCTTCGACGTCTTTGTAATCGGTGCTCAATTCCCCTTTTAACTGCCGGAGCTGCTCTTGCATCTGTTTTGATTCACCAACGAGACCAGCACGCTACATAAGGCAAATTAACTTCAATTAGAGAGTCTAAAATCCTACAGATTATTTTATACCTCTTCCACAAGGCGCTCATGCTTCCTTTTCAGGGTGGTGTATTGCGAGTCGATTGACGTCTGATCGTACCCAGAAATCTCCTTCTTCAACAAGTCGATCCTATCCTCAGCCGCAGCGTGCTCCCGTTGTAGGTGCCGGTACTTCAAGTTATCATCGATTTGACGTCGTAGGTTGTGTACGTCGGCACGCTGGTCTCGGATAGTCTGCATCTCCTCATTGAGACGGGTAATCTGAGCATTAATTTCTCTGGTTCGAGCGTCTACAGTTTGCAGATCCACTTCACATTGTCGAAGCTTGCCCTCACCGCGTTGTTCAGTAAACCTTTGGGAAAATGGGAAATACATATGGAGCTTAAGTGAAAATTCACCACCACCTTATCTTACCTTCGAATTTCATTATCGATACTCATCAGTCTATTCAATGAATGCTGCAAGCTGCTGATGCTTTTCGAGAATTCAGCCTCCTTAGCGTTCATTTGCTCGCGATATCTGGACAACGCCGTTTCCTTTTGCCTGATTACTGGGGCAACGTCGCGGGCCTTGGATTCGGCATCCTAGATGGATATATCCATGAGATAAAATTGTTCCGGTGACACTGCTTCTGAGTGAGTAGAGCCTTACCTCGGTATCTCTCTGTAGAATTTCGATCTCTGCTTTTAAGTCCGCAATGGAGGCTTGCAATTTTTTGCGCTCCTGGAACTGGTAGTTTGCGGCCTGTAATTGCTCTTTGATATCCCTCACTCGGTTTTCGTTGCTTTGTATATCTCTCTGCTTCATACGCGATTCGTCATTAATGCGTTCAATACTCCGCCGAACACTTTGACTGAAACGAGGAACGGGGTTGTTAGTGCCGTTAGTCTAGTCGAAATGTTATATTGCTGTACCATTTATCCTGTAACTGCTCATGCGACTGCTGTACTTCCTCCATTGTTTTGGTCGAGCCGGAACTGCTTAGTTCCGTATTGATTCTTTTGACATCCTCACGAATCTGTTGAATTTCCAGGTGCAGACGCAGAACCTCCTCGCTCTTTTGCAGTAAGATGTCTGCATTTTGCATTTCAACCTCAACCACTGCAAGTTCGGAAGCTATCTGAATCAACCTTAAATTACTAATGGGGTTAAATTTGAAATCGGGTAAACAGTGCCATACATCTTCCGATGCCGATGCGATCTTATGGCGTTCATCTTCGTCTTGTTCCATTCTTGTACGTATCTCCGGAATTTCCACATTCCTAAGGCGCTCCGCGTAGTCCCAGTCCGTGCGTAATTCAGACAATGCATTTCTTCTCATTTCCGCTGCCTGTAGAGCACCCTCTGCGGCTTGCGTAACTTCGGGCACCTTGTCCAAAATGCTTGCATCTGTAGCGCCCAAAACAATCGGTCAGAACTGCAGAATAGGAGAATACCCGTTGAATGATAGATAGACCTTGGCAAGAAAAGCGCTTCCATCCGAGCCTTCGAATCCTCGCACGCAAAGTGGGCAGCATCCATTTGCTTGGAACTTTGCAATAAATTTTTGATACATCGATCCAGCGCTTCTCATGGACGATAGCTCGCTAATATGTCGCTTGTAAGGCCGAGACAGCACACAATAAACAAATCAGATGATTCTCACTCTCGTTTTTCGACAATGTCTTGTTCTGCATTGGCAACGGCAGCAGAGTAGTCCTCGCCCCCAATAACCGATTTGATACGCGCCACTTTGTCTACAGTAATTGGTCAATGCGACATGTCTCGATAAATCCGAACATACATAATATAAGAATTACCGCTTAGCTGCTGTGTCTTTGCTGTAAGAGTGGTACGTGCCATGTGAAGTTTGGTGTCCACGGATGAAAGCTCCCTGCTCTTGTTCTCTAAATGTTCTTGGAGCTGCTTAACAGACTTCTGTTTCATCCTGACAATAATTGGATCATTCAAGGGCATACATGAGCAAAGAAGACGTCGCGGCGCCTAAATGAGAGCTATCTCAGCGTACCTGTATAGGCTTTCAACCTCACGCACCATCACCTCTGGCGGGGGCATGTGTCCGAGAAACTGCTCAGTTTCTGACTGGACAGCAGCCACGCTGGAAAGGCTTTCAATGGAATATTCGGATGATTTCCTTTTGCAAAAAATGTTCACCTGCGAGTATACGCTTCCTCTTTACGCTCCAATTCCAGCTTCTTCAAAGACAGACTGGCGCGTGTGTTAGCTTGCATATTGAGTAGTGCCATTTCATCAGTTGCTCGGCGCAGCTGAAAATCGTATTCTCGTAACTCTTGATTGAGTTTTCCGAGTTTTGCCTCAAAGTCAGATGCACCCCAATCACGGCGGCTCTGCTCCAACGCTGATTCCTGGAAACACACCAGATTAAAAGCGGCCGGAGAGACGGCGAGGCATTTCTGGACTGCATCGACTATACCTCTTCTGCAATCCTGCTGTGGAGTTGGTCAACGTCTGCCTGTGTCACCTTAATGCCATGCATTGTTTGCATATGTTGGCTGATCTTCTGACGGTGATTGTCCTGCAATACGATTTAGGTAAGTTCTCCCCCTCATATGCAATAGAGTACTGAAATAACCACAGACCATCTGTCTACGGGTCATTTTCTTTGTTTCTTCAACTGATGCGACCGTAGCTTTCAATCGCTGAATATCGCTCATCATCGCATTCTCTCTTTCCTTACATTCCATCTACTTCTAGTGGTAAGTTTACATGCTTCTCGAAGAAAAGTGACTTCCAATCCAACCTTTAGAGATTCAAGGCCCGCATTTCGTTCCTCGATTTGACCGCGCAAATTCTGCGTGAAACGGTGTATATGGTCCTCAGATAGAGCTCCCATGTCGAATCCACTGTAGTTGTGCGCTGAGCTTAATTCTATAATAACTTTCTCTCTTTCTTGCAGTCGTCTCTCATGTGCCTGCGTGTGGGATGCGAGTTTATCACATATGCTACTAACTAGATAGATGAGATACAATCTCACGTACACTCTTCTCTGCTTGAAGTTGGCCGAGTGATGTCAATATTTGAGAATGCTCTGATTGCACTCTGTTCAGTTCTGCAGACAGTTTTGAGACCTTGCTTTCAAGAGCACTGTGCTCTGTTTCCTTCGTGTTCAAGGACATCTCGTACTCGGTAAGAAGTTCCTTCAATTTCATGTCAGATTCTGGTGAACAGATTTAAGCAATTTTAGATGTGAGTAAACCATATATTGTCATGCCTACCAGTATATTCTTGTAAACTTTCTCTCATTTGTCTGATGTTTTTTGCGATCATATCCCTCTCGAGCACAGACTGCTTAACACGGACAGTAAGATCTTGCAATTTCTTGTTTTGTTCCATTAGGCTTGTCATTCGGGCAACCGCCTCCTCTATCTCTCCCGCGTCCAGGGCGTCAATCCTCTGCTGAGCTATGGCGTACTTTTCCTGCGTGACGGCTAGCGTTTCCCGAACCTATATATTATATAATTCAATCATCAAAATGGATCTATGTCAATCGTGTCATCACAAACCTTTTCAACTTTTGCCTTTTTAGACTTCAAATGCTCCAGGTTATTTTGTGCAAGACGTAGTTGAATGGACTGCTCCTTCCTCAGGGTTTTAATGCTGTCCAATGCTTTTGTATACCTGCAATTGACAAAGACAGTGGGCGGGATGGCCAAACCCCAGAGACGGAAGTAGTGTGATACCTGGTTGATGCAAAGATCTCGTCGAATTTTTTTTTCAGAATGGAAGATTCAGACAGCGGCCTGTAGACGTGCGACTGAAAATAAGTCGAAATTTACAATGTATAAGCCGAAACCCATTGGGACGTACCAGAAAGACTCCTCTTGATGACAGAAAATAACATTATCCAAGATGGCTTTGGATACCCCCAATTGCAAGGGAATCTCGGCGTCTAGCTCTGCGCATCTCGTACTCAAACTGTGGGACTGAAGTACAATTGATTCAAGTTCATCTTGATAAATAAGATAATTTTCCCATTACCTCGCCAGTGTCTGGATCATTTGTTTTCAGTAAACTTTCCAATGTCTTTTGTTGAACTCCTGTCTTCTTCTGAGTCAGCGACAGGGAGCGGGTGCAGACCATTTCTCGACCATTAACGTTTTTAAAGCGTAGCTTGACTTGTGCCAAGACTTCAGTTTCATGAGCGAGCTGCCAACATGCATGCAAGTTAGCATCTCGTACAGTACCCAACGCTGAACTTTCCTAGTTCTCTACCTTGGGATCGTATATGAAGGCACCATATTTACTGTTTGGCGGCTGATCTCCAGTTGTGGCATATTTCAAGCACTCAATAATGGTCTATGCTCGGTGTAAGAAAGAGCAAGTCTTGGAAAAAATCTCAGCAACTTCAACCGACCGTTTTTCCTGCGCCATTATGCCCGACAATTATCGTCAAGGGTGTATAAAACTCGATAACACTCGGTCCTTTCGGGTCAAATGACCGTATTCCCCTGCAGGCGACCGAGGCGAAGATTCAGAGACCAAAGAATGTCGAAGGAAAGTGACGTACTCGATTCTTGGTACCTGATAAGGAGTTTGTCGATTTGAGACATGCAGTCCCCTTTCACTCGAGGTGCCTGCGTGAAAGTTCCCCGGGTATGCTCTTGCTCGAGCAGTATGTTTTTTGGACTAGAGAATGCGATGATTGGAAACTTCAGCAGTAGTGGCAGCTGAAGTCTATTTATCCCAAAAAGGGTATATGACACATTGTTACCTTTTGCTCCAGCTGTGGGCCACTCCCAGCGATATCCCAGAAAATGGCCAAGATGGGTAACAATGGAGGTAACCGCAAGAACAAGAGCCGGCAAATAAAGAAGAGCCTGTTTGCACAAGTAGGGCTTACTATGTCTCAACGTCTAACTATCATGGAGCTTACTGGAAATTGCCGCAGTCTGGACAGAAAGGTGGTTTCAACAGCATGCAGGTGGAGCCTGGAATGCAAGGCATCATGGCTTTCTGCAGCATGAACAAGGAAAAGCAAGCAGTTGCGGAACTGAGAAACATTCTTGGCGAGGTGAGTCGTCACGTACGTTTCTGCCATTGCATGTCGGTCTATTTATTTTCTTTTTTCCAGTTTGCAGAGCAGCTCTACGGCCGAGAACATACCAGTGATGAGAGCACTATAAATGACTCTATCGCTGACGAGGAAAGCCAAGATGTAGCTGACATGCTGGACCAGGAACTGAAGCAACTAAAAAGCGAGAGGGAGGGCAAAGAAGAACAATTTCGTTGGCGCAAAACGAATATCGACTGTATGGTATTTCTGCAGGTAATTGATGCAGCTCAGCTTAGGGACACCATAGTATAGGCTCTTATCTGTAGGTAATTTATCCTCAGACCCATCATCCCATCGATCCCTCAGACTTCGTTTATCGGGTTCTCACCGATTTGCAAAACAAGAAGATCAAGCGGACAAGGTAATCAACAGATCTGTTGTCGCGAACCTGATCGCATGAGTTAATTTTACTTCCTGCAGATACACTATCAGGGTGCATCCCGTTCAAGAAACTTGTCGTGCCTACATGGATGACATCAAGCAATTGGCCCAACGGTTGTTGTCGCCATATTTTCATAAAGAGGGACTGTCACCCGTCCGAGTAAGCGCGCATATGACGTTCAATTTGTCTCTATGTCTGTGTTGACCATGCTACGAATAGTGGGCATGTGAGCCGAGAATCCGATGGAATGACAAAATAAAGAAAGATGAATTGATTATTGAGATTGCAAATGTGGTTGGTCAGAATCATGTGGTCAACCTTAAACAACCGGAGTTGACGGTGGTCATCGATATCTTTAAGGTGCTTTGAAGAGATTTATATTAGCAACGTGGTGGATAAACGACTGACCTCCTTTATTCAGAATATATGCGCAATGGCCGTTGTGCGCGATTACCCTGGGCTCAAAAAGTATAACCTCGAGAAAATCTTCGAAGCCGAGCAAGAAACTATCAAAGCACAACAGGGTGACGATGCTCCTAAATCACAGGAGCACGACGGGAAATCAGTGGATGACCCCGTGCAGGAAATTGATAACTCAGACAAGGCAGGGAAACGGAAAGTGGATGCCGTTGACGCTAAAAGAGAGACCGAAAGTTCTGCACCAATCAAGAAAACCAAAGTATAGAGCTGTGGGGATTGTCAGCACCGTGCTCACGGCTCGACTATCGCGCTAATCCGCTAGATCCAAGCGCACTTATTTAGTGTCGCCTTAACGTCGAATGTTAGGCGAGGCAACGGCCAATTGACCGCCAGCACTAAGTCTATAGTGACGATAGGTGGTTTACTTTCCATGGCTTCTGTAACATGTCTCGCTGTAACATCATCTGCAAGTCACCGGCCGATATATTTAAGTTTTTTATTGAATAAATTATATAGCTTGTAGCAACCGAGTGCAGATCTTGAAGATCTATATAATTTCAATGAGGCAGAGCGCACTATTCTCTTCAATGCTGTGGAGCAAATGCTCTGAAGGTGAAGGCCCTTTGGTACAGCCGTCCGAAATGATGCCCGGCGCATCATACGGTCGGCAACCAGGCGACTAACGGACTAGTGCAACTTAGATAATACAATACACTACATCCGGAGTCGCTGCCGCGAGTACCTGAACAATTATTCATGCAGGAACTACCTGATTATTGGCAACTGACAGCCTCTCCACGCTTCCTGCGACTGATTTATCGCGCGACGCATGAGGTGAGTTCTTCTTAGATCCCTTGCTAGCCTGTGATAACGCATGCAGCGACTGCGCTATAGAGAAGCTCCCCGTGCTCTGCTCTGCGTCCGTTTGGGTGTCATGCTGAGTGACATGCGGAGTTTCACTATACGTCGAAACCGTTGCGGTCGGGTCTTATGTCATGTAGTAGTGTCAGTCAAAACGCATGTACTCCACATCTTGCGAGAGTCCTGACCTTGTTTGTAACCACCTATTATGCGTTGCACAATGTGGGTCTCTAAGTAACGTGCGTTCCTTGCGCTCTTGAAGAAAACGTGCTCTGCTAGTTCACGGGCTGTTGGTCTGAAGATCGGCATTAAGGACTATGGTTAGCCAACGGTTTGGCAGGAGAAGGCAATTCTTTATACCTTCTGTTAGGGTCTTTTCGGATACAAGCGCTGACCATACGGTAAAAGTCTTTCGACAAAAGTTTCTCCGAAGCTACTGCGGGACAGGCATACTCTAGTTTGCTTAACAGAATCTGATGCCGTCTACACGTCAGTCGTCGAAGGGATAGATTCATAGAAGAAGCATCGTCTGACCTTCAACGGCGGCCAGTCGTCAAACGGAGTTCGGTTGAAAGCCAACTCCAACGCAGTTATACCAAAACTATATATGTCCGCTTTCTCGTTGTAATTCGAGTTCTTCCCCATGATGGAAATGAAAATCTTATTATAACTAGATTAGGACGTGTGGAAGAGAAGCGTAGACTCACTTGTGCCATAACCTCTGGAGCTGCCCATTCAATATTGTCGCCAACTAGCGAGAACACCGATTTGATGTACTCTCCCCCTTGGGCTAGGGACACCATATTACGGAGGCCCGTGAGGCGAATCTCTCCCCGCACGTCGAGAAGGATATTATCTGCACGAATATCACTGAAAGTATGATATGAACACCCGTTTTGGATGATTATTGTGCCATGCTATGGACCTCAGTATGCACATACTTATGTATCATTCTATTGTCGTGCATGTAAATGATAGCTTTTAGAACTTCTCGCATCACAGTGGCGACAACAGTGTCGCTAAAGCCTTCATGGATGTGGTTCCGCATGATATTCCGAAAAGTGCCTAAAAAATGCTAAATCAACGCCTCTGCGTGGAACTAATGTAACACTTTACAACGCACCCGCTCTCATGGGATACGTTACATTCCACATGCGTTCGTTCTCAACAAAAGTTGTCCAATACGGTAAGATATTGCGGTGTTTGCAAAGATTCGTGTTTCGCACGGTGCGCTGTTATGCACAAAGATGAGTTTCTGTTTCCAACATGACCCTAAGCATGGTTCACATACAATCAATTCGTCGATGAGCTCGTAGTCTGGGGACAGGGTCAGGTCGGTGTATTTGAGCGCAACATACTCGCCAGTGGGTATATGTCGCGCCAGATACAAGTATGATATGTCATCGACACCCCCTAGAGATATGAAGATTTGATACTTTTGCCATTGTTGAAAACGAACAAGTTTCCGCATACCGATATCGCTCAACAGCTCGTAGTCTTGTATGTCGTTCGTATACTGATGTCTACGCTGAGACTTTTTGCTCTGAAATATCCCTGACTGGCTGACGATGGAGAGATTGAGTAATGCTTTGAGTGCAGTACGAAATGAACTGCCTGTGAGGAACGCAAAATGCTCGACGCACCAGAGTTGACCCTGACGATGGCTGACGTTGTCGCGGTACCTGTGTATCGCCAGTAGCCTGACGATCTCGCTTCGAATGCCCCTCTGTCTTTCCTCCTTCCATAGGTAATCCCTACTGGTCTATGTCGAGGATGGACTAGGAATTGCTGAGACTTCGTCAATTTCGGGGTGAAGTCCCCACGCTGACTAAGCAATCGGTCGTGTCTTGATGTTATAACTAACACTTTGCAGTACGATGTTCTGCTCGCAAACTTTACATTAAACAACAATGGAGGCTTCGATGTCATCTCGAGCAGCTTTACTGCTCCAAAGAGAGCAGTATCGACTTCGAAAGGCTGATAAGTGTTGGGTGAGTGGAAGAGCAACGTTTCAAAGCTCATGGATTTATTAGCTCGAGCTCAATCACATATGAACAGGGGATTGAGACGTCTATAGTAAAAAACGACATCTTTCATTGGCAAGCAACAATAGAAGGATTGCCAAACACACCATGGGAAGGTGCGAAAAGCGGAAAAATGGAACGCTGTTCTTCTTCTTACTCCCTCGTCGTGCACATAGGGGGGCTATTTAAAATTGAAATGTTTTTCGATGAAGAGTATAACGAGAAGCCACCGGAAATCTACTTTATGACTGTCCCCTTTCATCCTAATGGTCAGTCATTCAGATAACATATAATATTTTTATGGATATGTCCGCTGACCGGTCTTAACAGTGGATATGAACACCGGTCGGCCCTGTGTACCCTTCCTTGAAGACTCGAATGAATGGGACCCTGAGACTCCAATATTGAGCATTCTTGTGTACTTGCAAGTACGTTGTGAGAAAAACTTATCAAGCTTGTACATTGTGAAGCATTGCTGGACTCATCAACAGGCTATTCTTGCAAATCCAGGGCTAGATCGCCCAGTAAACATAGCGGCAAGTGAGATATACACGAGCTCACCACGGCTGTACGATCAGCTTGTCAGGGACTGTGTGATCGCAAGTCGTCGGATCAATGGTAAAGTGAAAGTTACAATGCACTTCTCTGCTTCATACCTTGACTTGCGTCGGCGCACATTCAGTCGGACTGGCACCCTTTGAAGAAGAGGAGTACCTGAACCAGACTTCCAGTGATAAGGAGCTTAAAACAATCAGTCCCATAATACCAGCGCACAGTTTGACGCAGCCATATATCCGAACGATAAGTTTTGATGATTATTACGAATTTTGGAAGTCGCTCGCCACGTCAATACCTCAGAAACCCAGTAAACCGGGCGGTACGTCCATTAGGCAGTCATAGAACATAAAATGCGATTCTTAATGACTGCTATCCATGCATTATTCAGGTCCTCGAATACCAGATGAGTTGATGTTTCCGAGTCAATCCAAGGTTTCGGAAGATCAATTTCGAGAGATGATGGAAAGGTGAGGTCTCAGCATCCAAGGGGCCTCGGATCACTGGATGCTAAAGGACAACTATATGACTTCCGCAGACAAAGAGATCTGTGGTTTGGCAGATTTCAAAGAAAAGCTGTACAGAAGAAACCAGAGCAACAGTCGAAAACGGCGAGAATAGACGCAATGAGACGAATCTACAGTATGAAAGAAAGCGATGACTCAAAATCAGAACAAATAGATAATCGAAGAACCCAGAGGGTCGAGGAGACACACTGGGATGGGGACTCGGGCCACCAAATTGACATGGCTCCGCTTGGAGGGGAGTCCGTGTTGGACGATCGATGGATCAAGCCCAAGGAGCATATTCACTCCGATGATTGGGAACGCGAGGCGGACGATCTGTTGAATTGGACGGCCCAGTTGGCGCATCCACCATCTGATCATATTACATAATGTGATGGAACTAGAAGGACACAGGATGTCTCTCAAAGCCAGTGGAGTTTATGTGCAAATAATATGGTTCATGGAATATATTAGTTGAACAGGGGACCACTAATGGTAGAACTCCAACTCCGTGTCTGTCTTCTTGACATTAGCGCGGTACGCCTTCTCGATGTCCTTCGAGAGGACTACATAGCGGTTGGCCTACAGGTGACGGGAAACATTAGGTGGACTCCTACCATATGGTACACAGGTATATAGGCGAACATACCCGCACTGCGAACATTCCCGCTTGTTGGCAAATAGACGCAATTTCAGCCCCACTGAGCTTGTCCGGCCTCGAGACAACTAAAAATAGAGTAGTTCATCATGGTGTCATCAATGGGTTATGCATTCACACACGGGACCCTTACATTCCTCCAGATCCACCTCCTCCGACAAATTCATCTTTGATGTTATTGTTGAGAAAATCATTCGTTTCTGCCGACGATCAGGAGTAGGGAACTCAATCTTTCGGTCAAGTCGACCTGGCCGTAAGAGTGCTGGGTCAAGGGTATCTGCCCGATTCGTGGCCATGATCACCTGCAAAGGCGATGGAATGAACGTTTCTTAGCATTTGCATCAAACGTGGGTCCTACGCCTTATTCAGCACGCACCTTAACATTGGACGTCTGATCAAAACCGTCCATTTGGTTCAGAAGCTCCAATAGAATACGCTGGACTTCCCGATCCGCTCCGGTTTGAGCGTCAAACCGTTTCGTCGCAATGGCATCAATTTCATCGATGAAGATAATCGCAGGAGAGTTTTCTCGAGCAAGTCGGAAGACGTCCCGTACCATACGTGGCCCTTCTCCCAAGTATTTTTGCACAAACTCGGATCCATTCACTCGGATGAACGATGCCGTGGTGTGATGAGCAACCGCTTTGACCAACATTGTTTTTCCAGTCCCTGGTGGTCCATAAAGCAATACACCGCGTGGAGGGTCAATACCAATTTGTCGGTACAAGTCAAAATGCGTAAGAGGTAACTCCACGGCTTCCCGGATCTCCTGTTTCTGGATATCTAACCCTCCAATATCCTGATACGTAACGTCCGGTCTTTCTTGATCACTCAACATAGAGATACTGCTATCTGCCTCCGGAGGCAAAACATCAACGAGGGCATTTGAATGTCTGTGCAGTGCAACGGACGCGCTCGGTTTCAAGAGCTCCCGGTCGATGGTGGAAAGGATCCGAACGACATAGTTTGAACCAGTCGTTGAGCCAACAATACCCGTGTGCTGATCAATTGGCTCCAAGAATTGCCCGATCACCAACGGTACAGATTGAATACGCTTAACCTCTTCTTGCGCCCGTATGAGTTCCCGTTTCAAGTTCTTTTGCTCGTCCTTTATGTACTCTTCTTGTAGAGAGAGGAATTCCAAGTGTCTCTGTAGCTTTTTCAATTTCGTGTACAAATCTTCCTCACTCATATCCTCAACCAGCTCTGCTTTGGCAGCGGCATATACATTGTCCTGCATGAAATGCCCATCGTTAACAGTTGTCGCAGTTGACGTGATTTGTGAACAACCCGGACGGAGGTTTCAAGCCAGACTATACGTACACCATCAACAGGAACCTTGATGCCAATATCTTCCATTATGGCCGTCCGTAGTGTTGAATGATGTTATGATGGCCGTTTGGGCGTTTTTTGTTTGCAAGATTGCGGATGGATGTTGGTTTCTGTTTCTGTTGTCGACGCGTCATTACTGCAAGAACCAGGAGAGTCACGTGTCACATCCAGATGGGAGGAGTTTTGGAGGTCGTAAAAACATTGGCGACTGCCTTTGGATGGTTTCTTCACGTCACCAATATCGTTGAAGAAACTTGCAAAATAACCTCGATGATTGGATCATGTTATTCTAGCTATCTTGACCACATATGTGAGCATGAACAATAAATCGTTCATGTCGCGGGCGTCAGCAATTTGATGCAGCCAAGCGTGTATTCAACTTAACGTCGAGTCCTTTGATGCTTCTATCATGGCCACGAGCAGCTTTTTCTTGGTCTATTAGACTAGAAGCGCTTGCCTTCTGCCGCCCTCTTTTTTCTTTAAATTTCATGGCATTCCATCACAATGAAGCTTGCGGTTCAAGTTATCTCGATGGTGTTGCGATGGACATTGGGTCCCCGCTGCTCTGTTCATAGTATACCAAGGGTGCAGCAGGTGGGATGGCCCAAAGCCATTTTTGCCACGGGCTCATAGTTCTGGAAGGACAGCACCGAACTATGATGGATTTTGTTCTTATACGCGTTCGGTCGCGGTTGGCTGAGTTTTGACTCTGCGTGCGGAGAAGTTTGTGGCATCATGAGCAAACACGCTTGGCCATGCTGAGAGAAGGTCTTACTTCTGCATTGTTGGTAGGCATACGGTTTTGGCCCACCTGACGTGGCCTGTGATTTCAGATAGTTCAAGGCAACCCTTGTTGTCGTCGGGGAATTGTATTCAACCAAACTCGACTTCAAGTTCGACGGAGACCAGCATGCAGTCTCTATTTTCGTCTCGGAAAGAGCGCAAACGGGAACAACAGTTAAGACTGGCTCCAGCTGCTGCCAGTGAAGATGCTTCCCATTTGCCACCAGAGTATCTTTCTATTTTCGCACTTTCAAAGTCTTCCCCGGGATTGTTCCTTTACGTTGCGCTCTCTATCCTGTCATGTGGCATTCTGGCATTGGTGGGACGATGGTATCCAGAAGTGCGAGTTCGGTTGATGCGGAAACGCGCGCAAAGTTTCCGGGAGGCAGAGTTTGTGATTGTAAAAGGACGAAACGGTCGCTGGACAGAGATTGAAGTACGGCGGGATATGGGGCTTCAAATGTTCCAATCAAGCGGGACAGATGATAAGAGCGTAGTGGAGGAAAGAGCGATGATTTGGTTCGAATATAGAAAACAGAGATACATCTATCGAGAGGCATTCTCTTCGTTTCAGGTAAGAATCAAGCCCGCGTGATGGGGATATGAATGATACTGGCAGAAACCGTCAGGCATCTGGATAATTTTTCAGCTTATGATGCAACTGGGCAATGTCTGTTCGAATCATTGATACCGATTCATTTCCCTTCGTTCAGCGCCACAATCCTAGACTGAGAAAATCATGTATGGAGATACACCAGCTACGCGGTGGTCTATCTGAAGAGGAAGCCTCAGTCTGTTTAAATCAGAATGGCCCCAATCACATTGATATTGACGACCTTCCCATTATCAACATGTTACTGGACAAGATCATCCATCCCTTCTACCTATTCCAAGTCTTGTCAGTCATTGTCTGTGAGTGCATTTGCCGGTAGCAGCAGCGCCTAGCATGCGTAACCTTTCTTTAACCGTCCACTTTGGTTATTGACAGGGATGCTTGAAGCATACTACACTTACGCCCTTCTCATATTAATCATGAGCTGCTCGTCAATCGCCTGGGAGCTGTATTCTGCGAAACAGAATGAGAAGAATTTACGCAATCTGGTGAAGGTCGAACATATTTGCAGGGTAATACGCGATGGTCGGACGGTGGAGGTACCTGCAGCGCAACTGGTTGTGGGGGATGCGGTAATACTGGAAAACATCCGAGGGGCTCCGGTGGTAGCCGACATGGCTTTGGTGCAAGGAGAATGCGTTGCCGATGAGTCAACTTTGACTGGAGAGTCAATCCCCGTTGTCAAAACGCAGTTACCATTCGTCGATGCTCCTGGAAAGGTTTACTCTCCAGATCGGCACAAGAGCAACACCCTTTTTGCAGGTTGATAATCTTATGCGGAGCTGATGATTGACCATTCGGTGCTGATTGCTGCGTTTAGGGTCGGTCATTGTGGAGGTTAAGGTTAAGTGCGATGTGATGACTGCGACGAGCCCTAGAAATCTTTTTGGAGAAGAAGAGCCACAAAGTGCAATTGCCATTGTGACATCCACAGGGTTCGCTTCCACGAAGGGCGAATTATTTCGTTCAATCCTTTTTCCGGATCAGATTGTGAGAACCTCATCTTTCATTTTCAGTTATACCTCGTATTAACACCCCCTCTCATACCTACCTTAGGAATTCAAATTCTACCGAGATGCCTACAAGTTCTTGGCCATCCTCGGCATGGTCGCGGTGGCAGCCTTTATAAATAGGCTGATCTATGGGTAAGTCTCTCACTTCTTGATTTTAGGCATCTGTTGATCCATATCAATCACCGGGACAAAGGTTACGGAATAGGTTACCCTCACATGCGATTGTACTGTCTTGTCTGGACCTCATCACCATCGCAGGTGAGCTATGGAAAACTTGAATTTTTCTCAAAGCGCACGCGGTAATCGATGTCATCCAGTTCCCCCCGCGTTGCCTCTGATTTTGACAGTCGGCATTGGATTTTCTCTTGACCGTTTGAAAAGACAGTCCATATTTTGTATCGATCCCGAGCGAATCAACCTAGCTGGTCGTGTCAACATTATGGCTTTCGATAAGACGGGGACCCTCACAGAGTCTTCCCTGAGATGGGTTGGCATCGAGGCAGCCAATGATGGAATGTTTGTTGGGTTTTCCAACAATACAGGCGGGGAGTCCAGAATGGAACGAGTGCTCGCTACATGCCATGGTATCAACAATGTTCATGAACGGCTTGTCGGGCACCCTGTGGACGTGGAAATGTTCCGGAAGACAGGTTGGAGCCTAGACCAGAGGGAGCAGTCTACCTATATCAACGGACAACCTGTACCACTAGCGGCAGTCATTGTGCCCCCAGAAGCGGACAAATCCACATATCACATCCTTAGACGTTTCGAATTTGATGCTCATCTTCAGAAGAGTTCGATAGTTGCGATAGCAGCCGACGGCGCGAGTCTCTTTTCGTGCACGAAGGGCTCTCCAGAAGCAATTCGAAATATATGTCGACAGGAGTCCATTCCAATGAATTTTCATGCGGTATACAGGCGCTATGCTGCCCAAGGATATTACATCATTGCTTGCGCAACGAAAGAGCTGACGGGCATTCTGTCTGATGAGCCGACACCCAGTGAAATCGCGAATTTGCGACGAGAACAGGTGGAAAGAGACGTAATGTTCGCGGGATTCTTATTGCTTCAAAATCAAGTGAAGGAGGAGAGTGTTCCTACAATTGCGATGTTAAGAAAAGCTCACATTCGGTCAATTATCATGTGAGTAGCTGTAAGTGCGTTGTGTTTTTGCTCAGATTCAGCTTGCTCAACTGCCACTGAGCAGCACAGGAGACAACGCATTGACAGCGATTCATGTGGCTCGTCAGCTGGATCTCTGCCATAAAGTCCTGCTCATTGACGTCCATGAAGACAACGTTGTTTTCACACAGGTGCAAGACGAACCTGACATTGAGACAATGAGCCTGCACAGTGCCACTCCACGGCGACACGTTAGTACTGGGTCCTTATCCAGTCGCCAACGTCCTGAGGAATTTGCACAAGCTGCTAGTGCTCCGGATGCAACCGACGACGAACGCAGTCACCCTATTGAAGATCTGACAAGACATTTGACTCATGTAATGGATCAAGTGGACATTGCAGTCACCGGTGCTGCCCTCGACGCTATCATTGGGAGATACGAAGCAACATTTGCGAATTGGCTGGCAGGCCGGGCGAGGATATTCTCGAGGACAAAGCCCAGTCAAAAGACCTGGATTGTGGAACGTTTGAAACGGCAAGGAAATTATGTTGGTATGTGTGGGGACGGCACCAATGATTGTGGAGCTTTGAAGGCTGCGCATGTTGGATTGGCGTTATCGGATGCAGAAGCTTCAATAGTGTCGCCTTTCACGTCTGCACGGAAGTCGGTGTCGGACGTCGAAAAGCTGTTTAGAGAAGGGCGCTGTGCGCTGGAAACATCCTTTACTGCTTTTAAGGTATGTGAGAAGGTGATATTACTGGAGATGCTGTAGTAACCAACTGGCTTTCGATAGTACATGATTATGTATCCAATCATCCAGGTGTTCCTCGTTGCAACCCTGTACCAACTGGGAACTGATATGTCAAACAATCAATTCCTTTTTGATGACCTCGCAATCGTGCTAGCACTGTCCCTTCTCATGCTATATACTGGTCCTGCCCTTCACCTGGAGCGGGACCGCCCAACCGATGATCTTTTTAGGTTTGTACTGGTCAATCCGGCGTGTTTAACGAGATCCGATTACTGATAATGAAGGATGCAATAGCCCCATCATTCTGGTTTCCATAGGCGGACAGTTTCTCATCAACGTGGCCTTTTTCATTGCATGTGTGGCAATGCTGCTCAAGAGCCAATGGTTTTGCTCAGTGTCCAAGGCAGCGGAAGGATTGGACGAGACCTTCCGTCCCATCAATAGTACATCAACCAACTTTACCTGGGCCTGCTATCCGTGAGTAAACCAGGGCCGAAAAACACATGAACTCTGTCTAATTTTTGTGATTGAACTAGTATCGACCCTGTTGCGGACATTCACGACTCAACCATTAGCAAATCTTACGAAAACACTGTTTTGTGGCTATATACGCATTTTCAATTTGCCATTTGCGCTCTGGCCTTTTCAATTACCAGAACCTACCGTCGACCTTTTTGGACAAACACTCCCTACGCCACGTACTTGCTTTTGCTATTCTGCATTTTGACAGGCATGCTTCTTTCCTTGGGGAGAGCGGGATCCGGGTACGAATTTATGGCTCGCTTGTTCGATCTCCGGACCGGGGTACCGGATGATTTTCGATTTGCTGTTTGGTGTATAGCCATGGCAAATCTTGGCTGTGCGCTCATATTTGAAGCTGTCGTAGTCAACGGTTTTGTCCGAAAGTGGGTGGCACGTCAAGAAGATCTAAAAAAGCAGGCCAAAGATCTGAAACGGGAGCGAAGCGTTGGTATCGGGGTAGTTGAAGATACTGGAATCCTGGACGTACAAACAGGAAGATGGGGAGGTGCCGGTGGATCTTTTGGGCGAATTATGTCGTTTGGATGGTGGGGTACCATTCCAGAAGAGGATAGAATTAGTCACGAATTTGAGATGAGCCAAGTGGAACGGCATAACCCTGTTGAGGATTTCTATGATGCAGAAGATGAGAATGTATTCGTAGGAGGAGATTCGGAGGAGAGTCTCAGGCTGGTTGGTGCGCTTCGATAATATTTATTGCACGTTCCCGCCATGAAACTTAAAATTATAAGCTCAAACAATCCTTTTACAATTCTGCTGCCAGCTTTGCTAACAAATGTGTTAAGTAATCTATGACCACGTGATCGATCGCTAATGCACCAGCCAATCATATTCCTAGCTGTTTTTTTGCAATGCCGGCAGCTATAAAAGCAAAGTCCATCGACTCATGTCCTCCTCCTCAATGTCCTCGAGTTTTACAGGTGAGTTCAAGAGACATATCAAGGCTGGACAGCGTCTCGTGGGGATGAGACCAAAAAAGACATTTGCACGTCAGGAGGAGCCCTCTTGGAGGGTGATGACTGACCAATATCTATACCCAAATTTCTGAACACGACAAATATCTTGGAGGGGTGGCAGAGACTTTCAAGGTTCTTGGCTGATAAATAAATTGTTGTGTTTATCTAGATCCATACCACGCACTCTAGAAAGCGGTGATGTCTTCACTGGTAAAGGAAGATTGACTGATGAGAATCTTTCGCGAGGAACGAGCTATTCCTGCGCTCTCACTCAATGGTTCCTTACCAAGTGTCAAGCCACTGCACCGAATGTCACGACGTATTCGATTGTACAAGAAAGCAGTTAAGGTAGGCTGAGGTTCGTAGTGACTTGGGTCATTGCGCAAGTCGTCGAGGATGAAGTTTTTGTTTCCAATTCGCAGTTTCCACCAAAAGGGCGATTAGACCGGGGCTAAATTGCGTAACTATGAGAGGGAACCATCTTGTGTTGTGCTCTTTGCCTTCATGAGACCTTTGCAGTAGCTGCGTGTTTTGGCCCTCCCTCATGCTGGTACAAGCACCTTCCTTGGATGTCTGATGACGACTTGCGCAAGGGTGCCTTTAATTGGGTTGTGCTCTGATTCAATCTAATTTGATTTTGGTATTTTAGGTAAGAAGGATGTAAGTTTGACTGGAAACTATTGCCAGATAGGGGGGTTGTGAAATCTTGGGATGTATTAATAGTAAACTAGAGATATGAATAAAACAATCAGCAGTTTCCAATACAGAATAAACAAAGCAAACTCGCGAGACATCTTTATCGTCGCTACTACATGTCCATACACAGTGAATGTTGCTTCCCGCGTATTGCATAGCGCGTTGCTGCCAAGAATGCCGATGGTTGTCTGCTGTGAACCACCAGCAGCTGTATTCAGTCGTGCTGGGAGAGTGTTGCCCGTTGCTTTGACTTTAGGGCCCATGTCCAAAAGTAAAAGGTTCATGAAAGATTGCCCATCAAAGGCTTGCTGCGTGAGTTTGACCGACATGCACGTGACCATTTCTATGAGCTGTGCCTCCGCAACCCACTTTTGATTGAGCACCTCGAGTCGGCGAGACGCCTACCGACTTTACGCTTTTGCTTGCGATCTCGTGCTGTCAAGGAAAAGATGTCTGCTCTGGCAATCCTTCGTGCGGCAAGACTTCGGGCTCCGTCCATAATGAAGACTGCTGCCGCTCGAAGTACGTTTTTCATTTCGGCGCATGATGACGGCTTGGTATTTTTTTTAAACTTGCTTTGGTACTCTACAGATGCTCCATCCCCACTTTTTTTCCACTCAACGGCACGAGCAGGTATGTTTGCCCAAAGTCCGACGGACACTATGCGTTGGTTCAATCGGCAATCGGCAAAGCCTATGTTATGGAAACTCACGAGTTTTATCACACAGCGTATGCAACCGAGCAGAAGCCCCCTACCCAATCCTCGGAATTGCATGAATACGGCCGTTTTATCGTTTCCTGTCTGCCAAAGTACATCCAACAATTCTCCATTTACAAGGACGAACTTACGCTCTATGTCGCTCCTACTGCTTTGATTCCCACAATGCTTTTCTTGCGTGACCACACTGCGTGTCAATTCAAGCAGATTGCCGACATTGCGGGTGTAGATTATCCCAGCCGCTCCAACCGCTTCGAAGTCGTGTACAACATGCTTTCTCTGCGCTACAACACTCGTATCCGGGTCAAGACCTACGCGACGGAAGTTTCACCTGTCCCGTCTGTGACGTCCTTGTTTCCTGGTGCCAACTGGTTTGAGAGGGAGGCCTACGATATGTACGGAATTTACTTTGTGAACCACCCAGATTTGAGGAGGATCTTGACGGATTACGGCTTTGAGGGACACCCGATGCGTAAGGATTTCCCATTGACCGGATATGTGGAGGTTCGCTATGATGATGAGAGGAAGAGGGTCATTGCCGAGCCGTTGGAACTATCCCAACACCTTCGTGCGTTTGAATACCAGTCTCCATGGTGCGTAATTTGAACTATAGAGAATTTGAAGCAAGCACCCACTCACCGACATTCTTTAGGGAACAAACTGGCCCTGGTGTGCCCCAACCAACACTCCTGCAAAAGAGTGAACCATCTGAGACCCCAAAGGATGCCAAGCCAGCGCAGTAGATGGGATGTGTGGCACTATGTAGAAGTGGCAAAAATATCTGTTTAAAGACGCGACAGAACGTGCCTGGCGGTCGGATAATACCTGTTTGGCGGACACTGAACCTTTTGGCGTGGAATGAAGGGTAGTATTTACATATATCTGTCAAAAGAAAGTCATGAACTCATACACTACGCAAAGTGGAGAACCGCGTCATTGTTCAAAGTTTGATATTTCGGGCAATTCTGCCATAAACCACAGGAATAGGCAATGTTTCTATAGGTGATGATACCATGCGGAGAACAGGTAATACGAAAAAGAGGGAACTTCCAACATGTACGCCGTATTTAACTAAAAGGAGTTGAATCTGGGTCGAAATACTAATGGGTACCAAACGGCAAGTCCTCTCCATTGCTCCGAAAACGTGCGGCAGCAGCTTCAGACTTTCTCAACATCTAGGAGCAGGTGTTGATGATAAAAACATTGTGCAGAGGCGAGTTTTGGCTGCACAAATTACCCTAGCGTATAGTCGACAGAGTAAGTCCTCTTGACTTGCGATCCAAGGGTGCTGGAGGGCTTGTTCCACTGTGAGTCGCCTTTCCGGGTCAATCTCCAGGAGGCGGCAAATGAGGTCTTTTGCTATTCAAAATGAGGTTAGACATAATGGGGCGGTCAAGCGTGGGAATTTGCACCCAATTTTCACCATCGTTGCTGACATGCCTCCACTCTGGTCCTCCAAAGTCGAACTCTGCTTCTCGTATGCGTTTACTGAGTTCTGTCGGGTTGTCGTCAGTACCAAATGGCAGGTAGCCACCAAGCCTATACATGATTATTTTTAGTCATTTGTTTAGAACTTCATCGATCATTTACGACACCGACAGGGTATAGAGCAAGACACCTTTAAATTTGACAAGATTAATCAACTCCAAACTCTGCCAAACTTGCTGGCCAACAGCCAAATACGTACCTAATGACCAACAATCCACTCGTTTTGAATAGCCTCCTTTAACATTACTGTCAAGTACTTCTGGGGCCTATTCTGCTGCGTCAGCACTGACTTGTCAAGGTATCGATCTCTATTTTCTTGCAAGCGTACCAAGTAGCTAAATGTCCCACATTTTGTTCGCATGCGCTCTAGGGATGTTCCCAGCATTTTGGCCATTCCAAAATCTGTGATTATCAGTCTGTCGTCGGGTGGACATCAGTGATAACAATGGGGATATTTCCGCGACTAAAGATGCTCGTACCGACTGAAAGGCTTTGGCGATTCGAGTAGAAGGTTCTCTGGCTGTATGCCCCTTTAGAATATGAATACTTGCATTGTAAGCATCACGAAGCGGCAAACCTTCAAATCTCTATGCGTAATATTCATTCCGTGAAGGTACTTTAAGGACAGTTTCTGTTAACTGATGTGAAATCCTTCTGTTCAGGCTGAACTTGTTCCTCGTACCTTTACCGCCAACAGTATTTGGTAAAAGATAAATTTCTGTTGTGCTGGATATCAGTTGAGCGTTGGAATCTTTTGCGGGGGAGTGGAACCAACCGCTTCATGCTCTTGAACGCCATCGGTATGCAGGATGTAGTCGAAAAGCTCTCCTCCCGTTACTCGTGTGAGAAAGATGCACACAAACTCTTCTGTATGTACAACGTCCTTGACTTGAACAATGTTTGGGTGTTTGACGCTTTTCAGTATAGAAATCTGCATATTTGGCACTTAGAAATTGTATGTGCTGCAAACTCGTCTGCTTCCTTACCTCCTGCTCGATCACACTATCGCTACTATGTTTATGCTCTTCGCGATTCCCTTTACTGGACTTTGCCTTTCGTTTGTCGATGATCTTGCATGCCAACCGTTCGCAGGTATCAAGATCAATCGCCAGATAAACTATAACAGAGGTTATTCGGGATTGATAGGCCACCTGCCAAGCACTGGGAATTACCTGTTGCAAATGACCCCGCTCCTAGAGTTTGCGTCTCGAATATATAGTATCTGTTGTTGATAATCTGCAAACGTGATTTCGACAATGGTTGTGAATTAGTTATAAGTATCTTGATCAACAGACACAACACCACCTGGCGGTTCGTATCTTCAAAAGAGGGATCATCGAGCAAATTGTAGAACACAAAGTCTGCGTCGTCTCAGTTGATGACTTTAACAGGTGCCGCGATCCGAAGTGATGTGAACTTACATTGGTCCCATTTGATCTCAATTTCTGCCCGGTTTGTTAAAGACGCCTGATAGGAAAAGTATTACCCCAGCCGTGGAAGGTAGGGGGGAAAACGCGCAATCTGCACCTTTTGCTTGACGATCCGTCTCCCATTCACCAGTGTTCCATTGAAACTAGTGTCTTGAAGACAAGGCATATCCTCCACCTGAGCATACAAATGAACCAGAATATATCGCACTCGGATAATGTCATCTTAAAACTTTTCTGTGCGTCTTACCAATCGAATACGGCAGTGCTTCTTCGAACAGCTCGGACAATCGTCCACAACAATGTCAGCATCTTTCGAGCGTCCGATGATGTACGAGTCTTTCACTAAATCTGCATTCATCGTAAGGACCCTATGCGTCTGTAACATTAAGACCAATAAGATAGGAAGGCACCTATAACTTTAGTTCTGCCGTTCAGACAGACTAGCCGGCCCCAGGGTTTGTCCATGTTCAACCGTTTTGACGGTGTCCTGGGTTCTTCTACGTCATGGTCCGTCAGCGGCTGGGTATAATCTAATAAAGGGTCGTAACGCATATGCATGGCTGGCGAACCAAAGAAGATATTGGTGGTAAAGATGCGGAGAGGTTGGAGCGTGGGAATTGAGAAGCTTTGATCATGTAAACATAATTTAACCAAATATGGAAATACAGCAGCATATATCGCGCATTATCGTTGCCCTTCCTCGCCTGCTGGTATCCTTCCTTTTCTATAGAAGCGAGTCTCTTCTGGATCAAATCCACCACGTTCATCTCCAACCACACCCCAATCCGGAGTCCTTTCCATATAATCCTCACTGGTAAAGGGCTTCCCTTCCCTGATTAGTTCAAAGAACCTGTTATAATCAATCCAAGTCCACCATCCTCCGTCCTTGTAGTATCTCGCTTTATCGGCAATCAAAACACTACACGAGTGTTCATGCACACAAGCTACCTCGTACTTGCCACCAAGCCGCTCACACAAGTCCTTGCAGAAAGTCAGGACTTCGTGATGATACGGCACATTTTTCATCGTCAAATGCGACGCGCCGGAGAAGCCGCAATATGTTACACCTTTCACTTCAATAAAATCGGGGTTCCCTCGACTAATTAGGGTCACGTAAGAATCCAGGGTGCTATCGTTCTTGTCCTTGACCAATGTTAGACGATATACAGTTCTTTGGCCCTACCAAGCACGCTCTCCAAGTCAACATGATGGGTGAAGTGCTGTTATCGTCATGATGACACACCTTTTTCCCAAGTGCATCAAGACAAGCAAGAAATCGCTCCCAGTAATCACGGAACAGTGGTCGGTCGATCTTCTTAAGATCCTCCTTGGTTCCAGCGTCAATGCTCACATACAGCTGGGTGACAGGCTTCAGATTTTCAATAGCGTCTGCCATTGTAACGAAATATATGTTATTTTTATACGCATCTCACGGTTAATACTCGAATCTTACCTGGAAACTGGGCATTTGTGACAAGGAAGGAGGAAACATTGCGGGAATGCAGAATATCCACATATTCATTGATTTTTGGGTACATAATGGGCTCACCTAAGTGATTGACATCGTCGATAAATATGTAATACGACAAGATTCTAACACGAATAACCCACCGACAAGTGATAAAGCACAGTGTTTGATGGTGAAAGCCTCCTCAAACCGTTCTGGTTTCACGCCTGGTACACCTTTCAACTGCTTGATCATCTTGTAATGGTTATCCATGGCTCCATCCACAATATCCACAGCATCATCCATTTTCCAGCGCCATTCAGTTCCCTTTGAAAGGCTTCACGTCAGATGCAATCAAACACTACTATGACGACTGCAACTTACGACTGGATTTGTATGCTGCCGCCAGCAGAAGACGCATTTGTTGGCACATGCCAACGATGGAGTGGTCTCCATACATCGATGTGATTCGATACCTAATGATCACGTCAAGAATTAAGACGAATTTTGGAGCATGCATATTTACTGCAATATCAGTTTACCGTAAAAAGTGTGCTTATAGCATCCACCTCGCCCACGCAACATTGACTTTGTCCAGCGACATATTTTCACACCACTGTGCGTACCGACGATTTTATACCCTTGTTTCTCCAGAGATTTACGCAACATTGGCGTGACCATCTCTTTGATCAATTTCTCTGGCCGCTCTTCAGCATCCTTGGTGCCGATCCTCCTTTTTGGACCTCCTTTATTTGAGCTCAAAGCAGCTTCCTCTTCAGTTCTCTGCTGTTTCGCGCTCTTTATTTTTGCCGCCATGGCCCCCATATCCTCCAGGTCCATTAGCTCGTCACCACTGCCCGTTGCTGCCTCCTCTTCCTCCTCTTCGGAACTCTCGTAATCGCCCTCCTCCACAAAATCGTCCAAATTGTCTTCTCCAGCTATAGAAAGGTGATTGGCAACTCCGTTAATCCGGCTGAGGAAAAGTTTTGTCCATGTGATGAACTGATGTTCCGTATCTACATTAATATAATAGCTTAGAAATACGTTCTCTAGAGTCAGTAGAGGTCAGCTAAGTAACGAACCATCACTCTTATCTCCCAATGCCAGCGGGCAAATTCGTCTCCCCGCTAGCTCTCCAATCCACTTGTCGACTCTCTTCGCAACCGTACAATAATTTTCTTCATACACTGAGTCGCCCAATCCGAATACCGCAAATCGCAACGATTTCATACATTGCTTATTCACTCGATGATCGAACCGAGTATCTTCCAACCATTGATAAAACCATGCGGCGTCTTCCGTCGGTGATCCTTCGGTGTATGTAGATAAAAAGAATACAACCGGAGATTTCTCGGTCATCAGGTCCTCGTTCTCGTAGTCAGCAATATTAAGAACCTCGACTTCCTTTACCAACGGAACATTGGCCTCCACAAGTTCTTTCAGCCGGTAGGAAAGTGTGCGGGAAGTGCGAGTTTGAGTGGCAAAGAGAATTTTGAGTGTGATCCTCTTTTCGTCATCAATCTCTTCCGTATCTTCCCTATCCGGGACATTTTCGATTGGTATCGCAGTCTCACTGGTGGGGGTTGCCGGTTTGCTGCTTGATTTGCAGCACGATTCTCCAGCATTGGAAGAGCAACAACCTTCATCTTCCTCAACATTGCAACAACCACCGGTAACTTCACCAGAAGTATCGCCCTTCTTTGCTCTCCGTTGTTTGGGCCTAGTGGAGTATGACTTGATCTTTGATTGCCCTCCGTTGGCTGTCGGGTTCACAGGTGTTTGATCTCGGCTTTTTTCCACTTTGGACGGTGATAAAGTCTGTCTATTCACGGTCCACAAAGCAAAGAGAAGCGTCGCAACCAGAATCCATGACGGTGCCGACCAAGACGTAACATCCAATAAGGATAAAATGAAAGACATAGTGTGGTCGATCGCTAGTTGGGAAGCGAGACTTGGTTTGGCAAGGTTGACAAACTTCCAGTGACAAAGTGGCGCGACTGAACTGCGTAAGCAATTGATTGCGCCACAAGTGGATCACACATTCCGATCAATATCACTTCTGGCTTGTCTAGTAATAGTATTAAATCTTAAAGCATAATCACAAACCACATCAATAGGTCCATTAAATAGGCTCCCAGATTCCGATTAATCCTAATCATACATGCCCCAATACGACGCAACATCTCAAACTCCTTCCCGCATCAAAGGCATCTCGGTACAGTTTATTTATTCTCCAGCCCCATGATTGTGTCAGTTGGAATTTGTCGGGCTTGCTTTCCAGGACGTAGCATTTGTCCCCAAAGAAACAGTAGAGCTGAAACCATGTAAGGGTGGTTTTACGCGGATCGATATATGGTGTTGTCGAGGGTAGCTGGGCATAGGTTGGGTAGGTACTAAATTTAGGGACTGGCACCGGCATGCGTTGACTGCGATTGAACAGGTCAGCTTTGATGAGCGGATATTAAAGCTACTTAGAGTAAACTTACAGGTAGATCCCGAGCTTGGGCGTTTCGTCGACTGTTACGGTTTGCACATAGATTTGCCACATGGAACTGCACAAATTCAGGTATGCGAACTGAAAAGCCAGCCCTTAGATGTACCTACCCCGCATAGAAAACACTTCTACTCGCGACCTTCTCTCCACTAGCGATTCTCCTCAGATCCGAAAATTCCACGCCAAATCGCATGGGACAGAACCTCATTCCTTGATGTACATACAAATTGTCCTCGTCCATGACCTCTGTCAAACGCAGTCCATCAATATGCCTTGTGTCACTCCTTGGAACGACAGGTTCATCGATGTTGAATTCCATTGTGTCTTCCGTTGCAGACGTAATCATGTGTTGGAGCTCTTTCTGGGTCCATGCGGAGCTCTCGAGAAGGTCAGGAAGGTCGATGATGTCTTGCAATTCCGTGTAGCTGTGAATTCGGAGGAGGGAGTCAAAAGGGATGTGGATATAACCTATACCCCGAGCCAAGATATTATCATAGATGGTGTCGGAGTCGTCGTCCGCGGAAATTTCATCATCGCTGGGTTGATCTTTGATCGTTGTCCATACATGGCCTTCCGATTCGGCTGCGCAAGCGGCGGCATCTTCTTTGGTGCATGTTTCTATAGTTCCTTCCAGAGATGCAAGTTGCTCAAACCGCTTTCCGAGCTCTATCGCTTCATCATCGCGCTTTCCAAGTTCTGTCCTTCTTCTCTCTTCAATGATCTTCACAATGAAATTCCACCGCTGTTCTTCGCTCGGTACCCAAAAGCAGTCACTCGTCACCATTCTCTCCAGCCACCGCACGGGCATTCTCTCAAACACCGGTCTTAGCTCCTTCCTCGCATATCCCTCCCGACAGAGGTAAGTCAAGCACGCCTCAACAATTGTTTCTGAATGTGTACCGTAGCAGTACCCATCTGAAAATAGCAGGTAGTCCAAGACAGTATCAGGTGATAGATCTTCAACAATGAAGTTAACTGTCATATCGCATAATTCTTTGTCCCCAAAAAACAACGCTGCCGCCAGTACGCTTGGTGCCGAGGTCGAAGTTAGATGAAGCTGTGTATTTCCGTACATCCTTCCCAGTACTGTTGTAATGCCTTCCACAGTTACATTGGGATCGTCGATTGCAATCTGCACCTGTCGACTTTCATGCTCCTTCCATGGTCCACCGTCCAGCATGCCAGCAAAATAAGGATTGTTGAGGAGCACAATCCTGTGGAGGTTGTAAGTCATACCAAGGACTTGGACGGTGAAATCAGAGAATAGACCGGAGAGGAACCCTTTGCGGAAGAGGGATTCTGATAGCTTCTTGAGTGGCTCGAGGGTTTGTGAGAGGGTCGGATTGGTGGTTGTTGGGGAGCATTTGGGGATAGGTAGGGTTCCATGATCTTTCATCACGGATCCAATATTAATTAACAACTTCAATTCATCACAGCAAAGCTAGAGAACATACATTCTTTCACCCAATCTCTCGTTGCAACATCTATGGCATCCTCCACCTCATCCATAACGATTGAAAGTACATCAGTTCGACTGGTTGACATAGTACTAGGTTGCTCGCTGTAATGACCCGTACCCTAATTCAACACCCGTACTTTTGTGGGGTTGAATTTGGGGGTGTACCCAGCTTTTTCTTTCCCTTTGCGGATCCAACGATAAAAGCTCAGTATTAAAAAACATGAAACGCTCACAATCATAAGACAACTAGATGCTATTCTGGGCAACACCTAATCCGCCCAGTGGTTCTCGGAACTGGCGTCACGCGCGACTAAGCATGTGGCAATGTGTCAACTTCTCCGCACGCAATGACCTTTCGGCCAGGTGGAAAGCGAAAAGAACAAAAAGGTTGGCAGAGCACCTACCTGCCTTTGGTTCCCTTACTTTCCACCTTGGCTGTTGGTCGCATCTATAGTACACCATGATAGGAGATCCGCAATATGCTTGGCCTTTGCCTTTGCCTGTTCATCATAATAGGTTGATGCAAGTCGAGGCAGCGACGAGTGTCGACGAGGTCGCCGTAAAAGTAACAGTAAGTTAGGCATGATATGTCCTACTGTGAACATGATCTAACATGGGATATTTAAATGACTAGCTTAATGACATTCACCGCCGGTTTACTCTGGCTGAAGCGAATCATACTGAACTCTTGAAAACTGTCCGGTCTTTGTTCGGTTTGGCTAAAAGCGAAAGTTTGCACCTGTGGTGGGTCGATGAAGATGGTGACAACTGCTGCTTGGACCATGAAGCGGAGCTTATTGAAGCTGTGCGATGGGCGCGAAATAACTGTAATGGGCTCCTAAAAGTCAGAGGTCGATTCGGAAGCGACAGTGGCCCACATGCATCCTTCAATCGGTCTGTCAAACCAGCTTTCAACGACTACTATGACACGTCTTCTTCTTCTGGAACCGATGAATACGAAAATGATTGCGGTTCCGCCATGTACGAGTCCGAATCTGAATACGATTCAGTAAATGCGTACCCGTACGTGCGAGCTGAGCATTTGGACGATGTGTACAATGATGCGTCCTCCGACACCGAGACCGAGGAGCCTTCTACACCCATCGGTGCGGTGGCCTACTATACGCCCATTGCCAGCCTTCCCGGTGTGCTCCTCCGAGAACTTGAAGACCGCGAAATGGAAGAAGGCCTTCTGGGCCGTCCGGACTTCACCATCGCCACCAGCATTTTTGCAGATGACGCCCTTTCTTGGCACCAAACATCTTCTACGCAATATGAACCGGCTGACACCAAACAGATGGGAACTCAAATCGCCCCCAAAATGTCGGAACAATGCATTCAAACTGATCTGATCAGTTTCACTCAAACGGCACGTCCTTCAGTCACAACTCAATCCGTTCAAACTGTCATCATAACCAAAACTGCATGCACGTCGACTCCAGCTCCTACATTTACGGCCTCAAGCACTCAATGTGATGCCGCCGAAACAACTACGACTATAGTCCAGCGTTCCCCAACAACTAGCGCCTCGTCAACTCAAACAACTCCAGAAACAAATGAATCATCTACCCGACCAGCCCCGAAATCAACATCCACATCCACTCAATCCAGCTCTACTGAAACAACAGATTCATACACTCAATACGACTCAACCTCGGTAGATGTGCGATCTGGGCCTGACGGTGACGAGAGTAGTCAACAAAAGCGCTTCAAAGCAGTTGGGTTCTCCCATGCGGTTAGCATCCCCATTGTTGAGGAGCATGAGGAGGGTGAGGTAGAGGATGAGACGGAGAGGCCGGGAAGTCCTTACCCCCATGAAGAATCCGATGAAGAGGGCGATGCGTTGTTGAACGACGAGAGAGATGGCGAGCCGGAGGCGGAGGAGGAAGAGGAGAGTGAGAGGGTCAAGGTTAATAATGCCATAGATGCCCTTCAAAGTCCCGGAGACTTTGTGCTTGTGTGATGACTTGGATAGATATTATGTAGATTGCGTCACTTTCGGTCTATGGGCCACGTACATTTTGTATACAATAACTGTAAGCTTTATTCAATTGCAAAACTAGCTCACATTCCATATCATTCAATGCCTACTCTCTATTTCCCCCCATGAATTCGAAAGATATCTACATCCACACCCATGTCTGACTATTATTACAGTGGCCCTCTACGGCAACTCAAATTTATTCTACTTTGCTTCCCCTTCATTCTCTGCTAGCTTGAAGATGGTCTCCTTCAAAAACTTACGTCCTGCCGCCACGGCGGCGTCGTCAATCCTCATCAAGGCTGGATCCTGGAGTGCCTGTTTGGCAAATTCAGGTGAAGAAAGCTTTTCAGGGTTATTCACAGCCGGAAGGAGGTGATGGCCACCAATGTACCCCGTCAATGAGCATACGTAGATGCCACAGTCATATCCATTCGTTTGTTGGGGGGTATTCACGATTTCGAATCCTGGTGCTGAGATTTACCGTTATGAATGCTTTCTGAAATGGATTAGAGTCTGCTATAGTGGAATTTCTTACCCGTCTGGCCCTCCTGCTTCAGTAAGGGTGTAATCCTTTCGGCAGTTTGCCGTGCGAACTCCACATTCGCTCCTTTCAGGCTATCAAAGTAGTAGAATGTGTTCCCTCCAGCGTGCCAGACAAGAAGACTCCTGTCAATTTCCATCAGTATTTCCCAGTATTCCGTCACTTGCTCAAGGGAATATTACCAATGGCTGCCTCCACCCTTGAGTCCTGATCCATCATTGATAGGCATCCACACAAAAGCGCGTTCGTTCAAGTTTGGAGGAAGTACGCCTTTCAAAGCGTCGACAGGCTCTACGAAACCCACCCCGCGGGTAGCGTTAGCAAACTTTCCCATGTCAAACATAATTGGCCACAATCTCCCACCTGCAGACTGAGAAACTAAAGCAACCATTGTCGGGCGCATAAACAACACAGCGGGGTCATTCTTGAACAGCTCCCTTTCCATCCACTCATAGTGGAAGCTAATTATCGCGTCATTCAACCATTGCCCGTCATCCAAGAGCGCAACATCCTCAGGATACAGAATGATATCGTGCCATTCGAGGATGGGTTTACGCTCGGTAGTCATCTTGCTTTTACGGTTTTTCAGTTTGGTACAGCTGGCCGTGCCCACCACAACTCCCGGCACGTGTCGAGGACGATCGCGTTGCTTACGTTCATCCTGCAGACTCATCTTACATTGGAAATACGTAATGGCAAAGCCCTCCTCGTTGATACGATATAAAGCTGCCAAAGTTAATTGTCAGATTGCAACACTATTCTTCCATTTACCAAAACTAATCAATTTTTGAACAAAATGCCCGCTGCCGATTTTGCCAACAAACAGCCCTACGTCAGTTTGAGCAACGGACAGAAAATTCCTCAAATAGGACTAGGGTAGGTGGAATTCCATGTGATAACGGGCAGTAATTGACGTCCGGTGAACTATATCCGAAACAAGAACTTGGAAGGCTGGTCCCAACGAAGTCGGCAACGCCGTAAAAGCTGCCATCGAAGCAGGATACCGCCATATTGATTGTGCTGCAGTTTACACAAATGAGCACGAAGTTGGGCAAGCTATCAAAGAGTGTATTGACCGCGGCATCGTCAAACGTGAAGAGTTGTTCATTGTGACAAAGTTGTGGAATACCTGCCATGCGAGGGATAAAGTGTTTGAAGCGTGCGACATAAGCTTGCAGGTCAATATCTCATTGTGTTTTCATCGGGCGCAGAGATTGACACTGCCTTCCAGCAACTTGGCCTTGATTATCTGGACATGTATTTGATGCACTATCCTGTTCCGATGGCTTATACTGGGTGTGATGCGATTTCCAAAGTCATGCATGACTGTCTCCTTATACCAACTGACTGAGTATTCTGAAGGCCCACCAAACCTGATCTGAAAGAATGGATCCCTTGGGACGACCAAAAGCAACTTGTCAAGCTCGAAAAGTCACCTTTACATGAGACATGGGCTGCAATGGAGGTACCGTTCTCATTCTCATCCCCACTGCAAGCTCGTCACTCTCTAGTGATGCGGGTTCGGCATGTGTCAGGAACTAGTTCATAAAGGCAAAACCAAAGCGATCGGCATTTCAAACTTTACGATACCAGTCCTCATTGATCTGTGGACTTACGCCAAGATTTTACCGGCGACCAATCAGGTACTGAACTACCATCACTCAGGTTGCTTACAGGGCCGAATCTCACAGTTGCTGCTGGCATAGGTGGAATGTCATCCATATTTCCAGGCAAGTATTCAGAACAATGCTGCAGTACATCATGATTAACATTTTCTTTGGACGGCCAGCGTCGTGAACTGAGGGAGCTTTGTAAAAAGTTTGGCATTCCTGTCACTGCTTATTCTCCGCTGGGCAGTGGCAAGCAAGGGCCTTTACAGGACCCAACGGTAAGACTCACGTGCAAACCTTACGATGAACATTTGTCCATTCTGTTGAGTTACCGTTACAACGCAGATCAAAGCCATCGCCACCAAATATAAAAAGACGCCAGCCCAAGTTCTCCTTCGGTGGAACATTCAACACGGCAACATTGTTATCCCAAAATCCTCCAAAGAGGAGCGTGTCAAGGAGAACATGAACATTCTTGACTTTGGTCTCTCACCTGAAGACATGCAAAAGATTGACGGATTGGATCGAGGCTTTATGACTTGTGATACGAGGGAGTACTGGCGTGGATTTGCTTTTTTCGCCGTGTAAGAGTAAGACTTGGATTGGATCATACTAGTTGTACTAGTTGTATAGTGTCGCGGCTGCTCCTGCTGGCTGCTGTGCATCGCACGCCAAGTGGAAAAAATATCAAACGCATCTGCGCTTTTGAAACCGTCCCGGCGATCTATCACGACGCCATAGCAGCAAGTTTTTTGTGCTGTTGCTCGTGCAAAATGAACGTGTGCCAACAAAGTGTCCTTCACACTCCCCTCGTCTTTGGAAATTGGTCGCAACTCTAATAATGTACCAAATAGGGTAAATGACATGTAACCAAATATGGCATAATTGTAGTGAGCTCATTTGTGTGCTCTTTTTGCTCTGTCCCTTTTTTCAAACCGCTGGCGGGGAGTCTTCCGGTTTGTCCATTGTTTTTCTTGCTTCCTACGTCGTCGTCGTCGTCGTCGTCGTCGCTGTCACTGATAGATTTGGTAGATATTGTGTCGGTGCCGGTTTCACCCTCGCGCACCGTCACACATCGGATTGATCACTCAGGATATCAAGCGGAAAATTTGGAATAAGATGATAGGATCTGTTCCTGAACGATGGGATACCGATGCCAAGCGGTGCGAGTCCCCAGCTCCCTCCATGTCCACTGGTCGCGTATCGTCCGAACCCGATCCGATAATGCGAACAGGAGTTTTGACTATCATACGGCGGGCCACGTTTGGAACATCCTCGCAGCTTCGACGACGAACCATTCTCTGTGCTCCAAAGCTGACAGATGACTTGCATCCAATATTGCAAGAAATCTTCCCAGATACGACACCTGCCTCGAGTCGGGCCCTTAAACCACTTCCGCATGTGACGATGGCTTTGGGACGTATCACGCAGGCTGCCATTAAGGGTACCCCCTTGTTGATATTCCTTCCTGAAGAAACCATGGTTGATGGGGATCTGGAAACAAAACCTGTATATGTAGAACTGTCTTCCGTGGTCACTTTGCGGGACGAAGTGGACATGAATGAAACTTGCACCTTTGGGCTGGAATTGAAAAACACTGCCACAGGGGGTTGGGCTGGTAAAAATATGCGGATTCGAGCAGGCTTTTCTCTTGAATATTTGGGATGGATGGCTGTCTTAAGGGAAGCCATGAATATTGGAGCCACACCTACGCTGGCGTATGGTAGTAAGACGGCCCAGGTAATACCAATCAAGATGCAACGGGAGCAAATACGCGGACGGTCGATGGTGAGACATTCGGAAATGGACCTAAGAGGTTGTTATGGAAATATGGATGAGCAGCAACGCATCTCCAGATCCTTGGAAAGGGGCCGGACGAGATCGGCGCAGAATCTAGGCGCGCGGATGACAGATCTACGCCTACGTCAAGAGCAGACGATTGCATCAGCTGGGAACCAAGTTCACATACCCCACGGTAATGAGCAACCGTCAAGTCCGCCGTTGGCCCCCGTTCCCAGGCGAGGTCGTCGCCAGGGTGACAATAGACCCCCACCTGCCATGTCAAACAGAGGTTTATGTTTACCTGCCCTCCGTCGAGTGTCGTGGCATGGAGACTTGGAAGAGGGCTCCATGTCTGATCTTGTAAAAGACTGGGGTATGTCGATGTTGGTGCGGGAACCTGAGGCTGAAGTCTCTTGCACTGTACCGATTATAGAGAGCGAATCATATGGCCCAGAGCCATCCGCACCAGTACCTTCTGTCAAGGATCATGTGCAGGAGGGAACTAAAAGCGACAATAGCTTCGTAGATAATAAGGACCGCCCAATCTCCACAGATTCTGGTATTGGCTCTTCTGTATCTGGATCACCGTCATCAAGGGGATCAATGATACGAGACAGACCTCAATCTCTGGAGTCCCATCGACCCCATCTTGACGAGACCTCTGTACCGAAAATCAACAGGTCTACTGCAATGGAACACAAACCGTCTCTCCCGCGTATGCGTAGTTCAGAGGAGCACACGTCTGCAACTCGCTCATCTCATCCTCCGGTCCGAGTCAACCCACCCCCTTCCAAACGCCGCCCTAATGCGTCTCTCAATGAATTTTCCCCACGTTTGCCACCGACCCTCCCGGCCTCACGTCACAGCGCTTCCGCAGCGACTCGTCCAACTAGTCAGGCACGTTACAGCCCAGTGACCCTCCGTGGCTCACCTCCGGGCCCACCCACGTCGATAAATCCCGTCCCAATCATATCGCTGGCCGATTCCCGGGGACCCCGCATATGGTCTGTCAAAAGGAACAAATGGGTCGCGCTGCATGAAAGGGTGCCTGTGAATAGAATAGATGATTGATGGAATCTACAGTAGAATTGTCAACGATGTGCTTTGTACCATTTTTTTTTCTGTTCCGTAAGAAGTCAATATTGTAGTTGTATACACCTTTCCAGACCTTTACCGAAGAAGAATACATTTGTTTGTGTTAGAAGTGTCAGAAAAGACAGGCCAGACCGTGACATCTAGGAGCGCACCTGCAACCTGCATGGTTGTAGAGGAGGAGGAGAGATAAAGATTATAAACTCAGAAACAAGCCGGAGGATGACCTAGAAAGAGGAAAGGCTTGAGCTTGAACCTTGGAAGCTGTGCGATCCAACAGCAAGGCAACATTTTGATTCATGGTACCATGAATCGGTGACACGAAACCTGGCGATGACAGAGAAGGCGCAACCAGGTCTTGCTTCCAGGCCCTTTTGAAAAGATGTAAGCGTAAACATAAACGAAGATATCGCGAGGAATGGAGGTTTGATAGACTTTATCTCAATAAACACAATTTCTGACTTTAACATGCACCATGTTCAAGAGCGCTGAGTTAAGTATATCATATATTTGTGGGCCTAGTTGCCTATAATATGGTATGATTTTAGAATAACTCTGCGCCCACACGCGCTATGTCCCCCACACAAACAACGGGTATCGGAGGATTATGTAAGCTTCCCCGACCAGGCGGGCCTAATATGTATTCGGTCGTTCATGACGTCTATTCTGTTTTTATTTCTGGGTAGGTATTCGAAGGTATGTAGCCCTGCACGGGCTTAGATTAAATATGTTTAAGATTTTGCACACTGAGTTGTTGGTGTCAGGGCAAGTTGCCTACCGTGTCCGTTTTACTGACACCAAGTTGAATGTTTCACCCGATTTCCAATTCCTGTATTAACTTTAGACGAGCAACATGCACACCATAACGTCCCCAGCAACGTCGAGCGCAACACTAACGATGATTGCTATTGACGACATTGAAGAGCCCACTGCCCCCAAACCAGTTTATCACCCACCAAATTTGGATAGACCATTACCACCTCTTCCGCCTCCTGATGTTCCGCCGCCACCATATGAACCGTCTGGACCTCCTCCTGTGTATGGAGACGTGCACAAGAGACGGGATCGTGTGTGGGGTGGGGCCGTGGTTGGATTTGATCTGGTGAGATTTGCATCTTTAAGGCGCAACATATTAAAGTGTGATGGCTGAACTGGATTGGTGATCAGATCTCCTCGTTCGTACTCCTCTTCCTAACACTTGCTCAATTGACAACGTCTCCGATATCCCTGTCGACTGCCGGGGTGATCTTACCTTTTGTCTATGTTGGAGTCGCTGTTTACGGCCGGATAGCATTTTCCAAGGTATTAGTCAAACAGTTCGTCCTACCGGTACAAAGCACTAAACAGTCAGGAACAACAGATTCGCTGTCCCGCTATGATCCTCTACACTCTTCTCTACACACTCCGCATCATAGCCGATATCGCTGGGATAACCCTCTTCATTTCCCACCAAACAACTTCTCAAGGAGGTCAACAAGGTGACGGCGCCAAGAGGAGTGGCTATTCTCCATGGATCGTTGAGGCGGGACGTATACCTGTTGTTGGATTGCGGGTAGCGCAGTATGAAGAGGCAGGGTGGTGTACAGGTTGTGCTTGGAGAGGAGGTGTCTGGGGTGGTGTGGTAAGTCACTTTCTGTTTTTGTTTGTTTCTTCAACACCATCTAATGTATTTCGAGTAGTTGATGATACATATTGCATTGGGAGCTCTCCTGATGATTCACTCACACGCCCTTTGTCGGTCGTCTGAAGAGCAGCCGTCTGTGGTGAATCAGGAGCCTCCATTGAGGGCGCCTATATCGACACAGCAGCAGATGATACATTTTGACAACAACATTTTTAGACCTCGGCCTTTAGTTCCTGGGGGTGGTAGAACGGTTCAGGAAAGAGTGCAAGCGGCGGAAGATGACGATGACCTCCGGCCTTTGGCGGAGATTTTGGCAGAATTGGAGGAAGGGCGTCGGATGGCTGGGGTTACGGTGCGTTCTGGTGACCGTGGTGCCAATTCTAATGCATAGTCTTGATTGTAATGTTGTGTGTACCATATTATGGCATAAGGTGGGAGTATGGATGATGAAAAGTTAGTTTGTAAATGTGTATGATTGTCTATGTCATTAAATGTTTCAGGTATAAACGTTTGACTCTCTATTCACAATCAACCTCGAGCTTTCTTCCTCTTCGTTCCTCCACTTAATGCACTCGCCCCACCGTCTCCAAACTCGCTTACACTAGATACAATAGCGGCACTCCCTCTCTTGTACATACTAGACCCGGGTTTGTTCTTCCTCTTCTCTTCTTCTCTGCGCTCCTTCTCCATCTTGTCTTTTCGCTCTTTTTCGACGATCAGTCCTCCAGGGGCCTCACGCAAAGCAAAACTCTTTGCAACATGCCCCAAGTGCAATTTTTTGACGTGGAAGATGTGTCGCTCCGAGGCGACGTGGGTTGCATATGCTCTAACGTGGGAGGTGTAGGCTTGTTGTGCTAACGATAACGTAGGATTGTTGGAGATCACGAAACGTTCCAAAGTCATGTGGATGTTACTGGCCGGTTGTTCATAAGCTTTTCGCGATTTTTGGGGCTTTTTGTGAGGATCAGTAATGAGATTGTTGAGGTACGTATCTATACCAACTTCTTCAACTCGAAAGCCTTGCCCACGTAGTAGGGACACATATTCGACTTCACTCGGTAGCAGAAAGACAAGAGCTTCACCGTCTCTTCCCAAACGAGCCGTTCGACCAATTCGATGCACATAGTCTTTGACATCGGCTGGAGGATCATATTGGATAATTGCGGTCACATCCGGCATATCCAATCCACGAGCCGCTACATCGGTACATAGCAGAATGGCGGGCTTCTGTGTACGGACAAAGGCATTGTAGGCGGCTGTACGTGCGGATTGAGGGAGGCTTCCGTGGAGTTTGAAGAGTAGGGAAGATGGCAGAAGGGGGGTTTCCGTACCAGATTGGAGTAGAGAATTGTCCGGAGGAAGGAGAGCTGGGTCTTCTTTACGTTGCTTTCCTGTGGATTTCCCTCGCTGTCCATCCTCATCGTGTTCGTCTACACCATTTTGCGTTTCTTCCTCCTCTTCGTCATCTTCCTCCGGCTCATCCTTCGCGGGCGCCTTGTGTCCATTCGCAAACAGATGATAGTGAAAATCAACTGAATCCGTACAGGAAAGAAACACCATGATTTTGCACGGTTTGGCGGACTTGATCAGGTGTTTTAATGCGCCCAGCAGTGCTACCAGACGAAGCTTGGCCGGTACAAGAACGTACTTTTGCTTGAGCTGCGTCGGGACAATGACTTTGTCATCTTTATTTCTTGACGCGCTCTGATCGGTCTGTTGAGAAGCCGTACCAGACTCCTCTCGGTTTTGTTTGCTTTTCCTGTCTTTGCTCTCCGCCTTTATGAATTCGGGGTCGTTCAATGTTTCCTCCGCCAACTTCTGGACACCACCTTCAATGGTCGCGGAACACAAAATTGTCTGCCGAGTACGAGGCCATGCCTTTACAAGTAACCTGGATCGACTCTTGTGAGCCGCCTCTCGCCGTTCATTCAACAATTTCAAAATATCCTTCAGAGTTTCTTCGAAACCAAGCTCTAGCAGGCGATCGGCCTCATCCAAAACCAGCCACCGCAAGTTGCCTGTCTCAAAAGATTTGGTGGTTTTCAGGTGATCCAAGAGACGACCAGGCGTTGAGACGAGGATGGTAATGCCTTTCCGTAACCGAGCCTTCTCCGATTTCTTCTTTTCGCCTCCCATGGTGTGTCCAGCGACAACCCAGTGACGATGATGAGAATCCGAAGAGTTTGTATCTTGTTCCGATTTATGGTTCATGTTCTCTTCGCCATCGGCGGAGGGGTTCGCAGCATGGCCAGAATACCGCAATAGACTCTCCAAAACACTTTCAATCTGTTTCGCTAACTCGCGGGTGGGAGCCAGTACAATGGCCAGGGTTCCCACACTTCTTTCCAGCGCTGCGCTTCGGCCGTGAGCCTTGTACTCCTCCTCCGCAGCCAATAATCGGTGCAATATGGGTAGACAAAAAGCCAGCGTTTTACCGGACCCTGTTTGGGCCTGTAAGACGTGATCCCGCTCTGCATGATGAAGGAGAGAGGGTAATGCTGCCCGTTGAATGGCTGTTGGCGCTTTGAAAACGAGTTTCGTGGTGATGTGTGTACACAAGAGGGGGTTAAGGCCTAGACCCGCGAATGTCGTTGCATCAAAGATCTGCTCATTGGCGGGCTCCGGAGGGGTTGGCAAGGTGGTTGAGGGTTGCGGTGTGGGAATGGAGGGATTAGAGGTGAAAATCGATGATACGATTTGTTTTCCGGGTGTGGAGGAGGGTCTAGGTTTTCCGTTGGGAGGGGAGGGGTCTGTGTCAGCTTTTTGTATTTTGGCCGGCCTGTCCGAGCCCCGCGTGGGCGCAGCCTTCCGCTTTGCACCTATCCCGTCCCGGGAAGTCGATTCAGCTTCTCTTGCCGTCTTGTTGACCGGTTCCTTCGGTCCGTCCAATGTTCGCCGGGCTTTATGGACCAGCTTTTTCGCCACAGCGCGCTTCTTTTTCCAACCTCCTTTGATATTAGCAGCCACATCTCTAACCTTGAGGTGAGCAGATGAAGGAGTCAAACTGTCTGTAGAAAAGTTGAGCAAAAGCCCGTCGTCGTCTGCCATTTCGTACAGTTCGTGGTATCTGCAATGTTCATCCAGCTCTCCAAAAACAATTCAAAGCTTACGCATTTCATATCGTGACGTAGGTGTGATTCCGCCAATCAGGTGCCTCCATCCAGCCACATAAGCTATCACGTGAGAGCGTGAGTCAGCATTCGAGCTTGCCGCCTAGCTTACTATTCCAGCTTTTGGGCATCTGCACTGGAAAGTAACCACTTGTTTAGACGGGAAGCCAGTCCGTCTCGTACGGCTCCCGAGTATGGCCCCCTTCGTACTCGGTACAGTGCCTGCGCCGGCATTTTCCGACGGAACACCTGCCGCGTACCCCCCTGATCTCACTGACCCTTGCTTCTCCACATTTGCCAAGCCAATTGTACGATCCGACCAAACAAGAGTAGATCGATTTCTTGACAAACTTGCTCCGACTTTGATCGAACTATACCGACAATATCCGCACAAGTGCCCAGGCGTTCCACCTGGCATCGCCGAAATCGCGTTTAGTCGCAACGCCAGATTGAAAGAGTTCCCTGATGGATATGTTTTAACGCAGCAAGAACGGGGGGACACTGGCAAGTCTAGCAAGGTGGCTGATCCGTATGTGTATGGGCATCCAAGGTGCGCTCGGAAAATATCGTTCAAAGTTGAACCTCTAAAGTAATCGAAGATCCTCCAAAGTGGTGCAAGGTTTCGATCTGTCAACGAATTTATACCGCACTTGAGTTGGCTTGTGACCAGTGACACGCATGAATATGATGAGTGTGGTTGCAAATATTGTCCGGCATGGAAGAGGCGATTGATCAGCGGACGGACATCCAGTCCACGGAGAACGCCGCACAAGAGTACCGGTTCTGACCCGGCAACGCCATTATCTGGGACTTCCATGAGAGAGAAATCCAGTAGCAGGGACAAGCCAATCAAAATGAAGACGGAGGTGGTTGTGGACACTCCTATAGTCCTTTCAAAAAGATCTCCACGGACAAAAGACATGGAAAGATCGCCGCAGACAAATGGCGCAACTCGCCAGTTGACACCGCTTCGGCCGTCATCGAGATCCTCCTCTACGCCAGATCCGATACTCTCACAAACCTTGTGGGATACTATGAGCCGCACAACTCCTCAGTTGACACAGTTGCGGCGGTCATCGGGATCCTCGTCCACACCAGATCCGATACTATCCCAAACCTTACGGGATACTATGAGTGGCACAAGTCGCCAGTTGACACCGTTGCGGCCGTCATCGAGATCCTCCTCTACGCCAGATCCGATACTCTCTCAAACCTTGCGGGATACTATGAGGGCAAAGGGATATGGAAAACGTGCTGATCCAAGGTCCCAAGTGTCCTCAACAAGCAAGCCATCCCCAGCCAGCAAATCCATTGTCGTCATTGACAGCCCACCAAAGAAAACAAGAGTCTACGTGGAAAATCCGGTACCTAAGACACCAGCTTCTGTACCACAGAAAAAGTATAAACTACCTAGCGAACGAGTTAGGAATGGAAGAGAGGACGAGGCCGGGGGATCGCGCCGTACATCATCAGCTGGCCATCTATCAATCAAACCCCGACCTCTAGTCGTTCCGGCTCTCACAAGTTTCATTTCCGCGGATGGTACGCCCGTACCGGCCCTCCAACGCGAACAAGAAGACACGCCTAAATCACACCAAAGCGTGAAATCAAAACGCTCCCGCGACAGCACTCCCAATGATCAACCCACTAGAAAAAAGATACGCACGAGCTCTTCCAGTCGATCTTCATTCATTGACGAGGGGAAAATAGGGCCTAAGCCGCCTATCTATCGCATAGGGGATGTAGTCTGGGTTACTGCCCACCTGAACCTAACGGAACCCAATGACTCATTCACCATTAAAGACCAGAAATCACCAGAACAATCCCACGAGATAAATCTCAAAGTCCTCAAAGAGGATCTAACGTACTGGCCCGCGGTGATTACATCTGTTTACCTTCCATCGACCGACCCGACAGCTTTCGAGGATGTTTGGGTTACTCCTATCAGCTTTGTCTCTAATCGCATCATCATTCCTGCTCACCGGTATCACAACATCGCATCAGCATGGACCGGTAAAGCGTACGGCGTCCATCTCGTCACAACGCAACTACAATTCACTATTCTTGAAGAATGCCTCCACCCGTTTGCTTGGATGTGTAAACCAGCAACTCGACTAAGTCCAAACTTTGTCCGATCAATCCAAACGGAAGACGCTCTTCTCCACACTTTCTTGCGAGCTGTGAATATGGCGTGTGAATATGCTAGGCAGGTAATATTTGTATACGGTCGAGCTCCAAGAATCGTCAGTGAGGGCATAGGACCAGGCAGTGTGACGTGGGACGAGGTACAAGTCGGGACTGAGCGGATCATGACGGGCGATGTGATCCGTGCATCTACACCAAAATATCCGAGAGGGTTATTCGAAATTGAGCGGATTCGTTGGACGAGAGGTCAACCTGTGACATTTGTGGTTTGTGCTGTAGCTATGGTGAAAGCCAAGGAAGGGGAAGAAAATGATGTCACATACTTTATGGAGGTGGGTATACCATATGTGCTCAGAAAAAGGCGAGCTGATAGTTTTGAGATTCCATTTGGAAACGTTTTGGGACGGTTTTATCCGGGGATGAGTGAGGTCAATGGGAGAGTAGGACCGCGGGAGAAGATGCAGGTCTCAGATCGACTGATAGAGTTGAAATGAGTGGAATCTTTTTCAATATTAAAAAAAGAATGCTCGTTGCAATCTCTCTTTTGTATTTCTAGGGGTATACCCTTTTGGTTAGACCAAAACCAACCGTTCTACAGAATAACCATAACAAATGAAGAATCTAAGATGTTCTAAACACCCAATAATCCCAAGAATTCTACCACCTCATACTTAATCTTCCCTTCCGCAAAAGCACCGACAGCTCTCCTATAAGCCTCATTAGTCACACTGACTCCCCGCTCAAGCAACCACTTGACCATCCACAGGTTCCCAAATTCCGCAGCATATCCCAGCGCAATGCGCCCGGTATCCTTAATCATCGCCCCATGTTTCTCGAAGATGGCTAATCCTTTTTGAATGGACGCAATATGGGACGGAGTGTTCCGGGGGTAGGAGGGCGTAGTGTGTAGCGTGGCTGTTAAGAGGGCACGACTCAGGGCCGTCATATCCCATGTCGATACCGTCAGGTGATGAATGAGCAGGTTTTCGTTGCATGTCAAGAGTACTGTATCTAAAATTTCTTTCTGTGGTATGTATTTAATATATTGAAGCAGAAAGGGTGTTGCTGGAGCCATGTGGAGGAGTCGTGTTAGAGTTTCCCTGTAGTGTAGTTCAGAAACGGTGGAGAGAGTGTCTAGCGTTGTTGTCGCGGCAGAATGGTTTGTCAGGCTCTGGATGATGGAAAGTGCAGAGAGGTAGGTTGGGGTCATGGGCTGAGGAGGATGGTTTGTCAAGTAGGCACGCGTTTGAACCAGAAGGTCGGGAGTGGTTTTCTGGTTGGCGCGGACAAGACAATTCTCCATGATGCGCTTGTTACCAATTCCAGCATGAAGGACGAAATCCCATATATGGAGGCCGCATTCCGTTGGGCTTGATGTGAAGGCGTCGAGAACGCAATCGAGGGATGAGAGGTCCGGTGGATCCATTTGAGAAAGACAGGCATCGTCTAGAATTTCTAGGAGATCCGCGCACCATTCCACGACGCGATCCAACCCGGTTTCCCAGTGTATGCAGTAGCGTTTGGACCGGAGAAGTGTGACGATGGGTTGGGCGCCTCCCATTGCGGCATTTTCGAGGGCGTCTTCGAGGATTGCATGAAGTGATTTGGCATCCAAGACCTCTTCCAAAACTTCCAGGCAGAATGAGGCAGCATCAAATAGGCCATAAAAGCAGGCAAAAAAGAATGCAGAAGTCCAATACAACTCTCCATCGATGCATCTCTGGGAGGATCTTTGGCCGGGATGCCAAGTCGCAGTCAAGGACGGAGGACAAGCGCCCAAGAGGGATCTCAACATTCCGTCCTGTCTCAGGATCTCCACAGCTTCGGCATTGCGCACCACAGTAGTAGAGAACTCTCTACACGCTTTGACCATCAAGCGGTTTACACCAGCATATTCCTGGGTCCCTCGAAAGCAAACGGAGAGTCTGTCCCATACAATTGCATCGTTCAACAGAAACTCCCAATTGCCGTCATAGTATTCCATGAACCAGTCGTAGATCCAGGCCCGTTTGGTATGAGGAGATAATGAGACCCTTCGCAAAAGAATGCTTGTCTCTGCAGTGGGTTTCAGAGAAGGAAGGCGAGCTACGATATCCTCAAGAACTTCTGTAGGCAGATCTGTGAGTTTCATGGTTGGCATGGTGTGATCTCGTCCGTTCACTCAGTAGGAGGAATATGAAGAAAACCCAGCATAGAATAAATAAATAAACAAAGGCCAACAAATACCCCAATCACCTGCTGCTACCGCCATGCACTTTTTTTATACCCTGCCCCCCTCCACCCTCACCCATTCTCCGCGACCGAAACTTGGTTCTGGGCCCCTTCAGCCAA